TAACCCTAACCCTAACCCTAACCCTAACCCTAACCCTAACCCTAACCCTAACCCTAACCCTAACCCTAACCCTAACCCTAACCCTAACCCTAACCTTATATCTACTAACCTAATTTATATAGTAGAAAACTAGTATATACTTTACGCGCCTTAAATACTATAATAATTTATAATATTATTATAAAGCTTTTATTTACGTAGAAAAAGAACTTCTAAACTATATATATAAGTAATATATATATATATACTCTTTATTATACTATAAGATACTAGCTAAAATAGGGCTAATTTAAGCACTAGTTAATTATATAATAAATACCTTAATATACTTTCTAAGAGAGCTAGAAGGCGCGTAAGAGTTTAGTATAAAATAGAAAGATAAAACTATTAAGAAAAAGTCTACCTAGAGCCTAAATAATAACTTTTATAATCTATAATATAGGTAGGCTCTTAATAAGTATAAAACTAGATATAGAAGAACTTCTAAAATATAAGTTAGTTAGAAGTAATAGAACTATTAGAAATAACTAGAAGTAGTCTATATAGTATTAGAATAATAGAATATACGTAAAGCACTATTAGGCACTACTTAGAATAGTTATAAAGACTATTTTATAGATTCTATAACTCTACTTTTTCTAATATAATTATAAGTATAATAACTAGGCTAAGTAGTACTATAACCTAGAAGTTACTATTAACTTTCTTAAATAGTATTCTAATAAATTTAAAGTTAAGAGCTAGTATAAAGTTAATATAGATATCTACTTTACTACTAGAATAGAATTCTATTACTAACTTACTTTTAAAGTAGGCTATAATTAATATAGCCTACTAGCTAGTTTAATTAAGGAGAAATAATATATTATACTTTAACTCTCTTTTTAACCTTAACACTCTAGTCTCCTAAAATAGGTAAAAGGAGGTTAAGTTAATCTAGATAAAATATAAAGCTAGGATAGTATAATACCTTTAAGTAATAATAGTAGAATTAGATATATAAATAAGGTTTATACTAGTATAATAAGTTACTACGCGTTTATAGAGATAAATAGAAAAATACTTATAAGTAAGACCTAGCCTAATATTAACCTAACTACTACTATATTCTAGAGTTTATAGCCTAGAAGCTATCTTAACTTATTACTACCTAACTTAAATATATTTCTATTCTTAGTTATATCTAGGTAGTAAAGTACTACTAGCTTTAGCTTCTAGCCTTTATATAAGTTCTTTATAGCTTTAGTAGGTAAACTACTATTAAACTTTACTATATCTAGTAAGTATTAGGTTTTCTATCTAGTAGCTTTAAAGTAATAGGTTAAGTATTACTTATAACCTTAAATTAAATAATATCTAGGTAATATAGGTACCTAGAGAGTTCTTTATAAGCTAATAAGGTAGTATTATAATACTACCTATACTACTTCTTTTTATTAGTATATTAGTTATATATATTACTCTTTCTTAAACATTAAGTTACTTATAATAAGTTAGTATATACTAGCTATTTTTTACTTACTAAATATAATTACTAACTCTATCTTAATAGGTATTAATATTTAGCTTTACGTCTTAAGAGTTTAATAATATACCTACTTAGTATTAAGACCTATACTTAGGCCTAGTATAATATAGCCTTAAAGATAACTTCTTTTATCTATTATAATCTTAGATATATATCTTCTTTTACCTTTTAGTACTCTAATAATTTTATAAAGCTTTAAATTCTACTTATTAATATTAAATAATATTTAATTATCTTTTTTTAAATAACTTTCTTTTTATACCTAGAGTAGTTTATAGGTATAAGAAAGGTAGAAGGTATAGTATAGTAAGGCGTATATATCTAGTTTTTTCCTTTCTTTCTTTTATATAGAGGAGTAAAAGACTTAATATATATATTATAGGTTTCTTATAGTCTATTACTTATTTTCTAGTTCTAGTACTAGAGAATAGTAAAAGTATTCTATTTATACTTTTTATTTATATATTATAGCCTTAAGCTTACTAAGGCTATTTTTTCTTCTTTTACTAATATATACTACTATTATAATTATTTAGTTTCTACCTAAGTAATTATTAGTTATTATCTAATTTTACCTTTATCTACTTATATATATTTAGTAATACCTCTTTTACTATGCGTAATAGATTAATTATAGTACTCTGCTTTAAAAAGAGTAGACTTACTTTTAAAAAAGAAATTCTTAGTAGTTTACTATATTCTACTTTAAAAAAAGTAGACTTTTTTAGAATATAGAAAACCTTAGTAGACTACTATATTCTACTCTAAAGAGAGTAAACTTTTTTAAAATATAAAAAACCTTAGTAAACTACTATATTTTACTTTAAAGGGAGTAGACTTTCTTAGAATATAGAAAACTTTAGTAAACTACTATATTCTACTCTAGAAGAAGTAGACTTTTTTAGAATATAGAAAACCTTAGTAAACTACTATATTCTACTCTAAAGAAAATAGACTTCCTTAGGTTATAGAAAATATTAAATAAGAGCTATACTTTATAGAAAATTTAAATAGTTTCTAACCTTAATTTAACTCTTCTACCTAGATTATTACTCTATTATATCTTATTAAGGTTAGCAGAGCTAAGTTCTTGCTGCTATAGTATTATCTTAAGAGTATACTCTTAGAAGGCTAGAATAATAAAAGAAGAAGAAACAGCTATATTTATAAAGATATAGTGTTATTACTAAATAAGTAATTTTTTAATAAATTAATTTATTTATCCTAGAATAGTTTTAGACGCGAATTTACAGAGCTATATATAATTTACTAACGTAAAAGAAAACTAATACAGCTTAGATAGTAGTTATTTTACCTACTTATTTTTATCTACGCTAAGGTACAAAGTAAGGTTACTAAAAACATTAGTCTAGAATATATAAATTAACTTATGTTTAGGAAATATCTCTAATAAATACACTAAAGCTCTAGAAGATGTTTACCTAAAATCTAGTCTACTACTATATATAGAAAGATATTACGTACTTCTGTAAGAGAAATAGTAAATAAAACCTACTTATAACTATAACATTCGCTAGTATAAAGGTTAAAAACAACGGTAACTAGTATTTGTTCTAATTCTAGTAATTAAGGAAGACCTTAGAACTATATAATAGTAGTAGTAATCTTAAGAGGTTTTATTCCCCACCTCGTTCTGGTATATTTGCGGGTCTTGTGCTGCCCGTAACGACCTCGACGTGACGATCGGGGCCTGTGGAACAAGGCTCTTTGGACTAATAACTATCGTACTACGATTTACAAGTCAAAAGGCAAATCTAAGGTACGTGTTTAATCTTTGGAGGACCTGTCTTATAACATATTATCAGGTTGCAGAAGTTTGAACATAATCATTATTTATAACAGTGAAACAAGGGTGGGCTACTGTATACTAAAACTTATCTACGGTCAAGTTAAAGCCACACCATGGCTGAAGGCAGTTCTGCGAGGCTGACTGACTTCGGACTTTACATACCACCTACTGTCAGCACTTGGTCTCCTTTGGGCCTGGCTTCTCGACGTATGCTGCTAGTGCAGGCTTGCATTTCTTTGCGTCGCGCTGTCAAGCTCTGAGTTCTCCCAATCGTCTTTGTCTACTTCGAATCGTGAGTCTTGCGGAGCTCTATCATCTGTTTCAATTCTTCGAACCTCGGTTGGTTTTTCGCAGAAACCTTCTCCTGGTCAACGCCTTCGTCGAAGAGATAATTGACGGAGTTCTCGTGGTTGTTCGCAACAGCAAAATCCAGTACAGAAGCATGCTCGCAATCTTCAGCGTCAATGTCGGCGGAGTGATTGACCAGAACACGTGCCAGGCCTACGTCGTCGTTCTCGGCCGCCAAATGTAAGGGAGTCCGGCCCGTGTCGTCAACAGATCTTGATAGTGTCGAACTCTCCGGATGTTCGCGTAGTGTGTCCCTGATCCTAACGATTTGCTCTTCTCGGCACATACATTTCGCCACTTCGTAGTGAAATCGCGTTGGTTCGTCCACATGATTACACCCAACACATGTTTCTGTTTGCAACTCGATGTTTTCCTGCGCAGGGTTCGCTGCTGGAGGGGTTATAGAGGCTGAAATTCCTGTTGGACAACGTGCAACTGTTTCGCAAATAGTTGTGTCATTCGAGATAGATGGACTTAAGATCGTATCGACTCGCTCGTCTTGCGTGATGCGTTGCATCTCTTCGTGTACGCGGAGCGAACTCCCCTGCTCCTTGCATCAGTATTGGATATCAAGAAGATGTGGAAGTGTCTATACCGCAGTGAGTGCGTCGGATATCTGACGATCGGCGACCAAGACATCACTACTCAGGCGTTAGAGTGCCCTCCGGGACCATAGTCTTTTACGTACAGTGCCCAGCAGCTAATACCAGTGTTGAACATGTCCATAAGTAGTTTGATATCTCCAATAATTGTCTCGATATCTGGCCTAGACCAGTCTGACCGGACTTTCAATGTAAACTTTTGGAGGAGCGTGTCTGATCCATGTACAGCAAGTTTCTTTGTTAGGTTGACCACTTCTTCTTGTAGTTGATTGCAAGTAGCGAGTGTTGCGCGAATGAAAGTAAGCGCCCGGTTCGTCGCATTTCCTCCGGCTCCTTCACAGGTTTCAGTCACGAGTGTGATGGTCTCTTGAAGACGATGCAGCGTCTCCACAAGCCTTTTGACCGACTTTTCGACGACGCACACTTCCCTGATGAACTGGATAGTCTTCTCGACCGCCTTACAAGATGCCACAGCTATCTGAATGACAGCTGAAATTGTTTCAGCCATCTCTGACCTGACTGTAAGCACGTAACCGAAATGGGGAGTGACCGGCGCGTTCCGAAGTTCTGAGGTTGTGAGTGCGTTGTATTAGTTGTGTGGTGTGGTGTGAGTCTAGACGGAGAATGAGAAAGTTATGTGCGGGGGTGGCTGGGTTCATATAGGGTACTCACAGCAAGTGGCGAAAGTGTTCAACGTGGCTCAGTGACATTCGTGAAGAATGAGTGAGCGATTACACTTGTCGTCTTTCGTCGTTCAAATAAGTCAGCTTAGTGAACACTCCCTAATAGCAGAAACTTGCATGAGGTTTAATCCGTGCCTATATGTTACACAAGAGGAGTTAAAATGCAAATCAAATAGGTGTGCACGCGGCTAGCAAAATTCCCTGCACACGAAAGCGTTGCAGAACTGTTAGATTGTCTCTCAAGAACAAGCAAGAAAAATAAAATTTTATAAAAGAGGCAGAAAGACAGAACAGATTCGGCTGTATTAGTTAAGCTAAAGTAAAGTTGCTTAACTATGTTGCTTATACATCGTTATCTCTTTTCTAAGACATAGAGTTGCTAGTGTTTTTTCCTATCTTAGTGATTGGGTGTGCGGGGAATTTTGCCAGCCGCGTTGTGCAACACTGAGGCGGAGTCCATGCACGTTCCTGGTTTGCCACACAAAAGTGACAAAGCTTCATAAACTCGTTGTATCTCAGGAGGTCAAGGAATTGATGTAGTTCCAGCTATGTCACCAAAACTAGAATGTGATCGTCATGCACATGATTAGCATCTCAAATGAGGCTTTCAGGAAGGCAGATAGCTGGTGGCCAAGGCAGCTTTCACATCTCGCAAATGCAAGAGGGCGTAAATAAATTGTACGTGTCATGATGTGTTGCTCAGCCTACCGGTAGTGCGTTCATTCGCTTGCATCGTGGTTTGCGGGGTTGCACATTACAACGTACGGAGGGTGTATTTTCAAGGTGGATCTACCACCTAGGAGGGGGTGGCTGGACGCTGCACCCCTTATTTGTTACATGTAGTGACGTGAGCAGGTTGATTTGACAGCAGAAATCTTGGCTGTGGCTGCTGGCTTGCATATGCAGGCTTCACCTTGAAAATACACCCTCCGTACGTTGTACAGCGTGCAGAAAATTAGGCGTCCAGTCACCACTCACCGACAGAAACGCCTTCTAGAGATCGGCAACTCACAGCCTCCACCGCGAAGTCGTCATCCTACTCGGTAGTTAAATTGGAGGTATTTCGTCTTGCGTACTATTATCGTCAGATGTCTCAGCTCGCTCCTGGTAACATTGAATGTAAATCTGGAGTCAGCCTTACGCGTTCGAGACCAACCTAAAAAATATATAGCATGTTACGCCTGCAGCAAGTCGAACATGAGTTTCTGCAAATGGGTGGGCTACGCAAAACAACATCTTAATACTCGCAGTGAGCCACATAGCGTGGAGGCTTCTTACGATGGAGGTGAGTATGCGCAGGACTCGTGGCGAAATTCTAAATCGCTAGACGGCCATTTGTCTTCTTGCAAACTGACACCAGAGTTGACCACCAAACAGCCGAGAAGCGAAGAAGTACTCCAAACCGTAGGTGTTATGTCTGCCACAAGAAGATCGAGAAGAATACAGCAAAGGTTCGTTTATGGCTTAGTCGACCAGAAGTATGCTGTGCTGACGGATGTGAGTAGCATTGACAACCCATTGAAAGCCTACGACGACAGTGTTGTTCACCATAAATCGAATCGCACCGAGCTCGAACAATATGTGCATCAGTTCGCTGAGCGCAGTGAGCTGGGCGATAAATTTGATTTGCTGATCAAAGGTGCACGACTAGCTCGCGATCACGCGGCGGCCATGCGAAGATACGCGAATGTCTTCACTGAGCCCGAAATTGAACTTCTGGACGAAAAGAAAGAACTGGGTCAGGGCTTTTGGAGGCAGTCCAAATTCTTTCGTGCTACTATTGTGACGGCGAGTTTGGGCGGAATGATCCAAGGATGGACTCAGAGTGCCATCAATGGTACCGCTTACGGTATGCCGAAAGATGTCAATCTATGCATCAAGGCTTCAGACGACTGTAAGCCTACAGCTAGCGATCTATGGCAGTTCGGCATGCTGATGGCAATACCTCTGCTGTCCGCCGGGTTGTTTGGGACTATTCTTGCGGATCCACTCCAGGAGAACGTTCTTGGCAGAAGAGGCAGCATAATGCTGTCTTGCGCTATCACCGTTGCCTCGACTATCGGTGCATCTGCGACAGACACGGTTGCTGGACTCGCCGTTTGCAGGATGATGAACGGTATTGCCCTCGGCGCAAAAGCTTCAATCAGTAGGTCGAAAGCATGGCCATAGAAAGATCTCGTTACTGACCCTTGAAGTTCCGATTTACTCTGCTGAGATGTCTCCGCAACATATTCGAGGTGCGATCCTGGCGAACTGGCAACTTGCGGATGCAGCAGGTAAGTTTATGTCTGCCCTCAACCTCAATCCGATTGATGGACTGTTAAGTTGTGTAGGTCTATTCCTTGGTTGCCTAGCAAATCTGCTCGTGGTTATCTACGTCTCCAACCCATCCACTTGTTGGAGGGTACTCACAAACACTGTTCTGATACCGACTGTTCCTTTGCTCATCATGATATACCTAATGCCAGAATCTCCACGATACCTTATGAAGCACGGCAAGTACAGGAGAGCTCTTGAGTCATTTCATCAAATTCAGACCACACCGCTGTTGGCAAGTCGTGATTTTGTCTTGACGCACACTCAGCTAGATCTCGAAAGTCAGCTGTTGAAACGGGATTTTGATGGTATGGATAGTCCCTCGACGGAACCAATCTCGCATCAGCCTTCCCCAGACGCAATAGTCTCGCCAAAGGCTGTTTCGCCAGGCCAACATTTTGAATATGGAGTGACAGCAGGTGCTGGGGAACCAAGAGATAGACATCAACCGCTGTCCTATTCGGATGGCGACGGCCAGGTAGCGTTGGAACTTGGAGAACTCAGTGAATCAAATAACGACTCGATGATAAAGGATCTTGAGAAGGCGTTCCGTCGACTCCAGGCAAAGAATAACCCCTACTCGTATCATATTGGCGTCACCGGGTACTTCGGTCGCATGGCGCAACTCTGGAAAGTGAAGCGGTGCAGAAGAGCGCTCTTATGCGCATCAGTTGCGATGATTAGCCAGCAGCTGACAGGAGTCAACGCAATCGCTGTTCTCGGTACAGTTCTTTGGGAGAGTCTCTTAACACCGCATCCTCCCGACGACAAGCTTGTTGTACAGGATCCGGCAAGGAATGCGAAAGTTGCGGCGATAATCGGTCTCGCATTCGGTGCAGCGAACTATCTTGGCGGTCTTCCGGCATACTGGTTGTCAGACAGAATCGGCCGCTCTATCATGCTGGCGTTGGGCCTTCCGAACTTGGCATGGACAATGCTGGTATTGGCGTTTATGTTCAAGATCGCCGATCGCGCGGTGCGCATTCCTATGGTCAGCGTCTTCGCGGTTATCTTTGTTCTTTTCTACGCTCCCACCGCAGGCACTTCACCTTTCTCGATTGCGGCTGAAGTGTTTCCACTAGTCACCAGGGAAGCTGGAATGGCTGTATCTGTGGCAGTTAATCTACTAGGTGCTGGGATGCTCGTACTGGTATTCCCGTTCGTGCTCAACAACATTGGTCCGACAGGCGCGCTATCCATTTTTGCGGTGCTGAATGTTGTGGCGTTCTTGCTGGTGTACCTCTTGTGCCCAGAGACAAGAATGCGCAAGCTTGAAGAACTGCAGGACACTTTCGACTTATCCACCTGGTGGCACATAGAGTACCGTGCAGTGTATGTCCAGGAACATCTTAGGAGTAATGTATGGAACTATCTTAGGGGAAAGCACGTCAAGCCGCCCTTGCCCTTTTATCGATGGGCTGTCATATTCCATGGCGATGGGGTTATGAACTCTCAATCGAAGTCCAATTGTCCGGAAGCTTGAACGACATATTGATCGGAGAGAATATAGTGGATGGAAAACAGTATGTGTTCTTCATTATCCTGGAATGCGGCGTACAAGCTCACGGCAGAACCATCATTAACTAGCATCATTGGGTAGCGTTATGTCTTTTGGTCTCGAACTGCATAAAGTTACGAAATGAATGATTATCTACAATTTCACTATGCTGTGCTGTCAACAGCTTTTCCATCATGTGTACCCATGATTGACTTACTTGACATCGACGCCAATAGTTCTCGTCCCCAAGGTCGTGAATGCGAACTCGAATTCACGACTCATCATCGCCACCGACCTCCCTTCTCCTTCCTCAACTCATCCAATTGTTCTCTAATCCGCCTCAATTCCAGCCCATGCTGCTTGTGCGTCTCATCCAACAATCTCGCATGCTCTTTTCTCAGGTTCTTGAATTCCTCGTCCAATTGCTCGTGCCACGGGTACAAGACCAAGACTTGGAAGGAGAGTGCTGAAGTGCCAATGATGAAGTTTGTGAGAGAGAAACCGCGAGAGAACCACATCCTATGGGTTGAGACAAGGGTATGTTGTATACGTGAATCTTATGGTTGATGATTTTAGTGCTGTTGTCGTAGGCCAAGGTTGCAGTGCGGCTTGGTCGAGCTGCTTTTGTGACGATTTAATTGTTTTATACACCTCCCAATGGAATGTTGTTGAGATAGTGCAGATGATGGAAGCAGAGCCGTTAGGTGAGTCGTTTCGAGAATCGTGGGTAACTGTCCAGAGCGAAGGTAATCTGGTGTCGCAAGATGGTTGTGAGAATGCTCAGAGGTAATCGCCCGATTTGTGCGACATCGCGAACATATATAGCAAACAGTCACATGCACGTCTAGGACCCAGCGTAGTCCTCAAGCCCAGTTCCGAACCATTCCCAGCAATTTCGTGAGGCTTCAAGGCTAAAAGTGGCATGATCTCTTTGTGGATTAGGCCGATCTGGAGCTAGCACTGAGAAACATCAGACCATATGCGCAGCTTCTGAAAGTCGCGGCCCACAAGTCGAAACGAGCGGCAATAACCTAAAGGGGCGTCAAGAGAACAAAGAGGAGATGACTGTGGTAGATATCATGATGTGTCTGCGTACTCTCGACTACTCTCGAGACCTTCTCCATGTTCGCGATACGTTCAAACACAAACACACATATACTAATGAATGACCCCCAAGCGACATTCACACACATTAGTACAATATATCGAGATCACCGTCAATTTGGATTACGATCTCCCTTATATGCATCCGTCGCAGCAGGTATATACAGTCACGAGCCGCGCACCGAGCTATTGGTCGATCGGTATTTTGGTCGCGACAGCATCTGCCTCTACGACGATTCAAACGCCGCGATTGGATCATCAGATGCAAGTTCTTCTGCAATGATTGACTCCATATTGTGTTGGTCGAGAAACCTCGCAATGCAGCCCTGTACTATTTTCCAGCAGCAGAAATTTACGAGAAAGATGTTTGCACTCACATGTTTCTTCTTCAAATATCAGACTTGACACGATCTCAGCTGGCAGGTCTTGAGGCGCACTCAGAATGCCAATCAGACTGACCAAGCTGCTGGGAGTCCCAGTTGGGGTGCGTTACGTAGTTGCGACCGCTTGTTGCGCAGAGCGCTGCTGCGATTGTTTTCTGTGAGCAAAACGCGAGGAGATCATCTCAGGATGCGATTCACCTGGATCGCGAAACAGCTCATTCCCCCTATCCCTTGCTTCAGAATTGTTTTGTCCTTCCACCCACGCAGCTCTCCGCTCAAAGACGCTTCAAGGCTCTTCTTGATCGCGCTCCAAGCAGTTACTCCGGCAGTCGCACCTTTTACACCTGTCAAATGCTGCAGTGCCTCGATATCGCTTGTTGGACAAAACTACTCATTCTTGCGAGAGACCTAGCTGGATCAGAGCTTCCCTGGCAGAAAACAACTATCGTGCGTAGATCACGTACCGTCTGAGCCTGCTGTGCTAAACACCATACTGGAGTCCAATTTCTTGACGTCACCTGACAGCCACTCCTCAGGGTGCAACAGCAGCCTCGTCCCTTCGCAACTAGTCCACTGGAACGAAGGATTTGCGATGTGGATAATACCCGCACCTCCAGAGCATGTAACGAGGTGTGGTTCGTGCTTGTCTGGTCACCCGTCGGTGCCAAAATACTTCGGCTAGCCTGTAACCTCGATAATTGAGTAATGTGGCGCTCAGGTGGAATCGTACTCGGTGAGGTCCTGCGCCGAGGATAGGGAGAGAGCTTTCTACGAAGTGGGTGCGTGGGTGAAGGCGCGGATTGTCTCAGGACAGTACAATTGAAAAGTACAGTTAGAGATCAAATAGAATACTAGATGTAGATTAGCCATTTTTTCTGCTAACAATAGTTTTAATTAGAATATTTAGTACTACTTAACCTATACATATTATTTACTACTTAACTATTTAAGTTATCCTATATATTATAAATTTATATTATTATTATTATTCTCTTACTAAAATATTAAAATTATTACCTATTATTATCTCTAGTAGTCCTGCTAATCTATCTAATTTTAAGCTTAATAAGCTGCCTATATATACCTTAGTTATTATACCTATAGCTAAACGCCTTTATTAAGCTTATAAAAAGTTATATAAATAGCTACCTTTGCACTTAGGCTATAGTATTATAAATAGCCTTTATAGCTATAGTATTATAGGTAATATACTTACCTACTAATTTATCTTATCTTATTTACTACTATTAACGCCTATTACTATTACTACTAATAATAATAGTAGTAATATATATTACTCTTTAAGTCTACCCTAGCTTAAATTACTATTACTATTACTACTACCTCTACTATAATTATATTAGGTACTAGATTATTACCTATATTCTAATCTTATAGTATATATTAGCTACGTAATTAATAAGCTACCTACAGCCTATCTATATATACCTATAGATAGAAAGTAGTTTAATACATTTAATAAGGCCTTTAAGTATATATAGAATTATATATTTTATTATAGTTTTATTATTATTATTAAGTTATAATTAATATATTAAAATAAGAAAAGAGTAATTTTATAGTATAAGATATACTACTAAAGTACTTATAATACTTAAAAGCTTAATTTAATTACTATAATAAAAAGTAATTATACTTATAATATAATAAAAGTATACTAGATAGGCTATAAGTATTCTATCTATATTACTTATAAAAAAATTAAGCGTTCTAGTACTATATAAGCTTAGTTTATTAAGGTTAGTTTTTTAAACTATACTTATTAAATAGCTCTAAATTAATTAAGTTTTTTAGCTTACTAGTACTGTATACCTAGGTACTATAAGGTAGTATAAATTACGTAGGGCTTATAGGTAATATATAAATTATTTACTACTATAAAGAGGTAATTAAATATATATAAGCTTAAGGTTTTATAGAAGTTCTACTATAACTTTAGCTATAACTAACTTAAAATTCTAGATAGAATTATTAGCTAGGACTATACTTTAAAAGGCCTTAAATACGCTCTTTATAGTACTAGATCTTAGTATAAAAGTTACTATACTTATACTATTAATAAGTCTAATTAAGCTATTATATAAAACCTCTAGTAAATTATATTCTAGCTAAAGAAATAATAGGTATTTACAGCGTAATTTATAGTAGACTTTTTATATTAAATTAATACTATATTTAATATAAATTATAACTAATTACTACTAGGTATAGAAATAGCTATTTTAAGTACTAGCTAGAGCTTCTTTCCCTACTTTATATTTATTAAGAGTAAAAGTAAAAAAGATATAAGGTTCTTTATAAAAGTTAATATTAATAATATATAAGTAGCTTAGCTAGAACTAGTTATTAGGAACTTTAGTAGAGAGCTTAAAGCTATACTTTATAACCTTATAATTTTACTATAGTACTATTAGTAGTACGCTGCTAAGGTAATAAAGAAATGTATTAATAAAGGCGTATAAACTTAAGCTTAAAGTAGTAGTTATACTACTAATAAAAGAAGCTAGCTAAAAGTATTATAGTAGCCTTACTTTAAAGCTACTACTACTAACGTTCTTAATAAGTATTATATAGTAATTTTTAACTATTTATATAATATTAATTAAGCTTAGTTTTAGAGTATATATATATACTATAAGAAGTAGTTAATAGCTATCTATATTAGCTAGCTCTTTAACCTTAGCACTATAGCTACTTAATAAAGAGAGGGTATAAACGCTAGCTTAAAGGTATTTATATACTACTAAATATTAATTAAAGCCTCTATTAGTATAATTTAATTATAGACTAGTATAAAGATAAAAGAGCTTATAGATAAAGAAGCTACCTCTAAGGCTTTACTACTATACCTAATTATACTTAATTTTATATAGAAATACTTTACTATAATTACTAGTAAAGTAATATATTATATACTATTATAGATGCTTTAGGCTATATAGTTAGCTATTATAGTAATGCTAGAAGAAACTTAAATTTAAGCTTAAAAGTAGTAGTAACGTAGTAATTATTAGTATAAAGATCTAGTATAATTTAGGCTACCTTATTACTATATACTAGTATATTTATACTACTAGAAGAAGCTAATTCTGCTTATACTTATATACCTATAATAGCTACTTATAAGAGCTATTAATACTGTAGGTAGCTTATAAAAGCTAAGTTATATAGGTATACTTATATACTCTAATATATAAAATCCTGCCTCTAAAATAACTACGTAATTATAACTATTATTATTATAGCTAATTTAGTTTATAAAGTTTCTTCTACCTAATAATATAGCTATACTTACCTTATATATAAAAGGCTTTTTTAAGAGCCTTTATAATAAAACTTCTTACTATATTACTATATAATTACTACTATCTACTATACTATTTAAAGTACCTAAAGCTTTCTAGTAGTAGCCTTTTTTAGTTAAAATATATAGTAAAGTAAACTAAAAAGAGCTTATAAGTATAGAAGTAGTAAAATAAGTAGTTAATACTTTACTATGTAAGGTTATATAACTATTAAGTAATAAAACTAATAATAGTATATTATCTAGTATAGTATATAATACGCTGTAAAGTCTATAGAAACTTATATATAATAGTAAGGCTATTAAGATAGAGCTACCTAAGTAAGTACTTATACTTAAGCCTATACCTAAGTCTATACTAAAGCTTATACTAGAGCCTATACCTAAGCTTACTTAAGGCTCTACTTAAGAAATATATAAGTTTATAAAGTAATACTAAAGGCTTTAGTAGAGGCCTTATTAAATATATATAATACTTACTTATAGTAACTTTAATAAGCTTAAAAGGGCTATAAGTAAAGTAGTACTACTAAAAAAGTATAAGTAGCCTACTAAAATACTTAAAATAATACCTCTAAAGTTATCTAAAACGCCTATTAAATAGTATATAAAGGGTAAGTAAGTTATATATAAGATTAATAAAGCTATATATAAGTTATATAATAAATAGATAGTAGTTAGGCTAGTAATTATAGTACTAAACTTACTACCTCTTATAGCTATATTATAACTCTTAATAATATAATTTTACTATTTTAATACTAGAAGGTATTTTAGTATACCTATTTTAGTAATTATATAATATAAAATTCTAATTTTTCTAGTATTATAGTATTAAAGTTTATAGGTAGTAGTCCTTCTAAATTATTCTAAATATCTTATTCTTTTACCTATTTAACTTCTATTTTTACTTTACTATTACTATAATACCTATAACGCTAGGCTGCTTTATATAGCTTATTTAGTATTATTTTATATATACTACGTTTAGTAATCTATTTATTAATCTACTAGGCAGTTTATATATATATATATAATAAAGATTACTACTAATTATTATTAAAACTTTAATCTTAACTATATAAAAGTAGTATCTCTAGTAAGGCTAATTAGCTAAAAAGAGTCCTTTTATAGGCTAAAGAGAGAAAAAGTAATAGCTTAAACTAGGTATTCTACCTATAAGAGAGTTATACTTAAAATAAAAGGTAAGGCTATATATTTTTAAAGTTTTTTTTTATAGGTTAAAAGTTTAAATTTAGGTTAAAGTAATCTATTAATTCTTATTAATTCTTATAAGTTAGTATTAAAAATATAGTATAAAATTAATTTTTAGAGGAGTAAAGGAAGATTTAGTAGTAATAGCCTATATAAATAATTCCTATTACATAGATTCTTAAGATTATGTAGATATTGCGCTAGTACTTAAAATAGAAGCCTATCCAAACCGTACTTTTCAATCGTACTGTCCCGAGACCATCCGGTGAAGGCGAGTGGGTGAATATCGTCCACACAGTCGAGATGTGCGATTGAGTGGTGGCAAAGATCTTGTACGTTTTATCTCTCTTGGCTGAACTCGGTCGCGCTATTGCCTTGCTGATTCAAGCTTTGTATGGCGATCTTGTAGTGCATGTTGCACTTCATGATTGATTTTTAGGCTTGTTGATTGCTACGTTGGAAGAACGCATCGATACAACCACCAGTTCGCAGTTGGCCTCGCGATAATCCGGTAACATGATCGCACTTTGGAGATGACACAAATTACCAGATTCGTTCGTTACTAACAGGCATTGAGCGACTTGCGCTCCTATCGCAATGTCAAGTATAGTGTTGATTGGTGGTCAGATGCGACTCTCCATCGAAGTTACCCAGCACATTAGTCTGATGATACGAGAAAGCATTGCATTGGCCTAGTTCGAAACATGGCCCGTTTGGACATACTGAGAAGTTTCGAAATAGGTGGAACGATGGAGAGCACTACCTAGGGACTCTTCGCGGATTCCCCGCTTGTCAATGGCGCTAAATTATCTGCTCACGTTTCGCTGGATTCACCGGCTACCCCCTTCTCCACGCATCGATCACAAACAAGACAATCTTCATCAATGTCTTTGGCTCGCCACCAAAAAAGCGAAATCTGTTGCTGATCGGGACATATTCGTTGCCACTATCATTAGCTCCAGGACGACCCAGCTTGAAGGCCAAAGTTCGCTGACCTAGCCACGGCTCAGCGCTGTAAGATCCCTTGCTCGCGTTGAAAAGCTGCAGCACACAATCAAACTAGCTTGGATTGTACAGCGTACAGTTCATCGAGTTTTGAGCGGTTGATACAAAAGCTAGCACTATGGTTGAGTTCCGGGATTCAGTTCACAGAGTAGCGCCACCCTTGCACGTTCAGTCCATCTCGAACGAGCCCTTAGACGTCAGACTGGCGGCCATACGTCAAGCTATAGCAGCAGAGGAAAACCCGAACCAACTGGGAGGTTGGAAAAATCCTGGTGTTGCCCGCCCACTGCATTATGCGATAGATGATTCTGCGCAGCACGATTACAAGCAACTCAAGCAGAACCTCCCTGTTATAGAGCTGCTTATCAAGGCAGGTGCTGATCCAAGGCTTCCGGATTTGCAGCCTGGGCGTCGGTCACCGATTCAGAAACTTGATTCTTGGTTTAAAGCATATAATGAGAGCCACTCGAGTTGGGCTACGGAGGACCTTGAGTTGTACCCTTTTTACAAGGCTGCATTACGGATAATGAAAAAAACAGCAGCTGAGCTCGATGGTAGGTCTGGATCGCTTACATCGAGCAGTTCACTGTTAACGCGTGGTCACAATAGCACAGGACAAAATACAAAATCAACAGGCTCTTGAAGAGAAAGAGCCTGCTCGTTCCACGTCGTGGTTTGTCATGATGAAATTCTGGTAGCTGATAAGAACTCTAAACTCAATACCTAGGTGAACATAGCTGTTTATGATCAGTTCTACAGCCCAGTTGATGAGGCTGACGAAGCTTCGCGATAAGGCGCGAGTCGCCAAGCCGCTAGTCAAGTAAAGGAAACCCGCCGTATCCTTCCTCACATCTCTCTACATTGGTAACGAATGAAGAACCACATCAGTGTATTGAGTTTCTTTACGTGATGGTGACGATTCCTCGTGTCCTCGTGGATTTTGCACCAAGCTCGACGATAGACGATTGCATTCTGCGAGTTACAAAACCAACCCTACCCCACCTTAGCCGCGACAGCTTACAGCAGCTTACTCGACGAGATCGATGATAGCTCAGGCCACCCATCTTATGGTGGTACCACATAATCGTCAGATAGTTTTCGGGATTCTCGCATGACCCTGCCGATACAATCCCGAAATCATCTGACAATCTTGTGCATCAGAGGAACAGTAAGCAGCAGGTAGTCGAGGTAATCATTGCCGAAAATGGGTGAATCTACGGCACACTTATTTTTTTCAAATGGTCAGTGGTCTGATAGGGTGGCCTGTCGCACTGCAGCGGGATTTTGCAGCTAATCAAACAGAGCAAATGCACAAAGATTATTATAATCTCTATCCAGGTGCTGAAATGGCCGATTATGATGTAGGTCAATGTCTAGATAGTAGTAGCGCTTACATTGTTATCAATATTGTGTGTTAGTCTATTATTTCTTCAAACAACTTCCCTTGAGTTAGTCATCACGCCGAACCCATATAGATCCTGACCGGTCCAACATCAAGTTAAGTCTGGAGCTGGATTGATCATTATATCATCTTTCTGCTATTTCTTATTCAACAACACTCAGTCTAGTTATGTCCATTGACACGAAAGGTTTCCCTGGAAGCGACATGTTTCTTATTTTTGTCACATGCGTTGTTTCCTTGCTGTTGCTGCTCTCATTCATCAAACTCATTTACTTCTCGCTTTACTGGGGTACGAACGGTTCCTGGAACGAGTTTGGATCAGCTAACAGCTCGCAATCTCCGCTACCTGGAATAACTGACGAAAACATCCCACGTCTCAGTCGTCACCCATCTCTAATCAGACCGGAGTATGATGTAGTTGTCATAGGCTCTGGATATGGCGGTGGTGTTGCAGCATCGCGGATGGCAAGAGCTGGGAAGAGCGTCTGTTTGCTCGAGCGTGGCACCGAAATATGGCCTGGCGAGTTTCCCCACACGCTAAAAGCAGCTTTGCGAACGCATCACGTCACGGACAGATCTTTCGGCCAAAATTGGAGCGTAGGCAACAAATCTGGCCTCTTCCAAACGACGAAAGGTGAGGGACAAGACGTCTTCTCCGGGTGTGGATTGGGTGGTACCAGTCTGATCAATGCTGGAGTGTTCCTCCGAGCAGATGAAAGAATTCTCAGAGGAGGATCTTGGCCAATTGAATTTCGTGAGACAGACGGCATTTTGAATCAATGTAAGTTTCCTTATTTAGGGTGTATCAAACAGACGTAATTGCTTACAGATGTAACGAGGGTAGATTATGAAAGAGCAGAGTGGATGCTACAACCGAGTCCATACCCAGAAGCAATGCTTAAGCCACGCAAGTTGTCGACTTTTGAGGCTCAAGCCAGCAATATCAATCTCCATGACTGCTTCTATAGACCGCCGTTGACCACGAGCTTCGAACACTGTATCAACCATGCAGGAGTACGGATGCGGCAATCCTTAGGGTCGGGCAACGAATGCACTGGAGTAAATGACGGATCCAAATTCTCGGTACTTGTGACGTATCTTGCTGATGCCTGGAATTGGGGCACCGAGATCTTTTGCGGTATTGATGTCAAGTATCTGCGGAGGAACAACACAGAAAAAGGGTATGTGGTGTTTTATGAGGTGATGGATGCCAGCAAGAAAAAGAAACATGTGATGTGGGTTCGCGCAGTAAGTACCCACAACTGTACACTAAATCTGGGGTTTGGTAATGACGTGTTTTGTAGAAAGAACTTGTGTTCCTCGGAGCAGGTGCTTTGGGCACCACTGAGATTCTACTGCGCTCCCGCACGCACGGGCTCTCGACATCACCCCTCCTTGGGCAAAGGATCTCCGGTAATGGCGATCTTTTGGCCTTTGCTTACGATTGCAACCGCAGTATCAACGGCGTAGGTCGTGAATCAATATCGACTCCGCTCTCAAAACAGTGTGGTCCAACGATTACTGGTTGCATCGACCTTAGGTGCCCCACAACGACACCGGATGCTAATGATGGTTTTGTGGTTCAAGAGGGCGTGGTACCAGAAGCACTGGGTTCAGCTATACAAGCGATTCTTGAGACTCAGATGTCTAGTGTCCCGTCTCCGAAGTACAAGACTTCAAGCCAAGCAATCGCAAGGGCAAAAAGTTGGCTACTCGGTCCGTACTGCGAAGGTGGAAGTGTCAATCGGACAGCAGTTTATCTGATCATGTCCCATGACGAGAATGAGGGAACGCTCGGGATAAAAGACGACAAGTTTACTTTGCAATGGTCAGGCATTGGTGCGGAACAAAGATGTCGCAAGGTCAATGATTTGCTTGCCAGTGCGACGGCTAGTATTGGTGGAACGCTCATCAACATGCCATGCATCACGGTTCATCCTCTAGGAGGTGTTTGTATGAGCAGCGACAATACAGGTTATGGTGGTGTAGTCAACCAGCTAGGCCAACTATACCAAGGACAGGATGACGAGGTATATAAAGGCATCATCTGTGTAGATGCATCGATTATCCCGACATCACTCGGTAAGTGGAGTCCATCCCATATGTACACAAGATTATAAGCTGACGGCTACTGGGCATTAACCCATGCGCAACTATCACAGCTCTTGCAGAGCGTTCTTGCGATATTATCATACGTGACCGTGATTGGAAGGCGAATAATCGTGACAATGGGATCCTTGATTTTGGCGGAAAGCCTCATATAACCTTACCGGCGTCGTCAGATCTGCAGCTGAGAGCACAGCAAATACAACAGGTTACTACAACGGCAGGTCTTCGTTTCGATGAGGTGTTGCAGGGATTTCTACGGGTTTCGGACGATGATCTCGATTTCGAAACTGCAAGTAAAGTAGCGGAACAAGCGTCAAGCACGGCACAACTGTCCATCACAGTGAGCCTACATCGGCTCGACCAGGGCTCTTACAAAGGTTTCGCGACTGGAACACTTTCATGCGGCGCATTATCACAAGATCCGCTTCTGATCACCCGTGGGTTGGTGAGGTTCTTTACCGCTGACGCAGGTGTGTCTGATGCAGTTAATTTGATATACGACCTAGATCTGCTGAGCACACTTGGTAAAGCATACTCATTCCAGGGTTACAAGAGGATCGACTCTAGCATTGCATTCTCGGCAACAAAAACGTGGATTGCAACTACCACTCTCTACACAACGATAACTCAGGACAAGGCCATAGTTGCGAGAGGCATCTTGCGAGTAACACCTCAAGCGTTGATCAACGAGCTCCAGACCCTTCGGTGCGACCATGATGTCAACATAGCACAACGTGTCTACACGAAAGTGCGCTTTCTGAGATTCTTCGCCTCCAACATAGCATCCTACGTGCTTAGCCCGTTCCGGCCTCTCCAGTATCCTACTTCTAGAGCTGATAAGACTGGTCACTTTATGAAGGCCAATTCATTCGAGACTTGGATCACAGCTTCTGATGGAGTACAATTTCGCATCAAAATGTGGGAGCCTCTGCCGGATGCAGGTCTCAAGAAAACACCCATAGTCCTGATTCCGGGCGCGTCGGTCGACGATCAGATCTTTTCTCTTCCTACAATACCCATGAACACAATCGACTACTTCACGGTGCGAGGTTACCGCTGCTATGTCCCAGTTCTCCGCTTTGGCATCGGCCATGAAGCGAAGAACGGGTGGACGGTATTTGATGCACGACTTGATGTGAAGGCTGCTTTACAGTATGTTCGGAAACAAGAGAACGATAGGAAAGTCTATGCAATCGTGCACTGCCTGGGAAGCATTGCGACGGCGACCGCACTGCTGCATGGCGACGTGGAAGCGAGCTGGTTTTGCGGGTTGACTTGCAGTCAAGTCTTCACTGATCTGATTTACAGCAAAGACAATAACTTCAAGGCGGGGCACCAAATTTTAATCAAGGCGTACAGGGTAAGTCACGAACTCTGGACTTGACGAGTGCATCTTTCGTTGACATCTCACGCTAGGCAATTGCGGGAAATTGGTTTCCCTGTCACTCCACCCCAGCAGGTCGATGGCTCCAATACCTCCTCGATCAGATGTTGCGGTTTTACCCCGTTGGTGCGGCTGGGGAAATGTGCAACTCATCAGTTTGCCACCGCTGCGATGTTCCCTTTGGTCGTTGCTGGAATCACGACAACCTCAACCATGAGACGCATGTTCTTCTGGGCGACTTCTTCGACGGCATTCACATGGACTTTCTCACGCATCTTTCAAAAATGGGTGTAATGCCTTCTCAGCATTTGCGTAGCAATCTGCCAGAGTTCGTTGATCTTGTTACTCCAGACAATGTGCAAAGGCTCGCCGGACTTAGGGTTTGTTTCCTAAGTGGAGGCGACAACGCAGTCTGGCAGCCAGGGGCTACAAAGAGGAGTTTTGACATGTTGAAAAAGGCATTCCCAAACATGAACTACGAGCGAATTGTGATACCAAGCTATGGCCATTTGGATTGCTGGATGGGACTGAATGCATGCAAAGACGTGTATCCAAGAGTTGAACACCATGTCAAGTCTTGCGAACTCGGTTCGCCTCGGGCTACGAACACCCTACTGGTAATGAAGATGAGAGAAAATAACTATGTAGAAATTATAGGTTGCGACTAACAAACGTGAAGCTTTCTGTAACATAGAATACTTCATTTGTATCTTGTTTATTCTACACTTATTTTACAGTTTCAACCTAGTATATTCTCTTTAAACCCCCAGATGCATTAGTTCGTGCATATCTGCGATATTGATGCTGAACCTCTGCACCGTTATCGAAAGAGTGGTTTCCATCCTGTTCATCTGGGGGATCGCCTGAAAGATAGCAGGTACAGAATCATGCACAAGTTAGGCTGCGGTGGCTACTCGACAGTATGGGCCGCAAGAGATCAGAGGTATCGTCTTTCGCTGCGCCTTGACGGATGCTAAGCTTATATGTTGCCAGAGCACAAACATATGTCGCCTTGAAAACCTTGGTTTCGGAAGGAGAACAACAAAATCGAGTCTAAAGTTTTGAGTGCTGTGGCAGCACATCGATCAGAAAACCCTGGCTTTCACCATCTTATGTCCATCCTAGATCACTTCGAGCTTGATGGTCCAAATGGTACTCACGACTGCCTTGTGCTTGAATTACTCGGGCCAAGTGTCGCTGACGTACTTGATGCGCGCTTCCGCGGCGAGAGACTTCCAGGAAAACTTGCAAAACACATCGCGAAATAAGCACTCCTCGGTTTTAATGACATGCACGAACAAAGGATTGGACGTGGAGGTATATCACAGTTTCCCTGCTTTCTATATGACTTCGCAAATGCATGCAAATCTGCTCATTCGCAAAATAGCATTTATTATCCCTTCCATCCACTCCTCAAGTGAAGATCAGTTTTTCCAGCAGCTGAGAAACCCCGGAACGAGCATGATCAGAAGGAATGACGGAAAACCACTAGAGCCCAGCATGCCCAGATATCTCGTGAACAGTACTGTTTGTCTGGCAAATTTCTCATCCTCATCCCATACGATCAAAATTGTTGATTTTGGGGAATCCTTCTTGGGTCATGACATTCCTGATTCGTTCCACACACCGCTCCCTGTTCGAGCGCCGGAGATCGTATTTGGAGATAAGCTGAACTATCGCGTAGATTTGTGGAGCATGGGATGCATGGTAAGTTCAGATTATGAGGAAAAGCAAACAGACGCTCAGCATCGTTGCAATCTCGACTAAAGGGGAAACTGATATTCATAGGTAGTTATTCGAGCTTTTTGTTGGCCAGCCTCCATTTGATAGCTTCATGACAACGCCTACAATACTTGTCCGCCAGATGCTAGAGATGGCCAGTGACGAGCTGCCCAAGCGTTGGCAGCCAGCATGGGACGTCATGAATAGCGTGTCACCCGACGACAGATCTGATTACACGCTCCAAGGATGGCTAGAGGAAGTGTACTTTGATGGAGAGAGAGACCAATATTTCAGTCGGGAAGATATACTCGAAGTTGGTAAGCTTATTTAAAAGCTTCTCCGGTTTGAGCCTTCAGAAAGAGCGTTATCTAGCAACATTTTGGAGAATCTATGGTTACAAAAGGATTGACCGAGGTACATAGAAATTTGCTACTGGTAAGATATATGTCAGTTTAAGCATGGTTGTCAGAAAACATGGTCTTCTCTGTTCTATACAATCTTGCAGAGTACTGGATTTTATACTGAATTAGGGACCAGAGAAGGTAGAACGCAATGACCTTACTATTCGATCCGAGACTATGTAAGTTTTCCCATGCTAGTACATGGATCAAACTGTAGTTTGTGGAGATCATCAATTTTAGAGGATACTATGATTCCTTTGTCCTCCCACTTAGTTATCGCTAATAGTAACTCGAGTCTTACCCCATCTAAAGTCATCAAGATGATATAACGAATATAGATGTATAATCACAGTCACTGTCTGGCCGACGGTACTGCACATAACAACACCAATGAGGCATTGTACAACCTCAGTCAATGATTTCGAAGATTTGAAGACAACCAATATGTCCCAGATATTGCGGAATCTTCCCAGCATGAATAATATGAAGCCGGTACGTACATCTAAGTTTTCCCCTAAGAGTTTTGTTATAAGTTTCTACCTTCAATGAGCAGGGTACATGATCATGGTATACATACTGAAGAGAAAGCAAAGCGAATGAGACAGTGTAACACTCCAGCTTATCACTGATGAGGTTGCAGCGATTCTTTCAATGTAGCCAGTCGATTTTCGAGTTGCGAGGAGAACGTCGCTTGTAACGGGGCCCAGGGTCCACCGACGGCGTTGGCTGAGGAATACGGAAAAGGATTGCGGGACGGAAGTGTATGCCAGAGCAGAAAGACATTGGCGAGTTTCCACATCAGCGTTTTCGCGTAGAACCAGGCAGACATGGTCTCTATCCTCACTCATCATGGATCGAATCGTTCGAAAGAGACCATCCTTGTTGTTTGGGTGATATCCAAATTGACGGAGTATCTCGTCTCCGCAAGTACTCTCAACGACTCGAAGAAGCTGACAGCATCCTGGAAGGCAAGTGACTTTGTGACTCGTAAGATTCTGGCGGAGTCGGCGACGGTGCTGACCAATGGCGTATTCTGCGTTCTGATACAAATGCGCAATGGAAAATGGCTTAGATGTCGTCAAGTCCACGAGAATCTGGCCTGTTACTCCAACAACCTGGTTGCCTTCTCTTGCAATTTGCATAAGATTGAACGTACACTCTGCGTCAAATCGAGTGTCTGCGTCCATGCCAACAACATATTCAACGGAAGGCATCGAAGCTTGGATGAGAAAATTACAGAATTTCGTGAAGAAACCAAGCGAAAAAATGCCTAATGGAGAGTCCAAATTGCGCTGATTGAACTTGTGGAGGCATGATCGAACAAGAATCAGGCTGTCTCTTTTGCCTCGATTTTCTTCTTTGATGATGCAAAAGACGGGAAGGCTTCGGAACCGGCCTTGCACGATCTCGACATCCATTTGGGTACCATCCCAGGACGTGTAAGCATCCTGGAGGGGGGTGCAAGAGGGATGCTCAACAATGTTTTCTGTTAGGTACTCCGCCGTGGTCTTTGTCATACCTCTTCCCCTGAATCGGCCATCGCAGATGATGATGATGACCTTGTTATGCGCGTTGAGATGTTTCTGCTCAGCAAGCGAGTTTAAAGAGTTTCTTAACTCTTCATAAGTTTCGTTGTAACAAGGAAGCAGATAGGCTAGGTTTTCCAGCGTTTGTGGAACTTCTGGCATGCGCGGGTTTGCTCGCCTAAACGCATATAAAATTATGATCGCTAAGATCTCCAAGCAATCCAGAAGCGGTCGGTGAATAGTTATTGGAAGTAAAAACCAGTAAAACCTCGAAAACGACCTGGAAAGATAGATAATGATGAGACTAGAAACAATCATTAGCTCCTGCAGAAAAGGCTTTTTTGTAAGTATCGGTGGGCCTACTTGACAGCGAAAATAAAAGAAAGAAATATATATTTCTCGAATCGTAAACGTCGCAAATTAACAGAGGGAAGATGTTCGACAACTGTGCGCAGGCTTCGAGAGGAGAAGGAAATTCTCCTCTTCGTGAGGTTGATGGAAGGGGTGTTGTAGCTATTGGTCACGAGACCAACAGTGATCGTGGGCTTGGCTATGTCCATTTCTCCTTTTTACACTGGCATGAAGAATATGAAAAGACTTACTGATAGTAGGGTCAATGGTCTTTTAAAGATAAGAGGTAACTTCCATGAGGGGGCGGAATCGAACAGACATCTGTTCACTGTACAAGGAGGGCCGAGATGAACATCGAATGCTCCACAAGACATCAAGCTGCCCCTGACAAGATGTAATCAAACCCCTCAACTTTATGATCAAATAACGCCGAAAGAGTACATGTTGGGGGAACTAAGGCTATAATTCCGCCGACGCGTAGATCTTCATATGATCTCAAAAACTTCTCCTAACACAACTTCCTTGTTTGATTGAAAAGACGCCGCTCCTACTACTGGACAGCTCACAATCATTGAGTTTTATTGAGACTTCATCGCCGCTATACAATTCTATTCAACGAAAGTTATATGATCCTGGAAAAGATGGGTTCTGAAACTAGTAAGCAAGTCTTGTATGCGCATTGACATACGCCTGAAACCATGATAGTAATAAGCCTTTCTTTGGCATGAGGTTTTAATTTGCTCGAAGTATTTCTACACAACTTTCATGACTAGTCCATGCGTAACCTACAGTCTTGGCTCATTCATTTGTGGTATGACCGAATTCCAAGCCCCCGGATACCGAACTACAAAGATGCCCGAGAATACTACCGACTGAAAACCTTGATGTAAACGATTGCTATATAACCTGCTATTTTTGTTGAACTTCTAAGAGCTGTGGATAAATTCTTCAATACTTGCGTACTTGAATTCAGACCGCGTACACCATCTCGCCAATATTGCAGGATACTCAACCATTTGGTGTCCCCCTGATAATTGCCATGGTCTCAACCAAGTCCCGACATACATGTTCTTCGGCACTTGTATCCACAAGTAGCCTGAAGGAGTCAAAGGGTCTTCCGATTGTTGCAGTCATTGGAGTCGGCTATGTCGGAGCTCATCTGGTTCAAGCTTTTTCCTTGTCACTTGACGTAATCGGCTACGATATATCATGTACGAGAATACAAAAGCTGATTTCTGAGACCCCCCGGTCGAACCGCGTCACATATTCGAACAACGTTGAGAGCTTACAAAGTGCCCATCACTTCCTGATATCAGTACCAACAAGTTTGGAGACTGATAACAGCATTGATCTTTCTCATTTGGAAAGCGCACTCGAGATTGTGCAGCGGTACGCACGCCGGGGTTCAATTGTTGTCATCGAGAGCAGCGTTGCTATTGGGACAACTCGAAGGCTCCTAGAACCACTTGCCAGGACTCGTGGAGTTTTTGCGGGAATGTCTCCAGAAGTATGTACATTGAACCGGCAACCTTCGAATCCCCGTCACTGAGAAATATTCTGACACATTACAACAGCGAATCGACCCGGGTAGAGTGTCACCTCCTGCCTGTGCCATACCAAAAGTAGTGTCTGGGCTTGATGATGTTGTCCCTGGGTCGCTCAACGCAATCGCTCAGCTATATGAATCTGTATTCGACACCGTCATCCGGGTCAGCAAGCCCGAGGTCGCAGAGATGGTGAAACTGTATGAGAACTGCCAAAGGACGATAGCTGTCGCGTACGCAAATGAGATGGCGGATGCTTGCATTCCGTTCGGCATTGATCCTTTCGAAGTGGCCGAAACGGCTGCCAGCAAACCATTCGGATATCTTCCGATGTTCCCTTCTCTTGGAATCGGTGGACACTGCATACCAGTCAACCCAATCTACTTTATGTCGACATGCAACCTTCCATTACTCCGGCAGGCACATGAAAAGATGACCGCACGTCCTTCTGAAATTGCTAGCAATCTGCTTACCTCAATGTTGGATGAGAATCACCGGCTCTACAGCGCTACCCACAAACTACGTCTGCTTGTAGTTGGCTTGGGTTTCAAGGCCGGTCAGGCTGACCTGGCAAACTCACCTGGAATGAAGTTACTGAACTTCATGCGGGATTCGACCAAAGTGGATTTGATGTTCTGCGATCCTTTAGTTGGACAAGCCAACATCCCTGAAGTACCCAAGTTGAAAGAAAGTCACTGGACGGATGAAATTCTAGGAACCTTCCATGCGATCGTTGTAGCAACTAAACAACCGGGGCTTGACTACAGTATTTTGAAGAGGCTACAAGGTGTGAAAGTAGAGATATGGCAAAGGTGACTACGAGTTAGCATCTTGCCGCAGGCTGTGAGAAAGAAAACGTGTAAAAACTGAAGAGTCAGCTGATATGAGAAGTATAGAGTGTAAGATAGACATAGAGTAATTCACTAAATTATGCAAGAATGGGTTGAATTGGCCCTGGTTTGCTTCCAGTTGACTGCATAGCTCATATTGGGCAGTTATCGATCCAAGGCCCTACTTCGGGTGTAAGCACTGATATTAGACTATCAGTCGATTGGAGCTCACTGCTCGGGCTTGACGAGCTAGCGAAAGAAGACAGCGATGCTGAACGCAGAGAGGTTCTGTCTTCGTCGCCTCAGTTATCGCTGGCGTCCGAAAGCTAGTCTCTGATTGAATTTTTCTATTCATATGGAGAGGTATGTATTAAACGACCAGTAATAGTCTAGTGTTAGGATGAGTGTTGCAACAGTAGTATTGGGACACATCTCTAAAGTCTTCCACATATATATACGGATCCTCAAGGCACCCACTTGTTCGTCAGAATATGAACAATTTACTCATTGCTTGTCTATCAATAACCAACGTGTCGTCATCCGATGATGAATATCTCATCCGGTGCAAGTCGAGCGGCTTCAGACTGATGTGGCTCCATGAGGTGCGGGATGAATGCCGTGCCAACGAACTCTGCTGGAAGTTTGTCGTGTTCGGCATCGGTATTTGCATCGGTGGTAGGCCATCGCATGATATAGAGAGGATGTCCACCGTAAAACATGCACACTCTGTCTCCTGGCTTACAGCCGGGTGTTGCAACTCCGAATCGACCACCTTTGGTGCTAAAAGAAGGGTGCCCCGCCATCGAAGTCAAATGACCCCAGAAATGAGATTCCTGGCTCAATTGACGCGGTTCTAACTTATTGCTAGCATGCCAATCGACAGTGGTGAGTGAAGATATCGCGTTACGGTATGCCTCGTCGCAGTTTTCGTTGATACGGCAGTCTGTACAAAGCGCCATGATATACTCTGGGGGTACATCCTCGTCGCTACCATTTTCGCCATGATATACACGGCGGGCCAGATCGAGACTTTGGGACTCCCAATTCACAGTAGCGACAATGATTGGATTTTCAATGCCTGGTCCGTAGGAGTCGAAATTCTCAATCCCGTCTCTTACATCTATCAAATGCATATCTTGTACGACTTCAACGATCGTATCTACCAGAAACCCTCTGACGCGCAGGGTATAATCTGATTTTGTAGTTGAGATGTCTTTCTTATGGTGATACTCGATACTACTCCATCTTTCGTATGCCTTCTTGTCGTCCTCTGCAATCAGAAGAGTTTGCACTACATTCCGTTGCTTGTTTATCTCGCGATTCCACATACCAAAAATATAGCCTCGCTGTACTGTGTCATCTATGAAGTTTGGACACCAGGAAGGGAGGTGTCCGTTTCTAGGTCCAGATTGACCAGAGAACTCGAGCAAGTCGAACGATGCACTTTCACGGACTACGATCTTCAAGCAGCCAGCGAACGTCCGCCAATGCTCTTGACGGGCGGTATCGCTGTAGTCAACTAACGAAGCTAATTGATCTTGTAAATGTGGGTGAAACAGACCGAATACCGCCCAGATGCGATCTACCTGCTCTTTCATTTGCCGATGACGTACATTGTCTAGAAGTAATGGAACCGCTTTGGCATCTAAGCCTTCCCCTGACGTGGACCGTTTTCGGTGGTAGATTCGAAGTGATCTGCACTCATTCCAATGAGGCTTGACACCGGATGTATGATCCGGTAACGGGAATGGGAAGCAAAACAATCTGTAACGGCCAACGACTATGAAGTCCAAAAACTCGTCCATGTCGAGCGATGAGTCTCCACAGAGGATAACGGCTCTTCTCGAGAGGACGACTTCTTGAAATGTCCACAAACGCGTGAACCACTCTCCAATCAACAGATGAACCATACCCGTCCAGAATGGGTCATCATCAGTAGGCCACTCGGGATCTTTTTGAAATTTAGAATCGAAGTCCTCAGTTTTTATGGCGTGTTGGATGCTGGATAGGCTGCTCACTTTAGAGAACCCACTAATGAAAATGTCTGACTGTGGTGTAGAGGGACCGAACCATGCGACAACAAGCGTCGCCAGAGAGTATATGGAACACATGAGCGGGACCTGTATCGCTTTCTCGTCGGTATTTTGTTGATCGATGCAGATAGCATCTATCCATAGTCGTCGAATTGGGTCAGGTCTACTCAGGTGGAGATGCTCGAGCATTTCTCGAGCGGTAGGGGTAATTAAGAGCGGGCTGCCATTACACTTTACTGAAATTGATGCTGGCGCTGTTCCCCAGACATACGAGACCGCATCGAACTCAACATCGGTATTGATTGGATATCGCTCCGTTCGAAGTTCGAAGTGTTCTCCAATCGAAATGATGGTAAGCAGACGAATTTCTCCAGGTCGGAGGGCTTGTCCGCTGTACGGGGAATCTGGAATCAATGGATTTGATTCAGTTGCCATTTTCTTTCGCCTAAATGTCCACAGGATTTTGCGATGATTGTTATTAGGCCTTGTATTCCAACAGCGTATAGCTGTAAGGTGGAGATGGATAACCCGGGAATTGTAATAGAGGGTTTGCCTACGAGCTGAGTGTGTGGATGGAATTTGTGGCCCGTATTTGGATGGATAGTGCCTTCAACAGAATACATGCGCGATGTCAAAGAGGGCAAATGCAGACGAACAAGGTTACGAGCGCAATATGCAGACTTCATGATACGGTGTGGCGCTTCCGCGGCTGAGCTACAGGCTGACACATCCACGGGCGAGGCATTTTCATTCCGACAGCCAATTGATACAACTATCAGAAATCACAGGTGACAAGGCTGTGCCTGGGGAAGGTTGATGTTCAGAAAGCGCATTGTATCGAAAGTAATCGTCCGCCGCACGATGCTGATTGTTTGCTCAAATCTGGAGTTCATTCTCAGAGGTATCCGTAACGCCGTATGCAAACGCTCTTGCGTTTCATCATGCACTACAAATGGTGTACACCCAATCTGCTCAACGGAATGACGCCGTCCCAGGCACATCCTTGATCTCCTCAAACTTGGTCCCCATCTTCACAACCGAGTATCTGATTAATCGCGGATCAAGCGACATGGTCCTTCGCAGGGCGTGTTGCGCGCGAGCACTCGCGTCGAAGCGCATGATGAAGTGGTGGCCGTAGTGGTGTGTGGACTGCAGCTTTTTCGCTGGCTTGGGGAGGAGAAAGGTGCCCCAGTTCGAGACCCCGCGCACGACACCGTTCTTCTCGAGCACGATTTTGCCGGCAGTCTTAGCGATCCTGGTGGGTATCAGAGAACATTCGCGCGGAGGAGAGGGTGGTGGGCTACTCTTTGACTTCAGAGAGGCGGCCAGGCCGAACCTGTACGTGTTAGCTATTATGCCGCCATAAGAATCAACGCGAGGCGTACCACTCCTATCATTTCGTACAGCATCTTGATTGTCGTGATGCTGTCCCGCCGCTGCGCGAACGTTTACCCAAAGCGTGCACTTTTCGCGGCGAAGAGCTCCGTTTAGCGGGCTTGGCAGGCATCACTTCCATCGCAGCTCCCCCAGTTGCGACTTCCAATCCTACCCCACACACAATAACGACGACAACATGGCTGCCCGATCTTCAGTTGCTCGTGTTGCGCGCCAATTCACCTCTGCTGCGGCCAGGAGACCAAGTCCCTTCGTATGCCAGCGATGGCAGCAATCGACACAGCGACAACGGTTATTCTCGGTTTCCGCCGCATGTATGTTCATGTTGCTGGAGGCACGATCGAAAAAGGTGTCAAAGAGCTGGATGGCTGACATGGGGCAGTGAAGGCGAAGAAGTACACCGAGGACCATGAGTGGATTGAGATGTCCGCAGATGGAAAGACATGTACGTTTATTGTCATTGTCGCATTCACACAATCACCTTCCCTAGGTTCATGTTGAGATCTATGTCGGTGTCGAACTGACTGTTACCAGGCACACTCGGCATTTCCGAATACGCAGCCAAAGCGCTTGGCGATGTTGTGTACATTGAGCTGCCACAGATCGAGATGGACGTAAGCGAAGGCGATGCGATTGGTGCCGTTGAGTCAGTGAAGTCTGCATCCGACATCCTCACACCCATCAGCGGTACAGTCGCCGAAGTCAACTCGGATCTAGAAAAGACGCCGGGTAAGATCAACAAAGACCCCGAGGGAGACGCGTGGATTGCGAAGATCACGGTGTCGGGTGAGCCTGCGGGCAAGACGATGAACAAGGAGGAGTACACTGCCTTTACTGAGGAGCCGTAGAGAGCGAGAGGCAAACTCTTGCCATCATGATAGTTATGAGTCCTTGGAGTTCAACACAGGAAGGGAAATACCACATTACGAATATCACAACCATCTCTGTCAACGCTCACTTACATGTTGTACTCCAGCACTTTCAAGGGGGATCTGTCTGTAAAATGCGTTGGAGTGGTAAGCATCTATGCAGTCTCATACGGCAGCGAAACTTTGGCAAAGTTCACTCACGTCTCGCCTGTCCATATCCTACCAATCATAATCTTTTCAGTATTCAGCCTCGTCTGGGCGTTCTAGCTTGCAGATGCAAGCGCACGATACGTCCACTCGTCTCCAGCCTTCTCGCGACATGTTGTCGTCATCAGCTCACGTAGGTGGTAGTGCACTTTGATTCCCGTAGCTTTATTTGGGTCTCCAGTACAATTATTGCAGACGCTGACCACGTTCTGCCATTACGAGCTCGCTACCATTACTACCAAACTTATGCCACAGCTAGACGCCGCAGTGTCAAGTTTAGGATGAACGCACTCACAATCTCCTCGTCTCTTCTGACGGCTCCTCCACCGGACCTACCTCCTATTCTTCGCATTGAGCAGGGTGACGACCACATCGTCCCAGATGGCACGCAGCTACCCTACGAACATGTGGGAATACTAGGTTTCGGACATAGTGGTACTGTCGAGAAAGTGAGAGACAAGACCACCGGGGAGGTTTATGCGCGCAAGATAATGCATATGCGTGGAAGGAAGCACAAAGCGCAAACGGAACTCATCTTCTCCAACGAAGTCAGGATAATTCGCAGCCTCAACAAACACCACCATATTATACACGTCTTCGCAACGTACATGACCCGACGTGAGGTTGGGTTGATACTTCTTCCAGTAGCAGATGGTGGGGATTTGGAGCATTTTCTTGAAGATTTACACGACTTATGATCATCTGACGCCTTAGCTCCGCGCATCGCTTTGATGCGGCACGTCCTTGAGCAGGCTTTCGGATGTTTAGCCAATGCATTAGCGTTCATACATCTGCAGCAGGTTCGGCATAAAGACATCAAACCTCAAAACATTCTGATCGATCATGGTCGCGTCATATACACGGATTTTGGATACTCCCTAGATCACAGTCAGCTTAGTCGCAGCACAACTGAAGGCCGACCGGATGCGCTTACTCGACGATACTCAGCACCCGAAGTACTCGCATACGAGCATAGAAATTCATCGTCCGACGTATTCTCCCTCGGATGTGTGTTTCTTGAGATCATGTCCGCACTAACAGACGGTCCAGACCTCTACCCAAATCAAGGCAGTTACTCCGAGATTCTAGATGATATACACGAACAACTCGGACTGTTGATCTTACCCCCAAGACTGGTGTTTCTCCCAAACATCATCGCCACAATGATCGAGCACGGGCAAATTGCCCGTCCTGAGGCCAGCCAAGTGTCGGAGGCAATATGCGGCGCGCCTGGGTGTTGTTGCGTTGAGTGTTACCAGGCAACAACCCAAGCAGAACGAAAATGCAGACACGTTAGAGAGGAAAACAAAAGTATCGATGCAAGCATGCAGGCAGGAAATCCAGCACCGGCAAGCGCTCTCGTAAATCAGTATCCGTCAGGAACAGTGACAACAGATTGGCTGTGGACTCATCCCCGCAACGATGATTTATTAACCAATCGTAAAACCGCTGGTCAGACACTAGAATCGTTCTATCAAAGTAAGTATTGGGGTTTTGCCCTGTCGATCTGGCTAATACCAATAAGGCTTTCGTTTGATACCGGCAAAAGATCGCGAGTTTTGGCGACTTGGTCGTGTCTTCGCTACGTTGAAATTTGAACCGGTAGACTTCGCGGGGAATTATAAGTTCAACACGGATATGCTGTCAACTGTGACATTCAATGACATGTACTCGGTCAGATATTGTTTCGTAGTGGTGGGGGTTGATCGAGGACACGTCGTCCATACGAGGTAATATGAGTATCCAACCTCGCACTTACTTTAACTGACTCAAAAGTCAAATCCTCCCATGTGGGTCTTACCCTACTATGAGGATTGGAGTAAATCCTATCGCGTACTTCACTGGCACGGATTCTGCGACTTGTTACAGTTCAGGCGAGTTTGAACATGGTATGAACAAGGAACCCGTTCAAATTGAACCAGCGGAGCCGTCTTTGACCATGAACCCAAAATGCCGAATCCAAATTCGCAAGACATTTGGTCAAACGATGAATGGTTACGTGAAGGACATTGGCACAGTGCTGCCAGAGCACCTAAATAGATTACTCAGTTATATTCCAGAAAGATCTCATGGGTTTTGGAATGTTCATGGAGCGGTAAGTAGGCAAAGCGACTAAGCACAATACACCATGACGAGAAAGGGACTTTGATCGACGAAATCATCCTGACCTGAACATCCGATCGATTTGACAATTACAACCTGCTTAGATCCATAAATCTTCGACACGTTGTGCCTCGTTCACTACTCGGAGCTATATCCATAAAGCAGTGAATTTGACTACGTCTTCGAGGCGGGGCTCGACAAGGCGGCATTGGCACACGAACCCTGATCAGGCAACGGTCCGCATATGGCTCAGTCTTCGCGGCACAATCGCTTGTTTATAACCTGACTCCTCTCGCTCCCGTGTGCTCAAGCATACAATCTCAAATCTCCACGCTCACAAAAATGCCAAACAAGAACCCCCGCCTGAGCCGCGATGAACTAGTTGCCATCATAAGTGACTTCTACAAGTTTCTCACTACATTTTACATCCCTACATCGGCTCTCAAATATTCACCCCCAGATGGCTGGCCTAACACAACTTTCGAAACTACGGCGGGATTTGGCAAGAAGCCGTTTGTCATTGATCTGATCAAACATCTTTCATATATCGACGGTGCGCAAGCACATCAGATGGTAACCAATATCCATCATAAGAGTGATGTTGTAGACTATTCAGTCTGCTCGCCAACACAGTTTGCAAATGGTAGTCTTCTTTGCGGAGAGATGGGGCTGGAGTCTGAGCTTGAGGACAGATTGGAACGTGGAGAAGAGGAGGGTGAAAACGATGAAGATGAGGTCGAGGATGAGGACGGCGAGGAAAAAGATGGGGATGAAAACGACCATGGAGATGACGACCATTGGTCAAATGACGACCCAGATGAAATCATACTCGAAAACATGGTAGTGCTAGCTGAAGGTTACGAGAGCGGCGGTCGCTCCCTAGTACTCGATGTTTTCAAGGGTTACATCCACGAAGACGAGATACGATGCAACTTGCTAGGTGGTGTGGCTGTGGAAGACTTCTTCCGCGACCTACGGGATAAGTACGAGAGGTTGGAGATGGTGCCCATCCACGGCGCGATGTTTGAGAACGTAGCCGAGATCTATGATGACGAGATGTCGGTCGACGGATATATGGGAAACAGGAGGAAGCAAAGCAATACAAGGGGATTTATAGGAAGCATGGGTGGCCTGGTCAAGCTTACAGGAAGGAAGTGGCGTTGGCGGCTATCGAGGCGTGTAGGCGGAGGAGGGAGGAGGAACACGACGCTGAAAAGGAGTAGGTTGTCATGGTCGGTTGCTTTGGTGGTCGTGGAGTAAGGGCATCCCACTTTGCAGCATGCCAGTGTCGACAAGGGAACTAGGTGTCAGGACTGCAGCCAGAAATTAGAGAGTGACATGGGTGAATTTACTCGAAGCGGGAACACTCATCTTGCCGCGGTTACACTAGATGATTATAATCAACATGGGACCTTCATCAGACTATGAACTCGGAAGTCATCTCCCAGCTCAAATTGGGTAGCGTGAAGCTGCTAGCGAATACTGATCACTCACAAGACATATACCTTCGCTATCTGCGTTGACTTGTTATTTCCTGAAATCCGCGAGACGTTTGTAGTAGCTCGATCTTCGTGGGTCTCGCCTCAGTGAGCTCTCCATTAATTGCTACACCTGCTGCTACGACAGCAAGCGCGATCCTACGCAACACGCAAACCTTGTTAGTAATAACGTCAACCACGCCAACTGTTTGAGCGTCCTTTTATGTCTTTCACAAGACCACTGGTAGTAACAAATGGCCGAGAAGACAGGGCCCACAAATAGGCCGATTAACGTTCAACTCGTACTCGCCCCAGATCAATCAAAAGATGACAGTATGGAGGGGCAGCTTAGCTATATCTAGCGGTCCCGTGAAATACCGGTTATCCAAAGCTCATAAAACCCCATCCAGTAAAACTGCCGCATCACCTTTCCTACATCAGCTTAAACGAAGCATAAGCATGCTTCACCAAGTACCCAAGTCGTATCTGCAAAACGACTACACATGGATGAAGCAGAAAGTATTCATCACCCCACTACCAATCCCTCTAGGTCCAAACAGCGCCAACTCACTACCCATGATGATCGATACGCAGAGCCGCGCTTCTCGCGCGAGCTTCTCACGCTATGTTCACAACCAAATGTATGACCATGAAAGGAGCCGACACTCAGATAGAGCGGTGTGAACGCAGGAAAGTGGATGGCGGTGAGTTGGTTACAAAGTCACCATCGTGCACGGTTTTGTATTCAACGACGTGGAAAGGTCCACTTGACTTGACCCGCCAGTGGGGTTTGCAGAGTGGGTCATTATCAAGGAAGCGGTGAATAGATGTGAACAAGACACGGTTTGAATGGGAATTGTTAGTTGCAATTGCGACCACCGCGTGTAGTTCGGCGAGTGAACTTGGATGATGGCGATGAGTCAAACAATGATGTAGAAGAGCAGCGCCTATCAAACTTAAAGAAGTCATGGTATGAATCACGATGCTTGCAGGAAGTGATGTGAACAGTCAATAAATATATTTACTAAGAATCGAAGTATACAATAATGAAGAATCTCCTTTCCAACCACAACCCCCAACTCTAATGTTACCAGCCATCATCGAAGGCTGTGAACCATTGTTTGTACCAAGAACAAGCTTGGAAGACCAATCAACGGCTTTAGATACGTCCGTAACCGGCGGTGTTGACGAGGTTCTTCGCGTTGGCAGCGGCGGCAGCAGCGGCGATGTTCTTGCCCTTGAAGTTGGTCAAGAAGGTGGCATCAGCACCGGTAAGAGCACCGGATGTACCGTAGGCGTTGAGCTGGCAAGCGCGGCCGAGGGAAGCGCTGCACGCGGAGGCGGCCGAGGCGCTGGTAGCCTGGTAGACCTGGCCGGGAAGGCTGGCCTGAGCGGGAAGAACAACGTTCTGGAAGACGTTGCCCTCGTACAGAGCCTTGGTTCCGGCACCTGCCTCGAGCATGTGCTGGGAGCCGGCGTAGAAGTAGTTGTTGACAGCGTGGAGGAGGGTGTTGCCACCGACCTTGGGGGAGCGGCCGGAGGTGTGGTGAACGTAGTTGTTCTTGAAGGTGACCATGTCGCTGGAGCCGGTGAAGTACAGAGCCCAGTAGTGGTGACCATCGCAAGTAGCAGACCAGGAAGTAGCACCGTTGATCTCGCAGTTGGAGATGGTGACACGGCCGGAGGCAGAGTTACCAAGAACGATGTGCTGACGGGCAATGAGATCGGTGGTGACGTGGTCAACCCAGATCATGTCGCCTGTGGAGATGTCAGTATTTTGTGGGCTTCATGGGTCGAACAGAATATGTCCAAATGATGAGAGGGAATACGAACCGCCGTCAATGGTGATAGCATCACCACCCCAGACGTACTTGGGGTTGATGTCCGTGAACCTGACGTTCTGGATGATGATGTTCTTGGCTCCGCCCACAATACGGACACCCTTAGCCTTGATAACACCCTTGCTGCCCTGACCGATCAAACTCTTGTTGGAGGCGATGGTCATTCCGAGCACACCGGCCTTGTCGTACTTGATGCCGCTGACCTTGGGGGCGTTGGGCTGGTAGTTGTCACACCATCCGTCCTTGTTAATGGCCTGCTGGCAGGTGGAGCCAGTGCCCCAGGGGGAGCAACCAGCGGAAGTGACGGTACCCTCGGTACCCGTGAAGTCAAAGGTCTTGGTCAAGACAATGACACGGGGCGAAGAATCACTGAGGTAGCTGATGAGCTGGGCGGTTGTGGAAGGGTAAACGGGGGCGGCGCTGCCACCACCAGTAACACCTGATATGACGTTAGTGACTGTGTAGACTGATAGAAACGTTTGTCGTACCCTTTGCGAAACCCTCAGCAGCACCGACAACGCCAACTGCGCTGACTTGGGAAACGAATGCCGCAACGGCGGCGAACAGAGAGTACTTCATTGTGGTATACTGCGAATTCTAGGAAGAAATGAATGGATAGCAAACACAGTTTGCAAGTAAAACGAATGTGGGTGTATAAGAAAGAAGGAACGAGGCTGGATGTCTGTTAGAAGGTCAGCGAGGCTTCTGTTTTATAGCTTCTGATCGTAAAGAGGCACACAGACCTATGCGGGCATCTAATCACCGAGATCTTGGCCTCTGCGTGATGGATTTCTCGCACACACATCCGTGGAGTTTCAGAAGCGGGTTCCGCAGCCATAGGCGGATAAATGGCGTGCGCCCTAGCCACAACATGAGTCGAGGATCATGATGCCTGTCGGTGATTGCTTTAGGGAAGCGAAGGGCCGTCGTGATAATAGTGATGTTTTGACTCACGCCACGAGATAGACCTTACAGCAGACGCAAAAGCAGCTGCCGCTGCGGGAGCACTACCTGCCTGCAAAGCTTAGCATCTTGCGCCGAGATGCAGGAGGTTTGTTGTGGAAGTCCGTAGCCGCCCCGCTTACGGGGCAATCTCGACAGTGGATACTCCGGAGTACTCGACGTCGAGAAGCCCGGAGGTTTTGTTCTGGCCGTTTCAAATCCACAGGTGACAGGGGGTTTCACCGTACCCACCATCCCGTTTAGGGCTGACTCTTTGCGCACGGTATGATCATTGCGTTGGTAGGGCGGGATCTGACTCTCGGAACCCTGAAAAGCCGCCAACGTCGGTCATAAGCTTCATGCACCGTGCCCCGAGCCGCACGAAACATCGGCAGGTTGACGTCTTGGGTTGAGCGCGGTGTTGGATGGATCTAGAAACTTGTCATTCACCGCTAATCTTTCGCAGTTGGTCCCAAATTACCTCACGCCACACACATGTCAAAAACGTCCGCGCGCCATCCAGGTAATCGGGAACAGCAACCCCATCTTGCAAGAAACGTCCAGAAAACATAACGTAACATTAATCGAGTGGTATGACCTGGATTCTTGCGCAAACGCAAAGACAAGTTTTTTGTCTCTCCCTGCGTCGTGAGGATTGAGGCACAGCCAGATTGTGCAATTACAAAGTCACCTTCTAATACGGGCCTAAGGTAGTACCGTAGCAATTTGCAACATCTCGCAGCAATCTTGATAGCAAAAGATAGTGAACAATCACAACGGCTCTCACCTTCAGATGGAACCCAGTGATAGCATTATGATGGAATGCGAATAATCCAGCACTGTGGTACTCTCTCCACTTTACGTGTTATTCTCCGATTCATCAGGATTCATCATCAAGGCGAATTTAATCCATCTGTGGGTGTCTTGAAAGGTATCCACAGGTGGCAAATGAATTCTACTCCAAGTGGGGACAACAATCTACGATGGGCAGGACGGCACGACTTGCTGTCTTATGGGTCTACTACTCTGTCTTTGGTTATCACGATGTTGTGTTGTGGTAGTATTGCGTGTCATTAAGCTTATCCAACCATGACAAACCTCGAACCCCTAAACCTATATCCAACTGAACACAGAACTATAAGATCGACATATTGACTAGCCCTGTACGGTATAGATGCTGGAAGAGGAAACAGTGTAGAGGACGGAACATTAATTGTCGCTTTACGTCGAAAGTTGGAAGTACTGTGTATTTCTGGCTCAAAGTGACGTTATTCATATGTGCATTCCTGCAGCTTCTTTCTCGTGTATCATTTCAGGTCTTTAGCGTATTCATGCTTCTTATAGAAGCAGATAGACACAACACGGTACAAATCTTGTATTGTAACTCTGTATAGGAACTACAATCTGACCTCTTTACACAGAATAAATATTAGTGAGAGTACACAGTAGTATATCTCATGTACAAACACCTTGTAACGAAGACATTATTATTTTTTGTCGATATGTGTAATTTGAGAGTTTTTATCCTGGAAATATATGATCTGAACTCACATCATCTCGATCTGTCCAGATATATCAATTAACGACTCTCATATCGACCAAATATATCACTCTTGACATGAACATCTCAGTAGCCATGCAATACAAAGAATCAACCAACCCATCAAACCCAGCACTATATGTTCATTCATGTCTAACCAAAAGAAATCTGCGATGCTTAAAAACTATTTATCCTCCTCAATCTCACATAAGAAAAACGTCCAAAAGTATACATACCTGCAAAACCCCCTACCCACGATAAACCAACACATGCCACCCCATATGATCAATCCCCTATTAGTAAATGTCTAATTCTCGTATTACATCAACCTTATATAGCCTCAACACTTCAAAGTAACAAACTCTCCGTCTTGCCCGCGACCTATACATACCGATATTCTGCCAACCTCTACTCTCCTCATTACCAACGTATTCGACATACTAACCTCCAAGATTCACATCCTGCTGTACAAACGAAGATATATATTTCTACTCTAAGTGAATCAGGTATGGTATCTTCGCCTCGCTATTTATATTAAGCAAAATCACAACCTCCGTGTTCTATACAATCATTTTTGCACTAAACATATACACAACGAACCAGACGAGACCGGATACACAGTATCCTTCCCATGCCATCCCGCCGAAAAGCTGATAAGCATAAGCACAGCACACTCTCTCCACCCATCCGAACAAACAAAAACTCATCATTCACCACACCCCAGAATCGCCAACATCTTCCCTTCTCAACAAAATAAAATAAGCCAAACCCAAACCCCCATCCACAGCTGTGTATCTCGCTCTCCAACCCTGGAGTAAACCTTATACCAATTCTCCCTCCCGCATTCTCTTTTCGAAAGTCAAAACCATACTTCCACAAAACCGTGGATGTCCACCAAACCGTCTCCAATCGATGTGCCAAAACCGCGTAATTCAAAACATGCCAACCGCTAACCCGCACCCTCGCAGCGCAAATGAAAAAGAACAAGAAAGAGAACGAGATGGGAAGATGGAGTAGTACACGCGCAACGTTGACGAGGGCGGTGTGGGAAAAGATATACATGTTTCTTCCTGCTGATAGATAAATATGTCTAGTATCATTTTTCCGTCTTGTACCACAAACCAAGTCCATGGACGCTGTACAAGGACGTCAAGTCCGGATTCTTGTGGGAAGAAAAAACACACACATACATCACCACACGACCAATCCAAGATATAAACCAATAATCACAATATTTTCACCTTACATAAAAAAACACCTCACAATACCACTTACTCCTCCTCTCCCCTACTAGCCCTCTCCTCAAGCGCCCCCTCCGCCAACCCCCTAACCCTCTGCACCCCCTTCCCACCCCCCACCCCGCCCTCCCACTCCGCCCACTTCTTAAACACCCCCATCCGTCTCTTCCACTTCCCCACCCTCGTCATCCTCTCAAACAACCCCCTAACCTGCTCCTCGCTCCCCCTGCCCATCTCAAGACTAACATACATATCCCACACATCGCCCTTATTCGGCCACGCACTCACCAGCCCCTCGAAGATAGTGCGGCCGCGCTCCGCGTCGCCGTTTGCGCTCTTGAATTCCAGGGCCGCGAATTTCTGCGTCAGGTAGCGGTGTTGCTGTGCTGGGACGGATTGGGTTGCGCGGGGGAGGAGGGCGCGGGCGCGGTCTGGGGAGGGGGGGGATGCGACGTCTAGGAGGAAGGCGGCGTGGGAGAGCCAGAAGAGGGGGTCGGGGGTGAAGGATTTGTTCTTTGTCATGGATTGGTAGAGGGTGTCTGCTTTCTGTGGGTGGGGGTGGTTAGCATGTTTCTACGGATTTAGGGGTGTTGGGAGATGGGGGTGTACGTACGTCGAGCTTCCCAGACGAGATGTAGATTTTGATCATGCGCTCGTGCATCTCGCGCGCGTCGTTGTACTGGCATGCTTCTTTGAAGACTTGGTCCAGGGCGTCGTCGCTGGCAAAGTCGTTCTCGAGATGGAGTAGCGCGGTCCAGACGTTTAGCTTCTCCTTCTCCTCGCGCGGATTGATGGTTGCTAGTGCGCGGCGAGCGATCTGGCGCGCCTTCTCAATCTCGTTCAGCTCGCGCTGGAAGACCATGTAGCGCACCCACAGCTCGGCGCTGTTGGGCTGGCCTAGGAGAAGTCGTTCGTAGTCGGCCACTGACTGCGGCCCGTAGGCGTCAAGATCACCAGTACGGTCTTCCTTGATTGTTGCCTTCTTGGACTTCTTCTTCTTCTTGGGTGTTTCGTCTTCTGAATCAGACTCGGCTGCCTTTTGCTTGTCAAGGTCCATGGTGGCGCCTGTCCAGTCGAAACCTGAGGTGCTGAGTCCAGGTGCTGCCGTCTTCGTGGCTTCGTCATCGGACTCATCCTCTGAATCGTCTTGATCCGCGAGGTCTTCGTCATCGTCGCTGTCTGCACTCTTGACGCTCCTCATCTCCACGTCTTCGTCGAGCTCGACACCGCCGTCGCTTGAATCGTCCTCATCATCGACCTCGGCATCCGATCCGTCCTCCATCTCTTCGTCCGCATCTTCGCCCTTGATTTGAGAGTATTTCAAACCAAAGCTGATCCTCCTCTTCTTGATATCAACAGCAAGCACTTTAGCCTTGACCACGTCATCCTTCTTGTACATCTCCGCCACCTTATCCTTCTCGACTGGTGAGTCTGCGAGTTGAGAGATGTGGCAAAGGCCGCTGACATTGTTCGAGTTGTCGACGAGAAGGAAAACACCATAGTCCTCCACGTGTCGAACCTTGGCCGTCACAATCTGTCCAACCTTCAAATCGCTAAAGTCGAGCGACTCGACATACTCGCCTTGGATGACCGACAACTTCAAGCTTAGTTGGGGGTTTCGCGTGCTTTCCTTGTTCGATATGACCTTTCCAGTGACGAGCTGGTCGACGTGGAATGCCGATTTCCACTCTTTGATGTAGGAGTCAGAAAGGTGGCTGACGCGTACGTATGCCTCGACATGCGGGCCGAGCCGCACAAAGATACCGTTGTCGGCCACGTGCTTGACAAACCCGCGAACAACCTGGTTGACCTTGAGCTCGGACCTATCCTTGATCAACGGGTCCTTGACTGGCAGAGATGAGCTCAAGACCTTTGACGGCCGAGCAGACAGGATGAGCTTCTTGTTGGGCACATCCACATCAGTGACGCACACTCGCATGACGTCTCCGACCTTGAACTCCGACGGCTTGGCCTTGTCGTAGTCATCTGTAAGTTGCTCAAGGTAGATGGGCGCAGCAATGTTCTCGCTAATCTGCACAACCACCGATGCGTCGTGTGTCTTGGTAACGCGCGCAGGTAGAATGTATCCGACCTTCATGTCCTTGAGGGTGAGTGACTTGCCGGTGATGGAAGACGCGGCAGTCAGATCCAGTCGCCCAGCAGCAACATCAACAGTCTTGACACGGACCTTGAGCGCAGAACCCACAGGGAAGTTTTCCTCGATAGCCGAGAGCTGCTCGAGATCGTCGGTAAGATCGAAGAAGTCGATGCGCCCACGAACGTTCGCCGAGATGTTGACCCAAACATAACGATCGGCGATGTTGTTCACAAAGGCTACATGTGAATCTCCAGGAGTAAGTTTATCAAGCGTCAAGACGTCAGTCTCCGTTTTAAAGTCAACCGTCTTCGCAGTCATCTCGTATGTCGGTGTCTTGTTGCTCGATCGGTGTGATATGGGGAGGAAACGGTGATTGCGGGCGTCGTGTCTACCCAGGACCTTAACTTTGACGATGTCCTTCATGCTGAACTGCGCCAGAGGGTGCTTCTTGTCCTTGATCTCGTCCCACGAGTTGAACATCTCTGCGACTGAAATACGGCCTTGGACGTTTTCGGCCAGAGCAATGTTCACTTGCGTGCTCTTGATGGAACGAATGCGAACGTTGACGATCGTGCCGAACTTGATGTCGCCGGTAGACGTGATGTTGGGGTCCACCGGGTCGACAAGAGCCTCCCCGGTGATTTCTGCTGTCTCAGATGTTGCTGCAGCTGGCGTATCTGTCTCGGACTTGAATGATAGCCAGAAGAAGCCCTTCACAAGGTCGACATGTGTGACTCGGACTGTGACAGACCGGTCTTTGTAGAGGCCAAAGTTCGGAGCCAGAAGCATCTCGTCTGTCAGTTGTGACTTGAAAACTGCACCACTAAAGCCGTTGCCGAACTCCACAAACACCTTGTCGGGCAGAATACCACGCACAAATCCATGCAGAGACTCTCCAACCACAACGTCTTCGATGCGAGTGATGAGCTTCGAGGCCTGTGCGTCTTTCAGAAGACTGGCTTTCTTGGATAGCGTGACAGTCTTGGATTTGTCGTGCTTGCTCAGGACGACAATATCTTTCAGTTCGCGTCCGACGCTTATCGTCTTCATCGTGGAAATGTTCTTCTTCTCCGACCCGTCCGTGAGATGACCAATACGAAGAAGACCCTTGACACCGTTACCGATATCGACAGTCACGAGCTCTTCGGATTTCTCGACTACGGAGCCCTTGGTCACGTCACCGGGGTTCAGTGCGGTGAAAGCGGCCTCCTTGTTGGTGTCAATAGCGGCAGGGTCTTTGCAAGACACCAACAGCTGGCGCTCTTCTGGGTCGACTGAGATGACACGGACATCAACGACCTTTCCTTTGCTGAACTGTGTTCTGGCGTCCAGAATGTATGCCTCGCTCATCTCTGCGACTGGAAGCCAAGCCTTGACATCGCCGTAGAAACGAACTGTCGCACCATTGCGTCGAACGTCCACAAGTATACCGGGCCCTGTCATGCCCTCTTTGAGCATGGCGTAGTTTGTCCAGGGCTCGACGTCGGAGTTGACCAGAGTCTTCTTCAAAGTGAGCTGGATCTGATGTCTTGCGGGCTCGGTGTACAGAACTCGCGCTTTGACGTCTACGCCCTCTCGGAACTTGCGCTCTGGGTGCTGGAGATGCACATCTGCAAAGTGCAGCTCTGGAACAAGGGCTGTGATGCCATCGGCGAGGTGGACGAGAACAGCGGGAGCACCGTTCTTATCAGCAATGAGCTTGTGGACCTTGCCCTTGACGACCTGGCCAGCTTTGATGTCCTCGATCCGGAGGAAAGGCTGATCAATGACCTTCTGCTCTAGCGACAGCTGGAAGATGCCGTCCAAGTTGTTCCAACCAATAATTCGTGCGCGATGTGTGGATGCGAGCTTGAAGGCGCCAGCATCCTCGGACAGGATATCAACTCTATCGTCAGCAAGACGAGACACGTGCGCGAATCCGATGACGTCTCGAGTACCGAGCTCGAAAAAGGCACCCTGTCCTGGCTCTACCTTGATGACCTTTGCTTCGTCGACGATAGTAGAAACTGGCAGAAGCTCCAGGGGAGATTTGCGATCTTTGGGCTTCCCAGACATACGAGACGAGAAGGCTAGTACGTGGTCAAGCAGAGAGATGCCGACCTTTCTGGGCTCAGAGTCTGGACACGTGAACAGAATTCTCGCCTTGACTTTGGAGCCAAGCTTCAACTTCTTCGACATGTCGCCACCCTTCTCTGAAATGCCAGAATGGTAGGCGTCGGCTGTGGCGTCTATCAGTCCTAGAATCTTGCCTGTGACTGTACCTGGCGTGGTGTCGGCGACCAGAACATCGACAGCCGTTCCAGGTAGGAAGATGTCGATGGTGGGTGCTTCGGTCAGGGTGTTGCCTTTGGTCAGGTTGCCTGCTTTGGTCTGGTCGGCGGACAGCTTGACGATCCTTCCGTCAGAGTTGAGACCAGTCACCAGACACATGAAGACAGCTCCCTCTTGCACTTTTGCATGCTGCACGCTGGGGCCCAGCTCGCCCTTTGGCAGGAAGCCCTTGAGCTTGGAGTCGCCGAGTCCCAGGTCCATGACGAGTCCATGGTCCTCATTGCTGATGACGGAAGCTTGGACCATGGTGTTGACGGGTATCTTTCGCTTGTACAGGCCCTTGTTGGTGACCTTCGGATCGATTGACAGTTCCAGTCGCTTTCGTGCTCTTGCCGAGTCGTCGGTGGTAGATGTGACGCAAGCGCGGAGGTACTGGCCGACGAAGAACATGTCTTTGAGGTCAACGTCCTCGAAGCCTTCGCCCTCGCCATCACCGTCCTCCTCTTTGCCCGACTCCTCATCCTTGAGAAGCTTCTCGAGCCGCTCGTTGAGTTTGTCGGAGACGGCGGTCAATGGCACGTACCCAACGAGGTTGTTGGGAAGGGCCAGTACAACATCCTGATGGGTGATGTCGGTGACCTGGCCGAGAATGAGGGTTCCAGGCGACAGTTTCTGCAGCTGTTAATACTATACTTACATGGGCAATGCGACCAGCTCTCACCTTGTAGTTCAGGCCCTCGACGCGGACGATCGGCTCTGCATCTCCATCTGCGTGCGCCTTCTTGCTCTTCTTGGCCGGGCGCTTCTTGGCGACCTTTGCAGCAGCCTTCTCGTCGTCCTCATCGCCCATGTCGCTGAGGGCATCGTCACCACCACCACGCTTCAGCCCGGCCTGCTCGAACAGCACGTCCTGGTTCGCCCGGATCTGGATCTGCTTGTGCTCCAGCGGGGTCAGAACACTCGCGCCACCTCTGGGGAAAGCCTTTTCCTCATCCTTGAAGACGCTGGGCTTGAGCGCCGCCTTCTCAGGCTTCGCAGTCGCGGGCGCCGGCTCTGCAGCGGCGTCAGATTTTCGCGGACGCTTGGCCGAGCGGTCGGTCGATGCGCCTTTCTCCTTCTTGGGCGGGGCGGTCCCCTCTGCTTTCCGTTTCATTGCGCCCATTGCGATGTGTGGGGGTGTGGTGTTGGGGAGCTCTGCAAAGCTCTGGCCGTGTCCAACAATTTGCGATGGGCCGCCAAAAGTTCGAGAAAAAAAGAGTGGGGCAGCGCCAGAGCCACTTAACGCGAGGCCGGCGCGAGAACGCGCACGGGTCATCGTCACCATCACGACGGGCGCGCTAAACGTCTCTCGTCCCATGTTTGTGCTGTTCCTACTACCCGCCCACACTGCATCCTCGTGCCAATTGACCCATCGCCGTCTGACTACATTACTGTATCTGCACCCTCAGCAGCAGAATGTCGTCGCCCTGCGCTCCTCGCACCATGCTCCAGGAGCCCACGCCCGAGCTGCTGCTGTCGTCACCGCCCACGGCCAGCAGGAAGCTCAGGCGGCCGCCCCCCATCACGCCCAACCGCTTCACCCGCTTCTTCACCCCGCGCAACTCGGGCCGTGGCTCTGCGCGGACGGCCGTGTCCAGCTCCAGTCGCCAGCTGCAGGACATCACACGGGCCGCCGTCAACCGCAGCACCGCACACGGCACCACGCCCCGCAAGACGGTCAACTTCGCCGACGTCGAGAATGACATGCACACCCCGCAGACGGCGACGCGCAAGAGGCGGAATCTGTACATGTCGCCCGAGAGCTCGCCCGCCCAGTCATCGCCCTCGAAGCGCTCGAGGTACCTGACGCCAGAGGTGCTTGATGAGCTGGAGGATCCTGAGCCCCCCGTCTTCCCTGCGCCCATCCGCCGGCTGCAGAGTTTGGGGGGGACATCGCGGAGGCTGCAGCGCTCGTTTGGCGGCTTGCTGAGTGTGGGCCGTGGATTTGCCCGTGACCATTGCACGTCATGGCAGGACCAGACTGCCAACTTCTACAGCGGCGCCGAGGACCTGCACCAGCTGCCGCAGAATGCACCCCCGTTCTGCACGGCCAGCTGCAACACAAACTCCCTCCTCGCTATCGGCGATGAAGACGGATACATCCACCTGGTCGACTCGGAAGGCGACTTCTCCAAAGCCCACGTCTCATGGCGCGCCCACTCGAACGCCGTCATGGATGTCCAGTTCTCGTCCGACGACACCTACCTCGCTGCCGGCTCAGGTGACCAGACGGCCCAGATCGTCGACGTCCGCACGCAGCAAACCCTGAGTGTGCTTGCAAAGCATAAATCTTCCGTCAAGCAAGTCCGCTTCCAGCCCGGCGACGACAAGATAGTAGCAACATCGAGCCGCGACGGCGCCGTGCAGATCTGGGACCTACGCTGCAGCGGCGGCCACATGTCCGTCCACTCAGCCTGGGGCTCCGACGCGCCCTACGCCAGCGTAATCCGCACACTCGCCTCCGCCCACGCCGACAATGCATCCTCCACCACCACCACAAAGAGCCTATCCACCGGCAAAACCGAGACGGTCAACCGCCGAAACGACGTCTCCGTCACAGCCCTCTCCTTCCTCCCAGACGGCCGCCAGCACCTCCTCATGACCGCCTCCGACGCCTCAACCTGCGTCAAGCTCTGGGACATTCGCGGCCGCTACTCCCTCCGCGGCCCGGCAATCCCCCTCGCTACAACACGCCACCCAGACTCCCACAACAGACACCGCCACTTCGCTATCAACTCGCTTACCCTAAACGCTTCCGCATCCCGTCTCTACGCCCTCAGTAAGGATAACACGGTATACGCTTACTCTACCTCCCACCTCATCCTCGGCGTCGCTCCGGAGTTGGCTACAAATACGACGCAGATGTCGACGGCGACGCATAAACAGAAATTCGCCCAGGATGGTCTGGGCCCGATGTACGGATTCCGCCACCCGTCTTTCCACGCAGGGAGCTTCTACGTCAAAGCCGCGCTGCGCAAACCCTCACCCCTCCACCCCGAACTCCTCGCCGTAGGCAGCACAGATGGCTGTCCCGTGCTCTTCCCCACGGATGAAACTTTCCTGCGCCGTGAGCATCAGCCTGCACGTGACGAATACGAACTCCCTGTGCTGCGCAGCTTTTCCTCCGCTAACGCGCGCGTGCTGGATAGTATACCGATTTATGAACATGGCACGCCGCTTGTGCGCGGGCATGATGCGGAGGTTACTAGTGTGTCGTGGGCGCGGAGCGGGTGTTTGGTTAGTGTTGGGGATGATTATAGGGTGAGGAGGTGGGGGGAGGGGATGGGGGGTGAGGCGAGGGAGTTGAGGGTTGGCGGGGAGGGAGGGGGGAGGCGGTGGATGTGTGGGTGGGCTGAGATTGGTGGGGTGGGGGGATGAAGAATGAGGTTGTTTATATATATACCCTTTTTGTTTTGCTTGTTGGATGGATAAGGGATGTTGTTCTAGTATCTTGGTAATTCTGTATCCCTACCCTATCCTCACTTTATCTCGTCTTGCCAATTTCACCTCACCTCCTCCGTCTCCTATCTCTACTCCTACTCCTACTCCTCGTCCTACTCCTCTCCCTCTCCCTCTCCCTCTCCCTGTCCTCCTTCCCCCCACCCCCACCAGCAGGTGCATACCGATCACTCTCCGCAAACCGATTCCCACCCCTCGCCCTCCCGCCATCCCAGCGATCATACTCGCGCGATCTATACCCCCTGTTCCGCTCCCTATCCCTATCTCTATCGCGGCTATCATCGCGTTTACGCACTCTATCCCTGCTATCTTCGCGCTTAGGTTTACCTTGTGCTTGGGATTTAGTAGGCGAAACAACCGCCGCCGTGGTAGTACTCGTCTCAGCACCAGTGGGTACATATCTATCGATTCCATCCGGGGAGCGGGAGCGCGAGCGGTGTCTGGCGCGGGGATCGGGGGAACGCTCACGATCACGATCGCGACGACGGCTGCGCGAGCGCGTACGGTCTCTCTCTCTATCCCTATCTCTGTCACGCTCGCGATCACGCCGATGGGAGCGGGACGTGTGGCTTTCGCGCGAGCGGTCTCTGCTTGTGCGGCGGGTGCGCTTGTCGTCTCTTTCTCTTTCTCTGTCGCGTTCCCTATCGCGGTCCCTATCACGGCGTCGTGTACTACTATCCTCGTCGCCGCCGGGCCGGTACGAGTGTCTGTCATCCAGGGCGCGGGAGCGGCGGTCATCCTCGATGCGGGACGAGCGGCGGTCGAAGCGGCTCCCGCGCGAGGCCGAACGACTGCGACTGCGTTTGCGGAAGCTTGTGCTGCGGGAACGGGAGCGGGCGCGCGAGTGTGTTGTTTTCAGGGGCGGGGGCTGGTCCCAGCGGGATTTGGGGGGGGTTTCGAGCGCCGGCGGGGCGTCGTGCATGGGTGTGTCTTTGTCTTCATCTTTAAGGTCCGGAGATGTGGGTTCTTTGCTCGGCGACGGGATGGCTGGGGATTGAGATTTGGTGTCTAGTTTGGCGAGGCGGGCGGCGACGGGGTCTCTTGGGACGAGGAATTTCGGGGGCTGGGCTTTGCGCATCGGGGGCTCGAGGGAGCCTGATCGCTCGAGGGCGGGGCGTTGGCGGGATTTTTTCATCTGCTCGCTTTCTTGGAGGAGGAGTTGGAGGGCTAGGTCGTCGTCGACTTTGATGTCTTCGGGGTTGACTGGCTTGACACGCTCCTGTGAGCGCGTTCTGCTTCGGCTTCTGCTCCTGCGCCTGTCTCTGTGTCGGTCTCGGTCTCTGCCGCGGTCGGGCGTCCTGCTACGTGCGCGACCGCCTCGACTGCCCCGGCTACGTGCGCCGCTCCTTCGCTCATACTCGAGCTGTATGCGCCGTTCTCGCTCGCGGTCTTCTTCGCGGATCTTCTTGAGGCGGGCTTCTCGGTTCGCCTCATGCTCCTCCCTCTCCTTTTTGTATCGGGCCCGCTCCTCTTCCTTTTCTTTGTCAAGGCGCTCCCTGTCTTTGCGTCTGCGCTCTTCGTCTTCTCTGTCCTGCTCCTCCCGTTCCTTGCGTCTGCGCTCTTTCTCCTCCTGGCGGGCCTGTTCGCGCGCCTCGTCTTCTTCCTTCTCACGCCGCCTGCGCTCCTCCTTCAGGGCCCGCTCTTCGCGCTCCCTCTCAAGCTCTTGTTCGCGCTCCTTCTCACGTATGGCCTCTCGCTGTTGCCGTCGAGCATCAGCTTCCTGCGCCCACTCCTCTTCGGTCTTGCTCCCCTGCTTCTCTTCTTCAGCAGCAGCCTCGGCGCCAACTTCCTGGATTCGGTACTCCCGCATCTTGGGCAGGCCCTCCTTCTGGATCAGCTGGTCGAGCAGTGTGCTGACGGTGTTTGTGATGTTCGCGTAGATGTCGCCGCGCTCGCCCGCACCTTCGATGAGCGTGGCGGCAACGCGGGGGTCTTTGGATAGGAGAGAGGGGTTGCGATCAGTCTCGCGGTCGACCAGGTCTTTGAGGGCAGCATGGAGTTCATCTTTGGCAGGCTGCGCACTGTATATTAGCCTCACACTCTCAGTCGTGAATATCTCAGAAAGCCGTACGTACGCTCGCTTCAAACTGGGCCAGTAACTCCTTGCGGATGCTGTCGTAGTGGCCCTTCTTGCGGAACGTGTGGACCAGGTTGTCAATGGCCGACCGCTTTGTCTGCGACAGCGGGAGTTCGGACGGTCGCAGCCTCTTGCGCACATGCCCAGGCCCGTCGCCGTCGAGGGCCCGCTTGCGACTGACTTCAGCCATGGCTGGGGGTGCGTCAAAGAACTTCACCGAGTATGACGTTGAGGTCGCGCATGCAGGGGACGGGGAGCCGGGTTGCGCTGCACGAAACAGTGGAGAGGGCCACGGAGCCGCAACAGTGATGGCGATGCCCGAGCGAGTGGTGTTAGGGAGAGGGTGGATTCACGTGGGAAAACATGGGGAACGGCCACGGCAAATGGGCGATGATGCAAAGTATGGGTCGGGCGAGTTGGGCGTTCCCTTCCGCATTCCAGCGCACGTGATTGGGTCTTGGGTCTTGGCGGAGAGGCCGTGAGCTGGGCCGACGAGGGCAACGCGACTCGACCACACGTCCCAATTCACCTCTGCCACTGCCGCCCCGCAAACAAATACAAACAATCCCAACAAACGCATCCCGGTGGGAAGTTCAAAATGGTTCACAAGGTCCTGTTCTGGAGCGGACTCGGTACATCTCTCACCACCTCCGTCCATGCTCGACCTCTCCGCTGACGACTGCTCTGCACAGGCGTTGCTGCACGGCTATGGCAGCTCGGCATTGAGATGCGCCCGCTCTTCAACAAGGAATCCCTCTGGGTCTACCCCGTCTTCGCTGGCATTGGCGGCAGCTTCGGCTACTGGCTCATGGGCGTCGAGCACCGTCAGTTCAAGCTGCTGGCCGACCGACGAGACACATTGCTGGAGAAGCGAGCACGGAGGAAGGAGCGCGAGGAGGCTGCCGCTGCCGAGAGAGAATGAACATGCAGGTGTGGAAGTGGGGAGAGCGTGTGAGGGGTCGTAGTGAGGTCGTTTCTTTGGTGCAGTGTGCACATACGGTTGGGTTGGAATCCGCCATTTTCGTTGCCAGAATTTGCAGAGAGAGGGTATGGAGAGGCTGTGCGGACAGCAGTGACGAGAGGCGCTGGGTACACTTTATGATTATGTTCGAGCTGAGGACTCGCCATGTACACATTCCTCAATCAAAAATCAATCCAGAAACCAAACATCACCACAGTTCATTGCTACGACAGAGTTCGATATGCTTTTTGACAGAATGCGAGATATTGCCTATTCCAGCTAGTGCACGACTCTATCCTCGTGCAGGAACAGTCGACGACCATCCATCACGAACCTACCACTCTGTCAAAACCATTATGCCTTGATATAAAACCACGACGACCCTCGTGGTCAATCCTCACGACCACCAACCCTACGTCATGTCTTCCAGCACAGAATCCGCCCTCCCTCCTAATGGGCCCCGTAACGTGACAATACCTACCCTAGCAATGACCAACACCAACGTCAAAGCCAAAGGCATCGTCGTGTTTTCCGGTGGTAGCGCCGCCAACGCGCTTGTCGACGTATTCAACACGGTTAGAGAAGACAAGAAATGCCCGCTGAGCTATGTTATTCCTATCAGTGATAACGGCGGGAGCTCTTCTGAACTGATACGAGTCTTTGGCGGCCCGGGTGCGTATTCCTCCCGTTCAAACAGGATATGTATTGATTGAAACAGGAATCGGTGATGTTCGCAGTATGTTCACCGCCTCAACATCTTCATGACGGTGCCTTGACTAATACCCCACCGGGTCGACTCGTCCGTCTCATCCCAGATGACCCCGACAACGACGACAGTGAAAAGGCTGCTATCAAGGCCTTTTTCAACCACAGACTGCCCAAGGACCGCACGGAAGCTAGGCAGGAATGGCTGCAGCTCTTGGAGGCGGAACACGTGCTTTGGACGAACATCTCCACGGCGAAGAAAGAGCTGATCCGATCTATTCTTAATCATATCGCTTTTGAAATCATCAAGCGTCGAAGACCATCGTCGAGTTTTGACTTTTCGACTGCGAGTATCGGGAATCTCTTCCTGACTGGGTGCGTACCCTCCCTGCCAGAACTCTCCATCCTCACCAAGCTCCCTATTTATTAAAAAACACAACAGCGCCCGCCTCTTCACCGGCTCCTTCGAATCCGCAATCTACCTCCTCTCCAGCATCTGCTCCGTCCCAAGCCACACCTCGGTCCTCCCAGCAATAAACACAAACTTCACACACCACATCTCCGTCGGCCTCTCAAACAACACCACAATAACAGGCCAAAACTCAATCTCCCACCCCTCTCTCCCCACCGCCCTAGAAAACAGCGCAACCCCCCCCTCCCCCCTAGATGAAACAGAACACCACGACCGCATCGAAGACGCAAACCTGCCCGGCTCCCTCCCCACCCTCCGCAAACAATACATCACCTTCTCCAAAGCCGCTGAGGCCGAACTGCCCGCTAGGATAGACAGGTTGTGGTACATCAACCCCTACGGCCAGGAGATACGGATTGGCGCGAACCCCCTTGTGCTCGGCGCGCTGCACAACGCTCAGGCGGTGATATACAGCATCGGCTCGCTGTACACGTCCATCGTGCCGTCGCTAGTACTGAAGGGAATCGGCGCCGCCCTCGCAAACCCCGCTATTCGCACGAAAATCCTCATCCTCAACTCGACACTCGATCGCGAAACAGGACCCTCCTCCGCGCCCTACTCGGCCCTCGATTTCGTCGCTGCGATAGCCAACGCGGCGGCGAATTCGCAGGGCGTGTTTGTCCCTGTGGGTAGAGAGGGGTTGCGCGCGTATGTTACGCATGTTATCCATCTGCAGGGTCCGGGGACGCCGGTCGTGGATAGGGAGGAGCTGAGGGGGTTGGGGATTGAGGCTATACGTGTTTATGGCAGGAGGGATGAGGGCGAGGGGTTTGTGAGGTATGATGAGCGGGGGCTGATTCAGGCGTTGGAGGTTACGCTCGGTAGGAGGGATAGGGTGCCGAGTCGGAGGAATACGCTGGAGGGGGGGAGGTGAGGGGGGGTGTTGTTGGTTCATTCCTAAGACGATGTTGGAGTGAGGCGATGGAGTACTGTTTAGAGGCGATAACGTAGGTTTGGGTAGTTTTATCCCTTGTTCGAAAACTTCCTGGTCCGCTTTGCTGCTATGCACTCATCGCCGAGGAAGTAATCACAAGGGTGAATAATCTGATCCGGCCTCTAACACCCCGTAACGAGTGGACAATGTGAATGTAGAACGAGGAGACATATTGTACGCGGTAGTGTCTAATTACTGATAGGCGAAGATGAAGAGGGTATGTGTAGAAGAACCCGAGACAGAGAAACAAGAAATCCTCGATCTCTAAAACCCAACATAACATGACCGAAACCGTAGAATTTTGAACAACCTTACTAACTAAGCTTTTTACATCACCTACCGCCCAAACTCCCTCCTTGAAACACACCTAAACTCCAATCCCACCTTCCTATATACAACCCCCCGAACCGATACCGCCACAATAAGGCAAAAAAAAGAAAAAGAAAACCCAGCGAACACCCCATCCCCATCTCCAACAACTCAATACCCAAACCCACTCCACCGGCCCCTCTCCACAAACCCCAATCCATGTCCATCCTCCCACTCATCCCCACCCGCGGCCGCAGCCCTCCTCCCCCTCTCCCTCTCCTCCGTACCCCTCCTAAGCGGCACCCTCCGCGACTCCTGGATAAATTCCAGCGCCTCCCTAATATCGCGCATATTAAGCTGTTCGTCCTGTGCCGACAAGCGGTGATGGTGGAACGACGCAGCGGGGTGATGGTGGGAGTCGTGCACATCTGCAGTGTAAGACAAGCTACGGGGAGGGTAGCGGGGGGCGTGTGGGGCTTGCATGTTCATGTTCATGCTTGTGCTCATGCGGCGGTGGGGGAGGGCGGGGCGGGAGTGTGGGTTGTGGACGTGGATGTGGGGGTAGTCGTTTGCGGTTGCGGTTGCGTTTGTGGGGGGGTAGCGCGTCTTTTGATGCTGCTGGTCTGTGGTGTCGTAGATGTAGCTTGAGTGTGGGCGGTGGGTTGGGGTGCGGCGGAGGGCGCTGCTGGGTTCGGGGCGCGCGCGTTGGGAGAGCGAGGGGGAGTGCAGGGGCTCGTCGAAGATTATGTCTTCTGATGTGTGGGTGGATGATGCGTTGGTGTAGGAGGCTGTGTCGCTGCCTTGGCTCCAGGACGAGTCGCGGGACATGGGCTGGGAAGTGGTGGGTTTGTGGTAGTTTGTTGGGGGGGTGGGGTAGCTGGCTCGTCGGTCTCGGGTGTGGTCGTGGTCGCGCTTGTGTTTGTGCTCGTTGGCTGTGCCGTTTGCGTTGAGGTGGATGTGGACTTGGCTGTGTGGAAGTCGGGGCGAGCTGCTCTTGGAAGATGACGGGCTGTGCTTGCCCATATCAATCGACTGAGACTCTCGTCGTCTTCGTGAGGATGACTCTTTGTGGGGGTCCGTGGCTCGTCGAGATCGCGTCCAGCTCTGGCTTCGGCTTCGGCTGCGAGAGCCGTTTCGTCGTGATCTCCGGGATCCATTCGAGCGTCGTGAATACCGATCGATGAATCCATAGTCGCCCTGCTCAACATTGTGCACATGATACCGCTCAGAACCTGAACTACCAAGGTCAGAGTTCCACTCGCCCTCCGACTCAGAGGAGGTCTCGTCACGACGACTGCTTCTATGTTTTGACTTCTGCTCCTTGAACAGGCGAGGATCGAGTGTTTGGATCGGTGGGCCGTTGTGCTGTCGTTGGTTCATGCCATAGCCAGACACTGCTTCCGGGAAGGATCCGGGCATCGGTCTGGCTGGCGGTGGGACAGGAGGGGCTTGTTGAGGCAGCATACCCCTTATGACTCCGGGAGGTCCATTAATTGCAGCCATTCCAGCCATTCCAGTCATCCCAGGAGGACCGTGCATCGCAGGAGGAGGGCCATGCATTGTAGGAGGTCCAGGTGGCCCAGGTGGCCCAGGAGGGGGTGGCGGAGGAGGGGGTGGTGCTCCCATGTTCCCAGGTCCATATGTTTGCCCTTGATTTGGGGGTGGAGGAGGACGAGCTCCATTGCTTTGAGGTGGTGGTGGCGGCGGCGGCGGCGGCGGCGGACCGTGAGGATTGCCTTGGCTTGGTGGTCCAGGTGGGGGTGGGGGCTGTGGCATGCGCATCGGTGGGAGTTCGAAGTGTTGCCCTTGTCCTGGAGGTGGTCCTTGTTGTGGATTGCTTCTTGGCTGACCCGTATTGTGCAATGAGTTGTTCATGTTCCCCGGAAACTGTTGATCTTGTGGCATGCTGTTGGGTCTCATAGTACGGTTGGAGTCCTGTGCGACATGAGAGTTTCCAGTAACGCCTAATCCAGTCTTAGGTCCTTGAGGTTCCCGAAATCCAGATGGCTCAGTCTCCAAGATTACTTCCACACGCTTGAGTTGTCGTTGCTTGCGGTTGATGTTCTTCCATTCGATTTGTACGCAGGCAATTGTGTATTGAAGACTGTGGGTGTACTTCCACAACTCCCGATTCTGTTCCTCCACGAGCTCGTTGATGAGTCTGCGGCAGTTGACAGATGGTATCTCCTGCATAACGCGCTTCACGTTTCCACGGGCACGGCGGAACTTGATCAAATCATTCTGAATCTCTTGGAGAGCGACACGTTGCTGTTCGGGAATGACGTCTTCCCAAGCTTCGACGCCTTTCGGCTTCTCCAGTGTGAACAGAACTACTTGTGGGTCGTAGATGGCATATACATTCGAAGATTGTTGTTGTCCTTGGTTACCTTTCTGCTGGGCGAACGTGGGTTGTTGACCGTTGGGCATTGGTCGCTGTTGTCCAACATTCTGATGCGGTTGAGGCAACTGACCAGAGCCATGGTAGGGGGGCTGAGGAGGCATCTGAGGATTCATCATGGTAGATGGGATGAAGACAATTTCAAATGGAGAAAGTAGAACCAAGTGACTGAGGTTGAGAGTCTGAGGCAAGAACGAAGAATCTGGTAGAAGATATATAGACAGTGAACAGAGCTGTTGCCCTACCTCGAGTTGTGTACTTTTGCCCTCCGTCCAGGGCAACGGTAACACCGCCCTGCACGCGAGCAGGGATGGAAGTCTTTCTTGGACGCGACGAGTAAAGCTAGTTCTGAGCTTAGGCTGAACCCGAAACACTTTTCGATTGGCTACTCAGAAGGGCGTTCGCGAGCCTCACCCAGAGACTGGCAATTCAAGGACTCACCGGCCAAAGCCACCAGGCTAAGAAGCCATGCATAGAAGCAGGCAAATCTTCCGCCTTCTTGCGTGAACGCCAAGGATGAACCACCATGCAAAAGCAACCGAGCCTCTCAGGCTCACCGGAGGGCTGATGAGTCGTCGAGACGTGCAGGAACGCGATGCAGGATGCGCAACGCAGGACTCTTGATGATGGTTCCTTGATGCAGCATGGTTGCGACTACGTTCAATCGCCTGGAAGATCCGGTGTCATCTGCAGCCACCTGATAAGCGAACATGTATCGTTATGCTGGGTTTCGCGTTCGAGCGGCATTTTGGGACCCTCAAGTTCAGAGAGTGTAGTGTCTCGGTGCATCAGAAGGAACTGGAGCAAACACCTGTTGACGCTAGCTGGTCCGCTTTGGCCATGTCTTGATCCTTGCATTCACCACTCTAAGCTCAACGAGAACATGGCAATTGACCACTCAAACCTAGAGCCAAATGATGTCAAACAACTACGCTGCCTGTGTTTCCAGCCGTATCGTGCGTATGTGGGTGACTGTGGTGATTCCTGGTCTTCTTCCCAACCGGCTAGCATTTCCGGCCTAACAGCTCAAATCACCACTATGTGTTTGCCTGTTACACAGAAGGACCATTTGATCTATCTACTTCGTATGCATGTATTGACGAACGACTCGCTTGCACAGTTGAAAGCCACCACACTATCTCTAGCCGACCCCCGCCTGCAAGACTGACAATTCGAAGGACCCGACCTCAACCACGTACACTCAGGATCGTCGGGACGGCATCAGCTACAAAGTGAAGGACCCACGTCCTGAACGAGAGTTCGCAGTGTCGATCCGCTTCTGCACGTCCAACTGCTGCTTGTTGCTATGCAAAATCCAGCGCCCCATCTCCACGTCGATGCGCCCTACAACCCTCGTTTCCATATCCAGCCAATACCCTTCTCGCCGGATGTCCGGGGTAGCTTGGACAGACCGGTCGAAATATGCATGGAACCGCCACCAACTGTCAGAAGACATACTTGAGCCTCAGCCTGATGGCTACGATTCGCTAGATTTCTTACATCATCACAAAGGACCGAGTCCGACAGGTGGGAAACATGCGATTAGCAAGTCCTTGTCTCACTTGGATATCAGAAGCTCCACCGGACGGTGCGAGCCGTCCTGGAGGTCCTCCACTGTGGGGCTGATGTTTGGATCAGATGTACAGGGCTGAACGAACCTTTCGAGCTCATGGAACCTATGATCAGGCAACCATTTCTTGGATATTGTCTCGATTGCCTTACATCATCTCGAGTACGCTTCGCATGCTGATACGAACCACGACAAATAAGGTTTTCGGAATACGTTTACCATCAGGACTTGTCATCGCGATAGTCCTGGACAAGGGCCAAGGGCAAGCGAGCGAGCGAGCGGCCTCTCTTGCCTTCTATTGGCACCACAGTACGGTCCCTACCGAGCTGACAGCTGCAGAAAAAAAAGAAAAACAGCAATGACGACTACAACGTTGACGACAATCGCACCCAGGATACGTGTATTCTGCAGAGCCGCAACATAACACGACCACTCTGCGTTTGTCTCGAAGTAACATCCGTTCGGGTTGTTGTTTCTTGTTCAAAGTAAACAGCAGTTGGTATCCAAACGTGCAACGCAAGACATCAATGCAATCCAGCCTCGTACACCCCTCCCCAAGACACAACACAGTCTTATCTCACCCCACCCAACCCCCTCCCCCTTTCCCCCAAAGCCCATACCATGCACCCACCGCGAACCCTTGCCCTCAAACGCAAACTAACCTCATTTACTCACAAGTAATGAGTAAATCGAGCATTATAACATACCAAAACGCTATACCTATACCTAGATCACCTCCCATGGCGTATCAGTACACCTCCAACACGTGAAACTCACTACAGAGTGCAGGTGCGAAGCGAGCGTACGAGATGTCGTGAAGTGAAGTGAAGTGAACCAAGCATGGTATGGGGTGCATGGTGTACACAACGCAATGCCATGTCACGCAATGCCATGCCATGCAGTGTGTGCGGAATCAAAGAAAAGGGTGTGCGTGTAGGGTACACAGCGCTGTTAGTGTTAGCATGAGCTATGTGAATCAGTGTCGAGTGCCGAGAAGGAAAGGAGGAAGTAGGTTGTGCGAAGGAACGAAGAGAGAAGACCGGAAGGAGGCGTTTCGCGAGGAAGGCTGGAAAGATGGGGGCGGGGGGGATGGTGAGTATGTACATACAACAACAAACCCACAAGGCGGAATATGAACATACACAAACAGCACCAATCCCATATGCACAAAGACAGCATAGCATAGTATAACCTATGACATGGGGGTATTATCCCAAACTAACACGACACGACACGACACGACACGACACCACCAAGCCAAGATCCCCAGATTCAAAGTTCCCACAAACGCCAACCATCTACCCAAGTTCTCAATCATGATAAACGCCCGACATAAGCCCACAATCCAATGCGGTGAAAAGCACGAACCCTCCCTTCCCTCCTGAGATGCCCCGGTCTAGAAAATGCGCCGAAAAAGGTCAAAAACGTATATCATGTGGTGTGGATCGGTGGGGGCGTGTGTAAATACGGGGACATGCCGCCGATTAATGTAGAGGGCATGGCATGCATGTATGACGTGTGGGCCGAAAGGGCCGAAGCGGGTGTGCATGCATGTCAGTATGTTGATATGAGGGCCGATGGTGACGGGCCTTCATTTCATCTATGCTGGACAAAGCGGGTGTGGGCCAAGCGGCTAAGATATTATTATATGGACACGATTGGTACGTCATATTCACAGGATGCGGTGTCTGCGAGTAATGGGTTAGCTGGTGTTTGTGTTGATGTTGGGTGGGTTGGGAGTGACTCACTGCCTGAAGCACGTTTCGAGGCTCACCGCACTCAGCTCGGAGTCTGCGGGCAGTTCGTCGACCAAAGGTACCAGGCCGGCGAACTTCTCGCCTCCCTTGTAGGCGAGCACGGCGGGTACGCCCATGAGGTCCATTTCGGCGTCTGCGTAATGGAATTTGACAAAGCGGGTTGTGTCGTTGCGGCGTGCGACTTCAAGCATGTATTCTTCGACCATGTTGGAGATCTCAGACTGTTGATTTGTTAGACATGATTGAGTGAAGAATGTTAGTGAACATGACATACCATATCATCGTATATGAAGACTACAACAGTCGTATCTGACCCCACCTTCTCAATGGCATTGAGGTATCCCTCGCCGTCCACCAAGGGCATGTTGCCATACACACGTCGGCTGGGGCTGTTCGTGCGTGACCGTATCCGCTCACCGGCGTTGGTCAGCTCTAGCAGTCTCGCCTCGCGCCATCGCTTCATGAAGCCATCGTCGTTGTCCTCGTCGGAGGAGAACCTGTCGTCCTGGTGGTAGGCGGCGACGCTGTACTGCTGCGGGGATGCTGTCTTCTTCCATGTGAAGCGTCGTTGCTGCTTCTTCGCCTGCTCAAAGGCCTGGGCATCTGCAATGACGCCCTTGGGTCCAGTGTTGGCCTCGGACCGGATCGAGGGCATGTAGTAGTTGGAGCGCATGTCGGCAGGGATATCAAGCTCGTCGTCTGTATCAACTTTCTCGCGGTAGTCGTCGTCGGCACCGGCAGATTCTGGGTCAGAGAGGTCACTGTCGTCGAGTCTGTCTTCGGGGTGTCTGCTTTCGTGGTCCTTGTCGCGGAGGAGCTCGTTGAATTCGTCCTGGGCGGCGGAAGTAGTCATAGTGAAAAAGGGAGGCCTGAGTCGCGGGTATGGGTGCTATTTGTACGGCAGCTGCGCAATTGTTGCAAAAAGAAGGAGCGACTAGCATCCAGGATGATGTTGCTGTCTGGAGATCTGGTATCAGCCTTGGCGGAGCGCAGGGCCAACGTCGTGATTGGGCGAGCACGTGCGTTGGCAGGGGAGACCATGGTCGGTTGCTGTTTTAAGCCAACGTCACCACCATCTGAAACGAGCCCTCGAAACAGAGCAAGCTTCGCCTCGAGCGCATTGCAGTTGAAACGCCGTTTGCTTTGACATTGCTTCACTCCACACTATGCTACCCTATGGCACGGCATTGTTTAGTTTGCATACCATTCACAAACAATCACAAGACTTACGTGGCATGATACATTCATGTCAAGTCCGTGCCCCTGCTATTCTGGTCGAAAAGGGTGCTCGGGCGCTGGGACCACTCAGGAGATGGCGTTTCTGGAAGAACGGTGGAAGCCTTGACAGGACGTGCTTGTCGGAGAGGTGGGCCGAAGCTGTCACTCCTCCACCTTTCTGGCCGTTCAAGCGGTCAGGCGTGATTACGTGCGGAGTGCTCATTCAGCTTGATGGAACGAGCGTAGCTGTTACGGGAAGTGGTCACTGCAGTTCACTTAAACTCTACCAGTGCTTGCATGTACACGAGCTCGTGTTTATCCAGCACATTGTCCTATCGTGAGGGTTTGCATCGATGGCCCTTGTTGATAAGATGAGGATTATCTCCTGGTATCCATGGGCTCAGACGGGTCCATGGCCACGGTGTACAGAGTCCACTAAATCTGCCGCCAGGAGCTTGACATAAGAACGAACCACTATACGTCTGCGTTTGCCACTACCGGTTGCCAACTTTCCAACCCTGCGTGTCAGTGGCAGATGCCGGGGTAGAATGTTGTCGACCAGATAGGCCTCCTTGACCCATGCTTTTCCTTGCGACTCGTACATGGAAAGATCCGTGACAAGTTACTAAAAGTCACAGTCAAATGAAGTCTATGCGAAGCAAAGCAAGTAATACAATGCAAAGCAAAGAGACCATAGCATCACTTGCATCTGCATTAAAAGCAACAAGCATATAACGTCACACAAGCGCGTGATCATGAAGCGAGTCGCAAATGGTACATGGGAAAATATCTTACTAAAATGACTACTGATCTGCCCTCCCCCCTGATCATCAAACTCACAAACACAAGCTGAGAAACCATACATTGAACTCTTACATCAAGCTAGTGGTTTCCATTACGATGCAGCACACGCAAAACAGCTGATCGCCATCACCCTCCGACCACCTCCAAACCACCACTCGTAAGTCCGTGCAAGAAAAACCGTCTTGCCACCTTTCCGTCTTCCCACGCGGCACGCAAGGACAAAGCTGTCGCTTTTTAATAACCAGACAGAGAAAAAGAGATGAGTAATACTGTATGGGGAAGAGGAATGTCGACTTTGGACACGAAGCTGCATTTAGGTATACGAGCGAGACAAAACACAGCAGCTACTCGTGTACGTCGCAAAGCAACCGAGATGAACGATTGCAGGAACGACGTACAGCCCACATTGTCCAACATGAAAGAGAGAAAAAAACAGTGGTATGGAAAGAAAACGCCTGCCACCAGATGACACGAGTGGTATATTATGTTGGGGTAGAGTCGCTGTGTCGAGAGCTCTCCCAATGGTTGTGAGATGTTGGAAGTGGGTATGATGAAACGGACAGCTGTTCAAGCGGGATGTTGCCGTGGGCTGACCAATATTAGGGGAAAGTATGCGCGATGATCGTTGTTCATGACGTCGCATGGTCACATGGGCAGCGATGTCTATGCCCAAATACGCAGCTGCATCAGGTTAGTCGTGTGTAACATGCCATAGCCTGTCGGTGGAACGTACCATGGAGTCCCATGAACCAGTGCAGAGACTGAGCGCGTCATTGCTTACACCGAGACAGCTGACTCGGTTGTCGTGTCCTTGCAGTGTGCCTACACGTTCGCCGCGCAGTACATCCCAGACCTGGAGGATTGTTAACACCTTTTCTGTCACACGTTTCAAGTGTTACCCACCTTGCATTCGAAATCATCGTAGCCAGCAAACAGCAAACGACCAGAGACTGAAAAGGCGACAGACGTGATACCGCAGACGGGCTCAGGGATCTATCGAGCAGAACGTGTTAGCTACCAAGAACGCAAGTCTGTGTCAGCTTTGCGGGTGACATACCTGGTACGATGCTAGTTCGCGATCAGCACGGATATCAAACAAGCGACAAGACGCATCATCGGAACCAGTGCCAAAGGCGTTTCCGTTGGGGAAGAACTGGATGGCGTTGATGTCCGAGTCGTGGGCAGCGAATGTCTGCACGCACTTCTGCTGGCGAATATCCCACAGCTTGGCAAAGGCGTCGCAGGCACCAGACACGAACTGGTTGTGGTCGAGCGGGTTGATGCTCAGACTCATGACGTCCCCGAGATGATCGGCGAACTCGTGAACCTTTGAACCGGTTTCTAGGTCCCACAGCACGCAGGTCATGTCGCCAGAAGAGGTTAGGATGCGCTTGTCGCTGATGAATCTGCAGCAACTGAGGTAGCCCGAGTGGCCGGAGAGCTCGCGGGCGACGCGTGTAGGGCCTTCGCGCGCCGACAGGTTGTAGATGGAGCAGATGTTGTCCAGACCACCGCAGGCGACGTAGTTGCCAGACGGCGAGTAGGCGCACGTCATGACCCACGAGGAGCGCAGGGGGATGGCGTGCACCTTGTTTGTTGTGTAAGCGTCCCAGATGATCAGCTTTCCGTCCTGCGAGGCCGAGACGAGGTGGCGGCGGTCGGTAGACCAGTGCATGGCGTAGATCTTTGCGAGATGGCCCTTGAGCGTGCGCTTGGTCTTCATGGCGAGGCGCGGCAACGTCTCGACGCGATCGCGGGCGACATCGCGGACTGCAGAGGGTGTGTTAGTACGAGCGACTCTAGGGCAGGCCGGGGGAGGACGTACGGGTGGTATCAGCGAGCTCGTCCTTCTTCCGTTTTATCCTGTCCTTCAGCGCCTCGGCATCGCGGCGGGCGACCTGGATTCTCTGCTGGATGGATTCTTGATTCATATCGGCCATGCTATACGCGTGCTGCCCGAGGGTGGGAAAGGTGGTGGTCGGCGGAGATGCGCGAGGGCAGAGTGGCAGACAGGCAGGCTAATCCAGGGGCCTCGCAGGGAGCGCAGCAGCCCGGGCACAGGAGGGGCTAAGTCAGCGGTCGGGGGCAGCAATGGCTTGGACGCGCGCAGAGGAGCGGCAATTGCACGCGCAGACGGGACGACCGGGGACTGCAGTTGGGGGAGCGTGAGGGTCGCGAGTGTTGTCGGCGAAGTGCTGGCGAGCGAGCGAGGTACGAGGCCGGCCGGGATGAGCTTGACTAGACTAGCCGAGAAACACCAGCCGGGGCTAGAAAAAGAAAGCCGCGACGACGAACAGCACGCACGGCAATGCGGGGACACGGCGCGCGGGTGGAGGGTGAAGGGGAAGGGCTCAGCTGCGGGCGTGTCCTGCGATTGCGTGGTACGGCGTGGTGAAGCTGAGAGGCGTGGTGTTGGTCTCCTGCGCGAACGGCCTGACGAAGAAGGCGCGAGCGCCGCAATTTCCTGCACCGCTCCTCCTTTTGGCGCGTCGCCCGCTCATTCGCCCACCCCCAATCTGCCAAACCTTCTATTCTCCTTTCGAGAAACATTACCAGCGCCACCAATATACCCGTGCACCGTTTGTCTATCATGTCCGTTGACAGCGACTTCGCCAGGCGTCTGCCCAAGATCGAGGTACTGGGTCGGTCCTTTTGATTGCAACACCAGAGAGCAACGACGTGCGTTGGTACAATCACTAATTCAGCCAACCATCCAGCTACACGCACATCTCACGGGGAGCATCAGCAGAACCTGTTTGCATGAGATATGGATTACCAAAAAAGCCCAAGAGCCAGACCTTGACGTGGAAGATCCCCTGATTGCCATTCCTCCAGGCAAGGTCGACTACGATATCAAAACGTAGGTATGGCTTCTTTGTTTGTTCGTATTAAGAACTTTACCACTCATGACTTGCCTTGCCTTGCACTACCGGATGCACCCGGATTCAATATTTCTCAGCGTACTACCGACTTATCGTGTTGTCCACTGGTGTATATGCAGTGTGAATTTAACTCCAATGATCATCATCATGCAAACCTTGTAGGATGCCTACAGTCTGCTGACAACTCCTTAGGTTCTTTCCTCTCTTTTCGTCGGTATGGAGTGTTTCGTCTGCAGACCCACATCGACTACTGACCCAGCCCACCACAGTACATCTACAGGCTTTGTAATGATCTACCCAGCATTGAGTATGTCTCCAGGTCCATCTAGCATCGCCCTGGTTGATCTCAGCTTAGATACTCGACCAAGGCTGTCCTGCAAGATTTCCAGGCTGATGGCGTGGTCTACGTCGAGCTTCGAACAACCCCAAGAGCAATGCCCACCAAGGGAATTACCAAAGATGACTATGTCAAAACTATCTTGGATATCCTAAACGTGCACAACGATCACAAAGGCAATGCAATGCGTGCCTTCCTCATCCTATCAGTTGACCGTCGTAACACCCCTGCAGAAGCCGAAGAAGTGGTCGATCTCGCCATAAAATACCAGACCATGGGCGTTGTTGGTGTTGACCTCTGCGGAGACCCAGCCAAAGGCGACGTCCGCATCTTCACAGACGCATTTGCACGAGCCAGAGCAGCAAACCTAAAGATCACACTACACTTCGCCGAGGGAGAAGTCTCAGCCTCGGATACAGAGCTGGAAACACTCCTCTCGTGGAAACCCAACAGACTCGGGCATGTCATCCACGTGAAAAACGAGTATCGGAGGATCATCGAAAAGGAGAACATTGGTGTGGAACTCTGCCTCAGCTGTAACGTCCACGCCCAGATGATCACAGGTACATATTCAGACCACCATTTCGGGACGTGGAGGCATAGCAGTGTTCCCGTGGCTCTTTCCGTACGCTATTCAACCACAACATAGATACGCGCACTGCTGATATATTAACACAGACTGATGATGTCGGCGTCTTCTGCAGTCCTCTGTCACAGGAGTACTACCTTGCTGCACAGCACTTTGGACTCAATCGCACCGACATCAGAGCGCTTTGTGAGCGAGCTATCGACTCCATATTCACTGGCCCGGAAGAGCATGCGCGTCTGAAAAAGATGTATTCGGAGTGGGCTGGTTGGACTGTGTAGGGAATGAGCGCGTAGGTGTATTTAGTAAAAGTGGATGCCTCAAATTCCACCATTTCACAGTGTTCAGGAATGGATATTTGCGTCCCAGTCCTGGTCATGTGTCCTTTCACTGGTAGGCGATGATGTCGGTTCACATATCTTGCTTCTGCAACACGAACTAGTACGATCACTTGATATCTATTGACAGTGCGAGTGAAAGCTATTGGCCTATCAAACTCTAACACCACGGTGTTACATCGAATTCACCACACTGCTCCCAAACTCAGAAACAACACTCCATCAAGCTCGCACACTCAGTAATCATCACATCTCAAAGTAATCCATCCATTCACACTAAACACCTATGAAAACACAACATCCACGCATTAAAGTCGTGTAGCTGCCTGGCCACTTTCCTCACGAAAGCATGTACAATCTCATAACAGAAATATGTTAGTCGCAGATCCCGCTGTGCGGAAACACGTTTAGCCCGTTGGTCTACTTTCGATGTATTGCTATCGCTAGGTGGTTTAGATGGGCGGTGCCTCTTCCTCGTTTCGCCGTGTCGAACTCTGGATCTACGTGGTGTTGCTACATATTATATTTGCTTGTATTGTTGTTGCTCTCATACGTCCTACGTGTTGAGGAGGAAGGGGTGTTTGTTATGCATTTTGATTGTGGATAAGCTGATAAGTATTCTGTTACGTTCTATATGCACAATTATAAGTTATGGATGGATGGTAATGCTGTGTGATTTGAATGAACTTGCTTAGACCTTCGGAATGTAATGTGGGATGTGGAGATATCGATGACTTAAGTTGATGGGGAGCGAGTCTGCGTCATGTGTAACAAATGGCCTGGGGGTCAATCTGTAGGGTTGAGGCTCCTGACGACCGTTTTGATCACTGTGAGAGTTGGGTAGAAGATGAGACTCTACCTCTGGAGTGGATATGTTTCTTACTGGTCTCTGTAGTTGGTGTGGTGCAAACTTGACGCCGAGTTCTGATACATTTAAAAAAAAAAGTTATCGTCTCGGGCCGTTTATATATGTCTATGGTGGCGGGTCAAGAGATATGTAGACGTGTTGGTATTGTTACACTTGTTGAGATATCACACTGAGGTCAGGCTATTACCTTGATAGTACACGTCGCAGTCAGTAAGACGTCTTGACCCAACATTATCTACTAAGCGTACCGCTATGTATTTCTACATGCCAACCGATTTTAGGGCTCACAATACCTGATCCTGTTGGCTTACAGCTAGGTTAGGCTTGAAGTTTGATGCAATCGTCCGGTTGAATACTGCCTAGCGGCAACTCTTGTACTGGGTTTCCTACACATCAACCTGCGATCCCGCGATATCCCTCAAACGACACAATATACATCCAGCTCTCCAGTCACTGGCGTAGTGTCTTTGGGCCGACTCAACGTCTGTGCACATCTCCTATCCGCCTCTTCCACGCCCTAGCCTGCCGCCTACTCATAGCATTCCAAATCCACCTACATCCCTCGACGAAGCATGCTCTCCGCGCTCTCAAAGCCCAACAACAGGCAACTCACGAGACGTAAAAGACACAGATACTAAATCCGTCCGAAGTGCCAAAGCCAACGACGTCCCTGTATGACGTGCATCCTCTCTCCCGTACCTGCCAAGCGCCAGGGGCGATGCACGGTATCCAATCGCATCGCAGCTCTGCCTTCAATCCACCACAGCGCCGCTAGCACTTCGTAAAAGACGGTCCCGTGCAAGCTGACGGGCGCCTGCGCCCCCGAGTTTCTATCTAGGGGGGACGGAATCAATAGATGGGAGTGACGATATAAGGCTACAGGCTCACCCGTTGTTCATAAGTTTGTTTTCGGAAATTTTTGCTAAATCCACCACGTTCATTACTTTTCTGTTAATCTTCCGGATATATACAACATGGCGCGTGCGTTGCTGATGCTGGTGCTGGGTCTTGGTGCTGCGGTGTGCGCGCAGAATTCGGTTTGTAAGTCTTGTTTATATGCAGGCAGTTATGCTATGTTGAACTATTATTCTGATAGAAAACGTCAGACACAGGACCGATGTTCAACCCCTCGGAAGCACCGTTCTTCGACTACTCCCAGCTCGTCGTCCCGACCCAAACCCCCCAACTCCCGCAATACCCTGATTCTTACTCGTCATCGTCAATCACCCCGTCCCTCGCCGTCTACCCGACTCAAACCCCTTCCATAACGCGTTCCGCAAGCTCGGTTGTCAGCTCTTTGGCGCTCTTTCGCTCTCACTCCATCGTGTCTTCTGCTCGCAACTCTACTATCGCTTCGTCGACTTTCGCGTCGGGAAACTCTACCGTCTTGTTATCTACGTCTAGCCATTCTAGCGCATCGCGTGCTTCCACCTCATCTGTGACATTGTCCACGGCTACTTCTGCTTCGAGATCTGCTTCATCATCGTCGTTGGCTTCCGCTTCCGCGCCGGCAAGCACGGGTGCTGCTGTTGCGAAGTATCCCCGTGTGATCGGCATCATTGCTGGAGGTCTGTTTGCTGGGCTGGTGATGGCGTAGGTTGAATAGGAGCGTACGAAGTAGCGGGATGGAGCATGTGTGTATGGTAACGTTGTTTGAACTTCTAACTCGAGTCTGATTGTATGGACTAATAGTACTTTTTACGTTTTGTCGAAGGATAGGAGTGGGGCCCTTGAACGATGATGTGCATACGGAGATTAACGTCGTATGCGATATTGCGGAGGATTGGCGAGTGCGAGTAGCTTTAGCTTTTTGGTAGTTGAACAAATCTATAATTTGGCAATGTTACTCAAAACCACGGTGGAGGTTTGTCTGTCAGTTCGATCAACCAAGACGCAGTATTCACTGACAGTTTAGGACAGAATACAGAGCGACATAATAGGGTATATTGTGATGTGCTTGTAAGACGACCCAATATTTCGGTCGATCACCGAGCACCGGACTTTTTTCCCTGTAAAACCATTCCCAACGCCATCAAACGCCGTCATGATGCAACATACAGACTTGTTTTCGCCCTTGCTCGAATCCTACTCCTCCATGGCGTCAATCTCCGTGACCGACTCCGTTGCTTTCGAGTAGTACGCCGTCAAATCGACCTTGAACTCCGCCATAGCCACACCGAACATCTTCAGCAGCGCCGTTTGGTGGCTGTTCATGACCTCGCCCTCCTTGCACACCGTGTACGGAATATCCAGCACAATCTTTCCCTTGTCGAGTCGTGTAGGCATGCCCCATTTCCTGACCGTCGTCTCCACGCTGTGGGGAAGCGGTACGTCGTCATCCTCTGGGAGCTCTCCACCTCTTGAGTGCACTACGCCCGCAGGAATCGTGAACGTCTGTGTGGCGGTGACTCCGGCGCGCGCGAAGTCGGTCTCGGAGTATGCGGCGAAGTACTCAATGACTTCCTTGGGGTCGCGGCTGGTGAAGAAAAGGCCCACGTTGCCAGTCAAATGCTCGGTGAGCTTGGACAGATTGGTGAGGTGCTCTTCTGCGGGCGTCTGGCCAAGCGCCTTTGCCATTACCTTTGTCTTGCCGAAGAAAAACCTGCGCGCGCATAAGACACTCTGTCCAGTCATAGTCTTGGGAGGAAATATGCATACCGGCTGTCTGCAAATTCAGCGCGCACCTGCTTCAGGTACGAATTCCGCATATTCTCGACAGAAAAGACAAAAATGTGCTCGAAGTTGTCCGCCGCTTCCTGGACATTGGCGAAAAGCTTCAACGACAGCTCCTTGCCCTTCTTGTCCGTCTTCGTGAGGTGTACGACCTTGGCGCGCTTTGATTTGGGCATGTTGGCGGTATTGTGGTGTTGATTGGGGCTTGAGGACTTGCTCTCAGGAAAAAAAGTTCGAGAAGTCGCAAATCGCGGGGAATTTTTCGCGAACCACCGACTCTTGGCAGTCGCGACCGGACTTCCGAGGCATGGCATGCTTGCGACAAGTTATTGTCTCGCTGTCCACATCTCTCAACAACAATGCGGCGCTCATGACAGAAACATGTTGGATTTTATGGAGAATGTGCAGAATGCCTTTAGCGAAGCTTCGCATTGGAATCCAGACAACTCCTATGGCGCATTGAATGCGACGGCGCGAGGCATGTCTGACATCACATCGCATTGCGCGCCAGTCGCTGATTGTTTCGTGCAGCATTGCTCAACTTTGAGATACCACGAGGATTGCGACTACAGATATCGTCTCTTGCTGCGCCAAACTTTGCGACCTCATACACGCTCGGCAGTGTCGGTGTTGTCGATGGCTCGGTGTCCTACTTGTACTCGTCGCTGCCATTGAAGAAGGACTTTAAGAGCTCCAACATCGACCTTCATCATGTGATACGAGGCTACAGACATTTGCGAGAACTCAGAGGTCCTGATGAGAAATGGTGGTGGGAACTGTGGCACGCTGGGAAGCGAATCGATCGCCGAAGTGAGTTTATCGACCCTTGTCTTTTTGAGTGAAATCTGAGACAAGGCAGACACGTTGCTGTATGGGCGCATATTCCTGCCACAGTCGAGACTCGAGGCCTTGTACCTGCGTCGACTTACTCCAACGCGGCAGCTCAGGATCGCTGCTGTGAGCGATTCAAGTCTCAACAATGGAGGCACAATCCTCACACTGTTGCAAAATGACGTGGGCAAGTATAGCACAGAATACATGTACAGCACGGATTCTGCCTTGTTGGGCGTGCGGGGCCTCTACAATTTTGGACCCGAACCAAGAACTGCGCCCACGACCGAGCACACGGATCCACTGCATGGCCGATTCAGCGCTGGGGCCGAATTGTATTATGGTCTGTTGAACAAGAGCGGAGGCATCAGCACCGGCTTACGGTTCACGACTCTCCCCAACCATCCGGGCTTCCCGTATACCATGACCCTTACGCTGAATCCATTGATGGGAAACCTTTCTTCCTCATATGCAGTCAAGGCAGGCCCCAACCTAGCGCTATGCTCCCGTTTCGACTTTAACTTCTATTCCTACGAAAGTGAGTTGCAGCTTGGGTGCGAGCTGTGGCGGCGACGCAGCAACACTGATGTAGAATGGGCGGTTAAGAAGTTGCGTCCAGACTGGGTACGGCCAACTGCTTCGCCCGACGACGATGTTACTGGTGTTCTCAAGGCCAAGGTTGACCAGGATTGGCGGATTGGAGTGTTGTGGGAAGGCAGAATCAAAGAGCTACTGTTTACACTTGGTGCAAGCCTGGACCTGAAGAAGCGGGAACAGATCATCCGATCAGTTGGCATTGAGCTGCAGTACTCCTCTTGAACGAGAACATGCCGGGTTATGGAGATGTTGGTGACTCCTGTTGCAGATTGTGCTGCATGTCGATCAATGGACTCTGCATTTCCTCAGCTCATGATCAGCTCGAAGACAAGGGGAGATTGAAATCCATGTCGTTGGAAGATACTGAGCATATTCTTAGGTTTGTGAGGTTTTTCGTCTGTCACATAATGTTCACAATTGTGAAAAAGGAAGTAGAGATCCAAGAGAAACCGTCAAAACCTGCTTTACTCCATATGATCATCAATACGTGTCTCTTGATCTGTTGGTACTTTCTGTTCTGCCTCGGACTGGTGTGCCGCTGTAATGATGTATGCGAAATGATGATGGTCTGTCACGCTACTACAATTAGGTTGTTCAAACATGCTTTTGATGTGGTGGCAACACTCTGCTGCCGAGTGCATGCTCCAAACCGGACGAGTGCATTCTTGAGAATGTGTGACACGACAGGGGTAGTGGAGTGCTGCAAGTAGACGCGAGCGCCTCAGCCAATCCGGTGTAGGCTGAGCGTGTGTCGTTGGTGGAGAGTTGAGTTCCGAATTCCTGGTTGTGGCCTGCTCGCTTGCAACGCGTCCACCATTCATGCTGTGGTGCCTGGCGCGAGCCCTACCCTCGAGCTTACAGGGGTGAGACTGGTGTTACGGGCTTGACAGCTGTAGGGCGACCAGACGGTAGACTAGCAGCTTCGACACTCCCGTTGCTAACTCATGCGTGATGCAATTGAGTCGTCGTTCTCAGAGTTTCGGATCGAGTGTATCAGGTTGAGTATGATCGGACAGCACGGGCACTGTGATGCTCGATGAGGATCTCCCGATGCTGCCGCCGTGGTAGGCAACGGCCGTGCTGCTGGCGCTTGCGCTGAGGTTGTCCAAATGGAGAAGCGGGCGGCATCCCCAAGATGCCTCTTGACAGCCAAATCTCTGGTCAGTTGTGAATTGTGCGCAATAGAGTGCTCCCTCGCAGAACACGGTACGCAACGACTAGTGAATCATGTTCGCTCGGTGCAATGACGTGCGTTAATGCGTTGACTCGTCAAACAGCCACAGCGGCGTCAGGTCCGGGAACAGCGAGGAACAGTCGTCAGGCTGTTGGCGACTGTTTGCCAACAAGGGTGGTCCTGTGCAAAAACCTGGGCTTGCTGCTGGCACGCGCCCTGCCCTGCCAGGGCAGTTTCGTCCGAGTCGGACGTGCCTTGGTTGCTCGACGCTCGACGCTCGCCGCATATCCCCCTTGGGCTCGCTCGTGCCGACACCTGCTGTGCACTCGTCGACGGGCACACTGGGAGACCCGAAGAAGCGTTCTCGAGGCTCGACCAACAGCATTGTCTGCAAGCGGAATCAGGCGTTTGCGACATCACCACTGGCGTTGAAACGGCCGCAAGCCGTCGGCTCTCAAACCATGGCTTGATCTAAGTGGCCACAGCGCTGCACCTAACCCTTAGCGTACTTCCCCTAAACTTGCTCCCGTCTTCCTTAATCTCCCTCGCTCCCACGAAGCCGTTCATTTACACCCGCTCATCACTCCATTCGGAAACCGAATCGTCACTTCATCGTCGGTGCGATCTCTGTTACCTTCTCTTCTTCTGTCGAGACTTCTGCGAAGTGCCGCCATTCCTTTCGGCCTTTGCCCACGTTCCTTTCTAAACAACACCATCAATTAGGCTTTGCCTGTCCACTCCTTCTCCCTCCCCTTCCACGCCTAGTCGACCCAGTGTCGCTTTTGGACGAAACGTTTAGTACCTGCTCCCTAGTCAGCAGCTTTCTTGCCTTCGGCTTTCATACGCGCCGGGACTGTGTCTTGAGCCTCAAGAGTGCATACGCATCTCCACCCTCCTTTACCACTACACGCGACACGCCCTCGCCCATCCGCATTACTAGACTCCATAACGACACTTGACGACTACCTCGACTGCTCCCTTCGCATACACTACTCCCGCCTTGACCCGCCAAGATGCAAGACCACCACGACGACTCCATGGTGTCCCCGTCACCATCGCCCGTCGCCCAGACGCCCTCGCAGAGCTCAGCCATCCGGCGCCCACCGCGCAAGAGCACTCTCACCCAGCAACAGAAGAACCAGAAGAGACAGAGGGCTACTCAGGATCAGCTGGTGACTCTGGAAGTCGAGTTCAACAAGAACCCTACTCCTACTGCTGCCACTCGCGAAAGAATTGCGTCCGACATCAACATGACTGAGCGATCAGTGCAAATCTGGTTCCAGAACAGGTGCGAGGCGAAATTTTGAGCTTGTTCGACGCAATACTAACATCTGCTTAGGCGCGCTAAAATCAAGAACATTGCAAAGAAGAGCATTGAGAACGGTGATGATTGCAACGACATTCCAGAATCAATGCGCCGCTACCTTGCCCTCCAAGCAATGGAGTCTGGCAAGTCGATGGGAACGAGTTTTGGCCGTCCCGGTATGCCATATGGCAGCGGTATGCTTCTCAACACAGACACCAGCTCCTCCAAAGTCGGTTAGTAAAGGCCTTGGAAATTCGGCAAAGGTGGCCAGTCCCAACTGACATGTGACAGTAATCCACCATTTTGCCTGCCGCTCGTTGAGCGTTGGTAGCTGGAGGAGAGTCGGCCAGAGCGCTATGGATCTTGTTATCTTCTACTCACCAGAGAAGTGCTGCGTCACATACTACATCAACAATGACTCAGCCGGATACAAGATCGAATATCCTTTCTCCTACATCAAGAACATCAGCCTCGATAATGGCGACATGACGGCAAACGCTGAAGGCGCATCGCAACGTCCTGGAGGATTAGTTGTTGAGCTCAACCGCCCACCAAACTTCTTCATGGACTCATCTGGCTCTGGAGGATTCTTCCAATGTGGCGACTTCACAGAAGACCAGCAGGCGTCGCAGGTCATGGTGCATCACTTGGGCGGTCACCCCAAGGTTCTGAGCGGACAGCTTGCGAAACTTGTCTCGTTGGAATCGTTCCAGAACCGACACAACATGTACGACCCGAATGCCTTGGCAGTCTCAGCTCCGGTCTCACCTATCAACCACCGGCCTGCGTCACAACCTAACCATCTTGTACACCCGCACATGGGCATGTTTCATGATTCACATCTTGCGCCGGGTCCCTTCCAAGCGCGTGGCCACAAGCGCCAGCGCAGTCGGTCGGTGCCTATTGCTGTTGATTTCTCGATGCTCCGCAACCCAATGCCTCCTTTCATGATCTCGCAAGAGCCAACGCCATACATTCCTAACCCGGAAATCTTTGCGCCCATTCCACAAAATGCCCCCGGGCCTCTTGGCCCGCATCTTAGCATCGATACCTCTGCAGGGTATGGCATGGACTACAGGCAATATCCCATGTCAGCCACCACAGCAGCTTCACCGTCCGAGTACGGAACACCCTTCTTTTCGTCCGGTCCCTCGAACGACAACATTCCTGCGTCGAACTTTGGACAGCACTACAACATCCCTCCGTACGTACATACTCCAATGGGACCACCTCGTCATCTCGCTGCGGTGTCGTCCCCAATGCCTTCCATGGGTCACCCAGATCCTATCATCGCCAACCAATCTCCACCTCTGAGCTCGTTTGGACGTGACACGTCTTCTGATGTGTACCCAATGTCACACGACAACAGTATGTCAGACGAGGCGCTTCAAATGACGGATATGTACGCGAAGCAATCTCTCAGCCTACCATTCCGGTCGCCGCTACTAGATGACAACGTCGACGACTTGGACATGCAGAATTGGATAGATCCGTCGAGCTTGTCGCCTGAGCATCATCATCAGATGTAGGATAGCTCCCAATCCAGCATTGTGTCATCCTTGTTGTTTTCCTTGTCTAATACCCAGTCATCGCTACTCCGGCAAAGGTAGTTGATCGTGACAATTCTTTGCCTTGAGACTTGCGTAGTCGCTCTCAGATTAATATGTGCTCACCTTTTTCCTTTTTTTTTATTACTTTTGGTTTCAGAACGCTCGACATATCTTTCACTCACCATTGCTCCCTTTGTCTCTTTGGCAGACCCCTTATTCGATCCACTGGCTCACCAATTTCTCTTCGTAACGCAAATTGAACGACCACTATACAGGGATCGGCTACATATACGGCGTTGCATTTGGGACTTTTCACAGACAGAAAGGCGGACTGGTGGAACCTGCGCCGTCATCGCGATCGAAGGGTCGGGCGGTGTTGGAGGTTGGAACATTCCGTGTACATTCATCTTTGCTTTGAAATCTTTTTCTTTGTTTTTCCATCTTCTCCTAGTTCTAGTTTCCTTTGTTTCGTTTGAGCATATACTGCCAAGTGGAGGTTGCATGTTGAGGAGGTTATCAGGTGGATTGCGCTTGAGAGATTAATCCTCGGGTGTTCGTTGATTGGGGATGATATAGCCGCTGCGCGTGCTGAGTGTCGAATTGAGAGGTTCAACTATTTCTTCACTGCTACCGAGTTAGCAAAACAATATTTCATCAAACATGTGCCCAAGTTCCCAGAAAGAGTGACGTGACTGAATTCTATCGAGACAGCCAGGACACCAGACGGGGCCGTGTATCATCAGGAGAGAATGTGCACATATGGGGCCGTGGATGAATTTATATGTCTCCAAAATTAAGTTACACTGGTGACCGTCTATTATCGGTTGGCGTTAATCGTAATCTCGTCGCGGTAATTACCCACTCATTGTACACCAACGAACGTCAAACCCACAACCGAGGCCTGAGGCTGCTTCCTATGTTTGAAGAACATCGTAGGCAAATTCCAAAAGCAAAAAAATAGGGAGTTGGGTTGCATGAGCGTGATCAGAGCTAGCAAGGGTCACAGCACGTTTCTTCGCCACGAGCAGTCGATCCGAGGTTTCAGGGTGGAAGTTGAGGAAAGTCTGGACAGATCCAACAACACATGACATCCCAGAAGGGCAATGTATTTGCAAGCAACAATCTGCTGTGCTGGCACAGACAATGCACGCGCACGCCAAGGGATAAGGCCGCATTGATTGTATGTGTAAGCTGATGTCAGCTGAGACGCGTTCAACTGGATATCAGACATCTGGATTGATGACGAGCATCGAGCAAGAAGGTCTTTGCAGGTGCAAAAGAAGGGTTCTCTCATGACGCACAGGTCGCGCAAGGCCATCGCAACGGGGCGGCAAAATCGGCGTGGGCTGAGACGATCACCAAATGCCCCTGACTTGGCACGTTCGCTTGCCAGTGGCTGCAGACGGGAGAATGGGGCTCATTTCATCGGCCGCCCAACCAACCAATGCGTGCTGCTGTTGTGGAGGCGTGCCCCTTGAATTGCCTTTTTGTTGTCAGCCTTCCTCTCGATTGATTCCTCGCGCGACCTGCATGTACCTTTGCACGCCAATTCATTCTCCGCGACACTTCTTTTTCTTGAACTTGTAGTCATTCGTTACGACGTCGCTTGCAGGTAGACTGCACCCGGCTTGGCAAGGCGGTCTTGTTCTCGCTGTTCTGACGAGTGGAGCTTTCAACGGGCGCCACCAGGCACACAAACAAACATTGCGAGACGCGCACTGAGGCTGACGGATCATTATTCGGTACCCAACATTTGCAGAGTGAAGGTATGTCAAGTACACTATGCCGGCAGCTTGTCCGTAGCTTGTCCGCACTTTCCGCAGCTGCAATTGCACCTGCCATGGCAAGCCATCCGGCTTTGTCCGGCTTTGCCCAAAAGGTGCATGAGGCGGTCAATGTCTCCAAGCTTCACTCACCCCACACATTGCTTTCCTCGAGACGCGCGCTGACAGTCTCCGTCCAGCCAGTCCCCTCGCCTCACCCTGCCACCCGCAAGCACGATCCGCAGTGACTTTTGCCATGCCTACTCGAAGCATCAATCCGTTCGCGACCACCATCCCCAATCCTCCCTCCTCGGACTCTCTCGGCGAGAAGCGCGAGCAGCCACGCCGGGCATCCTTCGCCAAAGGCAACAAGTTCACCTCGCTCTTTGGCGGCGGCTCACCCAAGTCGCGTTCCGACGCTGCTCTCTTGCGGGAAGCCTTCGTGGCCCAGCAGCAGGCGCTCCTCAACTCGCCATCACCACCCCAACCTTCGCTACCTACCATCAATCTCACCACGGCGACCGGCGAGAAGATGCCCACCGAGCCCAAGACGCTATTCCAGCCTCCTTCGCCAGAAGAGCAGCGCCGCATCGCGAGAGCACACGCACAATTCGGGCCTCTGGGGTCGCAGAAGCACCGCTACCAGAGCAAGTTCGAGGGAGAGTTTGGGGATCCTATTGAAGACGAGCCGCCATATTACTTCCTATTCACCACATACATCAGCTACCTAATCCTAATAGTATTCGGACATGTACGCGATTTCTTTGGCAAGCGCTTCAGGAAGCAGCACTACAGCCATCTTCAGGAGCGGGATGGCTATGCTCCTCTGAACAGCGATTTCGACAACTTCTACACACGCAGACTGAAGATGCGCATCAACGACTGCTTCTCGCGACCGACCACTGGTGTCCCGGGACGCTTCATCACAGTGCTTGACCGCAAGTCAGACGATGGCAACAACACATTCAAGCTGCTCGGGACCACAACCGAGACACTCAACATGAGCTCATACAACTACCTTGGATTTGCTCAATCGCAGGGACCATGTGCCGACGCAACGGAATCTGCCATCAGGAAATACGGAATCACAATGGCCAGTCCTCGGTCCGACGTTGGTACATCTGAGCTGACCCTCGAGGTCGAGGAATTGATCGCCAAATTCGTTGACAAGCCAGCTTCCATGGTCTTCTCTATGGGTTTCGTCACAAACGCTACCACCTTCCCAACAATTGTCGGAAAGGGCTGTCTTATGATCTCCGATGAACTCAACCACTCGTCTATTCGATTTGGTGCCCGTCTCTCCGGAGCCATGGTTACCATGTTCAAGCACAACGATATGAGTGACCTGGAACGTAAACTCCGTGAAGCCATCTCGCAAGGTCAGCCCCGCACGCATCGCCCTTGGAGAAAGATCTTGGTCGCTGTCGAGGGTCTGTACTCAATGGAGGGTACCATGTGCAACCTGCCAGGCATCGTCGCCCTCAAGAAGAAGTACAAGTTCAACCTTTTCGTCGACGAAGCCCACTCGGTTGGTGGTGTTGGCCCTCGAGGACGCGGTGTCTGCGATTACTTTGGCATCGATCCTGCTGAAGTCGACATTCTCATGGGTACGCTGACCAAGTCTTTCGGCGCGAACGGCGGGTACATTGCAGCAGAAAAATCAATCATCGAAAAACTACGGACAGCAAACGCAGCCATGCTCTACGCCGAGTCACCCTCCCCACCTGTCCTCGTCCAGATCGCTTCCGCCCTTCGCATCATCAGCGGCGAGCTTGTCCCAGGCCAGGGTGAAGAGCGTCTAGGTCGTCTTGCATTCAACGCCCGCTATCTCCGCCTCGGTCTCAAGCGTCTCGGCTTCATTGTCTACGGTCACGACGACTCCCCCATCATCCCCGTTATGCTGTACCACCCCGCCAAGATGCCCGCCTTCTCACACGAAATGCTCAAGCGCAAGATCTCAGTCGTCGTCGTCGGTTACCCGGCCACACCGCTCGTCTCTTCCCGCGCCCGCTTCTGCGTCTCCGCTGCACACACCAAGGACGATCTAGACCGTATGCTCACAGCGTGCGACCAGGTCGGCGAGGTCCTCCAGCTCAAGTTCAGCTCTGGTGTTGCAGGTGGTGCCGAGCCCGAGGAACTGGTAAAGAAGGATACGATTAGCGAAAAGGCCGTCACGCCACCACGATGGAGGATCGAGGACGTGCTCAGAAGTGGCGTTGCGGATGTGCAGCTACCACTGCGGTAAAGCAAGGGCACGACGAGCGAATTGTAAGCCTCACTTCTGTAGTCACCGTGGCGTAATGTACCTTGCTGTCTCCTCCCCCCTTTTTTGCCGCTGTTTGGTTATCTGCTAGCTCTTGTGTGCATGCATTCTTGGAGTATCTGGTTGGGTTCGGGGTTGGCTCGGAGACATGTTTTCTTCGTCTCTTCTCCTGCTGTGCTGTGCTGTACGATACGTTATGATATGTATGGTATGGTGCTTCTTCTTTTCTTCTTCTTCCTCTTCATACCCTCGCTGTAGGTAGGTAGGTAGGTAGGTATCTATCTACCCCTATTCTGTTTCTCGCGTTCTTGCTCTTTCATGTGGAGCTTTGTCGTTCGCTTTGGCGGATTGGTTGGCGCGTTCGTTGGGGCTGCTGTAGATGGGGATGGGGATAGATTAGATGTGGTGTGGTGTGGTGTGGTGTGGCGGAGTGGGGAATGAAGGGAGGGTAATATGTAATATGATGGTATGATCATTGGCTTTTTTTGTGGGGGTTTGGCATGTGGGTTGATGTGATGTAATGGGTATGTGCGTTTTATGTGAAGGGGAAGTTATGGTGAGACTTGTGCTTAAGTTTGTGTTGTGTCCATGTAGACATCTGAATATAGGTAACTACTAAGGATTGTGTTGTTGATAGATGTGTTGGTGTGTAGGAGTGCGATTTATGTGCGTAGAAGCGGTGTGGTAAAATGGAGAGGGTTTCCTGGCGGTGTAGATGTGGTGAGTATGACATGATATGAGATGATTGTTGAATCGAATAGCGACTGTTCAGTAAAGTTTCCTCAAATCAGGAGAATCAACCAACAAACAACACCTCGACCGTCAACCGGGAAACTTAAGCAAGATAACTAACATGCTGTGTATACTGTATTCTAGATCTACGTGCAAAAACAAAAAGCCGCCTCATCAATCGTTGCACATACGTGGTTCTTCATAAATAATAGGCAGATTACAAAGCTGAGAAGAGAGCGCTTCTGCATTGAGGATGCAAAGGGATAGGCGTCCTTCAACTTGAGTTGCAGTACTTCCCCCCTTCCACCAACCACTGCTTCAAATCCCCACATCTGAGTATCAAAGACCGCGAATCGACAATGGCGAATCGACAATGGCGAATCGATGTACAGTCTCGTCGTGATCTTGTCGAAGCGGCCTGGTGTACCGGAGAGTGTCGCTGTAGAAAGGAGTGTGCAGCTTCTACCGCACCGGCGTCGAGCACACCAAAACGGACATGAAAAGTATGATGATCCCCTTCGGAATAAGCACTCGAGCGAGAGTTGCTTACTCACTGGTCATGGCAAGCTCTATTCAAGAGATGATCCCTCGAGCATCCGCCTGCTTTGCCTTGTCCTCGTCGATCTGGTCAGGCTGGTCTTTGAGCATCAAATCGCCGTACTGCTCGACTACATCTGAGCAAAACTGTTTCCATGTCTTGTCGTGAATCTTACGCCCTTCGATTTTCTCGGATGCAGAGAGGCAGCTGTACTCGATGCTCCAGCGAGCGAGCTGCTTCCAGCTGTATAGCGACATTGTGGGCGCGCCTACCATGACTTGGTAGAATTCATGGAACATGGAATTGCTGCAGACATGGTCAGTATATTATGCTTATCTGGGAGTTGGTTGTTAGAGGATGGTGACGTACCTGAACAGCGACGGATTATCACTATTGATTGTGCAAGGAATGCCTGCTGCCAGAAGCTCAGGGAATGGGTGCTCCTTGATGTTCCTGCAGAGATGGAGGAGCTCGTTAGAGATGGGACATAGCTCGATGCAAATGCCTGGACTCCCTGTCTCCTTGTTGGGCTTGAATTTCTCCATAAGGTGTGGGTGCTTTAAGAGGGAGAAGCCGTGTCCAATGCGCTTAGACTCGAGAATGACAGCATCGTACAAGTTCGAGTTGCTTGGATCAGTAGAACCGCCTGTATCAAGCAGCGTTTCGCCAGCATGGAAAAGGAAGGGTATTTCGAGCTTCAGGGCCTCGCAGGTCTTTCTGAATGCTATGAGTTCTTCTTTGTAGAAACCGATGTGGTTTGGCCTGTCTTCGGCGCCTACAAGGTCGAAGCCTGGACCAGAAATTAGTAGGGGCAAGGAAAATTTGTAGTTCTTGCTTGACGTACCACATATAAGATCTGGAAACTCATTTTTCAGCTCGATGCACTGCTTCATCTCTTCTTGCATCATCTTTTTAGGGATGGAGCGCGGCGTGCAGTAGATGATTTTCAGTCCAAACGGAAATTTCTCAAGCTCGCCCTTCTTCTTGAGCTCAGCCTTCTTTTCCTCCACGCCAGCAATGATCAGTTTCATTTGTTCAGAGTTAGTGATTTTGCCTTTGCCGTTGTCTGTGGGAATGAATTTATCGAGTAGCATCGGTCGCAGCTCGGCGTACATGATTTTCTCTTCAATCATGCGCTCAATGGCTTCGCTGATGTACCACTTGTAGACTTTTTCATAGTTTAGCAAGCCTTTGAAAGACCGTGTTGCTTGATTGAAACGTGCCCATACTCTACATTGGAGTCAGACACAGTATTTGCGTTCGAATATACAAGCCTCGACTTACCCGTTCACCGTTTGTGTGAGACCGTAAGCCTCTTCTAGACTGAGTACCATTTTCGACTTGAGCCAATTCTCAGCAGGATGTAACCTTACTTGGCCTGGCTCCGAGCAGCATCGAGGCTGTTCAATCATGATCGTGTCCTCTTGCTGCTCGTACTTCTTGGAGAACTTTTTCTGTGCGAACTTGGTTTGGAATTCGGACCAAGGCATCCACACTCGCCACTTCCACTCATCTTGTTTCCAGTTGGTCGCAGTTCCAGGATAGTCTGGTGAAAAGATGTCAACGCCACGCTCTACCTCATCAGCATCTAAAACATTGAATACCGTCTCTGTGAGATCGAGGTCTTCTTGCGTGAGTAAGGGACGGATGCTTCGAATATACATATGGTCCATCGAGCGAGCTTGTTCTAGAAGTCGCTCAGGATGCAGCTCGGCATTGAAGTGAAGGTGCAAAAGTGCACCCTTTGGCACCATTTTTGCGATCTCGTATAACTTGCTTTCTTTCTCTATTCGGTCCTTGTTGGTGAGAAATTGGCCACCCATGTCTCGGGTTTCAGGGCCTGGTATAGCTTCGGAGGCCTGATTACCAAAGGTCACTTTCCGTTCAAACTCTCGGATTGCTCGAATGATGATCGCAGCTCTTCTCTCAATTTGGTCATCCTTTGACCGAGAAGTGCCCTTGGGCCTTGCTGGACGTTCCCAAGCAGACTCTTCTTCCGCCTGTGTCATTTCGCCATGATCCTTAGTATAAGCTTGAACTTCGTGAGGTAGGTTCAGCCCTGCATCAAATATCGCTCTGATTGATGTGACATTTGAAGCCATGTCGACTGTTTCTGACCCTCCGAGCTTGAATGGCGTTCTTCCCTTGGCAGGGACACTTGACATTCTTCTCCTCTTCTTTGGGGAATCAGCTACCGTCATGATTGGCTTGTTGGGATCTTCAGGAGACCCGTCTCTGTTACGTACAGATCTGTCGTAATGAATTAGCTTCCTCAAACAGAGAGGCCTACGGGATGTGTATCCACAAAAAAATAGAATCAAGAGCTTACAAAGTTGGTATACACCTGGTTAGCCACCCCTGACGAGGTCTTTGAGAGTCGCTCGAGGTCTTCGGTTTGTTGTCAGTTGGCATGCCGACAACGCCAAGGATATGCGTCGCCGTTGTTTTCTCGTACCCGTCAAGGGGACAAGTTGATGATGATAGTTCCAGTAATTCAGATACTTGAGCCTAGTCGCACGACGTATCAAAAGCCTGTTTGTGTAACCTTACGACATTCACAGGACTCTTTAAAAGTCCTGCGGAGAAGGCTGTGTACACGCTTCGCGACTCTTACACACGTCTAGTTTACACGGCACGAGGCGAATTGAGACAAGGGGATTGAAGCTTGTCTAACCAGGGGATGTTTGTGGTGTAGTCCCAATAAACGCCGGCCCAATTTGCGGCCTGGTCACATGCCGTTAGAATCGGTACCAATCTTTGCACGAGATGACAGACCCAGAGATGCGCTGCGCCTCACGGCAAGGGCTGTGAACTACAAAACTGCCGCCTGGCCGACGACTACGAACAAGAGAGATAGCCATATGTGGACATAGCAGTGTATAGCAAAGGGTAAATTATGTGTTGAAAAGCTCGCTCTTGCAATGAGGGGATGGTGGCTCTGCGCTCTCGTGGAGACGGAAGGTAAGATCGCGTGCCTGAGGACACGAACTTGCAAAGAAAGAGCAACCACATACATCAGCGCACCCTCTTTGTGGACGATATCTGATACCCCCTCCTTTCAACAATCCTGATGAATGCGACAGTACTCTCAACAACTCAGCTCTTTCCCCGACGAGATCCTGCTGTCGTCGAGACCAGTGTCACGGGTAGTCAGCCTGGCGCGTACGATTGCGATGCCGTTCGAGATGGGCGATCAGGATTCGAGTTTGAGCTCAAGCACAAGCTTCACTCGTAACGAAGGCGCAGCAGTCTGTTCTTGAAAATGTGTCACTGCGACGAGTGGGTCTGTTTTAGGATGAAGTTTGAAAGTTAGCCTTTCGAGTTCCTCATCGTAAAACACGATTGAGGCTATGCTAAGCCTCCAAATGTTGGTATCCTGCCGCCTAGCCACTTACTGTCCGCTATTTACCCCTCACCAATCTCATGCCTAAGGCAACCGCATAGCCTTACACGAACACCAATCATTGGGCTTGGGATATGCACAACCTCACACTCTTCGAGGTTTTGGGGGGCTGGGGGCCCTGACCGGGGTGTTTGGCGTGTCGCCTGTACGCGCCACATGTTTAGCCTTGTGTGCAGCCCACTTCTTGTCAGCCTCCATCCAGGCGACCGTACTTCGGTTCAACACTCACGCCCATGCTTCAGCAGTGTTCTTCATTGCCTCATCAGGCACACACTGGTTAGACATACAACATATATACGGCCACGTCCGTTCCTCATTTGGATATAGAACCTCGCCTGACCTTTGTAATTGCTCTTTGCTTAGCCTGGCGCCTTTGAATATTCGTTTCATTTCGCATCTTTTCTGTTAAGTTTTTTCGTTATGCATTGGCTTCAACGCCAGGATGATGGATCGATTGATCTGAGTTCACTACAACTCGATATCGTCGGTTTCTTGGCTATATTGGGAGAGGGTTCAGTACTGGCCAACGCCCAAGTATCTACGCTCTCGAAATGGGTATTTCTACCGCGATTGATGCCAGCGCCCCAGGCGCTCATGAGACCCTCCAGGCCGCAGGTACTCGAGCCTGTCCGAGGAAACGTATCAGGCATATTTTCAGGGAATCATAGAGAAGATATCAATCACGTTGGTAACATAGTTTGGTAAGCTTCTCCACACTTTCTTGGACATTTTCGGACGCGACAGATGTCAGATGTCAAAGCAATTACATCACACTACCATACTTTGTGAAGCCTTCTGACTAACACACTCCAGTGACGCGAGTAATCTTCCTCCCTTCTCCGTCCGCGTCGTCGAGATCAAACGAACAGGCAACAACGAGCTCAAATCCAAAACTAAATCTCCCCTGACTGTTGTCACTATCCTCGGCTTCATATTCTCCTCAATCCTCTTTGGTCTGTCGATATGGCTTGATGATGGTATGTCCCTCATGGCCACCATCCTACTTTCGTTGCTCTCCAGCATCATCGGTTACGGCAACAAGTGGCAGCTTCAGTTACCCAAGCGTGCGATTAAAAATGGCAAAGTCCCAAGGGGTGACGTTGTGATACGATATCTCAAGGGAAGCTTTCTGGTTGTGAAGTGCGACGAGGATGTTGCAAGAGAGATGTACTTTGCGCCCGAGGAAATAAAGTACCTTCTCGATCACGGATCCGCATACAGATTACTGAGTCTGATCGGCACAGCAATCTTCATGGGCGGCGTCATCTGCCTGGCAAATTCCCGAATCGAGTTGCAGATCGCATGGGCAGGCTCATACATGCTGCTCGGCTCCTCATACTGGATCGTCGCCGCTCTACCTGAAAAATTCCACTGGGACACATCCTGCTATACCGTCACCAGCGAATGCCTTTCCGACTCCAACATGCAGAAGAAGGGATATCCCTCCGAAAACCAAACATTCACCCAAGCCCTCTGGAAGGCCATCGTTGTCAGTAAAAGTACCAAGTGGGTGCTCACAAGCGACGCGTGCCCACATACACCAGCGTGGAAAAATTGGCTGAGAGATGCGGAAATATATAGTAAAAGTGTCGGCGTCGCAGAAAAGGAGAACATGCATGGGGTCAAGACGTGGGCGATTCCTGAATGGGATCCGCAAAGTCACCTGGTGAACCTTTTGGCGGAGCAGGCGCAGCACGATGATGACAAAATGGCAGGAGTTGTTGAGGAAGTATGAGTACAATTGGTTTCTTTTGAATTGCTTGAGCATTTCCCTGGCATGGCGCGGCGCTGGATACGATCTACGACTACGATATCATGATTGAACACGATATGACGCATTGCATATTTAGCACTTGTAGCAATTTACATATTGAGTGCCACAATTCTTCCTAATTCTGCAACCGACTTGTTGTGCCAAGTCTGACTGCTCATGTCTTCCATGTTCCTTTGCTTCAAATCGGGGTTGGACATCTTTTGCATACGAAGAGGCGCTCCCGTGAGCCCCCTCTCTTCTATAACCTTAAAGCTATCGAGCTACGAGGGTTGTCTGGCTTGACTCCAACCCGTCTCTTCGGTATAGTCGAAGATTGTCAGGCAAACATGTACCCCGAGCTTGCCTCCTGCATGCATCGTCTTGCCAAGATATTATCGCGACTTCCAGCTCTTATATGCCTGCTCCCACGACTCAAGTAGCAGCCTTCCACCTCTGCTCGTATTCGACCTTCTTCCTCACAACCCCTCTCAGCCACTTTTCCAAGTTCTCGCCTTGCTCTTGTCCATCAATATCCATCCCCTCGTCATCGAGTTTCACTCCACCCTCCTCCTCCTCTCCACAACATACGCCTTCCGCCATCTCACATGCCTCTTCCCACTCTTCATAGCTGAACGCACCATCGCTCTCGTTCAATAATAACCGCCTGTCTCCCGAAAAGGCGAAGACGTGGACGGAGCGTATAGGTTTCGCGCGTAGGAGTTCGTTGGCGGTGGGTGAGAGGAGTGGAGTGGAAACTCTAGTGGTAGCTGACGGGATAGCGACCAGTACAGAGGTTACGGTTGCGGAGAGCGGTATCGAGGCAGAGAGGAGTGCGAGGAGAGCACTGTGGAGGAGATGTGGGAGAATGGTTAGACTCTGTTACGAATTAGTATCCTTCAGCAATTATCAACTGGATGGATGGCGTACTGTGTTGATACCCGTAGACGCGTCTTCCTCTGGCAAACTCCTCACTTGGAGTGTAATCTGCACCAATGTCCGTGGTATGGTTCTTACTAAGATGATACTGCGTAATGTGTTGTGGAGAAGAGTTTCTAGGTGTCGCTCTTTTGGGCCTTTTGCGCATGGTTAGATCCAGACCCGATACGTCGCAAGTATGTAGGGAAGCTTACTTCCTACCCCAAAAGCTGGCCTGACGTTCACTTCGATTGTGGCTTCCTCAGGTATCTCATCCCTCCTTTGTACCTCGATGGGGCCATTGACTGCGCCAATGATGGAGTAGCCGTTGTGTGTGTAGGTCGCAGAGCCATCGGCGCGATTCAGATGCGTGAGTGTGACGTCCGGGGCAACCATCGCGAATATGTGTAATTGCCGTTTCGTTGTTTGTGATATGATGCTCACATGCTTGCTGGATGATCTCCAAAAAGTTCAGCGGGGCGAGCTCCGGGCGCATTGTGGCTGGAGCTTCAACCGAGGTGCATCGTCAACATCGCGTGTCCAGCCTCCATGAATCCAAAACACATCCTAACACTGCTACGATACAGTCATATACGATCCCTCCTATCGCCATACATAGACACGTGAATACTATAAGTAGAATGGCAGGCTCGTCACGCGGCGCATCGCCCATCAAGCGGCTCATGACCGAACTCCAAACATACCAATCCGACCCCAATGAAGCCCTTCTCGAGCTTGGCCCCATAGAAGACGATGTGTTGCACTGGAGGGCAGTCATGAAAGGTGTTATTGGAACAGCCTATGAAGGTATGATATATCTGACCCATTCTGTTATCGGTTCACTATACAACCAAGTGCGCTGCGTGAGAGCGCACTCACATAGCACTTCAATATCTTATAGCTTTCCTAACATACCACACAGATGGCAGATGGCTCCTCGATATCCACGTTCCTTCCGCCTACCCTCTCGTCCCTCCTTCAATCCGTTTCGTAACGCCCATCTGCCACCCAAATGTCGACTTCAAGACTGGGGAGATCTGTCTCGACCTCCTGAAGACCTCCTGGACACCCGCGTACACCATTTCCACGACCATGACGTCGATACATCAGTTGCTCACGAGTGCGGAACCTGACAGCCCGCTGAATGTCGATATCGCGCAGTTGTTTAGACAGGGCGACTATGTGGGTGCAGAGGCGCTGATTCGGTTTTACACGGTGACGGAAAAATACTCGGCAGCAAAACGGTAGAGACGGTGAGGATTTGGAATGGGACTGGGCACGTAATGAAATTTTGGGACGGGCTTTGTACATGTGTCAAGAGCTTGTTTTGGCGTTTTGATACGATATCCGATTGTTTGTTTGGAAAGCGAGCGAGGCAATGCATGAAGATTATTCAGATTTGCGTTAGACAGAACTTCGAAGACTTTGAGTATTCTTATCTGAACTGGAAATTGATTCAAGCCTACGAGAACATGTGTTTGCTGAGAACGAAGCAAGTCTGTTATGCCTGTTTCGTAGGTATCGACGAAATCAGCAACACGACCCGCCGAAGAACATACACAGTTACACGAACGATCAAGTGCAAAGTGCATTGAACATTGATACAGACACAATAAACTAGGCCGGACAGGAGTCGCACTTGTCAGTGTTAAACAAACTATGGAAAGGGGTTCTGCGTTCTGCGCTTGTGCATCTCAGCAAGTTACACCGTAGTCATGAACTGTCATTACATACTCGATCGACGATGTGTTAAGTGTGTGAGGACTACTTCAGCCATGAGCGTGACGTGTTTCAGTCGCCGTCGTCTAGACCGCAGCATTGCAGCCTTGAAATTGTGGACTTGCCAGATAGCGGGAACTAGTGACCTGCAGTTCACGCTATGGCGCATATTTCGGTAGTTCTGGTCAAAGAGGCTCTTTTGCTAGTGAAAAATATAAATTACAATATAGCTACTCCTATCTTTCCAGCACCAGTTGTGTTGTTTTACGTGCGATTGAGAGCAATTCGGAGAGCCGGCTTATCGTCCCCCAGATCTAGACTTGATACATGCATGCGATCCCGCAGCTGGAGAGAGGGCTTGCAGCAAAGCGTGCTTATCCGCTAAGCCTGACAAGCTAAATTTGCCGACTCAGCTGCTCGGCGGAACAGCCACTAAGTCAGCCTCGTGGACAACGCTTGGCTGCATCTTTATTTCTCTGTCCAACAATGTTCGAAGGGGTCGGAGCGGCTTTTTTCGACTGGACGTTGCTCGGTCGTTGGTCTTTTGCCGAGGTACCATAACATGGTTGGAGGCGTCTGCGTCTTGATATTGGATTGATCTTTTCTGCTCAGGCAGGAGTGGTACGACATAGTTCAACCCCCGGAGACAGTCCACTGTGTACGTCGCCAGCCTTCGCTCGAGGTTGCTGTTGTGCCGTTGAGGATCGATTCGCAGGCCGAAATGCTATTTATGGAGATGCGACGTGTAAACGAGACTGTTGATATTTCGTCCGGAGTCGTTGTGGATGGATCATAGGAGTGTCTTCGAATGGTTGGGAGGGGATAGTAACGTGTATCGTATGGACCAGGTAACGACGCAGGCGGAGACGTCCATGGATATATCGGTCTGGGTATTGAGTACAGGTGGTCATTCTGGTTCGGTTCATGAGAAAGCCGAGGTGAGGTGCTCTGTGGGTATGCTGGTTGATGGATTTTTGGATCTTTCTCTTGGTATTGAGGTTGATCTCGACTTGATGTCCTTCTCTTTCTCAGTGAAACAACGATCACGACCAATCTTGACACCAACATGAAAGCCGATACCAGTACTAATGCTTTGAATAGCTGGCTAACACCGTTTGATGTTGCCCACATTTCTGTGTAAATGGTAGATCTTATATGAGGAGGCATAGGATCAGACGTGAAGGACGGCAAGAAGCTTGAACTTGTGGAACTGATTGGTGTTGCGTAGGGATGAAGTGGTACACTACAACTGTTCAAATCTATCAACCAGTCAACGAGAGAAGGGGAATGTCTCTGCTTTCATAGAGACTTACATGGGAAAATGAGGGGAGTAGCGGTATAAGCACTAACAGTCCTAGTTCTCTAGTCAATATATTCAAGTGGTACGTGTGTGCGACGTTCCTCAAGGATTGAAACTAGGGCATGAATAAAGAACCCATGATTATATGGGGATATCCCGTCATACATATGGATGGGACGGCAAGCCGTAAATCGGAACTAGCCACCAACTCAACTATCCATATGTTCTTAAACATTACAACACTACTTTTCCAACCAGCCATTCACGCGCTTTGATGGCAGACGGCAAGCCCAGCGTTGCCAGATCGACACGATCGGATGGAGTTCGTACTCAGCAACGTGCTCAGCTGTGAAAGATCGCGCCGTTTCAACCAACATGCTGGGGTGGGCATGGCTTGCCCTGTTTCAGCAGCTCCGTCAGTGTCCTGGCAGACAATGTTGCGTATCGTGGTCAAGCTCAGCTGAGGAAAGGGCCATGGCGTTGTCTGTGGCGTGCTCACGAAAGGGCCGTGCGCGCGTTCGATGTGGACGCCCGATATTGGCTTTTGTGTTTGCGGACAACGGCGGGCTGGCAATGCCATCGAGCAGGTTTTCAGGCTCAGGACTGAGCTCTCCACGTTCAATGTTGCGCGTTCAAGAGTATAATCTCGGTTGATGGTGACGCGTGACCATTGTTGTGGACGCGCTCAGCTGCTACGAGAACGCCGACTCTATTTGGGTACCAAATCACGCGTCTCGGTAATCATGTCGCATTCCGTAAACCCGATCAAATTGCACGAAAGAACCAGTGACAGGGTTGTCTGCTAAATTTTCCTCCCACGTCGCCGTCTTCTCCTCTGGTTGTGGATCTTCTGTCCTTCAACAACTTATAATTTTGCCTCTGCAACATACGTCAATTACGCAAGAATGACTTATGGCCTCCTATCACTTGGAAACTGTGGCACCCATAGATCGCGAGACATCAGGTGAAAGGGTAGGAATCAACGGCGCGTCCGAACGACACTAACGAACCACGCTTGTTAATTGCGACTCTCGAAACCCTGGACATCTCTCACATGAAGACTGGCTGCCTATCTGCAAGAGCTCGGAAAGAACAACAAGAAACAGCTTCTGGAAGCGAAAGGTGTAAGGATGACCCGGGTACCTGTCGCTTCTGCCGGCAATCTTCAGCACCACTCTGATCACGTTGTATGGATTACCGTTGCCTGGTCGGGGTCCACGACGTTTCGCCCCAACGGGATCTCCGAGTGAAAACCTGTACTTCGGCGTCTTCATTGCCTGGAAACATGGACGCGTTGCGGACTATTCGATGGTCCAAAGCTCTTGTTGAAAGACCTAGAGTACTGTACAACGAAGTCTCCTGCTTAGGCTCTGCCAGTTTTTCGAAGCTCCGAGGGCAATCGTTCACCGCGGCCTTGTGCTCCGTGGAATGCGAAGAACCGTATGTTGTCGGGTGTCCTCGCCGTACATGTCTCACTGAGAAAATGTGACACAGATAATCACTACTCCACCCACATCCAGTAAGAGCCTCATGAAGACTGACATCACAGCACTAGTTTCAAGGGTCTCGCCACACACGAATACGATTTCGGACACGCCGCGACAAAGCGAGAATTAAGGCCTCCAGCTACTCAACCCCTAGTTCATGTTCTGGCAAGTCGAACCTGAGACTCAACGGCCACATGTCACTGGCCTACACACGAGATTATCTGAAGGACGAATGCCTCCATTCATATCTCGCAAAAGCTCCTCGTCTCAGTCGCACGCTACAGAGTGTCTCATTCCGGCAACTCCGTCGCCACATGAGCACGTGACTAGTAACCTACTACGCTTCGAGAAGTAATTGTGATGCATTTTCCTAATCACGAACTGTTAAACCAAGCTAAGTGTAACTGTTCTTTAGGGCCGAACACGCGCTGGTTGACCCTGGAAGTTCTAGACTCATGCTGCACGCTCATGCAATGCTGCATACACAGCCGCAAACTACTCAAGCTTGCATTTCTACTGGTAGTCTCATGGTGTACACGAATCAACCTATGTGGAGGCCTGGACATGCGTACTCTGCCACGCACATTGTTGTCATTCTCCGGTGATTGTAGTAGCTGAACCACTGCTCACCGGTTTGTAGTTGTTACCTGGTTGTGCGCAGGTGGTAGTGCACATGACGTGAACTGCGCCCCATTCCGTGTCGGTGGTACGACGTTGATCGCCTCGCATTGTGAGGAGCTGATCATGATTGAGCAATAATAAGCATTCATGGCAGGCCTCAGAAAAAGACTATAACGAACAGTAAAAAGATAAGAGGAATGAAAGTGTTTGCGAAGAACCAGATTTTGATTTGAATGTTGAATTGATGACGAGTTTGTGATGCATCCTTGGACTTGTTTGAATTGTCGCAGCCTTTTGTTTCAACGACCACAGCTCCAGCTGATACTTCCACCTTTCACCTACTGGCGACTATCATGAATCATCGATATCTTGCCATTCCTGTCCGACGTACTCTCCTACTCTTCGGTCCCTTGATCCCAATGTTGGTAACTGTAAAGAAGAGAAACATTTGAACAAGGAAGAATATGTTCAACTGAGTTAGGTATTCGTACTCAACCGATGAACAACGGGGACTGAGCTAGGCGGCAAGCTTCCGTATTCCGTAATGACCATGTTGATGTAATGCGCAGGCGTGACGTCGTACAAGACCTGTAGGAAGTTTAGATTCTTCGAGTCGTCAATCCATTTCAGGACGTCTGTGGTGTCGGGTTTGGCCTCTTCGGGAGCGGTCTTGTCGTCGTTTTTCGCTGAATTGGAGGGGAGTAGGGATTTGAGTGGAAGTAGTTCTTGCCGTTCGGCCTCAGAAAGTATTTCCTCGGCTGGAGCGACTTCGTTGCCAACTATAGAATCTAAGGCGACTTTTTCGGTGAACTTGACGGACTGGCATAGTACAATGACGGGAAGTGAGTGTGCGCTTGCTAGCATAGAGACTACTGCTGTACCAACACGCGAGTAGAGACGACCATTCGACATCATCGCATGTGCTCCCAGGAATACTTTTGTTGCATCTTTGACGGCATGTGAGGCTCCCGTGATGAGATAGTACTGTACGCTGATGCCTTGGTTCGCAAGCTTTCGGGCTAAAGTCTTGCCTTCGAACAGCGGCTTCGAGTCAACGACGATGACAGAGAAGTTGATGCCGGCTTTGTGTGCGTGGAGAATAGCCTGTTCGACTATTGATGATGCGGCATAAGTTAGAACCACGTCGCCAGGCTCGATCTTCTTTGTAGCCAGCTCGCAGATGAGTTTATCAGCAGCTGTGACCCGTTCGCGAATGAAGATATCGATCTCCTCCAGGAGGTCTCGCTTCGCTTCATTTTCAGGTGTTGATGGATCAATTTTGATGATTACTGTGCACAAAGTCAGTTCTGATTACGGGACTTTTCAAGAGAACAGCGCATTGCAAAGTCCTTCGACCGAAAAGCGATACATAGCTCTCTTCGTGCATATCCTGAGTGTATATAAATTCAATTGACTTACTATCCTTCAACCACCGAATGGCATTTCCCATGCTAATGCTAAGCGGCCTACAGCTTTTCAAATACTCAATTTGAGGACTGAGGTGATGATTGGTGAGATGTCGAGCAAGACTTGTTCCCGGTGGTGTCTGATACGATGCTATAACCGCCTTGAACGCCAGAAGCATGGCTACCATTCGAGCTGTACTACCGCAAATTGCATAGCTGCTGTACTGGAGACCCAAGGCGGAGACCGCTGGATGCACATCCTTTGAGGCTCCCTTCATAGACTGCTGTTTTGGTTGACTGTACAGATGCCCAAAGAAAAGTCCGACCTTTTTGGGTTCTTTACTGGGCTCCTTTTTAGCCTCCTTCGTTGCTGGTACGTTCGATTGCGACGGCTTTCTCCGAGCTGGCATCGGTCTTGACTTGTCGTCTTTCGGTGCTTGCTTCGAGTCTTTCTGTTGCTTTTGCCCATCTTTAGTTGATGCTTGCTGCTGATCTTCTGCACCTCCCGGACCTTTGGCTTGTGCTCTCCGCGCTTGCTTCTCGGCTTGCTTTTGCTTCTTCAATTCCGCTGGAGAAATCTTCTTTGTTGCGTTGGTAGCATCTCCGTTTGTAGTTGCAGGTGGGTTGTTCTGAGTCTGTTCCGACGCTACAGGAGGTGTAGCTACACTCTCAGGTGCTGGAGTCTCAGACATAATGGTAGAGGTGAGAGTACCGTCCTTTATGACTCAGGGCTGGTAACGTGGGGTATCCTAATCTGGGAGAGCAGGCGCCAGAGTGGTGAAAATGGGTGAATCAAGCCGTGTTAATAAAGACCATTGACTGGATATGGCGTTTCCAAACTATTCGCAGTTGCAGGATTCGCGTTGTGGGTGCTATGTCGCCGCGTTGGAATTTTGATAGAAGCCGTGAATTGAGTCAGAAAATGTACTAGCCGAATCAGGCTCACCCGCAGCTGCCCCACCTACGTCACAGGGAAGTCGCGAATGTTGTAGAGTCCTACAATCACTCATCTTGACACAACGAACGAACGATGCGCTGTTGAACATACACTTGACTGTCAGCATTATACCACAGGACTACCAATACGATGTCAGAAATAACCACCCGCATAACTGACCTGCCCCTCGATATCCTTGTGCTCGTCTTCCCTTATCTCGACGCGAAGAGCTTTCTGGCCCTCTGCAACACCTGCAGAGCTTTTCAACAGCCCTCGATCCGCCTCGATCCCGCATACTGGAGTCATGCCACCCGTAGCGCCTTCCGAGTGCCCAACCAGCCAGTTGTCCAACATGACGGCGTTCGCTGGCAGAAGATGTACAAGCGCCTCCTCACGCAGAGTCGCGTCTTCACCTGGGGCAGTAACACGTACAATCGATTAGGCCACCGTCGGGAAGAACAACCCCGTCATAATCCTACCATGCCGCGAATGCCACGCTTTCGACCAGCGAGGTTTGGAGGCGGGACTAGCTGTGCGGTTCCAACCGAAATGGACAATACGCAGGAGTTGGGTGTCATTGCCGATATGCAATGCGGGTAAGCTCTATCCAAGCCAAATCGCGTTTCCTCTTTGAAGTACAAGCCATCTGTCATCAATCGAAAGACGTCAAGATGTTCACAGACTGTTTAAACGTATCTTACCAGCAGCTTTGGCGGACACAGAGCAGCGTGATCTTCAAGACACGCAAAGTGGAATATGGCTTATACTTCAAAGTGGGGCCACAGTAAGATTCAGACTGACTAACTTCTCACAGTGGATGGTCCACCACGTTGCTTACATCGAAGGGCTCCCTACACTCGGTCGGTGTCCTTGATGGACAGAAGATCCTCGTCGGCAACGAACGCATAACAACTCTCAAATTCCCGGAGGGTTACCCTACGTCCTCCATCGAAGCCCAATACAAAGAGCCAACCATCGCCATTCGACAATTCTCCGCGGGTCGGTCGCACATACTGGCACTATCTGACAGCGGGAGAATATGGTCTTGGTATCATGCCAAGGAGCCTGCATTGCAAGTCAAGTTTGCCAACGTCGAACTCAAAGAGACACCCTTGGCAGATTCAGGGTCGCATTCTTCCACCTATGGCCGTGTTAAGCAAGTGGTGGCTGGATGGAGTCGCAGCTCAGCTTACATATACGGTATAGGCATTGTGGTGTGGGATCCGGTCGAGCGACGCCAAAACGACCAAGGTACAGATACGATTCTACTTATGGAGAACGCCGAAGTGCCACGGACTGGATACCAGCGGCCAAGGGGAGCACAGCGGGAATCTGACGACGCAAAGGCACTCGGTGAAGAAGTCGGAGCTGTGCTGAACTACGTCATTCTCGAACACTTTGTCGTCTTCGTCACCGATATTGGCAAAGTATTTTGTGGAAGGTTTGGCGAAAAGCACATGGTCGATGATATCGTTGAACTTCGGGCCTTTCGGAGTGAAAATCAGACCCCATCAGACGTCCAAGGCTCCTTCCGTCGCTTTGCGATATTCAAAGACGGGGAAGTCATTACTAGCGACCAAGACTATTTGGAAGCATGCTGGAATGCCCAACGTGCCAATCCTGAACAGACTGACATCCAAGGCCTCAGAAAGATCCCAGCTCTACAGCATAATGGTGTCATTTCTGTTGCGTTTGGTGACTATCACTACCTGGCCCTACATTCGAGCGGCAGAATTACATCCTACGGCTCCGAGATGCAGGTGTGCGGTGCTCTAGGCCTTGGAAGTCTCACAAGTGGGGAACTTCGAGGTGTCACTATAGACAGGTTGGACCAAACTGGTCGTCTTACCGCACACGCATATACGCACGGCCGCCAGGTTTGGTTTGATGACAAAAAGAGAAAATGGTTTGCGATTGACCATGTTGTCGACCAAGATGAATCAAAAGAGCGGTGGGACCTCTTCAAAACCGACCCTAACGTACAGGGTGAGGTGAGTGAATGGTTTGAACAAGAAGGTAGGTTGTGGGACAAGGACGGTGGAGACGATGGGCTAGGCGCATATTTTGCACTAGGAGTTAGTGCTGCAGGATGGCACTCCGGTGCTCTTGTTCTGGTCAACGAAGACCTGGCAGAGAAGCAATTTGCCGCTCATCTAAAGTCGACACAGAGCGAGGGCATGATATTTCCAAGACTGAAACTCAGCGATGGAAGAGAGATGCCAGGTTCCAAAGACTTCGACGAATGGAGGGAGGGCAGGCCTGACTGGCAGCTTGACGCAGAACGGTAGATTTGAGCGACACCACATACTATGCGCGACACGAGCAGTAGGACTGCTAGTTGGACAACTACCATGCGCTTCAAAGTTACCGTTTGATAAGTGTAAAGTGGTCTGTAACTGTCCGGGCTTCCCAATTGCATATCATTAGACATGAACTCTAGAATGAGGTTGAAGTAAGTCTGCATTTCGAGATCAGCACTGATACATTACATGTGAGCATTTCAATTATCACTCTAACTCTAGTACCCAAGCGCAAGCAAAAACTAGACTTCCGGCTTTAACAACATCTCCATCTTTTTTAGCCAGTAACCCCCAGGCTCAAGAGTCTTCTTGACCAAGTCCTCGTCAAGGACATGGTCCTCGAATCCGTACTTGTCGTAACCCTTCAACACATTCACCACCCTCATACTAGCCCGATCTCCAAGAGTAAAGTGCTTCTTCTCCTTATCCAGCACCATCTTGTCGACAATAAAGCCCGCAGGCCCGCCCTTCCCCGCCACTTCAGTGCAAATCTGCACCAACGGCACGCTGACAGGCAAATACGCACCAACAACCAGCGTATGCTGATCGACCTGCAAGAATCCATCAGGATTCTGCACCAGCGTGATTTTGCCCTTGTACCCTGCTCCCTCGATCAACAGACGGTCTTTCTCCGAGTAGCAAGGGTCCTGGAAGAACAATTGCACCGGCTCAGCACCAGCGTCTTGCGCCGCGTAGATAGCGTTGAGCGCACCCGCAATACTGAACACAACGCAGTACTGCAAGCTATTCCCAAAGCTACCGCTTTCGTACGTGCGGAAATCGCCAAGCCCAAAACATGCTATCTTTTTGATGCGGATGCAGGATTTGGCCGCGATGCTGATTGTGTCGCGCAGTTTCTTCAGCGCCGCGCTGCGGAGCCAAAGCGTGCGGATGAGGCCGAGCTGCTTCGTCCAGCAGCGCATCCACTGCGGGTCGAGGTGGTCCTCGTCGCCATACAGCGGGCATTCACGGAGCACAATCGGGCTCGTGGCGTGGAGATCGCTTCGTCCTGCGTACTGGCGCAGGAGCTCTACTGGAGGCGAGCCGGGCTGGAGGGCATACTCCGGAGACATCTCGGTGTGGTTGAGGAACAATATCTCTATGTTCCTGACTTTTTTCCCGCACGGGGGTGGCGCCCAGATGACTTGGTATTGGTCGTGGGCGTCGAGGATCTTCCATTCTCCCTTGTGGGTGCCGGCGAGGATGGCTTTGCGCATCTTGCTTGCGCTGAGGAGGAGGGCGTGGGTGTAGATGGGTTTGTGCTTGAAGAAGGACTCGAAGGTGGAGAGGTTGACAGTGTAGAGGTGCCATGGGTCTGGGGCGTTGTCGTCGTCGTAGTCTGAAGACGAACCTGAATCCATGGCTGGGGTTGATTCCTCTTCTAGGCTGGTGCTGTCTAGTGGTTGGAGGGAGTCTTTGCGTGCGAGAGGGAATTTCTCTTGTAGAACATTGTGGTTCTGCATTGTGGGCTGGTGGGAAGTGTGTAGTAAAGGGGTGAAGGTTAAAGGTGAAGAACTGTGAGTAGCTAGCAGAATATGATGCTGGGAAAAATAGTACTTGTGAAGGGAAACGATGATTCCTTATATAGTAATTTCTTCTTGTGCCGGGAGTGAGTAGTATCCCGAACCATGGAACGACTTCGAGGCCACCCAATCCAACCTCACGCATTGTGCGATACAAACTTGAGCTGGCACATCGTTCCGTTCTTGAGAAGCTTGCATGACCACAGTACGCTTTGCAATTAGTAACTAACAACCGCATATCTCGTCAAAAAGCATCCAGACCGGCCAATGAGAAATTTGTTATATAACTGCTCTACGATCGACCGGTTCAGGGACTAGAGTCGTCCCAAGAATTTCAGGACCCTGTGCTGGCTACCTAGAAGGTTCGAAAACACTGCGTAACGCCCATTGCCAATAGCGATCCTGATGTTCTGCTTAGTCCTCCCAGCACGAAATGGAAGTCCGTCGCACGTGAAGCAACGAAAAGGAGTTAGCCAAGGCCACCAGACACCATGGAAAGTGCAAGACCTTTGAGTAAATTTTCATTCGCTGTATATTAACCACATATGCTTGCTACGCTATATATGCACAAAAGTACCGATCCGCTAAGATTTCAACCCCAACAGCGGTCCAATGCCATCCTTGACTCACGAGAACAGATTCGGTCGTGTCTTCTTCACACTTGATGACTCCTCATACTGCGTTCGAGTTAGTTTTCTGATCATGCATCCAACGCCCTGTATATTGGGGACTTACCTGCAAGAACCCCGTGATCTCGACCAAAACCGTCCAGCAATCTACCAGATCCACCAAATCCTGTGATACCTCTCCAGATTGTCCTCCGCCCAGGTTGATGCTCTTCTTGAAGATGGCAACCATGCTATGTCTGTTCTCTTTCAAGAACTCTCGGGCTTGGAAGACAGTTTGCTCGTTTTGCCGTCCTCTCGCGATGACTGCAGCATTGACCACCCTGAGGACAGACAGCATGAGTGCGTAGTACTTGTTCAACGCATCCGGGTCGTCAAATTCGAGGCCAATGTCTGGATCAACGGAAAAGACACCCGACTCGCGTATGGCCGGGAAAAGGCCACCATTGAGCACATAAGCGGCGCCGAGTCGGGATTGAGATACGCGAAGGAGGAGAGCTAGACTAGCATCGTAATACGATAGAAGGGCGATGACTTGCGGGGCGGCCGCGGCATGGAGTTCCTCAGGCATGTGTTTGATGTTGTCGACCAGGACGCCAACAAAGTTGAGCGAGACAAACGATTCGAGAACATACTTGGACTGTTGGCGGGTTGCGACTGCAACCAAGGCGTTCAAGAGGAGTAGAGCGGAAACTTTGCAAGTCCCTTGGCCATTGTAAGCGTCGTCACAAACCACTTCAAGTAGATGGCTGCCGCAGTTCTTAACCGCGTTGAGAGTATGGCGACCGAGTGGTGAATTTGTCGTCGCCTTGTCAAAGGTGCCGTGGATGTATCGGAAGCAGATTTGGTAGCAGTACTCTCGAAGCTCAGGGGTAGATATCGGGCTGTAGATACCCGTAAGCGCGGCACGGAAAAGCTGGGACAATCGGTCGTTCGCGAAGTCTCCAGTCTTGTCAAAGACCGTTAGTCCAAAGTCGATTTTCTGAACGAAGGTTTCTGCGAGACTGGCTAGTTGCAAAGCAGTGAAGACGTCGTCTTTGTACGATTGTTCAAGCTTTGGCAGAATGACCTGCAGGGTCTGCAAGATGAAGGAGGACCGCGCACCAGCCTCAAAATCGCAACTGTGCACTGCCACCATGAGTACCTGAACCCACGATTGTAAGATTTCCTTGTGGTAGCGAAGCAATTGTGTGCGACGATTCCAGTCAACGAAGATCGCCAACGACACGTCGGCTTGCTGAGCCAGTTCGATTTCTGTAGCCTCGTCTCTTATCAAACCATCCTTTCGCCAATACTTCATCTTGAGCCTGATGACTTGTTCGAGCAATGGTAGCGAGTACAGAGTGCTGCCCTCAACTTCTTCCTGGCAAGAAGCGAGACTAACACCCTCGAAGAACCGATGTTGATCTGGCAACGAGCGCTCTGGGTAATCAAATTCGATGAAGTCGAACAGATCGAAGATGGTTGGGTTAGGTACGGGGTCTTCTCCAGGTCTGACAGTAGTCCCGAGAAGGATGGATTGGATTCTTGACCTCATGGTGGGCATGTTCTCTTTGACAGTCAGACAGAGCTCTCTTGACTCATAATCCAGGAAAGCTGCACGTCGTTGTAAGAAGTTCTGAAGCGCAAGAGCGGAGGGACCTGCAAAAAACTCTGAGAATTCGCCAGCAGCGCCCTCAACTCCTTGCGCCAGGGACATCCCCTCCCAAGAAACATCGAGGTTTACTGGAAACAATCGGGATGCTTCAACGAACAACAGTTGGTTGTCTCGCAACTCCTCCATGACAATGGCACTGGTCAATGGCGAACGCCATAGCTTTTGCAGAACATCCCAGCACCGTGTCTTCAGCGCGGATCTCCAAGCAACGAACTGGTCCCCATCGTTATCAGGATAGTCCACTGCCAGAAGAAGGATAGCATGGAACAAGGCTTGCCCACTCGACCAGAGGGTATCGTCAGCAATGCGCACAGTGTTGCTACCACACGAGAAGCCCAAGAGAATGTGAGCTATAGTCGGCCTGAGGGCTACTGCAGCAAGGCAGCTATTGAGGAAGTTGAGAATCCGTAGCTTCACAATGTATCCAGACGCTTCTTCTCCAGCTTCAAGCTCCTCAGGATTGAATCGCATCAAGTTCGAGAGCGATCGACCGATACGTTCCGCTTCGTTATCCTTTTCGAGTATACCAACAATCTTGCTGCGACCAGACCGTTGTCCGAAGCCTGCAGGGGAGACCGCAAGTTTTCGAGAAGATGCCATCTTTTCAAGGAGCTGGAGTGACGCGATGGTCAGCGCCTCGTGACCAGTGCCGCAATAGAGACCAAGATCAACGATGATTTGCAGATTGTTGAGGACAGCGTCTTCAAATGAGGCTAAGGACAGATTTGACACCGGCGAGTGTTGAAATGAGGGCTGTTGTTTGAGAACAGGTTTGACAATGTCGAGGTATGTGGCCTGGAGCTTCATCACCATGTCCATAATCTCGATGCTGAGCATCAGAGATTGAACCAAAGGAGAATCTGATGGAGAAGCATCAACTTCATTCACGTCCTGATGTGCTGCAGCGAAGAGAGCCTTGATCACCTTGTCGTTGAACAGCCACTCCATTATACGTGTGAACGGATGAAGGGCAATATAGACCGCAAGAGAAGACGAATCGATGACCGCATCCACTGGAATGCTGGATTTGTTTGCAAACACAACAAGATTCTCATTAAACGTTGAGAGACACGTTGCAATGAAACGCAAGCACGTCCATCTCATGACGTTGCGTTGCAACGGATCGAGCACTTCCTGAGATCTCTCAGCAAAAACGTGTTGCATGACAAAATCGATGTAGTTTTCGATGCCAGGCATCCGGCGCGAAGAGCCCAGGCTTTCCGGGAAAGGCAATGCATCGTTCAGGCCCTCGTTCTCCGGATATGGCTCTACGAGCGAATGGAGGAAGCGAACAAATGCGATGGATTCATCGTACCCATCTGCCAGAGTAGCCCAAAATTCGTCTCGTGCTGCGGATCCTAGTGAGTTGTTGGGTTTCGAACCAACATAAAATCCATTGACAGTCCAGTCGTCCAGTATGCTCCACATAGCACCAGCTCGCATGGCATCTTTGCCCACGAGTAGCGCCGAAAGAGCATCGTAAGCAGCGGCTCGAAGTCCACTCTCGACCTTGTCTGTGCAGAGACCAAAGCAGATATTGGCGAAATCGTACTCCTTGACATCCAGTATCCAGTTACGCGCAGAAGTGCTTTGGCGGAACACGTGTGCGAGAAGCCGGAGATAACTTTCCAACATGGTAGCACTCTCGGGCTCGACGATTTGATCCACAGGATTGGTCGACTGGGCATATAGTGCACTCTGGATAGCTTTCTTTGGCTCATGAATGTCCTTTTCAAACTCCAAAAGTTCGTTCAAGATGTGTGTATAGCTGAGCGAGCTCGTCCGCCGGATCTTCCCAAGGGCAGAGGCACCCTCCTCTAGTAGAAACCTATGTGCCGCTTCTGCATTGCTATCTCCGGTGGAAATGGCTCGCAGCATTTCGCAGAACATGGCGATCCGAGGGGTGGGTTGTCGCTTGGCCGCCCATTGCAGAAACCCATACAGATTGCTCTCCTTGTCGCTCCAGAAATCCTCTGCCGCATCTGGGAATCCGTCGAAAGCATATGCTACGACCATCATGAATCTCTCCAGATGCAGCGGGTATTCCCCTGTGGAAAGCTGAAAGTGCAGCTGCAGTCGTCGTCGTTGGTCGTCTTCCTCAGTCTTCAACTTCCTCAGAGTGTCGGGCATATTGGTGATGAAGCAGTCGACGAAGGTCTGAACTTGTTCCATGATAATGGTCTTGAAGAAATCCTCGGGTTGTGTTGAATCTGGACTCAAGACAGCGCTGTCTTGCAACAGCGTCGACAGCATGCTCGTCTTCTGCGGGTCGTACCAATGCGTCGGGCGCACATCCTGGCTGAAAGACAGCATGAAATGGAATGCGCCATCATTGAGAGCTTTGAGAAAGATGTCAGATCGGGTATCGGCCTCTTTCGCAAAATCAATGTTCTGCATGGCTGGATCTTGAGGATTGGGGTCCACATATCGTCCGCTGTACTCTGCGAGCCACCACGCCAGTGTCGCAGAATGCAGGTTTCTCAGTGCCCAGTTATCACTCTCCCGGCCTGCCATCAGAGTGTCGTGAAGGACACGCGCGTCCTTGAGCACTACGTTGGTCTCGACAGCCGCCCAAGACATGATGCGAATGAGCATAGGCACATAGTGGATAGTGATGAGGTCGTGTTTATCGAGTGTCTTTGCCTTTGCTATCAAGCCTCTGAAGTTGTCGATGTTCACGTATCCCACCTTGATCATGTGCGTGCATATTGCGGCCAAGTTCTCGTGCTGCCTCGTCAGACTCTGGCGCTGGAAGGTCATGATTTCTACGAAGCCAGGCAGGGGCACTTGGCCAACGACATGTGTGCTCTGGACACGCTCTGAAATCTGGTGCAGCCATTTCTCGATTGCATCCATGCTTGTCAGACACTTGGCCCAGAAGCCAAATGCGTTTGCCGGGTTCGCAGCGCCGTCAACACCCACGATGATCTGTACGGCCTGCTGCAGCTGCGGCAGCCCCTCGACTTGGGTGTCTGCATTCTCCAGGGCCGTCTTCATCAGGATGCGCAGACAGAGGAGGACATATTCGCGGCGGCGGTGAAAGCGGATGACGGCCGTCTGCAGCTGCGAGCGGTCCAGCTCCTGAGCTTCGCCATGTGCACCAAGGAAGAGGGCGGCGGCGTCCAGCTCGTCGAGGTTGAGGGCGTCGGCCAGCTCGAGCGTCTGCTGCTTGAAGTCATCGTTGACCTCGTACTCGTTGTCGTCGATGTTAATCTTGCCTGGCGCCGTCAGTCGCGCTCCGCATCGTGTGGGCTGCTTTGATGTTACCAGAGCTCAGTGCCTGTCTGCTGGCGTCGCTCTTGGGCTTCTTCTCCAGCAGCGTCTTCAGGTCGTCCAGATGCGTCTCCAGATTCTGCAGCAATCGCTCCAGCACCGGCAGCTGCAGATCGATGTGCGCGCAGAGGTCGCGGTGCAGGCCCTGGAGGGCGGCGAGGCTGTCGTCTTCAGCCATGAGAGTGTCGGATGGCAGAACTTCGCATAGTGCGCCGGGCTGGAGGGTGAGGTGAGTGGGTTTGGCGCGTGTTCCTTGCACCACGCCTTGCTTGCTATGGAGCTCGAACTTTCGCCGACGCGCTAGACCCTTGAACGCGACTTCCTCCTTGGCGACCTCACGAGCATTGCGCCGCCGCCAGAGCTCCGCCTTCACCACATCTACGTCGAGAGACAGATACGGCAATCCCACTGCCGTCGCCCTGCTGCTGCGAACATGCGAAATTGATCACGTCTCTCGCTAATTGCTCTGGAAATGCCCATCTTGCCTCACTCGTGCTTCGAGACAGGAAGCACTTTGGCGCGGCCACCATGGGGGCCACCAACATACAAGACGCAAAGAGTCAGTCTCAAGCCGTTTCGCCCGGGTAGAGGTACTCACGTGTATCAGTTCTCATACAATCATCGCGTGTGCCCGACCGTACGACTGGTCTGAAGGACCTCATCCACATTCTGAAGCACAACCGCGGGAAACCCAGCCTTGAAGCCCTGGGCAACAAGTCCTATCTGGCACTATGCGACGCCCTCTTCCAATGCTTGCGAGACGAGCGATCCTCGTTCCTCCGCAGCAAAGCCAAGTCTGCCAAAACCAAAACCGCTGCGCTCCTGACTCTCTCAGCCTCAGCATTGCGCCATGTCGTTGCTACTGGCGTGCGAACAATCAAAGGCTCTACAGTTGAGATCATCATAGACACCATCATCGAAGTCCTTCCGGGGAGGGACGGGACGCTGATCACACCACTTCTCGAAGACCTCCCCAAAGCTCTGCGGTCCTTGCTCGAGCACCAGCCGCATGTCGAGCGTCTCTCCAAGGACTGCTGGGATGCCACAGTCGACTTCTGCGTGGAATCTCTGTCAGGATTCTTTGTCGAGCCAGAACCAGAGCCGCCAAACAGCTGGGGTACTAACGTCTCTAGTCGAGGCCGCACCCCGTTCGAATCTACCGATGTGACGTCCTTTAGAGCCAGCCCTCGTGAGCCTGTGACAAGGGCCAAACCACACCCTGACGAATTCTCTCATTCAACAGAGGATTTCATACATTGTCTGCATTCACTCGTCAAGGCTTCAAACGCCCCAGTACTAGACAGAGCCGAAGTTGTCCTGACCGCATTACTGCAGTTCTTGCAGCGCAGAACCGGACGCGGAAGTATTGCTGCCGCTGCTCTTGCTGCGATCAATTCGATACTTGCTCGAGTCACACTACAATCACTCGAGCTGACCAAGCGTTATGTACGGGAGCTTCTTCCTCTGATGAAACCGATGTGGTCTGAAATTCAGCTCCGCGATGAGATAGTGATTGCCTTGATATATACAGAAGCGCATATCTCAAGCCTTCTCCTTGATACTGAGGAAGTAACGGTGAGGTTTGCCCTTGAAGCGCTGATTGAGACTATCTATGGAGACTACCGACGTAGGCAGGACACCACTGCGCACCAGTATCTCGAAGAGGATCATCTCTGCTTCCGACACTTTGACAAGACTGACAAAGACATCCATCCATTGCATACCGCTGCATTTTCCATGGAAGCAGAACACTCTCGCTATGAAGGGCTTTGGGCAACTGTATCTACAATCGCACACTTTTCTTTCAAGCTTGACGAGAAAAAGCGTATGGTCAACCATGATCGTGAAGACGGCGAGGAAAGCCTTACGAAGCGCTCGCGCGTCACTTTGCTTTTCCATGAATATCTCCGCCACGTTCTCGAACCCCGATCTAACGCCAAACGAGCAGCTTTGCAAGTCGTTGCTTTCATGGTTCAAGAGGGATCTTTCGACGAAGAGGACCTGCAGACAATGCTAGAGAAACTCACGTCCTGCATCTCTGACGAGAATCCGGTGCATTCGATTTGGGCAATGATTGGTCTGGCTGCGTGAGTCTTCGTCTAACGTTGCGGCAGAACATACCTAACTTTCACAGGGCTGCCTTTCAGAAATCTGCAAAACATGTATCTCTTTTACCCTATTGGATCTCTGCATGGCAAAGCGCTTCTCGTGCTATCACGTCAATGTCAAATTCTCGCGCTGCATGTCACTTGATGGACGTCCTCTTGAAGCTCGGTATTGTACCATTCTCCGCGGTTTCGGAAATTGTTCAATCGATGCTAGCATCTATCGAGTTGAGTGGTCCCGCCTTGCTAACAGAGACAAGCTCGTCCTTGTTGACGACTATCATCCAAGAGCGAATCAAAGAGAACCCAACACACTTTAATATAACTGCCGAGAGGGTTTCAAACTGGCTACTCAGCAAGTGGACTCCAAGTAAGTATCATCCACTTCTATTCGGACTAGTTCACTGATACTATGTAAAGGTCTATGGTCAGAGCGAACCTACTCCGCGATGAATGCACACCACTGCAATGCCCGTGATGTGATACGCGTATTGTATGCTTGTTTAGACTGCCCTCTCACGCTTACGAAAGCGGCACCTTTTCTTGTGCTGGGACCTGTCGCGCAAGCTCGTGCCTACACGATTGTTTACAAGGATCTTGCTAATTATCTTCTACTTCTCGATCACAACGAAGATCATCTTGCGCGAGTGAGTACACCGGCAGTATCATCACGCAAAAAAACATCCGAACATCATTCGACACAAGTAGAGAACAGATTCCTTGACTTCTGTGCATCCGAGGTCGACAAGACTAGGCTTTCTTGGACAGAAACCACCCAAGCAAACTTCCAAGCTATTACATCAGATATGTTGCGCATCGTTACGAATTTGTGTATTGCTGTGCCCGCAGTCACTATAGTTTGCGATCCTGAGGACCGCCGTGTGTCTGCTCTTGATTCGTCTATTGATCTTCTCTGTCACTCATTCGTTGATGTCCTGGCAAAGTCTCAAATGGAAGAGTACAAGATCGATGCGGTCCTTGAGACTTGCACAAGAAACCTTCCTGATATCAGTTGCGTACAGGGGTTGACATCAGATGTTTTCAAGCAAGCAGGCGTCTTCACACTCTCTCGACATCTTTCCAAAGCTCTAGGCAATCGGAAAGAAATCAAACAGTCGTTCCAGGCAGAAGATGACGACTTCATGGATGTTGACGAGGGAACGGAGTCTCAAATGACAAACAATGCGAATGGCGCCGATGTTGACGTTCCACGACACGACCTACAGGCAGAATCCGATGGTCCTGCAGTTCGCGCATCGTGCTCGGCATACTTATGCATGATTTCTTCACTGGCTAATCATACTGGAGTAGAGGAAGACCAGGTAATCCCGTCGAAATTCATCGACTATCTGACTTCGCTCCACGAAAGTGACCTTCTCCGCGCGCGTCAATTCTTGCGTGCGCTCTGGAGTCGTAAGTTCAAAATGTCGCAAGACGACTGCCTCGATCTTCTAGAGCGACTCAGTGAAGCACTCGTCGACCCACGTGCGCGGGAATACAACACGTCAGAGGTTGCGAACGGCATGCTTGTCGAAGTCTTGATAGGTACTGCTCTTGTCTGGGGGTCTGATGGGACAGATCGAGAGGCTCAAGACCTCTACGATAATGTCGAGGCCTTGTACGCCTACTACATCACAGAAATGGAGGAAGGTGGCGTCAGGAGATCTTCCAATCTCCAGAAGATTATTGCCGTCTTCCTCCATGGGCTCCTCAAAAACCACTCTGACTTCGGCCAGAGTCGTAAGGTGCCATCCGTTCGGACAAGTCTTTTCGAGCTACTGTCACAAGGCGAGATGGTTTTGAAATACCACATCGCCGAATGCTTGCCAAAAATGTTTGAGGACTTTGTTCTTTCTGAACATGACAAGATCTTACAGGATGTTGATCGAAGTCTGCCTGGCGACGACGAAGGTATTGAAGGTATTGCCGTCCGATTACTCGTTCTATCCAAGCTGGCATCCCAGTGGCATACACTGTTGCGGTCAAGTGTTTATCGAATCTTTGCAACAGCAGGCTTCGTCAAAGGAGCGACTCGACATGCGAGACGATGCATTGCCAATGTTGCGCAGTGTAGAGGTCTCGGAAGCCCACAGAGCTTGTTCCGTTTATTTGCACCTCAAATTCTGTTCACATGGCTAGATCGAGGACGGGAATTTGCAGACATACCGTACCTGATTTTCGGTTACGGAACGCTCGTAGTTCTGCTCCGCGACATTGAAGCTGAGGCAGTGGGTCAAAGTATCATGTTCGGGCGCAAAGCCGAAGTGAACTATCTAGCAAAACATCTCAGGATGTCAATATCAGAGCTGTTGGCGAAAAACATCGGTAAAGCTGCTGCCTATACGATATCTCAGGATACGTGTGCAGGCTCCGCTAGGACGAAAGGAGAACCAAGTACTTGCAATCTACTCAAAGATCTTGTTGGGAATGACAAGTATTTTGTTCTAATACAAAACAATTTTCCACAAGTGCTTGGCCATATACTCCAAACCATCGACCAGGAAGAGCGATTCGGTGAAAGTCTAAAGAAAAAGCCGCTCTTTAGCGCCACAGCTACTATCCTGACCGAGATGACCAGTATCAGCCATTCAACTCAAGACCTCAACATCGGTATCGAACCTTCTTTCTCTGCACACTACCTCGTTGATCAACTAGAACGGCTGTGTCGACGTACCGGTGACAATGCCATCAAATTCTGGACGCCGAGTACATACACCTTCGTCCTGCGTACACTTCTCGATCGAGTCCACCCAGCTCTTGGGTCGCTCTATGCTCGATCTATCATACGCAAGATTCGCATCGTCGTCGCTCTAGCCGGACCTGTAGCATATGAGGGCTACCCCTTACAGATGACGCTCCAGTCCTTGTGTCCTTTTCTTACAGACATCCAATGTGCAGAGGACACTGTCGGCATCATGCAATATCTGTTTGACCATGGCGCCAAATACCTCCAGGAACACATCAGCTTTGTCACAGGTATAGGTCTATCCATACTCATCTCCGTTCGAGTATTTCTAGGCACTGTCCAGGAAAGCACCACGCAACAGTCCCAGCACGTGGCGACTATGAGTACAGCCAAACGGTTTCACGTTTGGTTCACGGAATTCCTCAAAACCCAAGCCGACTCATATTCCACGACTGAGAAATCCTCATCCGTCAAAGCGTTCAAACTAATCACCACTGCCGCTTCTAAAGTTCAGGCGGAAGGGAATTCCGTTCGTGGTAGTGATGAAAGTAAGTTGCTGATGGAAATCTTGGACGACGTCAAGTCAGGTCGCAAATTGTTAAACAAGACATCACGGGAGGTCGCCCTGAATCTTCTCTGTCAAAACTTCCAGCTGGCCCCAACGGCACGAGAAGATGTTTTGGGTGTCGACGACGACGCTGCCGAATATGCGCCTCTTGTTTGGGAATCGTGTCGGAGAAGCAATGTCGGCGACGGCTACCTGCTATGGACAGCGAGGGTCTTGGGTCGCGCCTTTGGTTCTCATGGCGAAGTGAAGCGGAGCTCCTCTCTAGTCCGGCCTTGGTTGTGCTCGAACTCGACTTCGAAAGATTCTCTTGGGAAATCCTCCAGGGAGGCGATCGTAAGGGAAGTTATCGACCTCTTCTACAGCGACAACCGTAGTGAAGTGAGTCTTGCTGAAGACGCTGTTCGACAACTCATCTCTCGCCTTACAAGTGGCGACGTCAAATATGTTGCAGAGATGCGTAAGGCGATTCCCGAAGCCGTCGGAAAGGCTCTCGCGGTGCATATCGCCGGAGAGTCCACGTTCGAATCGCCCCAGGCTAGCGAAGGACTTGAGCAAGCGGCGGCGCCTACGGATCTCAAATCTGTCTCTGTTTGGATAAAAGATCTCGCAGTCGCCTTATGTGGAGTGGCCGCGGACGACCCCATTCTTGGCGCTCTTTCTGGTCTCCTCATGGGCATCGATCATATGGCTAAGAAACTTCTTCCCTACATTCTGCATCTTGTTCTTTTGGACGAGCACGATCGAGACGGCAAAGTCCGGAAGTCAATCTCAGAAGCAACTACGTCGTGGTTCCGCCGCTGCGAGTCTTCAAACGCGCCATACGTTCGCATCCTCGTCCAATGTGTGCTCTACCTTCGAAGCCAGCCGGTTCCAAAGGAAGTGACAAGAGTCGACCGAGACCGCTGGCTGGAGATCGACTATCTTGAAGCAGCACAAGCCGCTACCGTTTGTGGCATGTACAGGACAGCTTTACTTTTCGCGGAAACGTCTTCAGGCCAGCCTATTGTCAAGAGCAGCTCCAGGAGATCGTCTGTTCTGGTCGACGCACCCAAGATGCCGACCAAGCTTCAACTCTCTATCTACAAGAATCTGGAAGAACCTGACTCCTTTTATGGTATTGACCGGGGGTCGAGCCTACTGTCTGTTCTGGACCGGCTTGACTATGAAGGAGATGGTGTGAAGAGTCTGTTGTTTCGCGGTGCACGCCTTGACAGTCAGATACGCCGGCAGAACGTTTTCGAGGCACCGGATGCTCGGGGTACCGTTAAATCACTCATCATGCTCAACATGAACAGCGTCACACATTCGCTGCTCTCGAATGATAAGTTCCGAGATTTGGGAGAAGACGTCGTGGAGAGCACGCTTCATACAGCACGGAAACTAGGCCAATGGGACATCAAAGCCCCAGAGACGAATCACACCGAACCCAGCACGCTCTTCAAGGCATTCCAAGGCCTCCATATTGCGAAAAGCTCCGCAGACGCCAAAGCCAATTTGGATCGTCAGCTATTGGCGACAATGAACTATCTCTCTGGGCGAAGCAGCTCATCTGTGCCAACAAACGTGCGTCTGCGGACGCTGGCTGCTTTGACGGAAGCAGATGAGATCATTCGAGCAGATCGCCAGGAACGCTTGCTCGATGTATGGGACTGCATGAAAGGACGGGATAGATGGATGTGGGCTGGCGAGTAAGTGGTTTCCCATTATCACACAGTCATCTCATTGACACTTACATTCTTTTAGATTCGGCGATGTACGCCAGCTCCTGTCCTGTCGCGAAACACTGTTCAACGTACTCGGCACGAACCCCTCCCTCATGGACTCACTACGCGTCAAGTCTGCGGTTGTTCGAAACATGGAGGTCGAGGCTCTTGTGTCTTCTTCAACAATCTGCAGACGCCATGGCGCTATCCAGGAATCACTGGCAAGCGTTACGTACCTTTCTGATATTGTGCCAGCGTGCAAAGAGGTGGGACTCGATATCGAAGCATCGGCCCAACACGAGGTAGCAAGTGTGCTTTGGGAGCAAGGCGAGACCGAGATCTCGATCAAGATGCGACAGCACCTGATTGATTACGCCCACTTTGACTCACAGAGCGCAGACTTGAGCCTGCCGGTGCTGCTCGCCAAATTAGTGAGTTTTGCTCGGTGTATCGCACTGATTGGTAATGCTAATGATACCAGGGTCACCACTATGCGGAGGCTCGCCTTGCAAAGCCTGATGTTATCATGCAGCAGTACCTTGAGCCGGCAATCCGAGAACTCAAAGGCGTAAAGCAGGGTGTAGGACCGGGTCAGGTATTCCACGAGTTTGCTCTTTTCTGCGACAAGCAACTTCAGAGCCCCGAAGCCGCGGAAGATATGGAACGCATCAAGACTGTCATGGACCGGAAGTTTCAAGAATACCACGACTTTATGAAGCTAGCCAAAACGGACAAGAGCAAAGGTATGCGCGATACCTATTCTCGAAACGCGAGACGAGCAAAAACTTGGTACGACTTGGACAACGTTGAGTACGAGAGGTTGCGCAAGGGCCGTGAGCAGTTCCTGAGGCAGTGTCTGGAGAATTATCTGCTGTCACTATATGCGAGCGACGAGTACAACAATGACGCTTTGCGGGTGTTTTCGCTCTGGCTCGAGTACTCCGACACGGATCTGGCGAACGAGGCTGTCAGACCTTACATCAACAGCGTCCCAAGTGGTAAATTTGCTCTACTTATGAACCAGTTGTCCTCGCGATTACAAGCCGAAGACAACGAGTTCCAGAAGCTCTTGATGGACCTCGTGTTCCGGATATGTGTGGACCATCCATATCACGGAATGCACCAGATCTTTGCCATCCAGATGAAAGTCGGGGCTATCACGAGGGAGGATGTTGTACGGGCAAAGGACGAGTCGGCAAGGTCTCGCCAGAAAGCCGCAACAAGTCTTGCAAACGTGCTTGGCAAGAACGAGAAAGCGAGGTCGTATTGGAGCTCGATCTTCCAGTCAAATGAGATCTACCATCACTTGGCTATGTTCAAGGGTGAGAAGGAGAGCACGCAGCAGGGACGCGAGTTACCGCTCGATCGGTACAAGGAGTCGAAAGAACTGGTTCGCAAAGTACCCCAGCTCAATGTCCCGCCGGCGACGCTGCAGATTGAAGTCAGGCCGAGTATGAAGTATGAGGATCTGCCGAGGATTCATAAGTTCAAGCCAACGATGAGTATTGCAAACGGACTGAGCGCGCCAAAGGTCATTACGGCGATTGGCACGGATGGACGACCGTACAAGCAACTGGTATGTGAGCCCTGTTATAACTACCCAGTACAAAGATACTAATTTGTGATAGTTCAAATCCGGCAACGACGACCTCCGTCAAGACGCCATCATGGAGCAGGTGTTCGACCAAGTCTCGCGCCTCCTAAAAAACCACACAGCAACCCGCATCCGCAACCTCGGGATCCGCACCTACAAAGTGCTCCCCCTATCCACACGCTCGGGGCTGATGGAATTTGTGCAAAACACAATCCCACTACACCTCTGGGTGATGCCCGCACACGAGAAATACTACCCCAACGACTACAAAGCCGAGCGCTGCCGCAAGGAGATCGGCGCCTGCCAGCAAGACTCGCTCAGCACGCGCGTCAAAGTCTGGCAGAAAATGGCCGACAACTTCCACCCCGTAATGCGCTACTTCCTACTCGAGCGCTTCCAGGACCCGGATGAATGGTTCGAGCGCCGCCTCGCCTACACGCGCTCCACAGCCGCTATCTCCGTGCTGGGCCACGTCCTCGGCCTCGGCGACCGCCACTGCCATAACATCCTGCTCGACGAGAAGTCCGGCGAGATCGTGCATATTGATCTAGGCGTTAGCTTTGAGGCCGGCCGCGTGCTGCCTGTGCCGGAGGTCGTGCCCTTCCGTCTCACGCGCGACCTTGTTGATGGCATGGGGTATACGAAGACGGAGGGCGTGTTTCGTCGCTGCATGGAATTCACTATGGATACTCTGCGTGAGGAACGCGAGTCCATCATGACGCTGCTCAATGTCCTGCGCTACGATCCGCTTGTTAACTGGAGCGTTACGCCTACCAAGGCGAAGCGCATGCAGGATGCGCAGGAGACGGGGACGGGGACGGCGAGGGCGCAGACGGTGGGGCCGGGGGGCACGCCTGTTCCGTCTGGGCAGGTGGGTGGTGGTGGTGGAGGAGGTGGGGGTGGGGGTGGGGGTGTAGATGAGGTCGTCTTACACGAGAGCATCAAGAAACGCGAGCGTGAGGAACAGGCTGGTGAGGCTGGGAGGGCGCTCAGCGTCGTGGAGAAGAAACTTAGTAAGACGTTGAGCACGAAGGCGACGGTTAATGAGCTCATTCAGCAGGCTACTGATGAGCGGAATTTGGCGGTGCTGTATATGGGGTGGGCGAGTTATGCGTAGGTTTTTTTCTTGGGATTGGGGTTGTTTTGTTATTGGCGTTGTCAGTTTGTTACAAAGTGGAGTTGGTGAATTGAGCAAGGCGTTTATTTATGCATGGATGGGTGAATAGTTGGAAGGGAGGGAGGGGGGGAGGCTGTGAAATATACAACTACAAGTCAACCTGCCCAGGCGTATACTAGGAACATTCATAGCGTATGAGTTTCGTACAATTTTACATGTAGTGGTCAAGGTATTGCAAGGTTTCGCTCCAGCGTCACTTTAGGACTTCGATTGATTGGGACATCGTCTCGATCGAGTGTGGAAGCGGGAAGGAAGGAAGCTGTGTTCTTCGTGTCTCCTGAAAACTCTGCAAAAAAAACCACTTTGTACAAAATAAGTTTCATATTAGGCGTACACAGCCCGGCATTACGGTATCAGACTCCCACACAAACCATCGACATATCCATCCATCCATTTAACAGCAAGATCATCACCCCCACTTAAACACCCAGCACCTCCCCTAAAACGACCCAATCTGCCCCCTAGTATAAAGCGTCTGCCTCTTCCTCAACCTCCTCTTCTCGCCCACCGACATCCTGGGCCCATCATGCATCGCCAACCCGCCCTCCTTCCCCGCCCCCTCCCTCTCCTTCCTCACCGCCCTCCTTCTCACCTTCCGCAACCCCCAACTGCGCCTCACCTTCTTCCCCCTCCTCAGCAGCTGCGGACTCATCAGCACGAGCATCGTCAGCACCATAACCGGCACCGCAATAATCCAGAAAAAGGCGTCGGAGTGGAGTTGCACGCCATCGAAGCGAGCGAAGTTCTGGCCGAAGTAGCCGACGAGAAAGGTCAGGGGGAGGAAGAATATAGTGACTGCGGTGAGGATCTTCATGGATTCGTTTTGGTAGGCGCCCATTGTGTTGAAGATCAAGTCGATTAGGGCGTCTGCTGCGCGGCGCATTTGGTCGAGGGATGCGGTGATCATGAGGCAGTGGTCCTCGACGTCGCCGAGGTAGGTGTGTGCGAGGGGGGAGATGGTGAGGTTGGACATTGTTTTGCGGGTTGGTAGCATTGACGAGGAGCGTGCTGCGGGCCAGGAGGGTTGTGACTGTTGTTGGGGGTCTGATTTGTGGTCTCGGAGGGAGTTTATGAGGGATATGATGGGTTGTATGGTGTTTCGGAGGATGGAGAGTTCGGATGTGAGGAGGTAGAGGGATTGCGAGTGGTGGATTGCTGGGTCTTCGAGGACGTCGAGTTCTAGTTCGCCCATTGCGTCTTCGTAGGCGGCTACGACGGGGATGGCGAGATCGATTATGGCGTCGATTATGGCTTGGACGATCATGCTGCTGTCTGCGCTGCGGCGGAGGATCGTGTCTTCTGTGCTGAGGCGCTTCAGGATCATTTCTTCGATCTCGTCGGCTGAGTGCTCGAAGAAGCTGACTACTGAGTTGTCGGAGCACAGGAAGATGCTGACCTGCTCCACGCTGACGTTGAGCTTCTTAGGCGTGAGAGCAGAGTGAGCTTCGAGGTACCTGTGAAAGTTAGCGACTTGAGCTAATATAATCTGATATTAACAATAAACAAATTAAAGCTTACAAGATGCGGGACAGGTTTGGCCCACCACGATAGCGTTGGAGAGTACGGACATGTGCTGCAGGTTCAGCAATGGGTAACTTGGAGAGGGGTGAGCCGTCGAAATTGTAGTCCTGCTTCTCCAGGCCATCCTGCTCATGCTCCAAATCTTCCTTATTGGAGACACCACGGGCCGGGCGGATGGCGTTTTTAACCTTTGTGAGGAATGACACAGCTTTCTTCTTCTTGCCATAACGCGGTTTGGAGCGCGAGCGATCGCGACGTGGCAGGTCGTCATCAGAGTCCGAGTCCGAGTCGCTGCTGTCTGAGTCGTCGCTTGGTATGCGCACCAGCTTGGAGAGAGTCAGGAGCAGGAAGGCCTGGTCCGAGTACCAGTCGACCTTTGTCCTACTTTGCGTACTCATCAAGTCTTCAATGGCCAGGCGATGCAGATTCTTATGGTTCCCCAGCATGCGGATGACGTCCCAGCTCAAGCCGTTCACATTGTACCACCTGCACTTCACCCAGTCCTGCTGAGGGGTGTTGATGAATTCCTCCAGAGTGCTGTTGTCCAATTCATATTTTTCTACGCGCTCATCGGAAAAATCGACAACGGTGATCTGGCAGTGGGTGTGGAGGTGGTGGTAGTTTGCTGCGTCCGTGTCGTTTTTGGTGTCGACACCAGGCTCAGCGCCAGGCTCCTCCCATTTTGGACGCGTTGGCGACTGATAGTGTTTTACCGTGTTGGAGCGCGTGATGCGCCGGCGTATGGTCGAGGTGATGGACGGTGAGCGCACATTGTCGGGATGGGGCTGTGCGGCCGTGGCAGTCGTCGATGTTGCAGAGCGTCCGCGAGATGGGGGGCCGTCGAGCTGGGTGTCGATGGTGAGATGTGCGCGGTGGGCAGACGTGGGCGACGCAGGTGAGGCGGGCGACGTGGGCGTGGGCGTCGTGGGTGACGTTGGGGGAGAGACGGGGATTGCAAAGTCCTGGATCCTCGACTCGAGCGGCGAGGCCATTGCGTGTGGCAGTCGCAGTGGAGACAATGTGCTGCACGCTATGGGGCTGGTGCAGACGCAACGGCAGACGCAGAGGCTGATGAAGTGGAGCACGCGCAAATGAAGAGAGACATGTCGACGTCCCCTATCCCAGCACGGTCGCAGTCTAAGCACGGCATTAGGGCTGCAAAGGCTCTGCACAAGAGCGAGTGCGTCTAGGTTTCAGGTTTGGGGCGTCAATATCTCACTGCAGCGTGCTGTCCAGTGCTGGCTGCCATATCGTGGGTCGCGGCGTGGACGCGCCCCAATCACTCGACAGTGGACCCTGGACTTGGCTTGCTTGGGCCAGAAGCAAGACTCCCGCCAGTCGTCCCGTCAGTCGCCTGTCGCTCGCCTGTCAGCCGTCGCCGTCTCTCCCCATTCTCATCAAGACCGCAGCCTCATCCAAGCATCCTCTATCCGACTATTCGACCCCGCCGCCATCCATCTGCCGCGCGAGAAGAGACCCGCACGCTCTTGCCCTCGCCGTGCCGTGACCAGGACACCCCTAACACTGCAAACAGCTCATCTCTGCCCGCCCACCCATCAGCACGCCCTCCCCCCCCTTTCGCAGCCCGTCTGTCTGTCGGGCTCCTCTGTCTGCACCCAACGCCCAGTGCGAGCAAGTCGTCTGCGTGCCTCCTGCCCACCGCATGCGACCTTAGTCCTGCAGCCCCACGGCACAGAGGCACTGCCAGCTCCGCAGCACCCAGCACACGACCGTCAAGATGCGCGAGGTCAACTTCAGCATCCCCAACGCCAACAAGGCCAGCGTCGGCATCACCACGGCCCTCTACGACCGCCGTGCCCTCGACTGCACCTCGACCCTGCCGCTCATCAACTCGCTCAACCACCTCGCCTACCTGACCACCTCATCCGCCCGCATACGCGACATCCTGACCGTCGACGGCGGCATCGAGCGCCTGATATGCATCCTCAAGCAGGGCCGCAGCAAGGACATGATGGACATGTGGAAGTGGAACCTGGCCTTCCAGTGCATCTTCAACATCGGCGTGCGCGGCTCAGAGAACGTGCGCACCCGCGTCGTCGAGGCTGACATGGTGCCCGTTATCGCCACCATCCTCGACAGCTACATCAAGGTCGTCGACAAGTGCAGGGCCCGCGCCGAGGCCGACATGAACCGCTCTGCCCGCCTGCCCTCGTCGACCCGCCACCACTCGTCGTCCAGCGCGCCTCACAGGACGGACCGTTCGCGCCGCCCCGTGCCCCCGCCCATCGACATCCCCCACATCTCTGCCCCCATGGACACGCAGATGCGAGACGCCTCTCCCGCCCCTGCCTTTGTTTTGAGCTCTCCACCCGAGCGCACCGTCTTCACCCGCACCCGTCCGCCTCACCACCACCACCACCGCAGCCACGAAGGACGGGCACAGCTGTTTGGTGGCGCCGTCGCCAACACCACCCGCAACCATGGACAGCCGCTCGTCACTGCCTTGCCTTCCATGGACGCCACCAACGATGCCTTTGCCCTGCGGCCCGTGCGAGATGCTGATCGCCTGCCCTCGATGTTGCCCGCCCTGCAGGGCGAAATCACTTCCCAGCCCGAGTCACCCACCACGCCAAGTGCTCTGCCCGCCAACCAGACCAGTCCACGAACCGCCTTGAACCGCACACGACGCCGCCCCTCAATCCGCCATCAACTGTCTGCCTCTGGTGAGTCGGATCTCGACGCCCAGCAAGACGACATCCCCGTCAGCGCCCCCGTTGTAGCTGGAGCAGCTGTCAACGAACCGATTGTAGGTATCCAAAACAGCGAGATCAACCTTTCCGACATTGTCGACAACACGGAGATGCTGGATGCCGGCGCCACACCTGTCCCCCTTGCGCCCTCTGAAGGAACCGACGAGAACAATGAGACTTTCAACATCACACACCGTCCCGCTCTCGATGGCAGTCTGATCAACCCTACAAACACCCCACCCAACGCCACCATCACCGGTTTCTCTCCTCTGCAGCCCACCATCAATGTCCCAAACACCAACCCCCCACCACCATGGTATCCTCGTTACGCCCAGGACCGCCAAGCGACAGCCGGCGCTCTCGCTGCCATGCCACGCGATGAGGACGTACTCATGTCCCTGCAGTTGCTGGCGTACGTGTCCAAATACTGCAACCTGCGTTCGTACTTCCAACAGTCCCACTTGGTGCCCAAACTGCAGATTGGCACCGATTTGCAACTCCTCGATGGAGAAGCTACAAGCCCCGACACAGCGACAGTGACAGGGGAGGAGGAGGAACTAGAGGAGTACGAGCTCCCAGACGACTTCAACATCTTCCCTCTTGTCGAGCAGTTCACCGTCCGCCACCACACGGCAGATATGCAGTACTGGGCGAGTGTAGTTATGCGCAACCTGTGCCGAAAAGACGACTCCCGTGGAGGTATCCGACAGTGCGCATACTACCAGTGTGGCCGTTGGGAAGAATACACACGCCAGTTCGCAAAGTGCCGCCGCTGTCGACGGACAAAATATTGCAGCAAAGAATGCCAGAAGAGCGCATGGGTTTTCCACCGCCACTGGTGCGTCGCCGCAAACTGAGTCGACGCCAGACTCTACCATATTCCCCTTGCCTATTTCGTTTACCCGCATTGTTTTTCAGTGCATTGATTGGATCACTCATCTATGGCCGCATATTGCATGGCGCTTGGCTTGGCTTTCCCTTGGAACAATCTTTTTCTTCTTTTTCTCTTTTTTCCCAATGCTTTCATACTTAATGAGCGATACGACTACGCTGGATACCACATGTTTCTTACTCAGACTGGCTTTGTTTTTTTCCTTTCTGGAACTGGAAGGAGGGATTTATTGGGCGGTGGTGACGCAAAGTGCATAAGGAGCGTGGACGCAACTATACCATATTTCTAGGCACTGTACATGAGGTGATGGGGAGGCATTGTTAGGCCAGTTGGATTGTACAGGTGTTTGGAGCAATCGGCTGGGTGGGCGAATGGCGAAATGTGCACTTGAAATGGCATTTAATCCTCACATACGCTCGTGTTCTTCTGGATGTTGTGGATATTGATCTATTCTGACACGTGGGTGCTTGGCGTGTTTTGTGCGGATGTCCATTTCGGGCAGGCATGTTACGGAAATGAAGGTGATGACTGGGATGCGTGGGGTTAAATTATGGGGCAGTGTTGTCATGCTTCAGAATATTAGACTGATTCGGGAAAAAGAGGTTGGGGTAAGCAACGTAAGGCTGCAGCTAAGCTGACCTTACCTCACTCGATGCATGCATGTCTTGCCGACCCGTCCGGCGAGCAATGGAACAGCGCCCACCGAGAAATTACACATATGAAGTGGAGTGTCTTCATTTCTCCAGCATGTCCCGCCGCGCCGCGCCGCGCAACTGCTAAGGCTTGTGGAGTCCAATACAAAGCCGCTAGACTCACTGCATTCGACCCGGAGCTGATCCGGAGTGTACGGGACGGACGGAGTGGCTGAGCGAACGCGCAGAGTAGCTAAGGGATTACTGTACAAGTGTCGAACGACGGCTCACCTGGATTCTCTCGCTATTCTGGGTTTCTCGTCATCTCAGGCTTCTCGCTGTCTTGAGGCGTGGCATGTGTAAAGACGATGACGATGGCTGGAGATGGAGATGGAGTGCGCGGAGACGCACCCCGCGCTGAGGACCGCGACCACGACGCGGACGAGCTGGCGATAGAGGGCGCACAGCGTGCGAATCAGGACGCGGAAATCGCGGGCTCGTCACGACCGCCTACAGCGCAGAGATCCAACAACGCGCCACAACAGGTCCGCTTTTCCACCGATATCGAACGACGTCAACCCACCTCCCACGGTCCTTCGAATCGCTCGGCTTTTTCGCCAACGTCTCGCAACCGCGGATACTCGCTGCGCAGCGCTTTGCTTCGAAGAAACGTACACGATAATACACAGCCCTCTGGGCAGAATATTGAGCTGGATGAAGGAGTTGGAAGCACACAGGATGGCGTGGGACAGCAGGAAAATACCGTCTCGCCAAAGGGAGGGCCTACCGTCGTCACCACCACTCCCGAGTATCTCGACTATGCCGCGGGAGCTGCGGATGTCTCAAAGGCACGCCTCGGCAAAGGCCCTATCACCCTTCCAACCTACAACACATGGCTTGACCGCAAAGGACCCTCCAAAACAGCAGACTTGAAAAAGAAGACTCGCGACCTCGCGGAACAAGCACGCAAGTTCATATTCAGAGTCAAGGACGTGCCACCCAGTAAAGACGGGCGACATATCTACCTAGAGCCAGCACGCACTATGCCACTAATCGATGAGCGAACAACCCAACCATACACCAGCAACTGGATCAGATCAACCCGCTATTCTGCCTGGAACTTTGTTCCCCGCCAGCTCGTAGCACAGTTTTCGAAACTAGCCAACTTCTATTTCCTTGTAATTTCTATTCTGCAGATGATACCCGGCCTTAGTACGACAGGTACTTACACCACTATTGTCCCGTTGATGTTTTTTGTTACGATCTCCATTGCGAAGGAAGGTTACGACGACCTCCGAAGATATCGACTTGATAGGGCGGAGAATAATCGAGAGGCGCGCGTACTACGGGTGAGTTCGTTGCCCGAGGCCCAACGTGGGCCTACGAAACGCGGGAGCTCGGTTGACTCGTCGTCCGAGACGCTTACTTGGGAGGTGATCAAGTGGCAGGACATTAATGTTGGGGATATAATCAAACTAGAGCGCAACGATGCTGCACCGGCTGATCTTGCGCTTTTGCACTCAAGCGGAGAGAATAGCGTGGCCTTTGTTGAGACCATGGCACTGGACGGCGAGACCAACTTGAAGAGCAAGCAGACGACTGCTTCCATATCCAAGACCATATCACACCAGGAAGATGTTCTGAGGACCGATGCAGAGTTCGTCGTTGAAGACCCGAATCGAGACTTGTACAGCTTCGAGGGTCGTGTTACAGTCGATGGCAAGCAAGCGCCCCTGACCCTAAACGAGATTATCTTCCGAGGAAGCATCCTCCGCAACACCCCGGATGCTATTGGCATGGTCATCTACTCTGGCGAAGAATGTCGCATCCGCATGAATGCCAACAAGAACCCGCGCATCAAGGCCCCATCTCTACAAGGCTTGGTGAACCGCATCGTTCTTCTCATCGTCGTCTTCGTTCTGGCACTCTCCATCTTCAATGCCGTTGCCTACAAGATCTGGCAGAAGAAGGAAGACGACATGTGGTATCTTCAGGGTGCGTCGGTCGCCTTCTTCCCCAGCTTCACAGCCTTCATCATCATGTTCAACACTATGATTCCGCTGTCGCTGTACGTCAGTTTGGAGATCGTCAAGGTTGCGCAGATGTTCTTCCTACACACCGATATCGACATGTATGACGAGATTTCCGACACGCCTTGCGAGCCTAGAACATCGACTATCAACGAGGAGCTCGGCCAGATTAGCTATATCTTCTCGGACAAGACGGGCACACTAACAGATAACTCGATGAAGTTTCGCAAGATGAGCATCGGGGGTGTGGCGTGGCTGCATGATGCTGACCTGCGTGTGGCTAAGAAGAGACAAACGACGCACAAATCGAAGAAGAAGGGCAAGCAACCTGTCAAGACTAAGAAGAGTGTTCGCCCGGCGAAGGATGTGTCTGCTGAGGAGGCCGCTACATCTATTCCTGGGGTCGACGGGCAGGCTGATGTTGCATCGACATGGCAGTCTTCAGCAAGGCCTGGTAAAACCACACGCGAACTGCTCACCAGAGACATGCTTCGCTATGTGCAGCAAAAGCCTCACACACCTTTCTCGAAGAAAGCTCGCATGTTTCTCCTCTCGCTCGCCCTGTGTCACACGTGTCTCCCGGAAATTCAGGAAGACGGACAGACTCACTTCATGGCTTCCTCCCCGGATGAGCTCGCGCTCGTGCAGGCTGCACAGGACATGGGGTTCCTTCTGATCAACCGCGACGTCCACACCATCACGCTCAAGATCATGCCCGCTTCATCACAAAGCGAGCCGTACTTTGAAACGTACGAGATTCTGGACGTGATTGAGTTCTCGAGCAAGCGCAAGCGGATGTCGATTATCTTGCGATTTCCAGACGGCCGTATCTGCGTCATCTGCAAGGGCGCCGACTCGATCGTGATGCCGCGCCTCAAACTCGCTGCTCTCGCGAACAAGAAGATGGTGGAGATTGAGCGGAGGGCCAATCAGCGCAAGAGCATGGAAGTACAGCACGCTATTGCACGGATGAGCGAACAGTTCGACCGGAGGGGTAGCGTGGTAGGCCGGCCAAGCGGTGTTAGTGGGCGCAGGAGTTTGAACTTTGGTCAGGCTGCTCGTGCGAGTCTGAACTTGGGCCGGCCGTCCATCGCTCGGAGTAGCTTTGGCGGACGGGGTTCGCGGTCTGTTAGGGATGATATGGATGGGTGGTTGCGTGAGCGCGAGAATGATTACGGGGCCCAGTCGGGCGAGGATGAGACGCCGATGTCGACGCCCAGGCAGTCGGGTCTTGATCGGTTCTCCATGGCGTTTTCGTCGGCGCGGTCTTCGATGCAACTCGAAGAGATGGAGAGCTTGGTTGATGAGAATGTCGCTGGTGATGAGTCGGCGGTCATTGAGCGTTGTCTTCAGCACATCAACGAGTTCGCTACAGAGGGTCTGCGGACGCTGCTCTACGGATACCGCTTCCTGAACGAAGACGAGTACCAAACGTGGAAGAAGGGGTATCTCGAAGCGACCACCAGTCTCGTTGACCGCACGCGCTTGATCGAAGAGGCAGGAGACATGATAGAACAAGGCCTAGATCTATGTGCCGCTACCGCCATCGAAGACAAACTACAACAAGGCGTCCCCGAAGCAATCGACAAGCTCCGCCGCGCGAAGATAAAAATGTGGATGCTAACCGGCGACAAGCGCGAAACAGCAATCAACATCGGCTACTCCTGCCGCCTCATAAAAGACTACTCCACCCTCACCGTCCTCGACCACGAAACAGGCCAAGTCGAGCAGGCCATCGGCGCATCCGTCCTAGCCATCACCAACGGCACGGTAGCCCACTCCGTCATCGTCGTCGACGGCCAGACTCTCGCGCAAATCGACGACAACGAGGCACTACAAATGCTGTTCTACGAGCTGGCCATCCTCGCCGACTCGGTCATATGCTGTCGTGCGTCCCCTAGCCAGAAAGCAGCACTCGTCAAGGCGATCCGCAAGCGCGTTAGGAAAAGCATCACGCTTGCTATTGGCGACGGCGCGAACGATATCGCTATGATCCAGGAGGCGCACGTCGGGATTGGTATCACGGGGAAAGAAGGACTGCAGGCCGCGCGCACAAGCGACTATTCGATCGCGCAGTTTAGGTTCCTGACGAAATTGCTGCTCGTGCATGGGCGGTGGAATTATATCCGCACGTGCAAATATACGGTGGGCACGTTTTGGAAGGAATTGGTACGTCTCACTCACATATCCTACTTACCAACGAATGCATACTAATAGTGGGGGAAATAATAGCTCTTCTACCTAACCCAAGCCCTCTACCAGCGCTCAACAGGCTACACAGGGACCTCCTTCTACGAATCCTGGTCCCTCGCCCTGTTCAACACGCTCTTCACCTCCCTCCCCGTAATCTTCATGGGCGTCTTCGAGCAAGACCTCGCCGCCTGCACGCTCCTCGCCGTCCCAGAACTCTACGCCAAAGGCCAGCGAAACGGCGGCTTCAACTTCGGCGTGTATCTGGGCTGGATGTTCATGGCTGCCAGCGAGGCAATGCTGGTTTACTTCGTGACGTGGAGTTTATACGGCGGCGCAGCCGGCGTAAAAGATGACGGCATCTACGCCCTAGGCAGCGTGGCGTATACGGCTGTCGTTGCGGTTGTGGTGTTGAAGATGCAGTATGTCCCCCTTTCCATCCCCCCCTTAACCCTTACCCCTAGCTAACTAACAATGAACAGGGTCATAGAATCCCACACCAAATCCCTAACAAACTGCCTCTCAGCATTCATATCCTTCGGCGGCTGGCTCCTCTGGACACTCATCCTCGCCCTGGCCTACAAGCCCGACGTCAAAATATACTACGTCCGCGGCGCGCTTACGCATACTTTCGGCGCTGATGCCGTGTGGTGGCTCACGCTGCTGCTTATCGTGATTGCGGTGCTGGTTGCGGAGGTGGGTGTTGTTACGGTAAGGAAGGCGCTTTTTGAGCGCGAGGAGGATCTTTTTCAGGAGTTGGAGCGCGTGCCCGAGGTGAGGAGGAGGTTTGAGGAGGCGTGTTGGGGGGAGGTTGCGGGCGGGAAGGAAGGGGGTGGGGGGAAGACTGGGGAGGAGGCGAGGCGTGAGGGGGAGATTGTGGAGATTTTGCAACAGAGGGGTGCTGCTGGTGGTGGGGTGGGGGCGGATGTGGAGAGGGGGGATGTGGATGTTGATGTTGATCGGATTCTTAGTAAGGGGTATGGGAAGGTGCGGTGAGATGATGATGTTGTTGAGTGGGTTTCGTTGCGTTGCGCGTTTTTTGTATATATTCTCCGCTTTGTTTGATATCCCATCAGTCTCTGTTTGTTGAATGTGTAGCATTTGGATTTCAGTCTTTCTAGCATGATACTAATTGCCTGACTGCACCATCTCCCGTCCGCCCAATACCCAGCGAATACGAAGCACAAAGTCTACCATACCACATGCGTCGTACACCTCCCACAAAACAAAACAAAACAACCGGGGTCCAACAGTCCCAAAAACGCCAACATGCCGACATCCAAAAAAGATCTATTCGATAACATGACTACTCCCGCCTCGCGACGGGGCAGATTCAATAGAGCAAGGGAGACCGCGACTAGTGAATCTCCTTGATCTTGCACTGCCAGCCCGAGTTGGCCTCGAGGAGGGGCAAACTATTTCATCATTAGCACACACACACACCATCATATATGGGAAAAGGGGGGACTAACCTAGCACCCAGACACCAACCCAGCTCATTCCCCTTGACCTGTTTCGCGATCTTAACCTCGCGATCAAGCGGCATGCCATACCCAGTATGCAGCAGGGCAAGCTGAAAGTTCAGGTCAAGACACCACTCGGGCCGTCCCCTTAGCTCATCCATAGCATTAGGCACGCCCTGAAACACATCCCAGCCCTTCTCGCCCTGGCAGACTTTCTGCGCCAAGTCGCCCAGCTCGCGCAGGGTGAACGACTCAGGCATACCGAGGTCCTGTGTGCGGTCGTAGAAGTAGCTGAGCAGGTAGACGGCCTCGGAGGCGAATGTCTGCTCGAAGGGGGGCTGGTGGACGCCGCGGAAAGCGCAGGGGGCGATTTTGCACTCGTCGTCTTTGTGCAGGGTTTTCTCTGCCCAGCCGCGGCACTGCGTGGGGGCGGCTGTGAGGGGGCCTGTCATGTTTACTTTTACGGTTGCGCCGAGGGGGTGGTCGGCTGGCATGGCTACGTTGACTTCGCGGCTCATGCCGGGCGCGATGCAGGGGTTTACGATGGGGCTGTCGAGGTATGCTTTGCTGCCTGAGTCTTTGTTTTGTGTGTACAGGGAGTCGAGGATGGTGCTGTGGAGGTTGTTGCGCGCTTCCATTAGCCCGTAGCCCAGGTACGAGTGCTGGTATAGCTTGAAGACGTGGCTGCCAAATTCCAGCTTGTACTTGTGGTCGCCTTCTGCGAGTTCGGTGGGCAGACCGCCGCGGGGGCTGTCAGGGAAGGTAGGCTCGAAGACGATTTGCGTGGAGCCGCCGCCGAGGTCGAGAACGGCGGCTGTGGGGTTCTTGTCGGGTCCTCCAACCTTGCCCAGTAGGTAGTTGATTGTGATCCAGGCGTAGACGCCCTCCATCTCACCGGGCATGACTTCGACACCATTTCTCTCTTCAGAGACGAGAGGGAACGGGTAGGCGTTCTCCAAACGGTTACGGACAGCAGCGAGGGTGTTGCTGCTCTTCTCCTCGCCGAGCTTGCGCAGACCAGCCGTGGCCTTGACGGCAATGGGCGTGCATGCTTGGTACTCCGGGGGTACGTTCTTCACCGCCACATCGAGGAGGACATCCAGACTCTTGGCGGCGCCCTCGGCATCAGCGCCGTACGACGACAGGCCTGAGCCACCATCTTTCTTGGGCGTCTGCTCGAAGATCTCGCTCTCGAGCTCAGGGCTAGGGCCGCAGTTGTTGAACTTGTAGACGTGGATGCGGGAGCCTGTGCTGCCGGCGTCGATCATGAGCGCGTACTGGATCAGCGGCTTGTCCTTGGAGAAGGATTTGACGCATTTTGCCGCGACGCCGCCCGCTGCTGTGTTGCCGCCTGATGTGTCTACAGCCGTCGACAGGCCACTCCGGGGCGCAACGAAATATAAGACGAGCACAATGAAGGCGATGATGCCGCCCGTCTTCAGGTAGCGCACCCGCTGCCCCTGGTTCATGTTCGCGGAGGTCTTGAAGTCACTCATGAAGCCGTTCGAGTTGTTTGACCGGCGTCGGTCTGTCTTGTCGTGAGGATCGCGATGGGGGTCGAAGGTGCGTGGCAGGGAGACGGAGAGCGGTCGTCGCCGTGTGCCCGCGAAACTAAAGTAGGACCAAATGCCGGGACGTCGTTGGCCGGGGACTTCAATGCCGCTGGACATGCCACTAGGGGAAAGGGGAGAGAGAGTCCTGGGTTCAGGACGTGTGCATTGAGCTGGTCTGCATGCCAGAGTCAGTTTAGATTGTTACACAGCGCGGGAACCACTTCCTACTTTAGGAGAAGCAACGTACAACAAAACCAGATCGAGCAGAAAACAAAGTCGTTGAAGAGGCTTGTCCCCTGGTTGCACCTGCTTCGTGTTCCTTTGCTGGACTGGACCCTGTGCCAAGACTCTTTTTCTACGCCTGCAGGGGTGTGGCTGCGGAGCGTTCAGCGGAAGTGAACCATTCCTGCCTCTCTGCATTCTCCCATTCACATCAACGACACAGACATGGTGGTCATTGTAGGTTTTGTGTTCAAGGCTTTCAGCTCAACTTGCAGTGTCGAGCCAGACAAAATATCATGTCATACGTCTTCGCCTATTCGTCGAGACCATGTAGGGAAGCTGCAGGCTGCAGACCACACTGCATCTCTTCGTCTCGATCCTTTCCTGAACCATCTTCTATCATTTGCTCAGACCCATAACTCTTTCGTATTGCAATGTCTTTACAGCCAGAACACGAACACGCCCAAGATACGGAGCTGAACTCTACGACATGTCCAGTCGCCCTCCATACGCTGTGCGATAATTGTCGAGCCTTCTTTGCAACGTGTGAAATATTCAGCCTCACAATTAACCCAGGAGTAGACTATAAATCCGGAGAGAACAGATCATATCGTATCACTACTGTCAGTCATCTACTTGCCAACGATCAGAATTGTCACTTTTGTATCATGATGCTAGATGGTTTGAGCCCCAAGGACGGGCACGCCGATTTGCATTCAAACCCAGACAATTTGATTAGTTTGTCGACATGGCTGATCAAAAACGAATGGGATGGACACGCCGATATAGTATGCAGTCCTGAAGAAGCAAAGTTCAAGTGGGATGACCCTCCCACTCGCTACGAGGTTACACATCTACTCTTTAGATATTTTGGTTGTGAGTGAAGTTATGCAAGTCATCCTCAACGTCAAGAAACTGATCGTCCAGCAATTCCAACGGGGGATGGGTTTTCGAGACACCTCACCTCGTCCCATGTACCCAGCCGTGCTTGCGACAATATGGCCCAGGTCAGCGCCTGGATCAATTCATGCTTGTCAGACCACGACAAGTGCCGAAAAGTCCAACAGGACTCTACAAACGCTGGCCAGCTGCCCGCGAGGCTCCTCGACCTGGAACGAGATCGAATCTCGCTAAAGTGTGATGTAGCTGGCAACGACAGTATACAATACCTCACTCTCAGTCACATGTGGGGGCCAAACCCAACGCAACAGCTGCAACTAGTCACTTCAAGACTAAAAGAGTTCCAGCTCGAGGTCCCTCTCCAGGAGATGTCTGTCATATTCAAGGAGGCTGTGAGAATCACGCGTGCTTTGGGATTTCGATACCTGTGGATCGATAGTCTGTGTATTATACAAGACTCGTCATCGGACTGGGAGCAAGAAGCCAGCAAGATGGCAACGACATACGGGAACGCGGTTTGCAGCATAGCCTTCTTGTTCCCACCCGGTAACAATGGCATGGTACTACGGAAGGATCCCCGGAGATGGAACGCGTGCGTAGTTCGTGATCCTACACGTGATAGCAAGGGAATCTGGATTTCCCGGTTGAACTCACGGTCTGCGATACGGCGCCATGATTGGCCCTTGTTCTCTCGAGCGTGGACGTTCCAGGAACATCTTTTGTGCCCGCGCACTCTTCTCTACGGGCAAGAGAACCTGATGTGGGAGTGCTCAGAGGTCTTCTGCGACGAGCTGATGGGTTCGCTCAAGACGCTGGAACAACCCCATAGAAAACATACGTGGGAATGGAGCTGGAAAGCAGTCACCAAACCAAAACTCTATACGCAAATGTTGAGTATCAGATCCGTACCAGCACTCGGCGCGTCTGCCAAAGATGTGCTGGAAGTTGGAACCATCTGGGCGAATCTCGTTCTCGAGTATCGAGAGAGAAACTTGACTGTGGCGAAAGATCGCATCATGGCATTCGCGGGCATCGCCCGGGCAATACACAACATGACCGGACTGACGTATCTCGCCGGCACCTGGCTCGAGTACATCCAGCCTTGCCTGCTATGGAGCCATCCGCACGACCACGCCCAAAAACCCCGAGAACCAGGCTCACTGGACGCTCCCAGCTGGTCATGGTTCCGCGCCTCACTGTACCCTCGTGACTTATTCGACTTCACCTCCGCTCCAGACGTCCACCTCTTCAGAAAGTCGTATGTCAGACGCGTTTTCTGGGCTGAAGCCGTCTCGTTCAAATTCCCGTCCCACCCCAAGAACCACGTGCCCCAACCCGCTTTCTACAATTTCGCCGGCTTGCGCTTGACTCTCAACGCGTTGACGGTGAGAACTAGCTATGCGCTGGACTTCGAGTCTTGTCTACCGACACGGATCGAGGCGCTCTACGGCGGGGATAGTAGCGCGCAGATCGACTGTTGCTATGACAGCCATCCACTGCAACGAAAAAAAGAACTATTGGGTGACGTCCGCTTAGCGCTCATCATGGAGTTTGAGTACTTGGATCACAGGGCAACGTACTCAGCGGGCCTGTTGCTGGTGCCGGGTCTAGAGGAGCAGACTTGGAGGCGGATAGGCGTGTGGACGGTTGATGTTTGCGATATACCTCCGGAGCACGGGCGGGTTCAATCTGTCCTGAATCTGCTGGGAGAGTGCAGGGTGGAAGAGGTGACTTTGGTCTGAAGATAGGGCAAAGACTCGCTATATCGGCTGTCCTGCAGGAAACTATATGCATCGTCGATTGATATTACATATAGTCTTTGTCTCCGACTTGTATTGTTTTGATGGAGAAAGGACTTTCCTAGTATGTACCGCCATGACGCTCTACAAAGTTCTTCCTCCTCCATTCCCTCGCCATTCATCTCCTAACGTCCGCCCTATTTTCACCACACAATGTCATCCATCCAGAGTACGACTTACCTCAAGGCAAATACAAACCCCCTTACCCCCTCCAATAACAGTCCCACAACCCCCATCACAGTCCCCAATCCCCCGCATGGTCTCTATTCATATGAGCATACACATCCGGCCCACACCCAAACGTCCGCATGCACCGCCAACAAATATGAGCCCGACAAGACCGACACTCCATATGATTGCACCCCGCGCTCTTCTGAATAGGCGTGCCACAAGAAGGACAGTCCCGCGCATCATTCTGCTTCTTCCATTCCGAGAACTCGTCCGCACCGTCTCGAGCACTACTAGCCTCTTCGCATGTCTGTCCAGGGTGAGCCGCGCCGTGACAGGCCGTACAGGTGGACGTGAGGCAGTAGTCGCAGTTATAAGCGACTGGATGTTCTGGCGCGGAGATGCGGTAGAAGCGGTCGCAGTCGGGGGTGGAGCAGTACTGGAAGGCAGATGGGTGGGAGCGGATGTATCTAGCCACGGAGGATTCGAGGAGTGCTTCGTAATCGGTCGCGGGTAGCACGGTGCGTAGGTCTTGCAGAGTGAGGGGAGTACTGCATGTTCCGGATTTACCTAAGCAGCAGAGAGGGAAGGTTGATGTGGACGCTGCTTGTGCGATGATGCAGGAGCTGCAGTACGTGTGGCCGCAGGCTGTTTTGAAAGCGTCTTCCGCTGGAGTCCAACACACTGCACACAGTGGCACGGCCTCCCCGTCAATGGACATGTCGGCGATAGACTCAGGTATATCTGGCCGATAGGACTTCAGGATCTCCTGGATCTTAGCTTCTTCCCTGTCTGTACCGGTAAGTATTATCTGCTTTGGATTCGATGTAACGTCCAGCTTCACCCTGTCTTTACCGACAGCAGCGACAATCAGTCGGAACCCCCCTTTCACAGCGGTAGCTAATGAGTTTGAGTCAAGCAAGATGTTTCTGGTCTGACTGTTGGTCTCTTCGATTTTCGCTAACAGTGCTTCCTGTGCAGCATGAATGTTCACCTCCTCTCCATAGAGTCGCAGGAGCATTTTCCGTCGATCACGAACAATGACGACTCCATGCAAAGTCATAACTTGATCGAGAAATGGCGTGAATGAGCCTTGGAAAAAGTACGCATGGGTCAAAGGCTGTCCACCGCTGGTAGCGATAGTGCCCGCCAACAACTTCTCAACCTGTATCTTGACGTGAGCGACTGACGCTTTGTCAGAGCCAGATACACGAATTTGCGTGTACGCCTTGAGCGGATTATCGTAAGCCTTGATAGCAACATATTGAGCACTCCGTGCTGTGTCGGCCAGCGCATAGAGTTGGGTCGTGATGACCTTCAGCACGCGTTGCGAGACTGGTAGCTTGACGGAGACGGTCTGTTGAACATGCAATTTATCGTTTGATTCAGGTTCGACCGCGGAACCGTTGAGTTGCTTCACAGCTTGAACGGCCTCATCGGGACTTGAAAACTTTGCATAGGCTTTGACTTTGGATCCACCAGGTTGGACTGTAACTGACCACTCGAGGACGTGACCACATTTTTCTAAAGACGCTCCCACGTGATGCCGGAGGTCTTTCGAAGACTTGGAGTGGGATTTCTGACCCAATCTGATCTCCGACGGCCCGTATTTGAAGTACTGTTTTAAATCATTGACACTGGTATGGACATCGAGATTGCCAACTTTGATCCCACGGGAGTCTGATGAAAGTACAAAGGTAGGTCGGCGTCCTCGGAATTCCACGTCTTTCTTTTCGAGTTTCGACAGTGACTGTTTGGCTTGGCCCATGTTGCCATACTCTAGATGAGCTGACAGAGAAGGATTGTGCCACGTACAAGTGACCCCGGAGAGATGTAGGCGATTAGTACCCGACTCAGATTCGCCAATCTGAACAGTGTTGATTTTGGCACCGTAGTCGTTTATCCAGGAGTCAGTACCAGACTCGAAGGCGTTCCTACTTGCAACACCCCCGTCAGCTACCTTGACTTGAGCTGATTGCTTTGCTGTCTGCGAGTCGAGCTTTACCACAATCGATTCTACGTGCCGGCTGACTCCTGAGCTGACGAGCATTTTACGTATGTCATCTAGGGTAGCGTGTCGTGGTAAACCTGTCACAGCCAGGATCGAAAAGTCGGATGGTAGTGAAACCTTGGCGACCGCAGCGCCTTCCGCGAAGGTGATTGTAGCTCCTACTACGGTTCTCGAGAGTGAATGCTGTTCATGAGGATGACTCCTGTCATGAGCGTGTGTATCAACAATCTTATCTCGAGGCTGTTCAGGATTAATCTCTTGGGCTACAGCGACAACTTCGGTGAAGTTCTTTAACCCAGCATCCCGTGAGCTATGATTGAAGGGGCAATCGTTTCCTTTGAAACACAAACCTCTTAGGTAGAACGTACACGGAATCTTTGACTTTAGGTCCGTCGGCGCCGATTGTGGAGTAGAAGAGCTGTCCACCAATGTGTGATTATACTTGCATGCAACGCCGTTCTTACAAGCGCCTTTTCGAAAGAAGCTACATGGCACCCGCTTCTCTTTGCCTCGAGGTCCGGCTTCAGTAGTTCCAGGGCCACCAGTCGACGCCGGTGGCGTAGGTATGGAGGTCGCGTTCAGGTCATGCTCGTAGCTACACGCCACCCCGTTTTTACAGGAACCTTTCTGGAAGAACGCACATGGTTTTCGCTTTCTGTTCAGTGAGACATTATTGGTATTCACTGTTCGGGACGCCACAAATGGTGGGGTAGAAGCATTGGACGAGGGCCGAAGATGTTCAAAGCTGCAGGTGTCGCCTTTGGCGCAGCGTCCCTGCTCAAAGAAGCGACAGAGTACCATGATGATTTTGGTCTGGCTAAAGAACAGAAGAAGAAGCACTCACGGTTGGTTTTGGGTAATAAGTGACAAGTCGCAGGCAGCAGGCTGAGATCAGGCTTGAGAGGGCGAGGTGAAAGCATGTGGGGAGAAAAACTTACGTCATTCGCAGAACCAACCCGACAGCCTTGTTCTGATATGTTCTGATATGTTTTTATGCATGAACATGAGCCAATGTGCTACACTGCTCAATGGCGGGGTAGGTTCGCCAAGCAGAAGGGGGGAGTGGAGCGAGGAGAGGTGAACTCGGAATCGAATGTAACCCTGAGAGAGCCCAGGATTGAGGATAATCTAGAAACGACACGCGATACAGACTCTCGAAAGGGTATTCAAACGACAAGAAGAACCAACCCACGTCGTTCCAGTACCCACGCAACTGAAGCATCATCACTCACAAACACATCCCATTCCCTACCCTCTCCACAAACTTTCTCACTCCATCCTCAGCCGCCGTATGGCACCCGTGACAACCTCCGAACCCCTCAACGGACTCGCTCTTCCTGAGCCGCCATCCTCCGACGTCTTACCCTGCGTCAGCACGCGTTTATCCGGTCCCGTGACAGTTTGGCCTTTGGCTTGCGCAAAGCCCGCAGAGCGCTCGTGTGCGGGGTTTGTGGAGTAGAAAGCGTCGATGATGGGGTGGATCATGACTGTTTGTTTGGAGATCGTGAGGGTGCTATTCGTGGGGACTGTTACCCAGTTGTCTGTTTAGCGGGTTAGCAGCTTATATTAAAATGCAAGATGGAGTACAAAATACGAAGAAAGTGGTGAGGTGTTGGGAGATTGAGGAAATAACATACCTCGCTCGAAAGTGAGTGGCTCGCTGGCGACGAGGACGATATCAGATCCCTTGTCTCTCCGCTCCATGACATAATCCCTTCTGTCTTCTGAATCGGCATCCTTCTGCTCCCCCTTCAACTCCTTCCAGCTTGTGCCACTCGAGAAGAACAAACTGGCCGCTTCATCCGTCTTGCTACTCACATACCTCGTGCATACCACACTTTCTCCATCCGTAACCGCAAAGTTGAGCAGACTCCTGCTATCTTCACTCCCCATACCATCTTCACCCACGAAATCTCTGATGAACTCGTTGATGCGCTCAATAGTCTTCAACATTGCCTTCCTCAACACTGTATGCCCAAAACCGCCCTTTCCAGGCTCAGAATCCGGGGATATCCCTGCCTTATCCAAACAATCCAAGAATAGCGCAAAGGCCCATTCGGAATCCGTACTCCCCTGGACAAGCGTGAACCACTGCTCATTCAAGCTGAGCGCAAGCCGTCGCTTGATGCCCTTGAAACAGCCAATACCGCCATTGTGCATGAACATCAGGCTCTTATACGAAAAGGGATGGCAATTTGAATCCGACAGATTGCCTTCGGTTGTGGCGCGGACGTGGGCGAAAATGAGGGACGACGTTGTCTTGGAGGCTATCCGCGACAGGTTTATGCAGTTCCAGGCGGGAATCGTGGAGGTGAAGACGCAGGGTTCGGGGCCGAGACAAGGAGACGTGTAGTAGCCGATTCCGAAGCCATCACCGTTGTGCGGTCGACGACGATCCTGTGGGCTGTGAGTCGCGTGTTCAACTGTTTGCTATCATCGAGCTGGTGGTGACGTTACCAGGCGGAGACGAGAATCAAACGACTGTGTGAGAATGGAATGCGAAGGGTTCAGGATAAGTTCCGAGAGTAGTATCTCGTCTTTCCCTTTGTAGACCTATGTCTGTGAGCTGTGTGACTCCTGCAGTTCTTTCAGCGTACTGACCATAAATCTGCACATAGTAGGCGTGCGTGGAATCTCTTCCGAAGTTCTGTGTTAATTGCAGTATCAAGGAAAGGTAACCGAAGGCCTGCAATACTTAAAGAATGCAGTATGTGAACGATAACAATGTGTTGGCAAATTGTTCAGGGCGGTGTACGTGTTGTGATTGCGCCATCGGGACCGGACATGGTGCAAAGGTTACTGAGGTGCAGCCATATTGCAAGAGGAACCTGGAGTGAATTTGAGGCCACAATGTTTGCACAAACATATCGTCAATCGCACACGATACGCGATCAGAAGCCGAGAGCTAAGATACAGATGCCCCCACGCGTTGGCGGTGGAGCTGCAGCCGCGGGGTGCTAAGTGCTAAGCCCGGTCAAGCCATGACGTATGAGTCGTCACGAGCACGTTATCAGCAAACTGTACACAACCCCATTCATCATAGAAGCATTGAAAACAGTGGAAAGATATCATGAGGCCGATCTGCTCGGCAATATATTCAGCTATCTGGCTGATACGAATGAGTCGAAAGGCATTGCTCTCATATAACCATGACCCAGACCTCCCAGTTCGACCCAACCCATTCTGGTTCGACAACCACAAACACACAACGCCAGGGATATGATGCGGATAAGAGACAGCTAAGGGGTTACAAGACGGTGTATCGTTGATGTTTCGTAGATGATCATGGCGAAAAGGGCGATCCGGACGGAGGCGCCCAGAGAAGGATGGGGGGGATTGCGAAGGAAGTGTAATCCTTCGCCGCGCGAGGTAGTCGTGGCATTTCCAAGTATCATGTGGAAAGTCGTGGGCTTTCATCATCTCCAATTCGATTTGGAGAGTACCGGATGCGGCCGACCAAAAACTGAAGGCGCGCATGGGTGATGGGGACAACTACTGCACGGTGTGCAGAACATGGTGCGACTTTTAAAAACTGGCTTACTGAAATGCAACGCTTACATGTCCATGGAGTCACCACCGTTGGCGAAGTTGAAGTTCTGTTGTTGCTGTTGTTGGGTGTTCTCAGCGCCGAAGCCGAAGTGACCCTCCTGGTTGACCTGGGGACCGGCCTCGTTCATGTTCTCCGCCTCATTCTCCTCATCGGAGAAGTACTTCTCAATGATGTTGTACGCCTTCATGTAAATCTCCTCGTTGGCGTTGTTCTGGCACTCGTGGATCTTCTCCATACCGCCAACCTCTTCAATGAAGAGTGCGTAGCGGTTGATTGAGTCGCCGCCAGTACCTTCCTGCTGCTCCTTGTCCATGTCACCCACCTTGAGGATGTTCTCGAGACCATCGAGAGCGACCTGGATGATCTTGTTATCAGGGCATGCAAGCAAATCGCAAAGAGGCTTGATGCAGCCACTCTGGACGAGGTAGCGGATCTGGGCCGGCTTCTGCAGACCACCGGAGGTGGCGTTGGAGATGGCCCAGCAGGCTTCTTTCCTTGTCTTGAAGTCGCCGTTCTGGAGGAGGTGAATGAGAGGCGGGATGATGTTGGCGTCAACAACGGCCTGGATCTGGGTAGAGTTGCCGGCGGTGACGTTGCTAATAGTCCAGCAGGCCTCCTTGCGAATCCCATCCTTAGTGGAGCTCAGCAGAGACAGCAGAGCTGGCAGCGCGCCGCAGTTGATGATGACTTGGGTCTGAACGTCATCACCCGTAACGATGTTTCCGACGGAGCGCAGGGCAGGGGTCTGGACAGAGGTGGACGCGTGCATCAACAGCTCTACAAGACGACGAGGAATGCCTGCCTCAATGACAGCCTGGATCTTGTCGTTGGAGCCATCGGAGAGGTAAGAGATGGCCCAGCAGGCGTCGATGAGGACTTCATCGTCGAGAGAGTACACGAGCTTAGAAAGGACGGGGAGCGCAGGTTGGATCTATTTACGTCAGCATTGGTATAGGCTCGTGTTGCTTGCGGGTACTTACCGTCTGCCAGTCTGGCTGGGGTGTCTTTCCACGGCAGAAGTTGCTCAAGGTCCAGGTGGCATTCCTCAGCATGCTTAGCTTACGGCTGTCGCCCAGGAGGGCAAGCAGCGGGCGCAGGGCACCGGCCTGCAGGACAAAGTCACGGCATGCGGGGCTGTCACCGGCAATGTTACCCAGAGCCCAGACAGCCTGCTCCCGGACGTCTGGCTCGTGGCTGCTGAGCAGCTCGACAAAGATGGGCACGGCGCCCGCCTCGATGACGACCTGTGTCTGCTGGGCCGAGCCCGACGCGATGTTGGTGAGGGCCCATGCGGCCTCGAACTGCACCAGTGTGTGCGGGGAGCGGAGGAACTCGACGAAGCGGCTCACGACGCCCGTCTCGATAACGCGCTCAATGGGGGGGTTGCGCTCCTTGCTGAGCAGCTTGCGGAACTTGGTCGTCGCCTGGATCTGCTCGTCGATCTGCTCCGAGAAGACGCCCTTGACCATCTGGGGGAGCTCTTCGCTGAGCTGGTGTCGTGTGTCAGCCTCGTCTACTCAAAGACCCCTGGTCCCGGGGCGGGCATGCCATGGTGGGGTATACTGACCTGGCCCTCAACGTTGCCGCCCTCATCGTCACTGTCGGGAGCGGCACCCAGCGACGCGCCCGGTTGGTCTCTGCCGGAGATGCCACGACGCTTGGCGAGGTTCTCCTCTCGCTTTGCCCGGCGAATCTCTACCTGTTGCTCCTCACGACGGCGGCGCAGCTCGTCAGGCTTGAAGGCGCTCTTGGCCTTGAAGGTTGTGCGTCGATGCTCGGGAATGTACTTGTCCGCCATGGTTGGGGCGACTGTGGGTGAGTGTGGTAGGGGTAAGGCGAAGGAGTGGTGAAGCAGTGTTTGTTTGCAGTGGAATCTTTCCTGGCCGTGGGGCAAGGAGGGTGAAAAAGGGCGCTAAACGACAAGTGCCTTGGCTCTGCGTGCTAGCAAGCGCGTCGTTCCCAAGCAACCACCCCAAACAATCTCTCGACGGGCGCTTCATGTGCCTCATATTGTCTGCCAATCCCTGCAGTGTGTAAGAATTGTCAAGCTGCAAACGACTGTCAGTCTATGAAACTCCGGATGCAGCCAGAAGGGCTCTTTGTGATCAGTTTGGTGTACGCTGCGCTAACCTCTTCTAGACAGTTCTCGATTCGATGCCGCTGCCGCCTGGCTTCACGTCCATCAAGGACACCAACAGGGGGAAATCAGGTGATGTAGTCAGCCTGCTCGGAATCATAGTCAGTCTGAACGAACCTCGACAGACCAGAGGGTCTGACTGGTTTCTTGATTTCACCATCCAGGATGACTTCACTTCTGGCACCGTTGGGACATTCTCAGGCGCGAGTATCAATTGCCGTCTTTTCAGACCCTCGCCTACCACATTTCCCAAGATCTCTGGTGTCAATGACGTTGTCATCTTGAGGAAGTTCAAGCTGAATGACTGGCATGGCCGACTTGACTGCGTCAGTGATAAACGACAGAATTCAGGCGTTCTGGTCTTTCCCGCCAGCAAGATTCCCGTGCCAGAACTCAGCCAAGCGTATCAACTCGGAAATCAGCGTCTTCCTCATGAAGCCACTTTCGGTACCCCTGATTTCACTACTCAAGAGCAGATGGCTGTTATCCATACCAAGCATGCAGCATCTGGTGCTTTGTCAGAAGTAAGGCAGTTTGCGGCATCAAAGCCTTTCAAAGCTACGGCATCAAACAAGCTCTCTTTGATCAAAGACCTTACTTTCAGTTTGTTCTACGACGTTCGAGCTCAGCTGGTGAACATATATTACACGAACCACGGTACCGTCGAATTGAAGGTGACGGATTACACCTCCAACAGAGATCTCCATCTCTACGCAGATCCTGACGAAGAAGAATCATTCCTTGTCACATACAAGAACTGGTCCGGGCCTTATGGAACACTCACTCTTGATGTCATACTTTATGGCAGCAATGCCAATTGGGCGCGAGACAACCTTTCAAATGGGGACTACATCTTTCTCAAGAACATGCGTACGAAGATGTCGCCTGCCAACAGGCTTGAAGGTGTCATGCATGATGACAAAATCAACCCAGACCAAGTTGATATACGCAAGTTGACCAATTCAATGGACATCAATGAGATCATTAAACGGAGAGAGGCTTACGAGAAGCAACGGACTGGTAAGTCGGCCTTGGAGGTTCTACAGAGTGTACCCCAGAAGCCATCTGCGAAGGAATTTGTGGAGAAGAAAACGAAGAAGAGGGAGAAACAACGCTTGCAGAAGGAAACAGAGCAGAAAGAGCTGCAGAAGAAATATGAAGTATGGGACGCCGCGCGCAACATTATCAACGGCAATGGTTAGTATCCCTTTCCATTGCGTTGCACTATCAAATTAACGTGCATAGTCGTGGCGCGAGACCCCGACATTCAGTTGTCTACAATCTCTGAAATCATTTACAATCCCTCTCTTCAGGTACAAACACCAAGCAGGAACACCGAGTTTGCTCTTCCGTTCGTCAATTGTAAGCATCGAGCCCGCGTTAGAGTAGTCGACTTCTTTCCACCCAGACTGGAACTCTTCGCACGTAGCACGAGGGATCCTACATGGAACGAAAAGGCAAAGGCACAAACTCCGAGCAAAGAACGTTGGGAATGGAGTTTCGTACTCCTTCTTGAAGATGCAAAACCACCTCCCAATACGGTGTCTGAGAAGTTGCGTGTTGTCGTAGGGAACGATTCAGGGCAGTATCTTACCAAGCTGAATGCTGTAGAGTATGTATTTTGATTGCCAACGACAAGACACTATTAACAGTTCACTAGTCTCAAGAAAACCCCGAATGTGTTGGAGCGGCTTGAAGAGATCATGTTCATCCTTTGGGGCAACGTGTTCGAGCTCAAAACCGAACTGAGGAACAAAGGATCCGACCTGCCGCTGCCACCTGGAGACAACAGGTTGCAGAACAAACCATTCGACTGTAACATTGTGGAATACGGTGCCGAGGTGCCTGTCACTGATGAAACACCAACAGGATATGAGCGCAAGCATATGCTTTACGGGACAACCATCAGGTTTGATCCGTAGAATGTCGACTAATGTAATGGATGACCAGAATTGTACTAAAGCCAGGTAGGGAGTCTTTGTCTAAGGTTGGTCTTTATCTTGCATCAAGATGTGCAATGGTAAGCCTGTGTTATGTTGCTATCTCAAGATACACCATAGAACAACAGAGTTGGTGTCTGTAACATTGAGGGATGGGTTGTGGTTTGGAGTTGGTTTGTGGTGTTGCTTACTAGCACTAGTGAAGTCGGCCAAAACATGCAGATGAGTATCTGGAGATGTACAACATCAGATCAGTTACTGACAGACTGTCAGCTACTCCAAGTGCTCGGGATGATGTTTCAAAGATTTAGAGCGTCTAGAGTAAAGCATAGTTTATCTGTACTACTGGCTGCTTGTTACGATGAGGCTCTGTATGCTTCGCAAGCATCACTCACTTCCTCAACTTCAAATTATCCATCGGCTTTCCTGTCACTTGAATCATGTCAGTCTTTAGTTCGTATTTGCTGGTGCTTTTCTAATCACGAAATCACCCAAATGTCTTTTAAATGAAGCTTTTCGCAGGTAGAAAACATCTGAGTCTTTCAGGACACTGTTTGCAACTCACCTTTCACAACAACCAGAACCTTGTATACCTTTAATTCATAGCGATATTGAACTTGGAGGACGGCCAAGTCCATCGTATTCGAAGTGCTGATGAGGAAAGTTCGAAATGGCGTTCGCGGATTGCGTGATTCGACGTGCTCGTCGCAACATGTTACTCATAGTCACCGCAACTTCAAAAAGGAACATATGAGTACCTGCTCCCTCGATAAACAACTTACAAACTCACTCGACAATATCAATTCGATAGTGATAGTTCTCAATCGGTCGAACAAGTCCACCTGGCAAGCGAAGGAAGACGTGCGAAAGAGCTAGCAGTGACTAAGGACACCGGGTTGATCTTTGGATCATCATAGTACCGACAGAGACTGTATCTCGACTAAACTTTAACTACACTCAAAGAACTGAATCGGTCGCCATGGCTCCCAGGATCTCCAACCAGTCGATTTCACATAACTTCCCAGCCACAAAACCCATCATCCACATATCAACAACCGAGATCCCTCAATATCCTCTCCCAAACTCAACAGAAGTCCTAGACCCAACACTCATAACGCAAGACTTCGACCTATTGCGCTTCGAAGCCGCCGCCTTTGGTCAACTCCCAGCCATCCACTCAGGCACAGCCAGTCCAGCAGACTCGTCGCAGACATCCCCAGTCTCTCCAAGATCCCCGGCATCACCTGCAGACGCAAAGTATTCCACAAACCTAATATCCTCCCCATACAACAACCCCGGCCACTACCTCGACCTCACCACCCTCCCCCCACCCTCCCTCCTCTTCGCCAAAGCACTCACAGCGCTGAAACCCGTGCGGGGAGACTACGCAACCGCGCCCTACACCGAAGCGTTGAACTTCGACGACGTGCTCAACGTTCTACGCGAGCTTCTCCGCACAGAACGAGATGGAGTGGGCCAATGGGCAGAGACGAGTTTCTACGTCGTCACGTTCCGCAGCCTACTAAACGAGGGTGTGGATCAAGAGTGGCTGTATAGACTAGACTATGAGAGCCATCGCGAAGCGTGTGAAAGTGGGGGGTTGCTGAAGTACTGGTTTGGAAAGTCTGGTGGTGATAGGAGGAATCTCGCGACTTGTAAGTTTGCCCAGGAGTGCGTTGAGGGTGGAGTGTTGAGGATGGAAATGCTGACTGATTGAAGGCTTCTGGCACTCGCGTGAAGATGCGTATAAAGGTGGTCTTGGGCCGTGGCATAAGAAGGCTAGGGCTGCGGGGAGGGAGTTGTATGAGAAGATTGTGTTTTCGACGCATCGGTTTACGGTGTTGGAGGGGGTGCAGGGGTATAGGTTTGAGGATTGGAGGGAGTAAGATGAGGTTGGAGATTGTTTCGAGTGTGTTTTACATGGGTGAGTGCATACAAGGACAAGATAAAGGTTTACCGAGATCAAGCGTCTCCACTGGGAAATGCATGAAGAGAATACGCTTGGAAATTTTAAAGTAGTAATTTTAGATGGCTTGAGCTCTGATAGTTGGAAACAGTAAACCAAAGCGAGACCAGCGAATACTACAAAGTCGAGCTTGTCAACCTGCGTTGTAGACGCTGTCATTTACTTCGTGGAATGTAGAGACTTCGAGTCAGAAGATGGTAGTCTCGACTGAAATAGGAGATGTCAAGAAATGAAAGTTAGGCTTGGCCTAAGTTTGCTGATGAACACACACTAGGCATCAACATCAACTTCCATATCTCGACAGAACAGTATTGCAGTGATCAAAGGAAGAGGTGAGTTTCAAAGATACCGATGCGACTTGGTGAAAATGAACCAACGTGACGGTCTCGTCACAAGAAATAACTAAACCAACAACACGGTATAGAATAGTTGTGACGATTAGTGCCCACCAAAAATATCGTCCTAGCAATAGAATGAACGGATAGAGAAGCAAAAAATGAAGTCAATGTCCATGTCTAGACAAGTTGTCGCGCACAGACCCTCGCTTATCAAATGCCAAGAGTCAGGAACCCGGCCTCGCACACCATCGATTTTCAAACCCCGACCTCTATCGTGAACGAACAGCGCCAACGTACGACCACTAACCCCGCCTCCGAGCAGCCAATCTTGTCAGTACACCTGCCGAATCTCTGCAGAGAATTTCCAGGAGCAAAAGTACTGACTCCGAGCACAGCCAGCGATACCGCAAAACCCCCCAAACCACAACCACACAACATGTCTCACGAGTCGGTCTGGTATTCGCGTCCTAGGACCTACGGCAAGGGCTCCCGCGAGTGGTACGTTCTACCCATTATTATACACACGAGTTGGAATATCTGGGTTGGAGATGTGCGGAAGGGGATATGCAGAGGAAATGGACAATGGGATACAGGGTTGTGAAGGGACAAATGCTAACGCGACACTTACAGCCGTGTCTGCACGCACCCCGCTGGTCTGATCCGCAAGTACGGCCTCAACATCTGCCGTCAGTGCTTCAGGGAGAAGGCCGCCGACATTGGATTCGTCAAGGTACGATCTCACCTCCTACACACGATGTCTGAGAGTCGCGACACTCGACCGCTGGACCTACCTCTACAACTCTAGAGCAAACACTGACCATCTGTAGCACCGCTAAATACCCCACGAATTCCATGGCTGGAGTAGAGGAGGCGCAACGGATGATTACCCGACGACCCAACTCCTCCGACTCCCACGAGCGAATATCGATATGAGACTGGGGCGGAGAGAGCGTCGGGGCGGGATGGTTCTGCATGGCTTTCTTTCGGAATGGGAATTGTTTCCTCATATCATGATGATGGTCGGAGGGAAGGTGTCTGGCAACGATAACAAAAATCCATCCTGAATTCACGACAACGTACTGCGTACCATGTTCTGCCAGATAGAACGATATGCTTGTCGGAGATTGAAACGAAGCGCTGCTGATGTTGTAGGAACGATCTGAATGAAACGAGGGAACGGGCGAATCTGGAAAGCGATAAGACCTGGGGCGTGGATGATCGGATTCTTGAGATGTGATTGTTTCGAAGAATGTCCCCGCGTATTTGAACACATCAACGCTGCCATCAGGGTGCTCGCCCTCGAGTACTCAACCCCATGCCATATCCCACGAACACAAACGTCTGCATCGACACAAGACACAGTGAACATATTACCGATCTTCAATTCACCCAAGATCTCGAACAACGGACGAGACTATCCGAGATCTCTTTTCCCTACGCTATTCCAATTCAACCCAACCCAATCCAATCCCTTTTCATTGTCACTACATAAACCCATCTCTCCCCTGTCATACATATACATTTATATCCTCACAATATCCACTCTCGTCCTCTCCCACAGCTTATGCCCAACCGACACCCCCCTCTCCCTCTCCTCGTCAGTAACACGCGCTGGTTGAATAATCACACGCGCAAACGTGCCCGCTCCACGCCGCTTCGTCAGTGTCCCCGGATTAACAACAAGGACACACTCGACGACCTATATGGGTATTGGTTAGCACGTTGCTATGAGATGCACAGTTGGAGTTTAATAGACTCACCTTAACAGTGCCCTGCAACGCACTAGGCGTGATCAAAATATCAGGCCTAACGTTCAGCATCTCGCCGAGCTTGAGGTAACTTGTATCGAGCATAGTGCCGAGGGGGAGGAACGGACTGGGCGCTTCGTCGTCCTCCACCCCCCCATCATTATCTTCTTTCTTCGCACCAGCATTAAGCAGTTTCTGCTCCACGACCGAAGGCGCAAGCACCTTCTCACGCGCAGTAGGCGGGAAAAGCGGCAAAAAATTGCGCTGCTCGATGACATTGCGCGCACAGCGCTCGTAGGGGTTCATACCGCGCGCTTTCCCGGCAGACAATTCCTCCCTACGCAGCATATCGAGGATATCGATACTGGACATGCCGACGGTGATTTCGTTCATGCTGAGCGTCATGGGGTTAGTCACGCATTGGACCATTTTGCCCGCGGGGCCGAGGCCGAGCTCCTTTTTTATAAACTTGTCCTGCGGGAAGGCGGCTTGGTGGTGGTGTGCGTCGCGCAGGCTGGGGACGAGGATGACGTTGCAGGTTGGGAGGCGGGCGACGAAGGCTGTTAGGGCGGAGGAGATGTGGTGGCGGAAGAGGTCTGTTAGTGTGGCTTGGTCGGGGGCTGCGTTGGGCGGTGTGTCGAAGTCGCCTGTGCGGATCTGTGGGTGCTCTGCGTCGAGGAAGGGGCCTAGTAGGATGATGGAGTCTGCGTGGCTTTCGGCGGCGTTGTCGAGGAATGTGTGGAGGGGGGAGAAGTCGAGGTTTTGGTCTGTTGTGTAGGGGCCGGCTGCGATTAGCATGGTCAGTGGGCGCGGGTTCGAGGGGTCCGACTCGGGCGTGTCGAGGTAGCGGGCGTTGATTGCGTCTAGTTCGTCTGGTTTTGTGGCGGGGATGTTTAGCAGTGGGAGGGGGAGGATCTCGGAGACGACGAAGGTGGAGCCTGATGCGTTTGTGCCGCGTAAAGCGACGATTTGGCCGGGGAAGAAGTTGTAGGATGGCAGTTCGTCGACTTTCAGGGGCACACGGCGTCCTGAGCCGTACCGTCGCGAGCCTTCGAGGACCAGTGAGGCGGTGTTTAGCTTCCCCTCGCTGGTGTCGTTTGCTATGCGTCCAACGGCGATGATTTCGCTCGGCGACTGGTAGTCTGGGTTTCCGAATGCGCTGTCGTCCAGGCCCATGGACTCTTTGATCAGCTCTCGAAACTCGTCGATTCGGTCGTCGAGCACTTCGGATGCTTCTGAGAGCTTCATGGCCATGGTGCGGTACGAGAATTTGGACATGTCGGTGTTGGCCTTTAGTTTTACGCGGGGTTCTGTTGGGTTTTCCGAGGGAGGGTCTGGAAGGCTGATGTCGCCGTTCATGAACTGTTCGGTGATTTCGTTTGCGGTGGTTCGAGAGGCGAAGTCGAAGGTGCTGTAGTGCTGTCAGAAGCAGGTCGGGAGTGGAGTAGAGAGTAACTTGCAGTGCACCAGGAGCCTCGCTCTTTGGTGTCATGGCTCCACCCGGCGAGCTCATTATGTGTGCCTTGTTGAATTTGCTAGATGGTGTATCGAAGTTTGCCTTGCGCTTGACGGTGCTGCCATTGACGCCATTTGGAGCACTGGCACGCGGTGTGTTTGGCACGAGTCCTTCTAATCTATACAGTGTGAGCCAGTTGATAGCACAATGATATCTTCAAACAACACACATGTCATATACATCGCCGCCCTTTGTCCTCGGCGCCGGCTGACCCCGCTTGACGTCGTTCCGTTGCTGTGCCTTTCCTCTGCTCTCGCGCTCGAGTGAGTCCTGGATAGTCTTCTTGAAGTCTCGCGCGCTCTTCAGATCGATCTTGTTGTCCTCCCCTCCCATTTTCATGCTGTAGGCCTGCCATTTGAAATCCAGCTCTTCGGGCGAGATGGAGTACAGGCGCATTATCGACTGCAATTCTGTGAGGAGGTCCGAGGGCAGTGCATCGTCTTTGGTGTCGCAGTAGCGCTCGAAGCGCTCCGTCAGCTCGGTGGTTGCGTCGTCCATTGTGTTGGGGTGTCAAACGTGTCAAGCGTGTCAAGCGTGTCAAGCGTGTAGCGAATTCGAGATCGCGAGACGTGCTGGGCGACGCGCTCGACGCGTTGATGCTAAAGTGCTTGCACTAGGATGGGACGCGTTAGATCAGATCAGATCGTCATGCAGGGACAGGGCTTATCATCAAAACTAAATCCATGCTGTTGCTCGTCTTGTGCAAGCTGTGCTCTGGTTAACAGACCCTTCCATACCTCACCTCTATTCTTTTTTATATAATTTCACTTAGTCGAGCAACATCATCTACCAACATGTCTGCGATCGGCCCCTTCCCCGAGCCAGTGCCTGGCAGCAAGCCTGCTGCGTCCCCAGCCCTCACCGCCGATCAGCAAGCCAAGTACGAGCAGCTCCTCACCGAAGTTCGCACCTGGGACTCGGAATCGACCCCTCTCAACGACGACGAGCGCATATGGCTCACCCGCGAATGCCTGCTCCGTTACCTGCGAGCAACAAAATGGAACTCGACGCAAGCTTCCACTCGTCTGCGTTCTACCCTCACCTGGCGCCGCGAGTTCGGCACCGATGGCTTCACCTCCGACTACGTCTCGCCTGAGAACGCCACGGGCAAGCAAGTCATCTTGGGCTTCGATAAGGAGGGCCGCACGTGTCTGTATCTGTTGCCGCAGAACCAAAACACCAAGCCAGGACCAAAGCAGGTCGAGCATCTGGTGTACTCGCTCGAGCGCGCCATCGATATCCACCCACCAGGCCAGGAGACGATTGCGCTGTTGATTGACTTCCGGAATACGGGCGCGAGCGGGACGCCAGGACTGGGTATTGCAAAGCAGTGTTTGGATGTCCTGCAGAGTCACTACCCAGAGAGGCTAGGGAGGGCTTTGCTTACGCATTGTACGTCATGTCCCATGATGGATATACATGTCTTGTGCTAATTAGAACCAGTGCCCTGGTACGTTACCACCTTCCTCAAGCTCATATACCCCTTCGTCGACCCCGTCACGAAATCAAAGATCAAGACAAACGAGCCGCTCATCAACCACGTTCCCACATCGCAACTCATGAAAGTGTCTGGCGGTGAGGTCGACTTCAAGTACGACCACTCAATTTACTGGCCCGCGCTCGACAAGCTGGCCACCGAAAGGAGACAACAGAGGAAGGAGCGATGGCAGAAGGCAGGCAAGCTCATCGGGGAGAGTGAGATTTACCTATGGGGCGGAGACGCAGCAAGTGTCGGTGGAGGCGTCACGGCGGATACGGCGACGAACGGAACACAGCAGAGGAGTAGTATGGAGAAGGTGCCTGTTGCTGAAGCTTAAAGAAAGCGTTGGCGAGTATTTAAGACGGATGTGCAGGTTGTCATCTTGGAGATATATGGAAGCAATCTGGAAGCATTTGCGGTACGGCGTTGAAACGTTATAGACATGAGCCCACTCTCTTTTGGATTGGGAATAGACAACAAACGGAGCTTACAACACGTTCGATTGTTCTTCTCAACACATCGTACACAGACTGTGATCTTGTATAACCTTGGCAAGTAGTTCATGGTCCGCAAGAGAAGCCTCGAGTAACTCAATCCCCACATCACCCCAGCACCTCTTAACACAATCAATATAACTCTAGAAACAAACCTCTGTGTTGTACATCCAGCCACCAAGCGTCCGTCTATGATACACTTACTCTCCCAAGCACGCCTTCCAGACGCCGAAATTGAACTACTCGCCTACCCTCTCCCAGGCAGACACTCAGTATTCTTCCACTCCCAACAACCCGCCCACGAAGCCATTTACATGCACACAAGCCATCACACAACACGGAAAAGAGAATATTTCAAAAACCAACCTTCTACATCCTCCAAACACAACAGGAGAAAGGGAGGTCTTCATCTACCACGCACTCCACACTCCACACTCTCTCATACATAGCTACACCTACCACCGGCTCCCGGTCCAACAATCCCGCTCACATGACAAAACTCCCACACTGATGTCATGTGACCGGGTCTACTACCCGGGAGCGGGTGGTATGCACGCATGAAGTAAGTACTGGTAATAGGTGCGCGTGTAAGGCGGCCCAGGTATGTAGATACAACTAGGTAGATAGATGGGGCTCAAACTTTGTTGTTCGGCGCTTTATTTCGGGGGTTTAATCTAGGCTGTGTATGGTATGGAGACTTGTCCATCTTTCTTTCTAGATACTGGAGAGCTACGGCGTAGTGAGGTAGAATGTGCGTTTACTCAGACTCAAACTCAGCTTCCTCGCGCCTAGCCTCGAACAGCGGTTGGGATCGGATGGGAGTTCCTAGAAACGCGATGGTACAGGGCGGGACGCTTAGTCCCGGACTGGGCTGGGCTGTTTGGTCATGCATGGGGATATGTGCATGGTGAGCGTTTTTGTGGCTGGGTGTGGATTTATTGTATGGCGGCGGGGTTGGGGAGCGGGGTGGGGGTTAGGCTTGGGCTTGGGCTTGGGGGATGGGAAAGTGAGTGCGTGGTGTGTGGAGGAGTTGGTGGTTACGGTGGATGTGGTGCGGGAAGGATAAGAGAACGTGCAGCTCGGTCAGGAAAGTGTAATGGGAAAAGTGCTATGATGTGGGGGGGCTGGGGAAGTGGAAAAAGCTGATGCATTTGATGGGTTTGTATTATGTTATGTTCTCGAAAGAAGTTATCGCTAGAGGTATATGCGTGACATAGGAAAAGGGTATGTATGCTAAATGACAATGAAGTCTCGCCGTCTACGCAACGCAACAGTACAGGAATCTCTATCCCGTCCATGCAATACAACCACACCGTCTAGACACAAATGCAGACCAACTCTTGACTGACGTATTCATCCCGACCCACCTCCTCGCTAAGGGCGCACAATCAAGAAATTGGCGCCCTGAGTGTCCACCTCCTGCTCTCGTTTTTCGGGCGTTTCTTCGGGCGTTTCACCGGTAGGACCTCCTCTGCCAACCGACTGAACCCCATCAGGGTGCTCATCTTCCCTATCCAAGCACATTGCGCCTGTTTGTCGATATGAACATGTAACGCCAACGCCCCCACTCGGCGTCGGCGAATACCGACGGATTAGGCCTACAAGTATCCATGTACCTACTCCATGCAGCGATCGGAGAATACCCCGGCTTTGAGAATGCCACACAGGAATAGTTATCCGGGCGAATGCTAGGCACGCTCCGCTTTGACATGCAACCTCATTAACTGGAGAACATATGCTACCCAAAACCACCAAGGTTTGGGACGTATCTTGCCGAGCGCCGAGCTCCACCGTCGATGAAAACTCGAAGCCACTGGTTTTTTTCTTGACATCTGTGCGGTGTCGGTAGTGTTTTGACCGACGTGCGTACACGTGTCGTTCCCACGCGGACTCGCAAGACACATGTCTCTTGTGGTGCCGTTAGAGTTTTCCAGGACGATGGTCGCGTGTGGTCCCTAATCCAAAAGCGACGACTGGTCAGATTGCTGTGGTCCACTTGGCGTAATCCATCGGATATGTCATGGGATTCGGAGATGTCTAGTCCAGAATCGACTGGGATAATTCGCACACTAAAGTACTGACGTCAAACAAATTAGGTCATTGGCGTTGCGCTAGGTGTGACCTCGGTTTGCGGTGTCGTGTGAACACCAACGACCTCAGGGTCCTGCATGCAGCCATGCCCGACGCACACAACGGCTTGCGCTGTCCAGGGTGACGACGCAAAATTGCTTGTTTTCTCTTCATTAGGCCGAGATCCCTGTCCATCGATTTGGTACACCGTTCACACTAGGAACGGGGGTAGTTTTGTTCGCGCTGAGCTTCCTTGGCGGTAGCCAAATTCGCGCTCTGCCGATGGCCTTCGAATCAAGCTTGCCCACTCGGCGCATATTCATCTCAAGAACGATGACGCGCAGGAAATCACTGTTTTCTCGGGGTTCGCGTTGACGGACGGTGGGCGGCGACCCAGATGTTTTGCCAGATTCATCTGATGCACGGCGGCGGGATTTCGATTGACGCCCTCGTCGGTCATAGGTCTGCATCTGGATCATCGGCGCATGAGGTTCGGAATCGGCGTCGATCATGAGCGCATCGTGGAGGTGCATGGATAGCTCGGTGGCAGAGATAGAAGATGGCTGTGGGTTCAGGTATCGTCGAAGTGCTGGAGATGGCAGCCCTTCCAGATGTTTGGGTCGCATTTCGCTTGTAAACTCTGGCGACAACAATGATCGGGTAAGAAAGTCATCTGGCGGTACGCAGGGTGCGGTGAAATTCGAAAATGACTTGGCTGCCGACTTCAGCGCTTGAAGTGACGCGGTCAGATTAGATTTGAAGGACTTGAATCTTTGCGTAGAAGCGGGCCTCGAGATGGTGATATCAGAGACATCTGTTGTAATGACCTCTTCGCATTCTTCAGAGCCAAAATGCAGTAGGGGGTGGTCGAGAACACAGTCCTCTTTCGGTGGCGACGACACGACCTTCTCTTTGCGCTCAGGTATCGATTTTCGGCTGACCGAGTCGGGTGTGCTGAGATTATCCCAATGCGAAGCATACGAAAGCCCGTCAAAGTCCAAAGATGGTGGTAAAGTGGATAGCGAGTCGGTGGAAATGGACCTGGTTGTCAAGAAAGACTCCCGCCCCTGTTCCATGCTCTGTAGGCTGCCATATTCATCTTCCGACTCGTCTACACGGCCGAGTAATAAATCCATCGGCGATCCAGATACACAAAGCGGTACTTCGGAGTCGTCTTGTTTCCACTCTTGAATCAGCTCATCCATAGATATCCTCCTATCCACAGCAGAGGGTTTGCGACGACGTGTGGGCATCTTGGGGATCGCTGTAACAGCCAGCAAGGCTGCGACTGCTGGCGGAATTGCACCAGAGTTGTGATCCCTTGACATACGCGAGGGTCGGCCTCCATTTTGCCCTCTCATTCTTACTGTCTGGGTCGAGTTTGCTGAGCGCAAGGGTGTGCGATGCGGGATGACAACAGGCTTCGATTGTGGAAGCATAGTGGCAGAAGGTTGAGCCGCTCTAGGTTCCGATGTGGGAATAGTTCGAGTGTTATTCGACGCAGGCTTCTCTGTAGAAATGGTGTTGGATCGCGCAGAGATATGGTTTCGTGCTGTCTGATTTCCCATCTTCTCCGAATTGGTACTGCGAGGCGGAGAATGAAGGAGGTAAGGATAGGACCTTGGCACCATCATGGTGAGGAAAGCGACTTCACAACGTAACACCCGTGACCCTAGATCAGGTACGGCTCGGAGAACTAGACGTTTGTGACGTTCTCGTGGGTCGCCTGGGTACTGTTACGTTATTGCTGCTACGGGATTGGATGAACGCTCAAAGGGGAGATCGTAAAGAACATAAGGCCTGCAAGGTCAAAGCGTGCCGAAAGTGCCCGGGGAGCAAAGCTTGTTTGGAACGTGTAAAATAAACGGCTATGCGTTGTATAAATGAAGTGGAAGGTAAGGAGTTATGGTGAGAGGTGGGAGAGTGATATGGCAAAGGGAGGCTGCAGTGAACGATAAGCGCGTTATGACCGCACCACCAGCCACGGGGGAGGCTTATCGCGTGGGCAGTCATGCCGAGTGCCTAAGACCTGATAAATGTCACGGACCGCGCTGCACTCATTCAGGCACCACTCGGACAGCGCTGGAGTCATAGCCTGATCGTAGCTGAGAAGCCACGCAGCCAAAACCCTCCTATTAGCCCGTCTCAGCGTTCCACGTCGCCGCAATCCGGTGAGGCCCGCCGCGACACTCCGCCTCATTCCTTGGTAGATAGACTGGGAGATCAGTTATGCACATCACGCTCCCAAGGTTCCCCGATTGGCTCCGCTGTCTCCGCGCTTCAGCCCTGTCGCCCCACGCTTCCTTTCCTTCTGGAACGAATCCTTCTGAAGCATACCAGGCTACGACGCAAATCTGAGAGTTCGGTGTAGTAGGCCGCAGGTATGCGTTCCGCGGGCTGTGAATCTCGATTACACGCATACTAACATCACTTGCTGTCATCTCTGCAAAATTTCCATGGCGCTCATTGTCCATCGTAACACGGAAGTCATCTAGCCTGTCAAGTGGCGTATCCTTATCTTTTCCCCAGCGCGGCTGCACCCCACAGTAAGGTGGCTTGCTTGTTAGGGCAACGATGCGATCTTGGTACTGCAAGACAGATGCTTGTACATGTGCGACGCTCGGAAAGGGCGTCTACTAAATTACAGATCCACGGTTCTGCGACAGGCTGTACACTTGGCCCGTTGACTAACAGCACGAGCACATAATGCTTCAGAGGCCGCGAGGGAGAATACGAGGAACACCTTCCCCAATGAGCCTGGTCCACAGTAGCTGAGTTATTTCCCTTCAGACAACAAAGCCCACAAATCCAGCAGTCGGGCAGCAAAAGAAACACACAGTAGATCATCCCACATCCCCACAAATGGGAGACTGAAAGTGCATTGTTACATCTCGGATCTTTTGCACCGAAACGGAAGGTTGGACGGACCCTGGATCTTCATGAGGAAGGAACAACTGGCACGTCGAAAAGAGAGCTGCAAAATCAACGTTCTTGAGAAACGCTTGCATCTTTCAGCATAGACCGGATCCGGAGACCTCGTTAGGAAGGACATCAGGTACATTAGAAACGGCACGGCACGGCACGGTTAAGAGGATTTCGAAATCACATTTTCGCATTGCTTTGTTTTTACTTTCCCCTCGATTCATCATGTTACACGTCCACCCACCCAACCTGCTTCTCGCGGCTACCAAATATGCATCCCGCTCGCTTCGCCCACACAGGACAACGACTAGTGCTTTCATATTCAAAAAACAAGGAAAAGTAGCAGATACAGGTATCGATCCCATCCAAAAACGCCGTGAGTCCGCAACATGCTTGTTGGATGAGGAGCCCAAGCAGGGAGATAGAAGAAGTCTCTGCGTCTGTTAAAGCCAACGCGGTATGGTATGATCAAAAGATACACGACGGGGGCCTAGCGGGACGAGAATCTACTTGCAGGAGGTACAGGGTATCCCGTCGATCCTTTGTGGCGATTCTCGCCGTCCATCACCCCGCGCGGAAGAAGAGAGGGCATGCAGAAAATTTTCGAAAAGCCGATGGTTGCTGATGTCGATGCAAAGATTACAAAACAATTATGGAAATGCAGAAAAGTCGGATGGAAAGTCGACCCAGAGAACCCGAAAAAGAAGCGGACGTGTTGGAAAATCGTACCCAACGCTGTGACGAAAGAATCGTCGTCAACATCTCTAAACCGTTCGTGACGTGACACATCAGCCGTGAATCATATCGTCGTGTGCGGCGTGGCGCATGGAAAGGTGAGCAAAAGGCACGGATGAGGGCATGTCGTCTCAGTACGTCTCACCGTCGTCAGTCCAGCCAGCTTCGCTCCCCTCCATGACACGCACCATGCGGCCTTGGTGTTCCGTCATGAGGGGGCCGCCTTCGACGCTTCGTATGCTTCTGATCTTTTTCCCCTGCACGGCTCGTGGACTCGATATATGGCCACCTTCAGGCGTGAAGCGCTTCTGTCGGTGGCGGTTGTAGTGGAAGTCGACATCACTCTCGTGTGCTCCATCTGACTGCTCAGAAAAGGTTTCCCAGTTCTCGCTGCCAGACTGCATTGTTGCACCCGTTCCTGTTGAGGATGTCTGCGATGTTTGTGAGAGCTGACGACTACTGCTAGATGATATTGACGGGGGCACGTATGTTGGGGTGTAGGCAGTGCGCACACTTTGGTAAGACATGTACGATCGGTCGTCGTATGGATCCTCTGGTGGTATGCTTCGCACGATGCTGTCGCTGCGGTCACCACGGTTGAACTCAAAGCGGTTCATAGGCGTTTCGGAAGGGTCCGGTGGAATGAAGAGGTCCTTCATCCGTGGTGGAGGAGCCATCGGAGGAGGCATGCTTCGCAGTGTTGCTGAATCTCCACGCGAATGCATAAGAGGTCGACGTTCAGGTGATTGACCGCCTTGAGGCAAACCTTTCAGAGTAGAACGCGAAGGGATTTTGCTAGGGCTCCTTGACGCAGAAGCAGTAGGCAAAGCGCTGGCAAGCGGATTGCGGCATGTGCTAGCACCAAAGTTCGACAGAGGCGTCTTTGCTCGACTGACTTGAGAACCATGAATTGTCCCAGCATGACTACGGTAGGAATCGCTACGTTGTAGGGATTCGGCACGTTGTAGGGATTCGGCACGATGTAGGGATTCGGTACGATGTAGAGAATCGGTACTCGCTCCAATGTTTGACACAGGGGTTTTTGCTCGGCTGATCGACTGCCCATGTATAGTTCCAGCACGGCTACGATTCTCGGACCTGGAAGGAGCAACTTGTTTAGTTGGCATGGCAGCATTTGAGGGAGTTTTGGCTCGTGGTGGAGCAGCTCTGGATGCAGAGGCGTATAGCTCATCCAAATACCGTTGACCCTGGACCAGGAACGGGCGACCATACTCATCCTCGTAGTTCTCAAGGGAAGTTTTCAAATCCTTCAACCCTGTCAGTCTCTGAATTCCATGTTATGCGGTATATACGTACGGCTTCAATCTTTGGAAGCTCCTTTGCAATACGCTTTCGCATCTTCTCCTCTCGCAGAAGCTTCCCTGGATCTCGTTTCTCGCCCTTGTTACCCCGTCCCAGTAGACGCGACGCATCCTGACTGGACTGTTGAAGGTCGTCACGTTCCTTGATCAGTTCACGGTATCGATCAATCCTTTGTAGCATGGGCAGGCGCTGCTCCTTCAGCACCTCTAGACGAGAGATTTCAGCCTCATGTGCCGAAAGCAGAGCATCACTACAGACGTCAGAGAAGGCAGGCGTGAAGTCGAGCATCTCCTCTTCTGAGAAGTAAAGGGTGTCCCAGAGCTCCTGCAGCTTGCATCGCGCCTCTTCTACGAACAGGTGCAGATTCTGACGTTTTAGCTCGTTGAGCCTAGCCAATTCATCTTCGAACTCGTTGATAGCGCGTAGGCCGCATCCACGGTTGCTCGCGAGGAACTGCTTGCGCTCGTGCTGCTCAACACCCAGGCGCTCCCACAGCTCTTCAATAGTCGTGCGCAACTGAGTCAGTCGTCGTTCTCTACTGCGCTTCTCCTCAATGAGCCGCTCCTTTGTCGCCTTGAGTCGCGCCAGGTCTTCTTTGTGCAGGCCCAACTGCTCGGGCGCATCACGGTGGCATTGCACGATTGCGGTGTCTGTCTGCGCTTGCGGTGTCCCCAGCTCCGCCCACAGCTGTATGATCTCCTGGCACAGGGCCTTGACCGTGTCGAGGCGACGTGTGTATTCTTCATAGACACGGGTGAACTCGTTGTCTAGCTTGGCGACATAAGAGGGAGAGATGTCGAACGAGGGCGAGATGGCCGCTTTGGGCGACGTCGGTGGCAGCTTGATCTCGACGAAGGATGTCTCGAGGTGCGAAGCATATGAATCAAGCGCCTCGGCGAGTTCTGTCATGTGTCAGTCCAGGTTGCTGGGAAATGAGGGGCATACATACTCCGCACTTGCTCAAAGCGCTCACGGTGCACCTTGCTGACCTGGGTGTACTTCTCCTTTAGACCCTTTACACAGCGCGTCAAGGGATATGTAATGTACTTGTCGTCGTGGTCTTCGTAGTTGGAATTTGGCTTGTTGTCCTCCAGGGACGCTTCCATCTGCTTGATCGTCTTGACCAGGCGGTGTGCCTCTTCTGTTATCTCATGCTTCTCGTTGGTGACTTCTTTCAACTGATTGTGTAGTGTCTCAGACAGGGCGGAGAAGAGCTGCGTCAATGTCAGCTATGTTTGAGAAATGCACACAATCGACCTACCTCTGCCTCACGTGAGTCGCGCTCATGACTAGGCACTCCGATGTCGTCGAACAGGCCGTGCAGCTGGCCGATGATGGTGGTAACCTGCTGGGCGAGATAGCTGGTGTCCATTGCAACTGCAGGCAGCGCGCAGCTTCTGAATTGCGCACACGCTCCACCAGCGTACGTCGTGCTAGTGGGGCTTCAACGGTGTAGGTGGGTGGGCAATGAGGTTTTAGGATATGCCGAGCTAACGATGTCGAAACGCAAGTGCAAAGTGTGTGTTGTTCGAAATTCACCGACCGCCAAAAGAAAGTAGTCGCGTAAGCAGCGCTATCGTCACCCAAAAAGCAAGCGATGAAAAATATCACAATGCGCTGTCAAACAGCGAGGTGATGCAATGTTGAAGATGTATGTGCGTGGTTCGCGCTGGGGCGGCCTAGGTCATCAATGGCGGCGTTGCTGGTTTATTTCAGGAACCAGTGTTGATCGGTGTTGCCATAGTTACCAACCGCGTACCACACTCCAGGGCACCGTTTCATCTCGATTGTCTGCGCGCCACTTAACATCAAGGAACGGTTCGACAACAGGCTAACAGTGGTATGCAGCATGCAGCTGGGTTGTGGTGTCGTTCAACCCGTATAGACGACGAGCGCTTGACGCCGAGAACCCGCCATGGCAGATTATAATACTGCAGAGGAACACTGGTGATTATGCATAGAGGCCTCGAGAAAGGCACAGAACATCAGCACATCGTTCTCATCGAAGACACTCCAATACTCTACAGTGCCTCAAAACTCACGATAGGACTGACTCGAGACTTGACCATTGTCGCGATCGCGCGGCTCGATCATATTGGTGGCTGGCTGTCAAGCACAGAGAAACTGGGAAGCAACCTTGAACGCTATGGGATTGTTGGGCATGGGTCTTTTAGCTCGACTTTTCCTATAGATTGCCCATGCACGGCATACAACCTTGATTGTCAACAACCTCGGGATGCTCACCCGTCGGCGTTATTTTGATCAACAACATAGATGCGGCCATCCCCGAAGGACGCTGTCGTAAGCGAACGGTAAGAGGCCTAACCACATGAGGATTGTTTGGACCGCAAGCGTGAGGGTGAAGTCGTATGAAGCATGAGGGTTATGGGTATGCTAGTGAGGTAGAATTGGTAGCCTGATCAACGATATGATTACCACCACTCCACTTGCATGAGCGAAGCGCGTTAATGCACTTCAGAAACGATGTATTGCTTCGCTTCCAGTGCGTTACATGCTATAGCAACTGCCGCTGAACGTCAGCAACACTCGATTATCAACCAATGCCTTCAAAACAACCACAAGGATGTCGCGGGAGGTGTTGAGCTTAAGCGATACTTTGTCGACCGTGACGTCGGTGCACGTGTTTTCGCGTGTAATGCTTGGACCCTTGTTCAAGTTCTCGGTCCCCGCCACCAAAGTTTGTCTTCCTCCACATCCACATCATATTCAGAACTTGACTTCTTTTGGAACATCCTTACCTTTTGGGATGATCGACAGCTAGACGCCTTGGCGATTTGAACTCTATTGCTCCAAACGACTTCACACGGACCGAGCGCGACTAAAACAATTTCACTCGAGCATAACCTGTCACCACCTCCACCATGCCACCGAAACGCACGCGCGATCGCAAGCGACAGACAAAAATCGATTTCTCGAAATCCTCACCCGTCGCGACCGCAAAACCCTTGCCTACTCGACCTGCGCAATCCACACCAAACCGAGTCGCGAGCCACGCGCCTGTCAAAGCCTCCAAGAACTCGCTCATTTACTCATCTAGCGACGATGAACTCCAAGTGCAAACAAGCAGAGGGATGCAACTGGGTATGCCCGTCAAGAGTACAAAGAATGGAATGTTTGGGAGCTCAGACGCGGATGATGCGTCGTCGTCGGGGACTTCCTCATCTGAAAGCGAGAAAGAGGAGGCAAAGGCGCCTGTCAGTCGGAAGAGACGACGTGCAAGGGATAGTAGCGATGAGGAGGACATGGGGAAAGTGACAGTGGTTCAAACGAAGCGAACAAGAAGACAATCTCCAGTTGCGAAGGAGTCAGTAGAAGAGGCCAAGAAACAGCGTAAAAGTACTAGGAAACAGTCTACGCCAGTTGAGGATGAGGAACGAACCACACCACGAAGCAAGCGGCGCAGACTTGTGAAGAGGCCATCTACGCCTGTCGAGGAGATAAAAGAGCAAACACCACCTCGTAGCAAACACCGCAGGATTGCAGCTAGGCGACCCTCCACACTAGAAGAGGGCGACGATGAGGATTCGGAAGAGAACCAACAAGAGCAAGGCGATGAGAGCGGAGTAGATAGTGAAGAAGGCAATGAAGAAAAAGACGAATTGAAAGAGGATCTTGCATTTCTTCGGTCGTCTCCGCCGCCAGACAGAGGTAGACTGAGAAGTACGCACGACAAGCCCAAGAACGAGCGACAGAAGGCGTTGGAAGCTCTCAAGAAGCGGCGCGCAGGCACACAGGAGCCGTCCTCTGACCGTGCAACTCCAGGACGCAGCCGGCGGATAGTTGTCGAATCGTCGTCAGAATCCGAACTCGAAGTTATCAAAGAAGAGCCAGACAGCGACCGAGAGGCCATCGACGACGTTGAAGATGACGACTCCGACGACTCGCAAGACGGCAGCGACGGCAGCGACGGCGAGCAGCAGCACACCAATGTGCTCGACATGTTCCAAGAGGACGACAATGATGCCAACTTCATCGACGATGACCCCGACGCCCTCATAGGCGCCCCTGACGGCGACGAACCAGAGCCTGAGCTCCCCCTCGAATTCTCTTCTCTTTCGCGCGCCAAGCCCAAGGAACTCTTCAAGTATGCGGTTGAATGGATGGTTATGAAGAAAATTCACCCTGCCTTCGACTCTAAAAACGGTATCTACAACTTAACCTTCCGCAAGCTCGACGATGAAGTGAACGGACTCGCGAACTCGAAGTTTACTTCCTCAGCATGGACAAGCGACTTCTCTCGCGCCATCCGCGCAAGGCCAGACCTCATGGTAATGGAGATTAGTAGGGGGTTGAGGGATATTGGTGATTCGCACTGTGAGGCGTGCAATCGGCGAAACCACCCAGCGACGTGGGAATTGATGATGCAGGGCATGCCGTACGACAAAGACACGTTAGAACCGGTTGAGAATGATTCTGACTCGGATGACTCCTCGTCTGAGATCTCCGCCTCCGACGCAGGTGATGGAGAGAAACCGGTATACGACATCACAGGCCAGCGTCTTCCTTCGGAATCTCACCGCTTCACCCTCGGCTCGACATGCAAAGCCAACGCACAGGTCGCGCATACGCTGCACCACTGGCGCTACCACCTCTATTCCTGGGTGAAAGACTACCTTGCTCGCGAAGGCCATGTCACCGCGGAGATGCTGGTCAAGAGGGAGAAGTGGAGTGATCGCAAGAGGAATAAGGCAGCGCATAAGATTGTGGATGCGATGGAGAGCGGGGGCGAAATCAGGAAGCTGTATCTCCTGTATAGGGACCAGGTCAAGTTCGCAGTTGAGGCCGTTAATGATTACCAGAAGGGATGGGGCAGGCGATAGGCTTGCTTGGAGGATTGGAGTAATGAACGATACCCCGGCATTTGCGGTGCTTCTCACGGTATGTGGCGTATGAACTGGTCTTGTATTTACTGGGACTCTACTTGCGGGCTTGGATGGATGATACTTCACACAGGTTATCTGCGAGATGCATCGGTTATCTTTCATAGTTCACACGTCGACACCGTGACTTCCTTTTCCCCTTTGTCGGGTATGAGGCTAATACAAAGACATATCATGAATCACTATGTCTCAGGCTAAGAATACGTCCTAAGACATCTTATGGGCCTCTTCTTCTACTGTTTCTACTACGTAGCAGGCAATCACTAGCACACAATCTTCCAAGATCTTCTCGTAATTGAGTTGTACTCTCTACTACCCAATCACATATCCCCTACCCATAAGATCTCGTAAACTGGCCTACTCAAGGCTGTTGAAATCAGTAGGTAACCTACCAAAGCCAGAGTGTAAAGAAAGATTTGTACCTAATGTAATAAACTCGGCCAACGGTCAGCCACTCTTAGAACAGAAAAGACAAGTTCGAACAAAGAGCAACAGAAAGTTACCTCAACAGATAGGCGTAGATGTACTTTGCAGTCAGAAATCACAACAGCATAACCCTTGATATAGCGGTATGATCCTCCAGTATGTATAACCCTGTAGTCTCCAATTTCATCGCTTACATACCGGCATTCATAGCAAGAAAGTCAAATGTATATTTGCAAAAAGATAGATACTTTGTAGCTGTGAACCTCGACCATACCTTCCTCATCCCAAACAGGAAAGAGCAATATCGCGATCAGGAAGGAACGAGGACAGGAGAGCAAAAAGGATGACCTACGCAGGGATCGAACCTGCAATCTCTTGATTTCGACTGAATCGTAGTCAAGCGCCTTGCCATTGGGCCAGCAGGCCAGTGAATTGATGGAGGTATGCAAATTTGCAAAAAATACATCCGAACAAACATCGGACGAAAGCAGACGCAATTGCCTTGCTTTCGAGTTTCGATATGGTTTCTTCATCAGTGTTGAAATTTCTGTGGTGCGGGGGCTAGAGGCTACGCTTGCAAGGAGGGGTTCGTGTTCCACATCATCTGATAGAAAGTTTTCACCTCGGCATCGAGATTGGTTGGTCGAAATACGAGGTGCAGCGGAATATTCCAACAGCTGGATAACTACGTGTAAGCTTTTGTATATCACTTACATGTCCGAAACATCAATAGTAAACGTCCAACCTGATCTTTTCCTTGGTTACGTTATCTGCTAGAAGGGCGTAGCTTAACTCCCGATATTCCGACTTGTCAAGTGCTTTGTACCCAGTTTTTGCCTGTCAACTTCTACAGAACATGTTCTGTGATTCATGGTAGATATTTAGAGATCTCACTCACTACTGTGTAAGGACTCAATACTCAGATTGAAAACTTCTTGCCAAATTTTGAACTGCCCAGTTATTTCTGCAGTATCAGGTGTTGTAGAAACGGGTCAACAATAAGTTATTTCTACACTCGTATTTCTTGACTCGTTTTTAAAGCCCATCTCAAAACATATCGTCGTTGCTCCAAAGTTTTGTTACGTGTATAAAAAAGCCCTTCCGGCACAGACTTGGTCTTTTCCAACAAGCTTCCAGATCACGGACAGTAGGTTTGTGAATTAATCACGTTCTAGCTATTGACGTACCCACCCAGTCGACTTATCCACACTGGAAGACTCGCCCCTGTGGTAAAGGCCCAGACACAACAACATTCAAGGAATACTTCTGCCAAGTCGGGCCGACGAATACAGTTCATCTCCGTCGGTCCTTCTTCTCTCAATCCGTTCATTTGCATCTAGAAGAAACTTATAGTATGGGATCACGGACGGACGTAATAGGGCCTACAAAACAAATTGAAATTGTATATATATTCCAAGTACCTCGACTAGAAACTCATCATTGAAGACCAATATCACATTCGGAAACTCACGACACTACCGTCAAGATGCCAGGAATCACCACATTCATAAGCGTCGGCGCAACACTGATTACTCTCGTTCTCGCGTCGAGCTCAGGATGCTCAAAGGCTCTCCCATCAAACCTGACCCCCGGCGGCACAACTCAGGTTCTTACAATATCATCCAAATCCGTCATCGGCAAGACCACACAGCGTGAATATCGTGTCCACCTCCCATCCACCTTTTCCGCAAAAAACAATGCCGCGGCGCCACTTATCATCGCGCTCCACGGACAGTTACAACCAGCGCGCTCAATGGAAGCCATCACCGGCCTATCAACCCCAGCGTTCAACAAAAACGCCATCGTAGTCTATCCTGAGGGTCTGAACGTGCAGGACCCAGGTGTACGTACCTCTCCCCCCATGTTGACATACGCATACACTAATCCACCTCTAGCAACAATGGCTCAGCGACCCCTCAGCTCCTCCATCGTCCGTCCTCGACGACCGGATCTTCATCACCGAGATCCTCAACAGCGTGTCATCCACACTCTGCATCGATGAGTCGCGAATCTACGCCGCGGGTCTCTCCAACGGCGGCGGACTAACCGGGCTTCTCGCCTGCGATCCCGTGCTGAACAAACGCTTCGCCGCGTATGCCGGTGTCGCAGCGGCCATGTACCCTGATTCCACTCTCACGGAGCCGCTCTTCGTCGCGGGCTGCAATCCCCAACTTTCAGGCCGCAAGCTGCCGATCATGGAACTCCACGGCTTGAATGATTCGGTGATCGCGTACGGTGGCAATAACAGCCCGAGTCCAAACTCCCTACCCCTGCCAACGTGGATCAACGCCTGGGTTAGTCGGAATGGCTGCTCAAGTACGCAACCCAGTGTATTGACTCTCGAGGGCGGTGATGTGACGGAAAGCCGGTGGAGCTGTGGCGGCGCGAAGGATGTCGTTGTTCACAGGCAGATTAAGGACTTTGGACATGGGTGGCCGTCGACGAGCGCGCAGGGAGAGCCATTTGAGACTCTGAGGCTGGGGCCGACGACGTGGAATGCTTCGAGTTTGGTGGTGGACTGGTTCAATAAGTGGACGTTGAAGGTTTGAGGGGGTAGTTGTGGAAGCTACGAATATACTGTTGAAAATTATCGGCTTGACAAATCTGCGTCGTGTGCGTGTACTCCTGAAAACTCGCGCATCTCTGATAGAATTCTCTTAGGGTATTACAATACCCATTGAGTTGCGTAATAAGAGCCCACGAGGAGCTACCTGTTTATTAATTACTTATTTAGGAGATGTGGACAAAGGGTGGATATCTAGAGAAAATATATATTTCCTGCAGATAATGAGACATGACCATCGATACTCAGATTATACCTACTAGTGTTTCTTCAATATTGCCTCTCTACGCGATGAATCCAATAGCGATTTCTCTTCATGGACGCACGGTGGACCTTGCGCGATGCGTCTGTAAGCACACTCCTCTCTCCATGGTCTCATATCCTTCCACATGTTGCTGGTCGGGAAAGATCGTAAGCACAACATGTATCGGATGACAGTTCCGACAGTGTGCTATCTGACATGTCAGGATATGGGGTCGATCGTGCTTGCCGAGAAATCAAAGCGTTGCCTCGTTGAAGTGTCGTAGCATGGGGGTATGTCCGGTGAAGCAAGATGCAAGTGTGGCGGCCTTCTTGTGCTTGACGACTCGCTTGCTCAATGCGCGCTGTCAAGACTCGATATCGTTGTTGTGTGTCTTCATCCAAAAGACAGGCCGGCCCTCTTCATGACGCTCTCAAAGTCCTCAAGACCCACGCCACCAGCATCTCTTCCTTGATTTCTGACTCCGCCATTTGCCTCGAGGATCATATCCTTCAGGACATCGTCGGGCACATCCTCCCTCAGCTCTTTCGCGATCCGTCTCAAATGCGCCAGAGTAATGGGTCCAGCACTCCCATGTGTGAAGAGCTGATACGCCGCGCCGACCTCTTCAGCATTATCCTCCCTCTGGTACTCTTCGCCATCATCATCCTCGTCAGACCCGTCTTCTTTTGTATGGATTGCGATCGCAGCGTATGAGAAGAACGGCGCAAATTCCACGAAGCCGGTGTCGAGCGGATCGATTGTCGAGAGAATAGAGGGGATTTCTGACTTGTCGGGCGCGAGGTTCAAAGAGCTGTGTATTTGTCAGTGCTCCGCGCCCACCTGTACTCCGCCAGAGCTAGCATACATCAAGCAACGGCGCACATCGTCCTTGCGCAAAACACCCTCTTTCGAGCCCTCGTAGTCTGGATGATGTACCGCGAAGAGGCCAAATGCTTCCCGAATCTCAGCCTCTTGGTCGGCAGTCAGCCCGTTCTCCTTCGCAAGCTTCGAAGGACGTTTCACGATGACCTTGGCCGAAGCTGCGCGACGTTTCGGCGGCTGAACCTGGAGTCAGCTAGAGTACTGTTCGCGCATGGCTCTTCGTACTGACCATTTTGTCGCCTTGGAACAAAGGGAATCCCTCTCTTCCCACACAATAGTGTTCGACGCGTCGACGCAGCATCGATGACATCGCCAGTAACTGCCAAGACACGCTTGTGCTGTGCTGACATAAGGGTCCACTGCTACGACCGTTTAAATTTGTGAGATCCCCACCCTTTCCCACTCACCTCACGTTTTTGCATTGTGCTCTCACTCTCTTTTCTCTTTCTAATCGACCACTGTGTCGCATTTCTTTAATTATTCATTCCCTACTGTTCTTTCTGACGCGTTTTACGCGTGTTTTCTACTCTATTTAGGACACCCCTACCACCACCAAACACAGGTCAATCTCAAAACTCAGACACATCAATATCCTGCAAAGGAAGTACTCAATATGGCGAACGTCTGTCTGCACAGCGACATACAGCTCTCATCTGGCGCTACAGGAATAGCCGCGTGACTATGAACAACAAGTTCAATAGTCGTCACGGTCATGCTACTGCACGCCGAGAGGCTGGCTGTCACTGATGCAGATCGACTATAGCCCCAAATGAGGCGCGCTGGCGATTGACCACGCGCCTCCAATGCGAGAATTTCGATCAAACGATCGTGCCGCTACGAACAAAGGCGATTCGCCATCACGATCGTGCACACGCACAACCGGAGGTTCAGGACGTGCCGAACAACACCACCGAGCCACCATGATATAGCCCGCTGTGGAAAGTTCTAGCCCAATCCACAACGACAGTCCTCCGAGACTGGCGGGAGAAGGCAACCTATTTCCGAAGAGCAGCGAGGAAACGCACACGTCGACTGCACACAGTGCGAGACAAACGATTCAGAGCCGGTGGCTTCGGCAACGATCCTGTTCCATCCCAATGTGGCTTCAGCCTTCGACTTCGATATCACATCGTTGATCATACAATGCTTCTGGCGCTGGTGCACATGCATCTTTTGACGAAAGTCTTCAACGAGCGTTATGAATACGAAATACCAAATGAACCAAAAACAATACGTGGACCACTGGAGTAGGGGGCGTCCCTCGATACTAGGTGAGGAGTCTGGAGAGGCTGGACCTCATTGCGAAAGCATGAGCTTCTGGCAGGTCTCGGAATCCGATCCTGGTGGAAGAAGCCAACAGATATTGAGTCGCCTCGTGCGACTCTGACAGACTTCACAGTCCATGGCAAATTTTACCCAGCGGCACCCACACCAAAACCAGGCCATCGTGCCATATATCGGAGAATGCGACGGGACGTTGACTGATGGGTGGGGTTTTGTTACCTTCCTCCCCTACGCAGTCCCTGAAGTCTATACGCGTCTTCGTCAATTTCTCCACACAGACTTGTGATCATCGTATCTCGCCGATGCTTCTCAAGTCTAGTGTTACACTTTCATTGAAAGGTAACAACGGTTGAAGGACGGCTCGAAGTACAGATGGTGTCTATCGTCTGGGATTCGATGTCGTCTCCATACCAAGCTTGGTTGTTTTGTAGCCGAAAAGCTCCCAACACCAAACAAAGCGACTGCACTTTATCCATCGCCTCAATCTATGAGACAACGTGGAGCAAGACAAGCTAATGAAACAATCTTGTGTGCGGCAAGATTTGCGTGCGGCAAATTTTTATGTGGTCATACGGCATCGTTCTGATGTCGTATGTGGGCTTCCCGAGGGCTTGATGTCGACTTGTTCGCATCTTCAGTGGGATCTGGGGGCACTACAGTGGTCTCGAGGGCTTTGTGGGATCCGGGGGATTACATTCTCATCTCTTGCTTCCTTGTCGCTCTCGTTCTGAGGGTGGCATGATTTTCAGAGTGAGAAATCAACATTGACGAAAGTCATGTTTCCGCTTCTACATTAGCTAGAGCTTGTCTTTACGTCAGAAACGTTGCAGCAAGTGTGGACATAGAAGCAAGATTAAACCACATCATCGTCCACCTTCTTCACGGGCGGTGATGCCTCTGCCCCTCGTTTCCGTCGCGCCGATCAGTTGGCGCGGGGGAGAGGGGTGGAGTAAACATATTTCTTTTTTTCGTTTTGAGCCTTGTGGCTGATTCAATACAATACTTTACCCTTTACATTCATCTTCTGCTTGCTTGTGGTGTTGTTTTGTGATTCTTGAAGACGTCTGCATTAATGGCATTGAATTTAACCCACCGACTGTATCATAGGAGGCGCAGAGTTTCTTCTCTGCTCTTCTCCCCTCTCCCACTTCCGCTGTAATTGGACAAAACAAGACACAAGAAACCTCATACAACACGCCAAAATCTATTCAATCATGTCTAACCATCTATACAAGGGTATCCGCACCATCCCAGCCAAACCCCCCTATCTAAACCTCCAACAACCTCCTCACCTCACCAACCAACATGCGATCCTCCGCAGCCTTCGCAGCACTGTTCCCCACCGTCCCAGCAGCATCCATGACCTTCCACAAGTCCCTCAACTCGCCGTCCATATCCGCTGCGTACGCCAGCCAGCCCGTGCAAATCAGCGCCATGTTCTTATTCTCGCTCCACTGCTCCTCGGCACCCAGCGTTTCTAACAGAGAGGCAAGGAGCTCAACTTGCTCCGCGTCGTCGAGTTCCGACTCGTCGGGCAGCGAGGACGTGGGGTTAGCGCTGTACTTCTTCATGCGCACCTGGTGGTTGGCGGACGAGATATTCATTGCCAGACTCAGTGCGGAAGCTTTAAGTGCAGGGTGTTTATCGTCGAGGAGCGCGGTAGTGAGGATGGAGATTAGCGTTGAGGAGAGCGGGGGAGAGAGGAGGTGGGGGACGAAGAGGGGAGATGTAAAGAGATTGCAGCACAGATGCAGTGTTGTGAGGCGGAGCGGGTATGGTGCTGACGCTCCCAGGTCGTTGACGTGGTGGAGGAGGTGGTGGATTGTTGCTGGAGTGCCTGTTGCGCCTTTGTGCTCTTCGGCGAAGAATCCAGCTACGCGGACGTCGGAGAGAGTGATTCTTAGGAGGTCTAGCGCGGTGAAGAGAAGTTCGGGGGGGAGAGTAGATGTGCTAGTTCGGAGGAAAGAGGCGAATTGGGGGAGTTTGGTGAGAGGGGCTTCGATTGCTCCATGACGTTCTCGAGTTGAGATGAAGGATACGATGGAAGATACTGCGGGATCCTTGCCGGTGTCTCCCATCTTCGCTACCAGCTTCTCGAGCGGTGGGACCTTTGCGAAAACAACAGGGCGCTGACTCTGTCGCAGCAACGTTGGAGTGCTCATCGATAGATGCGCATGCGGTGGGAATGTAGCGTTGAGCAGCATCTCTACGTTACTGCGCAGTTGTCGGGGGTCGGCTCCACTCCATTCATCGCGTTTCTGACCACGCACGTATGTGATAAAGGAAGGCGTTGCGCGAACTTGCGGATAGCGCGCGTTGATGGAGCGCTCGGCATGGCTGAAGTCGATCTTGATGAAGACGCACTTGGTGCCTGCTTCCGCAGCGAGGTCGTCATACGGCTGATAAACGAGCTTGCAGGGCGCGCAAGTAGAGCTTGTGAAGAAGATGATAGCGCAACGGTCCTCTGCGAGGGCGAGCAGGCGATCTACATCTCGTATGGAGGTTACGTTGTTGACTTTCCCTGTGCTCGCTGCTAGAGCACCGCCAGCACCTGATGTCCCATTTTGCATGCCCGAGTTCGCGACTTGCGGTCGAGGATCGACGGGTTGGGGAGTAGGCGCCTGGGTTATCGGTCGCATCGCCGCATCGATCTGAGGCCTGAGCATCTGCCCGAATGGTGTACTGAGTACCGTCTCAGGCAAGGAGGTAATGTGGTTCGGTATGCCTTTGCCGACTAGAAACATGGCGAAGTCGTTCGAGAAGTTGTTGCAATTGTGCATGAACAGGTCGTAGGATTCGGGGGTGTAGATCGTCTTGAGTGACTCCAGATATTCCAGTATCACCTCGATGGGCAGCGCCGTCTGTCCAAGCTTGACGACTTCCATGGGCCTTCCATGATGCGTCGCCCCAGCACGACAGGTCTGCACACCCTGCCCAAAGTAATACTCTATCCCTTCAAAAACGATAGATGTGTGGTATACGGCGTCAATCTGGGTTCCTAGAAACTGCATCGACATGCTACGTGCAAGACCCTTCTCTAGTAAGCGACGTATCACAGCATTTTGGGGTGTGTCGACTTACCTTGGAGAGGTCGTACACGTAGAGTTGGACATCCATCTTAGCGACTTGATCTCTAGCAGCGCGAGAATACTGGCGATATAGTGTCTTGCAAACGTGTTTTTGCTCGGTGATGCACACTCCAGATTCTATCCTAGATAAAGGAACTTTCGAGTACCACAAGAAGCGTCGAGGACGAATGGCGGCGGAGACCTCAGCTTAGAAGGCGTCTGCAGGCGGCGATGGGTGACGTAGAATGTTCGCGAAGACTGGGATCGCCACATGGTCGTGCTTGCACCTTGTCGCGCTAGCACATGACGTGGTTGGACACCTCGTTGATACATGTTATCCTACGTGATAGATATGAGTATCTACTGAAATGAAATACTTGTGGTAAGTATACCAATATAACACGAGGTTTTGGCTAGATTATACACTACTAGCGGGACAGTACGGTTGACTTCGCGTCTCCCAGCCCCTCAATTCAACACCACCCAGACACGGTCGTGTTGAAGTAGGTATGTTCATCTTAATGGTACAAACTCCCGTTTATTAGTCGTTTGCGCACGCTTAACATCCGTTTTCTGTTCCTTTCAGTTGTATCATCCATCCACCACCAAACCACCATCCCTCTCCACTCTCCCAATCCCTCAACAAATCATACATCCACCCTCCCATTTCCCCCTCAACGCACAAGCCAAGGCTTCCCCTTGAACACATCCAACTTCCCACTCGCACCATCTCCTCCCTTCTCCCTCTTATCACTCTTCCCCATCTTCTCCCTATCACTCTTACCCAACAACCTATACGGACGCTCATCAAACCTGCTCGGCCGCTTTACATCGAAGCTGCCAAACGAGCCCGACACGATGCGGCGAGTAGGGTATGGTGAAGCCTCGGTATCTGGACGAGGCGCAGGGAAGCGTGTTGAGGCAGCGTCTGTATCAGATGGAGGTATACGCGCAACGCCAGCCATACCTTCCTTCTCATCCGTACCCCCCGCACCTATCTTCTTCTGTCTCCTCATCATATTCCTCTTTTCTTTCCTCTCCCTCCTCTCCCTCCTCTCCCTCTCCACACGCCTCACAACCCTATCCTGGACCTCCACATACACCGTCCCATTCCACGACGTCCACACATCGACGCCCGCGCCAAAGACGGTTTCAACCCGCCGGTCGGTATCGTCGGTCATTTTGTTGGAGAAGTACTCTGCGATTTCTGAGAGGTCTTCTTCTTCGGTGTCGGAGTCGAAGTCGGGGGTGCTGGATGGGCGTGTGGGGGGGAGGGGGGAGGGGCTGGTGTTGCGGGGAGGTGGCATTTTGTGCTGGGGGTGGATGGAGATGGGGTCTTTGTTACTTGGGAAGGTGGTGGTGGTGGTGGTGGTGGTTGTGTTGTAGAGGTGTTGTATCGATGTTGGATTAGTTCAGGTTATATACTAGGCAGTTATGTTCCATCTACCTTCACCATCACAGCGAAGAGGGAATCGCGTCGCATCGGCTTTCACTATGGCGACAACACAGGGACTTTCCCGACTTCCCGAAGCAGCCCAATCATTCATTCACTCACTCACTCACAGCCCAAACTCCCATCCCACAACACCAACCCTCAAACCCTCAACACCAGCCCCAACCCCCCATCTCCCAAATATATCCTCTACACACCACACAGTATCACCAAAGCACCCCCCCACCCCCCCTCTCAACAACCACAACAAAAGCCTTCTTCCACCCGCCCTCCCTCCGCCGCCGCGCCCCCTCCCTATCCCTCCTTCGATACGCATCGCTCGTCCCCTCGTTATCGCGCGCTTCTTCTTGGGTGTCGTGCAGGATGGCGTTGGTTTCGAAGTCTAGGGTGCGGATGTGGTGGGAGGGGGAGAAGTGTACTGTGCGGGTTTGGTTTGTTGGGTGGGGAGGGCTTGGTTGGTGGTGATGTATATGTTCTTGCTCTTCCTCTGTGCTGCGTTGGGTAGAGAGTCTGCGTAGTGTGTTGTGTCTGTGTGTTTTTGGATCCAGATTTTCTATGTGGTCTGGGGGAGGAGGGTGTGTGGAGTGGGTTTGTGTGTGTGGGTGGGAGGTTGTGTGTTTGATTATCGGGCGTCGTGGTTCGTTATGAGAGCTCCAAGAACGGACAACATTGGGGGGTTGTTTCTCTTCAACGTGCTCTTCGATACCCTCATCGACATGCTCTTCGATATCCTCTCCAACAGCACAAGACACTACATCATCCAGACCCCACCCCATCGCCTTCTCGTCTTCTCCGAACCCAGCAACTTCAACATCCCCCCCTTCCTCCCCAAGAACAGCAATCTGCACCGGATCCCAGCGCTCGCCAAACCCCCACCCATCGCACAGCGTCCTAAGTTCGAAGACCAGATCCGGCCTTGCTAGGCCATCGTCGGTATGGCAGGGCACGCTATCGGTACGCGAGCGCATTCTGGGGAAAAATTCGAGTACAGCAGCTTTCTACTCGTAAAAGATCTCGTTTGATTGATGGAGCGTGTAGTGTGCAGAAACAACGGCGCAGTAGATAGCGGGATTCGATTAGGAAGGCCATTGCGTGCTGGGTTCAGGGGCTTGTATAGTGCGCAGTGGAAGTGATGCGGGAGACGTCAATGTCCGGATCTGGTAACGGCATGGCGGTGAGTGGGGATCGTCGTGCTGACGGTGACGTGGGGTGTGGGTTGTGCGACGGGTGGGAGGAGTGTCACGTTGTTTTGTGAATTATGGCTGGTTGGGATGGATGGGGGGTTGTGAGGTTGAAGGGGGATGCTTGTCAATGGGAATCAAGTGATATGGAGTGTGATGTGACACGTTGTCGAGTATCCTCCCTCCTCTTCCATGTCCGGTCCGATTTGACTTGCTGTGTGCTGTGGGAGATGCATTGACGCTGCAGAGAAGGGCGATACGTCAGAGGTTTGAAAGTGGAAATGATGAACCGAGGAATGAGAAGGATTCAAGAACGGTGTAGTCGGCGTAATTACCTGACGGTGAGTAGATAAGACGAGACGAAATAGATGGCATGGCGTGAGAATAAAGAACAAAAGTCAAAGGGACTCTGCCAAGGCGAGGCACGCGACGCGAAGACAAATCCCTGCCGTGCCGTGCAGTGGCGTAGGGTCACGGCAGCCTCGATTGCTCGTGCAGCCTCGCAGACGATTGGCCAAGTGGTTGCTGCCTCCCGTCACGACCCTCTGCACTCTTTATTCTCCTCCCGGGCCAGCTGACCCATACACTCGTTGCGGCCCCGCGCCAGACGCACACACGACACACACACGACGCACCCTCGACGCACCCGCCCGAACGCAAACTTTTGGCTGCCACCACGACATCACGAGACATGACGCCCACCATGTTCTCCAAAAACCCGCCCAAGATCCGCACCAAGACGGTCATAGTCAAGCGGGAGGTCCGCCCCGTGACAAGCAGGAGCAACAGCGCCACGTCGGCGCCGCCAGGGAACAGATACCGGCTGACGGCCGCTCCCCCGACGCAGCCCCAGGTGCGGGAGCCCGCGCGCCAGACGCTGTCCGTGTCGCGCGTGCAGCAGCGCAAGCGCAAGGCGTCGCCGAGCACGCCGCAGTGGGCCAGCAGCGACGAGTCGAGCGACGACGCCGACGACACCGACCTGCTGGGCGTCAAGCGCCAGAAGACGCGCCTGAACAGCAGCAGCATGGAGCCCATGACGCTGAACCGCACCCTCGAGCCCGACCCCAACCGGCGCATCCGCATACAGGACTCGGACACGGACGGCGACAAGAGCGAGAAGAGTAAAAAAGGCCGTCTAATACAGGGCCTCGACATGTCGCGCGACGAGGGCGCAAAGGACTTCAAGCCCGCCTTCTCCGGCCACGACAAGCCTCCCGTCGTCGAACTGCAGTACCCCTCGCCCTCGCGCCCGGAGCCCTTCGAGGCCGTCGACCCTCTCGACTCACGGGAAGGCTACGCCCCGCTCGAGGACATCTACTTCAGCATCGAGGAGATAATCCAGCACTACCTCCCCTCGGACCTATCCAGCTTCCTCTCCTCCGACGCCGAAGGCACAGTACGCCTGCTAAAGCGCGCCGTAGCCAAAAACAGCATCCCGGACTTCCTCGCCGAGCTCTCCGCCTTCAACAAGCTAATCCGCGAAAACACCGCAGACGGCACAATCCCCCGCATCCTAGACACCATGCACGCCCTCCCCCTCAGCCTCGTAAAACGCATCACAGCCCAAACATACAACCGCATCGTCTCGCCCCACGCCCACCGCCTGCGCAAAGTAAAGGGGAAAGAAACTACCTACGGCGAACTTCTCCCGCCCTTCGTGCATAAAATCTTCCACCAAACAGCCCTAAACTCCTCCCACGTCTTCGTCGACCTCGGCTCAGGCGTCGGAAACGTCGTCCTGCAGTCCGCCCTCCAAACCGGCGCCGCGTCACACGGTATTGAGAAAATGCCCCTCGCTGCCTCCCTCGGCGCACGTCAGGCGTCGGAACTGCGCGCCCGCGCCCGTCTGTGGAACATCGCGCTCGGTCCGCTTGCCCTCGCGCACGGCGACTTCCTCGACACCCCCGCTATCGACGCCGTGCTGCGGATTGCCGATGTCGTGCTGGTGAATAACAAGGTGTTTGGCGAGGCGCTGAATAACGCTCTCTTGCAGAAGTTTCTCGACTTGAAGGAGGGGTGTAGGGTTGTTAGTTTGGAGTCGTTTGGTGGCGGGGCGAAGCAGGGGGTGAGGAATGAGCAGAGTATCGCCGGGCTTTTTGATGAGGAGAGGTTTGAGTCTGGGACTGATAGTGTGAGTTGGACGGGGGATAGTGTCGAGTATTATATTGCTACGAAGGTGCGGTAGGGAGTGGTCTTCTGTTCTTCTGTTACTCCTTTTTTTCTGTTGTCCTCAGGTGGATTCTTGCGGTTTCTTGCTTCTCTTCGACGACGAGCGGTTGTAGATTTATACTTATGGGTTTTGTGTAGATCGGTTTCTCGGCGCGTTTCGACAGAAGGCTGGGGAACCTTAGAGTGGGGGCTAGGAGGCTGTACTGTGTTACGTAACTTCTCTGGTGTGGTGGTGGTTCTGAAGAAAAAGGGAGGGAGGGAGGGAGGTTGAGGTGCTGGACTGGTACTGGCACTGGCATTGATTGGCATTGGCATTGATATTCGAGTCGAGTAGGTCGATGGACGTGGATATAGAAGTAAATACCCAGAACAACGGATGGATGGTAGTATTATTAAATAGCCACAGCATAGCAAAGCACAGCAAAGGCATACACAAAATCACACAGAAACAGACAGTCCACAATGTATAAGTGATTGATATATTCCACATTCCTTACTATCTCCCATTTCCCTCTCCATTCCTTCTCCAACGCCCAAAAGTCGCAGTCTTATATATGTACCCCCTAATTACCAATCCTAGCCAAGCCCACGATAATCCCAAATAATCCAATCCACTCCAACCCAAGCACAACTTAAAAATCCCAACAAGAAAATGAGTGTAAGATGGGGGTATCGTAAAGAGTGTATCCACTAGCTCCTAAAAAGACGCAAAAAGTGCAAAAAAGCAGAAAAAAAGGTTCGTGATCGCGTTACATGTATTGGATTCTTTTCTCTCTCCTCTCCCCTCTTTCCCAGCGCCAATCTTGCTCGATATTTTAAGATTCAAACGAACAAGGCAAACGCTCCTCCCAATCCACCGACCACAGCGTACTCAAACGCGCTGTTCTTGCGCGCGGCGCCGCTCTGCAATCCGGGCCTGGCTGTAGTTGGCGTCTGTTCGGCACCGTCGCCGGCCTGTGCTCCCGTGGCCGTGGCGTCGATGTAGGCGAAGCTGGTGATGGTACCGATTTGGCCGTCGGAGCCCGTTGTCGTGATGAGCTTGACGCTGCTAATTTTGCCGCCTCCAGGAGTGTACGTGGTCAGGAAGGTGGAGCCGGAGGAGTCGGTGCTTGTCATGACCTCGCCGACTGTGGGGGCGAAGTTGGCGGTTGAGGTCTCGGTTACGGTGCTGCCGACGGAGTTGGTTGTCGTGACGATGACGGCGGGTTTGGATTCCACGGCTGTTACGGTGGCGCCTTGCGAGTTTGTCATGGTTACGGTTACGGCGACTTGGGCGGTGACTTGGCTGAGGATCTCCGTGGTTTGGACAACGGTGCTGCCGAGTGTGTTGGTCGTTGTTACCTCGACGGGGAGGAGGACGACGCGGTCTGTAGTGGTGGTGGTGCGTGCAGTAGTAGTCTGGGCTGCCTGGCTTTCCTGTCCTGCTTGACTGCTCTGGGCGGCCTGGGTACTCTGTGCCGCCTCGCTACTTTGGGCTGCTGCTTGGCTGCTTTGAGCATCTGCTTGGCTGCTTTGGGCGGCAGCCTGACTGCTCTGTGCAGCCTGGGTGCTCTGCTCCGGTGTTGCGCTTGTCTGCGCAGGCGCTGTTCCGTTATTCACTTGTCTCCGACGGAGGTCCTGGACTGCGGCTACGATGAGCTTAGTTGCGAGCGCGGGGTTGCTGTTGTGTACATGTTCAACGCCACGGTGGTGTGACTCGAACACGCCCTCCTTGAACTTTCCGAGCGACGTCAATGCGGCTTGGAGCGACTCCTCAGGGATGACACTGAGCAAGTCATGGAAGGCTTCCTGTGCATTGGCATAGATGGTGTTGGCCTGCCCAGCGTCTTCAGCAACGGCGAGGCTGAAGAACGGCGCAGCAAGGAGAGCTAGGCTGTAGAAGGAACGCATGGCGACGTGCTTTGTGAGACGTGGTCTTGGATGTCGGTAGAAGCAGTGAGCGATGCGATGCGATTTTCAGTTGAGAGACTGCAGCTGTGTCAGCAACGGGGCCTAGTGACACCGACGACTTTGTATGCCAACTTAGGCAGCTAAGAGCCTTTACGAGGGTAATCGACCGGGATGCTTACACAAATCCTGATCCGGTTCCAGGTGGCTGGGTAAGCAGCTGCTAACACGAAAACTGATCGATAGCGAGTGATACCAATATCCGTAATCCTAGTAATCCGTACAGACAACGTTTCGAATCCTATCCTGGTTGCAAACGACAGTGTGGAAAATGTTAGAGCGAGTGGTGAAGTCGAGGAGGAGCTGAGAAAGCGCGGAGGCAAGAGGTTACAGCTTCAAGGCCTGAGACCATGCATGCATGGACTGCAAGACGACGGCAAGCCTGTCCAAGCCCGTCCAAACCCAAAGTAGCCTAATGAATCAATATGGGCGCAATTCCCGACGCCTCCGGGTGCCGATCATGCGGCTTAAATTCATCTGTTTCTGTCCTTATTTACAATTTGTGAACGGCTTTCTGGAGCTACGAAGCCGAAACTGGCGCATGTCATAGTCCACGCACGCTGCTTGCGACCGGTCTACAACGTTAATCAACAGCCCGTCGACAAAGAACCTTCTACTGACATCATTCCCGCTAGCAGTCATGCATGGGGTGTGCACGCCAGCATGCGAGTCAACATTTCCAAACACGAGAGATTGCGGGCGCCTGAACGGCATCTCGTCCTCGTACTTCGTATGAAGTGACCACCAGACATCAATTTTCTAATTGCGACTCTTCACCTACATGCTCATTCTACTTTTCTGTCTATTTCGTCATCTCGTATGATAATCCTTATACGGCAATCATCTCACCTACCTTCCTCTTCGGATGCAGGCAATGCCCCCGTTTGTGTCTAAAAATAACTCCACATCATACACCTACCTGCACGCACATCCCATTGCCCAGCCACTCACACGCGCTTCGGACCATCCTGCATCCGCATTCTTCGCCACATCAAACCCCACAAAACACGTTTCCATCACCACAGGTTGATCTGCGTGTTGGGATCTCCATGTGGGTCACCAAACGTTGTTGAGCGAGACGGTGCCGTCGAGGCCTGTGGCTTTTCACAGAGCTATTAATACCAAATTGAGCCACGACGACGAAGACGTACATCACTATGCGTATTCTCAAAATGTCGTCAGATGTTAAAATAAGAACCAAAGAGATTACCATTAGTGGAAAGTACCTGCCATACTTCTTTATTAACATTAATGGAACCATTCATCGCGCGTCGCTCATACATCGTCAATATGTGCAACCACCCCAGATCCAACCATTCTTTAACCCGGCCTACAAGCTGGCAGTGCTGCCGCGAGGCCACCCACGAACATCCAACTCGCCTCAAAATGAAGAAAGAGAAATCAAATATGTGCCTCACGAGACCGAGGAAACTCAAAAGGCAGTCCCATCATTGGCGCAGCGTTCGAAGTGCTGGCTGTAGTTGCCGGCTGTGATGGGCCATTTGCTGTTGGTGGTCGAGATAACGAAGACTGACCAGTAGGATTCGTTTCCGCTGACTGAGCTGACTGAGTCACTGGAGCAGCAACATAAGGATGTGACTCTGAAGTGACGCTTGTAGGATGAGCAACTGGAGTCTCAGTCGCAGGCTGAGCATGTGAAACTGCTGGAGCACCAATGTAAGGTTGTGCCTCTGAAACTGTATTTGCAGGGTGGGCACTCGAAGCCTCAGTCGCAGGCTGAATAGCGGTAGACGTGTTGATGGGCGGTGGCGATTGCTGTTCCTGCTGAATTGCGGCTGCTGACGGTGCCAGCTGCCTCATCTCAGATGCTGATTGCACCGTTGGCGCATGGGAACTGGACCCGGTAGGTGTCACGTCGTTCGACTCTTCGCCATTTGATCGGGGAACTTCCATCGCCCTTCCCCTATTGACTTGCGCCTCGTAAGGTCTCGTCGGACTCTGAGGAGCTGTCCTGTCAGTCTGCATCTGCTGTGCTCTCATCACATGGATTGGGTTAGGCATTTGGCCCAAGTTGCCTTGCGGACTCCTGGCGCGTTCCCTCTTGTCTGTGCGCTCCTTGTGGTCCTGCATTCGCTTCGTGACCCAAGCAAGGGGGCCCTTCTTCTCGGAGGATCTTTCATGGTCGGGCGGACTACCAAACATCATGGATGTCTCTGAGCTCTGTTGCGAGTCGTACTGCAGACTACGTCGTCCTCCTCCTCCCCAACCCGAGCTGCTGCCAAAAGAGCTCATACTTTTATCTCCGCCGGGTACGGAGCCATGGAGGTCAGTTTGGCTTGCTGTAGGTGTAGCTCTGCTCTCGCCACGTTTATGACCCTTCCAGAAACTACGTTTTTCCTCTCTTTGCGGCTCCTCCGCTAGCTCCGCCTCTGAATATTCAGTGGCAGTCGAGTGCGATCGGAAGGAAGCAGATGGAGACATTGTTGGTTTGAGGGTGACGCCCGAGTTACGCGAAGATACTGTATCCGCATTGTAAGAATGTAGAGCCTCTCTGGAACTGTTCGAGTGTGATTGGCCTTGTGCAAATTGAGGCTGTGGAGGATGCAAGGGCGATGGAATCCCTGGGGGTACCTGAGCTCCTTCGATTCCAATGAGACCACCCGGCAATGAATGTGTCGAACTATGCGCGCTCGGGTTGGTACTGCTGGGGACCCGTTTCTTTTGTAGCTTGTTTGGCTTCCGGGCCTCACTAGTAGGCGAAGCGCCAGCCTTTCCGAGTATCTGAGTGAAGGTACGCAATGGAAGGGAATCAGGTGGAGAATCGAGTGGTGCTTCCAAAAACTCAGATCTATCGCGAGTTGGAGTCAAACGAGGGCTACGTGTGCCTTGAACAGGCATAGTTGGGGGGGACAACTCCTGCGTTCCTTGATGGTTTGCTTGCACAGGTACATTCGGAGTTGCGGCCTCGCTTGGCGGAATGATGTGAGGAGATGACAGGGGAAATCCGCCAGGAATTGCATGAATGGCTGGTGTGACTGACAAATCCGCCGTTGGCTTGTTCTGCGGAAATTCCACATGTGTAAAAGGTGTGGGGAGGTCGATCCTTTGAGGAGGCAATGTCTGTGCTCTCGTCGGCGACGCAAATCCTTCGGTTGGTTGAGCTGGCTGTGTTTGTTCTGCTGCCGGGAGCGCAAGTTGAGCTGCTTCCGCGATCGAAACTGGCTCTTGTACTGGTTGTTCGGCTTGAAGAGCACTCGCTACTACTCCCTTAGACGTTGGGAACGACAGCGGACTCTTGCCAGCTTCAGCAACAGGCGTTGAAGGGCCCGATCCCTTTGGAAAGCGAGGGCTACCAATGGCAGGCGATCTCTTCGAAGGGAGGGTGTTGCTGCGGTGCACACCAGAACTGGTCGGTGTAGTGAAAGCAGGTGTAAGTGGGCTGGGGATGGCTCCCGAATGCCGTGAGCGTTTTGAGGACGTGGAAACGTTCCGGCGGATGCCGCCGTGTTGGCGCAAGCTGTCGGCACCGGCACTAGAAGTTGTGGAGGAAGAACGAACGACGCCGGAATTGTCACGAGCAGGAGTGGTCGGTATGCTGGCTTGGGGGGTCGGCGGTCCACTCTCAACATGTTTGACAGTGCCCTCGTCAACAGCAGTGCCTTCCATGCCGATTAGGAAGTGATCTTGATTGTCGATGAGGAATATCAAAACGTCTTGGCTCAGTCGGTAATCTTGTGGAGACATCTCGTGCTTGGGGTGAGAGAGGATTCCAGGCTGGAAGATGGACGCAAGATTGGACGTGGTCATTTTGTTAACATCAGCTTTTGCGGCAAAGACCGCAAGTAAGTCCAGAATGTACAGCAACAACTGTCGGTTGAGCGATGGGAGCTCTTTGATCCGAAGTTGGTAAGTGCGTACAGCGGCGTCTGGATCGAACCCTCCCAACGACGGCGCTTGTCCCTCGATAGGACCAACGGCTTCTGCTTGGTGGTTGCGTAGAGGCTGACGGAAGGGGTCGTAGTGAGCCAGAGGAATAATGGGCTCTGGGAGAAAGTTGAAATAGCGGCGCAAGATATTGGCGGCATCGTGTACAGTGTAGCCAGTCCAGTCCAGGCCCTTGCCGTAGCGCGGTGGGGTGTCGAAAGCTGTTTTGAGCTCCTTGATTCTCTTCTCTGAGCCTGACAGCCGGAAGATACCTTCCACGTCGGTCGCTGCGAATGTCAGCGTCGAAGACGGACCAAAAGCACACTACTGACCCTTCTCCTTGAGGAAGACGCCGCACTTGGCAACTACAATAGGGACGTATCCGTATATGTAGCTCTCGCCTTGTTCGTTGAAGAGTGATATGGCAACGTTTGCGTAAGGGATGCTCTGGATGAGAGACACGCCAAAAATGCTGGCATGCACGGGTCCTGTGTGCAACAGCAAGCGTCAGCGGATGCGTCCAACAAAATGCAACGGGGAGGCTGCAGGCACACTCGGACGAGGCCCAGCCTGATCAAATACCCCGTAGAGCTTCAGACATGGCTGCCCGTAATGGCAGGCCGGCGCTGGGACGAGCAGGTGTCGTACCTTTTTCTTCTTCCTTCTTCACGGCGCGCTTGCTGAACGTTCTCCACCAAGAGGTCAGGTCGCGCCTTGCGGAGGCTGGTTCTGGCGTCGTGACGGGGGCAGGCTGCGGTTCCCCATTGCGCACGCGCGGCGAGTGGTGCGTGCCGTTCGCCATGGCAGGCATGCGGAAAGCGACGCTGTTCTGTAGGGTACAACTATCGCGGGTAATGTGCACTTGCAGCGTTGTAGGACGTGGTGCTGTCTGGCCCCCAAAAGATGTCGCAGGCGGAGCGGTCCGGGGCGGTTCCGTCGCAGTGTAGCAGGCGCAAGAAGCTCAGCTCAGCGCTGCGGGGCACGCGCTATTGCAGGTGATATTGCGAGGGAGATTGCTGCGGGAGCGGCAGAGGTGAGTGTCCTGGCACGGGCGTAGAATCGGTGCTGGCCTAATACGACAGCCTCCAAAGTAAGGCGACTAGACGGCGGCGGCGCTTAGGGGGAGGGTGCGACGGCGGGGACGTCACAGGTAACTTGGAAACAATGTGCGTGCAGGGCTGGAACTGTGGCTCGAACCGACGTAGGTCATGCAGGGTTGAGGAGCTGCAAGAGGCAGAGGGCACGGCTTGGAGGTGGCAGCCCGATGTCGATGGAGACGCACGGCCGTGATGTGGCTGGCCGCCAGCTGTGAGGGTTCCAAGGAAGACGCACAACGTCGTCTGACATCCAAGCTTCGGTGCGGGCGAGCTGGTCTGAGTTGCGGTTCTAGAACGGTTGGATGAATGGAATGACGAAACAAGTGTTCCAGTTATTTTGCTTTGATGCTGTGTTTGGATCCAATAATGAAGAAGGCTAAGCGGGGAAATGTCTGGTTTCGAGCAGAGCCGTCGCTGAGAAGATGTTGCCAGCGGTGACGAGATGCAAAGAGCGTGATGAGACTGCGCCCTGGAATTGCGAAGCTGTTAATAGCACCTTCCAAGAGTGTCACAACCGTTCCCATGGATGGGCAGTCACAAATGGCTGTGGAGGGGGTGGAACAGGCCGCGCAGCAGTCTAAGCTCCAAAAATTTGGACTGGGGAAGCTCTTCGGCGAGAGTCCAGAGCACGCGCAATCACCTCACGTCATACCTCTGTCCCAATCCATTTCTCGAGTGAACATAACCGAGATTACTTCCAACAAGCACATTCAATTACCATCATGGACTCGTGGGTGGTGCCGTGCGTCCGTCCCAATCCAAGCTAACCATGGAGCAGACTCACCGCAAATGAGCAGCGCGAACTGCAGTCGCGCATGGAGAAGAAGCAGATGAAGGAATTTATGAACGTGAGACTCTCCATGAATTCCATATCCAAGACGAATGGCAATCACCCGCATCGCACGAAAAATAGCGCTGATCAGTCTGGCACCAGATGTACTCCAACCTTGTCCAGAATTGCTTCGAGCACTGCGTAACCGGCTTCGAGAGCAAGTCGCTCACCTCGCGCGAAGAGAGCTGCGTTATGCGCTGCGTGGACAAGCACATGAAGGGCTCCCAGCGACTAGGAGACAGGTTCCAGGAGCAGAACGCTGCCATGGCACAAGGAGGAGGCATGCGGTAGTGTCATCACGACAAAATCGGATGGTCATACATGAAGAGCTAGAACAGACATGATAGCAATGCGAGATTCGCAGCTGGAGATACTCGATCGAGGTGCTTGATATGCTTCGATTGCATGACATTTGTACAACACATGGACGGGATCTAGGATCTGGGGCGTATAACGATTCCTCTTTACATTGATTCATAGACGATTCCTACGTTATTCAAGTCTTGCTGCTGTCATTACTCTTTGTGTAGTACTATTCCGTCCGTGCCAGCTCTCATCAATGCAGTCTTCACGTCGTTTTCTGATCCTTATGCGCCACAAGAGGCCTTCCTACCGCTAGCACAAGGTCGAAACTTTAGTCATTGCCTTAGGCAAGTCGAGGCGATTGAACCGCTTCAATTGGCAATCTCCAAGCTACTAGCAAGCCGTCGTGGCATTTCTTCACGAGGCTTGCCTACGGGAGACGCTATACGTCATGCGTGTGATTGCAAGTGGTATGCATGTAGAGAGAATTGAAGAGCTTACACGGTCACGTAGCATTTGAACCAAGAGAACCACATTGATGATGTCCTGACTTCATGGTTGAGCTTCTTCCAAAATTCACAGCCCCCACGCGTCGCCATAGTGATCGTAGATCTGTACCCTCGGCGCTTCCCTGACGCCCGCCACGGCACCATGGCGCATCTCTGCAGAACAAAGATCCAGATTTGCGGATGCACCGCCTCATAATCACCTTCCGAGCCAATCCCTGTGCAGTTCATGTTTGGGAACTGTGGCGCAGTCGATTTTTGTGATTGCGCCAAGCTGCTTGGCCTACGTATTGTTGCTTCACCGACACGCTGCTCGTCCCTGCTTTGAAGCAGCCTCCTTGTCACTCCGTGGTATATAACAAATCCCCATTTCCCTCTCACTCCACACATCCATCACGAACAAGCACTTCCCCTACCCTACAACCTCAAACAAACAACCCGATCCCCAACAAACTCAACAACCATGGGTCTTATGTGGACTAAAGCTTTTGGCGGCAAGCACGGTGGTAGGTCTTGCCAATAAGCACTCCAGTAGTGTTCCAAGTCGGATATACCGGATGCTAATTCAGGAACAGGCGGTGGTGTAGTCGTCGACAGGCACGGTGCTCGACGCGCTCCCTTCAGGCTGTCTTGCGGTCGCTTCAGCTGCTTCCGTTAAGCGATATCGACCCATATTTCCTTACGATGTTACGACCTGTACGTTCGACCGCATCGTCACCAACATACACTTCTGACATACTCCAAGGTTTCTTTCTTGATCCATACCCTGATCAAGCAATGCTCTCACCGACGACGGCGCTCGTACGGCACTTTCTTCATAGCGTGGCATAGCACAGTAGCGGATACGCTTCGGCATGGATAGCTGAGACTCGACGCGAGCGACTCGCCTGCCACGGTTTCTGCTTTCCTCTACCCTACATAGCATAATTCAATCAGTTTGCACATCTCCTGTTTCAAGCCTCCTTCTGTTGTCAAACGATTCGCGTTTCTGCTTACGAACGTATGCGCGACGATGATTCAAATGAAGCACTCGACTTGACGCCCATGACAACAATGTTGACAACACTAACTTCAACACGCGTGTTGCGTCATCAGAACCCGACGTCACGAGCCGTTTCTCCACATTCCGTCTCCACCACGATCCATTGGCGCGGGAAAAACGACAAGACAACGCGGGGCACCTTCGTCTCGACCACAAACACCACAAAACCAGACGAGCGAGCATAGTCACAATCACACTCAAGACATCAAAATGCGTTCCGTCCTAATAATCAACCCGAACTCAACGGAGAGCATGACAAACGGGCTGAAGCCTCTAGTCACCGCGCTCAAGTTCTCAGATGTCACTCGCCACCTCACTCACTCACCACTGCGCAGCAGACTAACCCCAGCTAACAGACCAAATACACATACTTCACCGCGCCTTCAGGCCCCAAAAGCATCAACAACGAGGACGACGCCGAAGAATCCGTGACCCATTGTCTCCCCGCTCTGCGCCCGCTGCTCGACTCCCACGACGCCTTCCTCGTCGCGTGCTACTCGCAGCACCCGCTCGTGCCGCTGCTCAAGAACGAGCGCGCGGTGAAAAGTGCCAGGAAACCCGTCACCGGCATTTTCGAAGCGAGTGTGGGCACCAGTCTGCAGATTATCCATCCCGACGAGAAGTTTGGCATCGTCAGTACGGGCAAAGTCTGGGAAGACATCTTGACAAATGCGACGATCAAGTTTTTGGGCTCGGGGTTGGAGAGGTTCGCCGGCGTCGAGACGACGGGGCTGAATGCGACGGAGCTGCATGATGCGCCTGCTGAGGAGGTGAGCAGGAAGATGAAGCAGGCTGTTCAGAGGCTGCTTAGGAAGGGCAGTGTGGGCGCGATCTGTCTGGGCTGTGCGGGCATGGCGGGCATGGATGTCATGGTGCGGGAGGCGTGTGTGGAGGAGTTGGGAAGTGAGGGGGGAGAGGCGGTGCGCATTGTGGATGGTGTTGTAGCGGGGGTTGCGTGGCTTGAGGGCGCGGTGAGAAGTGGGTTCTAGACGTGTAAGATATCACAAAAGTTTTCCGATTTCATAGTCTACGTTATCCAGAAATCACCTTCCCCTTGGGCTTTCTCATACCACATCACACACATCTCTTATCCAGCCTACTTATCATATCTAACCTACCCATCGTATTTTGTCATATTTCTCTTACCTCACAAGTTCCCCCTCGCCATCACCATCCCTCCCATCCCCACTCCTCGTCCCCTTCACAACCACAACCAGCACCCACCTCCCCGGCCGCCCAGACCCCACACATACATAAGCCCCTATTTCAAGAACGAGACTCGACAACCGAGCGGGACGGATACTCCTCACAATACAAAGCAATTCGTCTAATCTTGATAAAACTTCTAGCTACCTGGGTATATAGCACCGATCCCACGAATTAACAAACCAACACAACCATTACTCTTAGCCAACTCTAACTACACCGTAAACATTACATAGCAACTCCCCCCTCCCTCCCTCCCCCGGATCAAGTAACACAAGCAACCGCCCCCCACCCAACCGACCACCGCACACCCCCCATAATCAAAACCGCCAAACCCAGCCCCACCCCCACACTCACAGCCGCATAAACATACGCATGCCTCCGTCTCAGGCTATGAATCTCCGCCATCCACGTCGACACGGTCGTCAGCGCGCCACAGAACCCATCCTCCACGCCCTGCAGAACCTGGCAGCCGACGACGCTTCCCCCCGCTACACCCGCGCCCCCGCCGAGAGACACGCGCTGCAGGTCGTACGCCATGGCTAGGATAGCGGTGCCGAGCATGTTGACGGCGAAGGTGCCGAGGGGGAAACTGGTGAGGAGGGGGTTGAAGCGCTGGGATGCGTAGTGGCGGGCTAGACAGCCGAGGGGCGCGAAGACGCACGCGAAGAGGGCTTGGCTGCGCCATGCGGGTTCGGGGGGGAAGATGGCCATTAGGATTGCGGCGAGCCAGAGGACCCAGGCTAGGAGTGCGATGGTGGGGTCGAGGATGCGGCGCGTGAGGCGGAAGGGTAGGGTGGGGGTTATGGGGTCGAGGAGGTTTGCTAGGTGTGCGCCGATTGTGAAGGCGGTGTAGCATGTTGCTAGGGTGATTATTATGGTGGCGAGGATGGCCAGGAATGAGTATCCGCCGTTGCGCGGTACTGTTGTGGTGACTGCTGGGATGGATGTACCCGCGGGATAGGGGTGGTTGATTGGACTCTTCAGATCGTTCGACAGCGCGAGGAAGACGTCGCGGATGAAGCTGGAGAAACTGGTAAACGAGCCGCAGAAACCTGTTGCCAGACCGATGTACAGCGGTATCGTCTTCTTGGCCTTTGCGTGCCCGGCCTTTGAGTGTTGGTTGGGGGTTTCGTCTTTGCCGATGTCGGGGAGCGCATCGGGGGATTCAAGTTGGGACGGTGTTGGGGAGAGGCGGCTCCCCCACTCTTCACGCAGGAGCCGTACATCCTCGACTAGGAATCCGATGATGAGGACGCCCGCGACGTTGGCCCATAGTTCGGAGAAGACGACGGGCGCGCCGGGGTAGAAGGTTAATGCTTGGAGGCCCAGACGCGCAAGAGTGCCCCAGATGGAGAAGAAGATGAGGTACGAGGCTGTGTAGAACTCTGTGGCGATTCTCGAGAGCTTTTGGGCGCGTGGTGTGGGTCGAGAGCGCACATAGTCGTCTGCGTGGTGGATGGTGTTTGCGTCGGCGGCGGCCATGTTTGGCAGAGCCGTGATGTCTTCTAGGTTCCCCCCTGCTCTTGACCCGTTTCGTGACAGCGAATCTGGAGTCTGGCTTGTGCTCTTCCTCTTTGCATTATTCGTCACTTGTTGGCTCGGCGGTGAAATGGGGCCTGGGGACGGGAGTGTGTCGCTATCGGCGCGAAGCGATATGGGCAATTCGAGATTGGAGTCGTCGCTGTCTGATCGGGATGGAGGATGATGGTTTTTTTCGCGGGTGCCGGCCATGACCGAATCCTTTCTCGATGACGTTATGTTTGTTAATCACCAAACCGTTGGACACCCTTCAAGCAAACACAAGCACCATGGTGACCGGGCAATCCAGCCATCTTGGGGGATATGGGTAGTATAAAGCAGGCCATGATCGCCAGCAGCAATACCAGTACCAAGCCACCTCCGCAGGTCAAAGAAGAAATAAACTTTCATCTCCTCGCATCAACAACGCCCAAGGCCATCGAGCTTGGTCCCTGCGTCACGTTGCGATTGGCACAGGGATCCCCCCCGCCCAAGCTCCCCTCTAGCGTCGTGTCGCCGGATCGGACACCTCCGCACCACGTTATCGCCCGTCGGCGGGCAACTGTGGAGCTCTATCAAGACCACCTGCCTCATTGTACGACCAGCTCCACCACAGAGGGCATTCCGACTTGAATAACTACTCGCCGCACCTCCAGCTTTCTGTCCACATTATCCATCATCATGTCCAACACCAGTCTGCCCAAGAACGCGCACGTTTCCACACATCCCTGTGTCCAGGCGAAGCTCTCCCAGCTGCGGTCTGTGAAGACGGGGTCCAGAGATGCACAGACACTAGTACACGAGCTTGCGCTCATGGTTGGGTATGAGGCTCTTGGAGCAGGATTGAAAGCAAAGGACGACGGCACAGTATGTTTCTCGTCTTTGTTCTTGCATGCGCCATACTTTATGTTTCACCAGTGGAGTGGGGTCATGTAGCCTTCAGCTCTACCATGAACATTCATGTCATAGAGTCCACAGTCGAGGAGATGCAGCATTTTTCCCTTCTTCCAGCCCACCTGCCAACCAAACCACACCACCTAACTAACAAACACAGGACGAATCCCCCCTCGGCTACTCCTACACCACAACCACCACCTCACCATCCCCCTCCTCCATATCCCTCGTCCCCATCCTCCGCAGCGGTCTCTCCATGGTCCCCGCCCTCTCCTCGCTACTCCCCACCCCCGTCCCAGTCCACCACCTCGGTCTATACCGCGAGAAGACCACCCTCCAGCCCGTAGAATACTACAACAACCTGCCCTACCACGGTCCCACGGCCGCAAACCCCAACGCCGCCGGCCCCGCCGAGCTAGCCATCATCGTCGACCCTATCATCGCCACGGGCGCAACGGCCTGTGCGGCTATCGACACACTGAAGGACTGGGGCGTTAAGAGGATCATCGTGTGCAGTATCTTGGCGACGGTGGATGGGTTGAAGGCTGCGTGTGGGGAGTGGGAGGAGGGCGTTGAGGTCTGGGTTGGTGGGTGTGATGCTGAGGTCAACGAGAAGGGTATGATCAAGCCTGGGCTGGGGGATATTGGCGACCGCTTGTTTTTGACGCTGGGGAAATAGATGGCATGGTATGGCATGGCGTGTTCACATCTCAGTTGAAAAATTACTACCAATATGCATGTTCAAAAAAACTACAATAACATACAAACTTGGTATTGTCCTTGAGTGATATATTCCCCGTTCGAGATCTAGTTTCGCATCACGCACGGCTTGTTGAAAGTCCCAGATCCACACAACCATCTTCCCCAGCGGTTTTCTATATAAGCAAGCGCTGCACCATGTCGATTTATATACCAACACTCAACCCTTTCCCGCAGACTGGGACCACACGACATTCGTTCCCCTGCATTCGAATTGGATCAGTGCTCCGTCAGAACCCGTTTTACGCGGAAGACGACGTGGGATGAAAGGTGTAGTGCCTATGTGAGGGCGGACGATGCACCAGATACTCAAAGCACACATTCAACACACCACATCGGAGCCAAACAGAGGAGAAGATCGGAAATACAAGTCCAACCCAACCGCTCCTACTTCCCCAAGCAAGCAGTAAATCCAAACACATCTCCCAAATCACCACCCATCAAACCCCTCCACCCCTCATCTCCCCTGTTCCTCCCCCTCCCCACCAACCTCAAAATACCTCCCCCAATGCGCCCTACACCCCGGATTAAACCCCCTCCCACACGCCGCACACCGACTCCCCCCCTCCATATACTCCCTCACACTCCCCACCGTCCCGCACGCCCCACACAACACGGCTTTTTCCTCGCGCTGGTCGCGCCGCCACACGGCTGGTGCGTGGTCCGTCTCGCACGCGTTGTGGCATGTGATGCAGGCGTAGAATTTTTGGCAGCAGGCGTGTTTTATGGCGAGGATGTCGAGGGGGGTGTGGTAGTGGAGACATTGGGTTAGGGGGGTTAGGGAGAGGCCGTGGACTTGTGGGCGGGGCGTGGTGGTCATTTTTTGGTGGTGGTGGTGTTGTGATGGTGTTGTGATGGGGGGTCCGATGTCGGTGGCATAGTCATGTCATGTGAAATCCACATCACCGTCTTCACGAACGGCCAAAAGGAAAAAAACTCAACACCAAGATTAATCAAGTAGTGCGTAATTTTGATTAAAAACTATGCTATCCTCATTCCCAACAGGGGAATAACCCGGGTGAATCGTAACCCACCCAATGCACCGTCGTATGCAACCCAAACGCCATTGACAATGCAAATATGCTGAATCTCGTAATCGTAATCCTCATCTCCCTCCCCCTTTACAACGTCACGAAGATAGTCCTCGCCACGCTCGGCACGCCCGCCGCGCTGACCGCAAACAGATACCACGCACCCGGCAGCATAATACCCGAATCACCCAGAACAGGCAGCGTAACATCATTATCGCCCACAAGCTGCGGTGTAAGCGGAATGCGCCTCTGATCCGTGTTCAAGCTGTGCGTTGAGCTCCCGATTCTGAGCAACGCAAAGGTGACGCCTGCCGTTGAGCCCTCCATGGTGATCTTGATCTGGCCGCCGGGCGCGACGGAGAGGCCCTCGACGACCTGCGAGATGACTGGTCTTGGGGCGCCGGTGGTGAGGTACGGGGGTGTGAAGATCTGGGCGTTGGGGTGGTCGGCTGTGTTGTGGCAGGGGATGGATTCGCCGGCGCCGGAGTCGTAGCAGAGGCCGCCGCCGCCGCTGAAGACGCGGCCGTCGGGGAGGAGGAGGGATGTTGAGTGGTAGTTGCGGGGGATGGTTGCGGGTGCGAGTAGGGTGTAGTTCTTTGTGACGGGGTCGAAGAGCTCGGGTTCGAGGACGGCCTCGTCGTCTGTGAAGCCGTGGGCTACTTCTTGGCCGCCTGTGATTAGGGATTTGCCGTCGGGGAGGACTACGACGTTGGCGAAGGCGCGCTTGTGGTGCATGTCTGGGAGTTGTTCGACCGTGGCGGGCGCGCCAACGTCGCTGATGCTGATCAGATGGCCGACACTGAGCGCGGGAGAGTCGCCGTAGTCGTGTGAGCCTCCAGCTGAGAAGATCTTGCCGACATCGTACATGACATTTACACCACACATGGCGTCGTTGTCCGCATCACGGATGCCAGCAGGGCTGACGCCACCTGTGCCGTCGGTGTAGTACCAGTTCATGGCTTTGCTAGGTCCCGCTTGGAGAACGGAGCCATTCTTCCACGGGAAGAGCCATGCGTGGTTGTCCTGGTGGAAGATGCCACCCTTGTCGTTGGTGAGCATGGGCTCTACGGCCGCTCCAGGGAGCACAGTCCAGGTGTTGGTGGTTGGGTTGTAGATTTCTCCCATCTTGCCACCCAGAGGACCGGACCAGGAGCCGCCAATTGTGAAGACCTTGCCGTTGGAGAGAAGTGCAGAAGCTTGGTATCCGCGCTTGATGTTCATATCAGCGCCCGAGGCGAACTGGTTGGTCGCAGGGTCGTAGATACTAGTCTTCTCCGCGTTGCTACCACCAGTGATGATCAAGCGTCCGTCGGAAAGAGAGTTCATGCCTGGGCAGAACATGTCATGGTTGGTGTTGGAGACCTGGCGCTCAGACACTGTTCCGGTATTGAAGTTGAACTCTGCGAACTGTGTATACCCTCGTTCGCCACCGAACGAGTTTGGAGACCAGGCGGAATACACCATCATGCGGAACGATGATGGGGCTTCAGGCACGACGTAGGCGCCGACCGGGATGACGGGGAAGTTGATGACTTCGCTCCATGTTCCTAGAGCTTGAGCGAGTGTTGTAGGAAGCCAGATTTGCGTGAGCAGCACTGCTGTGCGTCCGAAGCGAGTGTACATGGCTGAATTAAACTGCGACGCGAAATGTGACCGTTTTAACGATAGTGGATGGTAAGAAACCAAGTGATCCTGATCTATGAATCCTCTTCTCTTGCAGCAGCTCATGTTTGCTTTATATCTTCTGCTTTGCGTCAAGACGAGAGCAAAATGGCTCTGACAGTGGAGTGGTCCATGATGACTCGGCTAGGTTCCGATCCGATAGAACGCCATCAGAATTGAGGCTACGCTATTATTGCCTCGGAGGCGGATGATCAAGAACAGACCTATAGCATCAGCGCTGGTAGCATTAGTATCCTCCGAGTTAAGGCTATCGATTGTAAGTGTGAAATCTGACGTTAGTCTCGATCTAGCCGTTGATCGCTAGCTCAATGCTCGATTTTATTGAAGATAGTCAGCTCCCCAAGCCTCGTTGGGCTATAGTACGCCATTTTGCTTCTAGAAGATGCAAGATTGAGGTAGCCCGCACGGCGAGTAGGTAGATAGCAGCCGAGGAAGAAGAAAACCTCAAACAAAATTCCTAGCCTGTACACATTGTGAGGTGTGCGAGGTTCCATCGCGTGTCCGTCGTATAGGCGATGTTGTGAAGTACAAAGCCTGAGTAGCATTTACTAGGATATTACCCCAGATCTTCAAGGTCGTATTGAATGCCGAACAGGTAGATGTTTGGGAAGCGGCCTGAAGTGGGGTTTCGTAGCAATCTCATGCTCATGACTTGACCAGCGAGATCACGAGAGCATCAAGATCTGCAGACTGTTACTCGCGGAGCTTGCAGAAGATCTCGTTAATCGCGCTTCTGGGATGGTGTTCTCGGCCGCTTTAGGGCGTTGACTATGCCAGTATCGATACTCTAGGCGTACTTGAAGTGCAATTGAGACGCTGTCAACCATCAGCCTAAGAGACAACACATGTAAGCTTTCGGCATCGTGGACCGCAGCGTACGAGATTGCTTCGTCGAACTCTGAGTACCCTTTGTGCGCCACTCTTGTTGTTGTTATTTGTCGCTACGTACCGACCCCTACGAAGTAAAGTTCCAGTCGCGGCTGAGAACGCCGAGAACTTGGCAGGGCTGAACTCACGGTAGTTTCTGTGGAGAACTTCACCCACAGGCGACAGACTTGAAGCCTGAGCTAATCCACTTCTGTTTCCTGGTGAGGATGGCTTACTGGGGTCTGTTACCCATTGAATTCAGATTTTCAATGACCCATTGATGTTCATGACAAAAAGTTCTGGTGACCCCTTTGCAGAATAAGCTTTAGCCCGCTTGTTCTATTGGGAACGCTACCATCCCGTGTATCTACCGAGCTTATTATAGCACTCGGCTCATCGGCTTGCAAAGGTGGCGAATTATTTCCTCGTGACATGGAAACGACATTGCGCATCTGGGGTAGTTGTGGAGGCGGCATCTTCGGTTAGTGTAAGGGATAAGCTGAAGATCGGTAGAGCTCTTGTATTGCATACCAGAATTTGAATGCCCGATCCTTCCATCTACTATAAATTTCTGAGTGTAGAATTGCGCCCTAGGGTAGACCCACATTGTAGTTTGCATGTCTCTCTTTTTCATATGTCTCCACTATGTGAATGTAGTGTTCAGAAACTTGACAAGAGAGTTCTTACTAAGATAACTAATCAACTACCTCAGACCTAGCACGCGTGAGCTCTACAACTCTTTAGCTTACACTTTGTAACAACTGTTCAGTAAAACTTCTCGCACGCTCTCCATTAAACCGATGCCATGTCTTGTAGCTATGCCATCTTGAAGAAATGTCCTTCAGCGTATCGAGACGTCTGGCTGGCCTAACCCTCTTCCGCGACAAGATGAAGAGGCTTCGGCTCGCGTCATTAGTGTATACAGTGGTTCAACGCCACGCTCTCGTGCTCATTTCCGCTCCGCGCAATAACGTTCGGATCGATCGGGACTTGTAGGTGACATGACGCCGTCAAAGCTTATCCATTTTGACAATTCATCGATGGCGTGCATTGTTCGTCCTGGACTCTGTTCAACGTAAAGAGCAGATGTTTCCAGGGGCCTTGAAGATCAAGCTTTAGGAACAAGCCTCAGCAAGCAATATTTTCTTTCGTTCATTCTCGGATACGGTGATTGGAAGTAAACGGCTCGTAGTCGCTGTACGATAAAAACAAAGCAGTGTGTTCTGTGTGGACGTTGACCAAGTACATCGTAGCAATCTTGTTCGTCGTATCTCTTCTTTAGCTCGTCATCATACCAACTGTGACTACCGAGGATGCAATTTTGGCAGCGTCGATGACTCCGTGATTACATTGAAACTCTTTGCACTCCGCGGTGGCGCTTGAAATTCGCGTCGCTTTCATTTCGTGAGACTATAGCTTTTGATACTGCGACTGGGGATAGGTGCAAAGGGCCCTGAGACTAGGTGCTTGATGAGTTGATGACGCGCAGGTTTGGTGAGTGTAAGTTCCGAGATAATACAATTTTGAAAACGGCCAAGACGAGGGGAATACAGAGATACGATCTATCATGGTCGTGAAGCAAGCGAGATGGCATGAAATCCTACGTAGGGCTGAGCTAGCTTCTTACACAAGTGGTTCCTTCCTCTTCTGAATGACGTTTTATGGGTCTGTAGATCATGCAGCAAGGGGGTGTTGCAAGCTTTAATCCAACCACAACATACTCTGTCTGAGGAGGAACATGTTGCCAGAGCAAGAGACGTACCGAGAGTTCTTGCGTGCATGTAGCAAGTATACCGAGCGATAATGGATTTAGCAGGGAGACCATGAGATGATCGGGACTCACCGGATTCTTTATCGAACGATCGAACGTTGGCAAGGGATCCGCCATCTCCATTGTTTATCCTTACCCACGGCTGTGAGAGGAACAAGCCCGAAGCTCGCCGAAAACCTCTGAAGCTCAAAAGTCGTCACTTGCCCCGCTCTGCCCCGCCGACTCTAAACATTTACAACTCAGAGCTCAGCTCAACAACGCATTGCACCTTTACAACACCTTTTGACCTCAATTCACCACACCCCATACCATCTCACTTCATTTTTCAAGTCAAATCTACATACAAACCGCAAATATGGGTCGCCAATTCTTCATCGGAGGTAACTTCAAGATGTATGTTACGAGTCAAGCTGTGAGCACAGCAGCAGAATGAGGAGACTGACAGCCCCAAAGGAATGGAAACAGCAAGTCGATCAAGGACATCATCAGCAACCTCAACGACGCCAAGCTCGACTCCGACGTCGGTATGTCTACTACATCCCAGTGCAGCACCGCAGGACAACACCTCTAACCACCCTCACAGAGGTCGTCATTGCCCCACCATCCATCTACCTCCTCTCCGCCCGCGAGCAGCTCCGCAGCGGCCTCGAAGTTGCAGCCCAGAACATCTTCGACAAGCCCAGTGGCGCATTCACAGGCGAGATCTCGGCTGAGCAGCTCAAGGACAGCGGCATCACCTGGACGATTCTCGGCCACTCTGAGCGCCGTGTCAGTTTCAAGGAGGACGATGCATTCGTGGCCAGCAAGACGAAGGCTGCGCTCGACGCCGGCCTCGGCGTGATTCTGTGCTGTGGTGAGAGTCTGGAGGAGCGCGAGGCGAACAAGACGATCGATGTTGTTACGCGTCAGCTCAAGGCTGTTGCGGACAAGGTCAAGGACTGGAGCAAGATTGTTGTTGCTTACGAGCCTATCTGGTGAGTTTCTAACCTATATCTATTGAGCCAGAACAGAACATAGACTAATAGATGGCAGGGCTATCGGCACTGGAAAGGTGGCTACCACAGAGCAGGCACAGGAGGTCCACGCCAAGATCCGTGAATGGATCGGCAAGGAGGTCTCGTCCGAGGCTGCTGAGAAGACTCGCATCCTGTACGGTGGCAGTGTGACGGAGAAGAACTCCAGCGAGCTGGCCAAGCAGGCTGATATCGATGGGTTCCTTGTTGGCGGTGCCAGCTTGAAGCCTGCGTTTGTTGACATTATCAACAGCAACTCCGCATGACTTCATGCTGGTGGAGCTCGTCTGTAGAGAGGTGACTCGCTGAGCCGAGTATGATTACAATGATATAAAGAAATGATATGCTTCCCAAATGGGTTATTATACGTTTGCAAAGAACTTGAAAAGTTCGTGTTTAGTCGTGAATTCGTTGTGACGTTCAAGAGTGTTGTACATTTGCTGTACATATCCCAATTCAGTGTACGCCATCCAGCTATGCCTCTCTTTTCCCACCAAGCAGGAAAACCCTCTGAATCTCTTCACGTCCCCAATGTCATTTATGTAGCCGTGTCTCTGCCTCGCTCTCAATGCCATTTCTTCCCCCTTCTCCCACCATCCAAACACCTATAACTGCACCTTGGCGCCATGAAACGGACTCCAAATACCCCTCACACTCTCATTCAAACTCGTCACAGGCCTGCCCGTCTTCCTGTTCTTCTCCCCACTCGAGTCGCGCAGCATATTGGCCTTCTCCCGTACGCCCTCGAGCTGTAGGTTCTTGACGCAGATGCTGCGCTGCGCGCCGTTCATGTACGTAGCGATGATGACGGGGTGTTTCTGGGGCCGTGGCGAGACGGAGATTTCGATGCCTGGGTTGCGTGATGCGAAGACGGGGAGGGATGTCTTCAGGAACGAGTTCATCCCCCGCGAGGAACCCCACCAGTTGCAGTAGTGGAAGGAGAGGGATTTGCAGGGCAGGATGAAGGCGCCGACGCCTGGGGCGTGTTAGCTGGCTCGAGTGGGTTGAGGGTGGGTGGGAGCGAACCGTTCTGTGCGAGTTAGACATGGAGGTGTGGCGTGTTAGAGGGGGAAGAGTATACCTGGGCCTTTGCGACCGTCCTTATGGCACCGAGAGGCATGTCGACGTGTATTGGCGGAATTGGCAGCGTTGGACTCGCCGTGCTCGATGTCTCGAGAATTGCTGCTTCGAGGGCTAGCACGTGACGGGATGCAGCCTAATTTAGCGCGAACGGGGCGATTGCAGCAACTTTACTCCCCCATCGTCACTGCCCCGTTCCGTCTCCCCAACCACTTTTGCATCGCGCGCCCTCTCCCCATCTCTACATCGCCATCGGGAGCGCATTCCAGCCATCCGCCCACCATGACGTACCAACTCCCGCCGATGCTGCTGAACCTGTTCGCCCCGCGGCCGCCGCTGCGATGGGTCGAGCCAAGCGACCACGCGCCCGAGAAGCGCTGCACGCCTAAGATCTCAGGCGTCGCGCAGTACCTGCAGGCCATGAGGGAGTACAAGGACAACGACGGCTACGTGCCGACCGACAGCTGGCTGCAGAAGCGCGATCGCAAGAAGATGGAGAAAAAGGAGAAGCAGGAGCGCCTGCTGACTGACGGCATCGACGATTGTACGACTCTCCTGCTATCGAATCACGTGTTTATGTGCTAACGCGCTGCAGACAAACCAAGCGAAGACCCCAAGGTCCAGGGCGACGCGTTCAAAACCCTTTTCGTCTCCCGTCTGGCCTACGGCGTCACGTCCGACGATCTCGAACGCGAATTCGGCCGCTACGGTCCTATCGAGCGCATCCGCATCGTCGAAGACATCACGGCCCCGCCCGACGCGACCGTCAAGAAGCGCAAGCGCGGATACGCCTTCATCGTGTACGAGCGCGAGAAGGACATGAAGGCCGCCTACAAGGAGACCGACGGCATCAAGATCAAGGACCGTCGCGTGCTTGTCGATGTTGAGCGCGGCCGCACTGTCTCTGGATGGCGTCCGCGCCGCTTTGGCGGAGGACTTGGCGGACGAGGATACACAAAGGGGCCTGCTGCTCGAGGCCCGCCTGGCCCAGGAGGCTTTGGCCCTCCCGCTGGACCCGGTGGATTCGGTGGCCGTGGTGGAGGTTTCAGTGGCGGCTTCGCAGGGCGTGGTCGCGGTGGCGGTTTCGGAAGCGATCGAGGAGGAGGAGGAGGTTTCCGCGGGGGACTTGGTGGTGGTGACCGAGGCGGTCGTGGTGGCTTTGGAGGTGGACGAGGTGGTATCGGCTACCAGTCCAACAGCTACGGTCCTCCCGACGGTGCCCCAGCTGGTCCTCGTGGTCCCCGGGGAGGTGGATTCGGGGGTGGAGACCGAGGCGGCTATGGCGGTGATCGTGGAGGCAGCCGCTACGGAGACGACAAACGCGGATTCGGCGGCGACCGCGGATCCAGCGGTGCCAACAACGAGCCCCTTGGCAGCAGAGACCGCTATGGTGGACGAGACGGTGGTCGCGATGCTGGACGGGACGGCGGTCGTGATGGTGGCCGTGATGGCGGCCGAGACGGTGGGTATGGAGGCCGCGACGACAGTTCTAGGAAGCGCACGTACGAGGGCGACAGCTACGACGACCGAGGGAGCCAGCGAAGAAGATACTGAGCACCATCAGCTCGGTCTCTTCAAGTGGGTTTGTCAAAAAGGTTACCTCTCCTTTCTTCGTCTCACCCTTTTCCGTCTACAAGGGTAAGATGAACTTTTGCGCAGCTTCACAGTTCTCCGCCGTCCATCTGTCGTTCGTCTTCTTGGTAGAGGGTAAGCGAGGGTAAGCATCGACAAAGAAAACTACTCGCAACCGCCTATTCGGAATCGACTTCTCGACCTCCCTACTACAGCAATACGGAAGGTATATCGCACTCTTCACGCTTCCGCCGATTCTCCCACAGCACCCCTTCATCACGTTCTTCACCATCTTCGGCGGACCTTTTCTGGAGCGCAGATCTTTTACACACGGGTTCATGGAATGAATGGACGGGTAGGGCAAAAGGTGATTTCTTCTTGATTATGTTTTATTATGTTTTTGTCTTCTTTTTTTCTTTTTCGCCGCTTGCTTTCGTCTGCGAGTGTGTTTTGCAGAAGAGGCTTTTGGGTAGGTAGGTAGGTATGGCAGGCAAAATGTAGGTAATACGCACTCTTGACCACGACGTGCGAGTAAAAGTTATATGTGTGAGCAAGCAGGCAAGCAAGTGCAGGTAAGGAATTTCCTTTGGAGTTCCTGGCTTGATGGTCTTATGGGACTGTGTTTGCGGGGGTTGTATGTAGTGTAGTATGTATATGTTTATGTTCGTGTTTATGTGTATGTTGGAGGCTATGTGTGTGCCTATGATTATCTTGCTGTTATATGTTGTCCTTCATCTCTATATTCTCTACCCTAGAACGCAACACATGCCATGCCATACCACATCTATCTAGTCATCCATCTATTCCCAGCCATCAGATCAGATCACGCCAGGCAACTCCTTCAGGCTCAAACAAGCAACTGAAGGTAATAATTAGTAAAATGATGAAGCTGGTAAGCTAATAAAGATGCAAGCTAGGCAAAAAAAATATGCTAGACTATTAGGGACAGGAAAGATATTGTATCAGTAAGTGCAGATAAGAATACGTCCTTGTTATCTGACTGTCGCTGTGTTGTACGTGTAAAGCAGCTCAAGAACCACTCATTTGGACCTTGGAAGCCGCACGATGGCTAACACAACCCCGCTGATAGATTGTTTGATAAGCACAAACCTCATGAGTGACAACAATGTTGCTGCAGAGCCAAAGGATGCTAGGTGTGCATATCGTACCTGACGCTAACGACCAATATGACGGATGGCCGAGGAGCGGCGCAATGCCCCCGCCACCCCACCAAATCTCAAAACCCTCAAGCTTTCGTGACCAGCTGTAACCAAACCCCAAACAACCTTCGTACACATACCCCAAATGGCGCCATCAACAGCTCCAGACTCGAACGCGTCTGCCACTATCAAAATCGGCACGCGTCAATCCGCGCTTGCTCAAATCCAAGCTCGTGCAGTCGAGCAGCAGCTGAAGGATGCATTCCCAGACCGAACCTACAAAATCTGCCCGGTCCTGGCGCAGGGAGACAAGGACAAAGTCACGCCCCTACAGCAGTTGAGCCAGGGAGAAAATGCGAAGAGCTTGTGGACGGGTGAACTGGAGAGTATGCTTGAGGCTGGAGACTTGGACATTATTGTTCACTGCTTGAAAGGTAGGTCACGCTCAGGAACAGGCATGCGATTTTCTCTGTGCTGATGTTCGGTGTAGACATGCCTACTCAACTACCTGACAATCTCGCCCTTGGCGCCATCCTCGAGCGTGAAGACCCTCGCGACGCTCTCCTCATCTCGCCCCGACTCCCAAGTGGCACCCAACTCTCCACGCTACCTGAGGGCGCCACAATTGGAACCTCGTCTGTTCGTCGCGCTGCTTCGTTACGACGTGTATACCCACATCTGAATTTCGCCGACTTGAGAGGCAATGTTGGAACCCGGTTAGGCAAGCTGGACGCAGAGGACTCAAAGTACTCCGCTATTGTGCTGGCTGCTGCTGGTCTCAAGCGGATGGGTCTCGAGCATCGCATTGATCAGTATTTGAGCAGCGATAGCGGAGGTATGCTACACGCAGTTGGCCAGGGCGCATTGGCGATCGAGATCAGGAAGAACGACGAGGCAATGATAGAAATACTTAGCAAGATTCGATGTGAGCGGTCTACACGAGCTTGTTCCGCCGAGCGAGCATTACTACGAGCACTCGAAGGAGGTTGCAGTGTGCCAATTGGCGTTGAAACGACATGGAGAGGTGGAAAGAACCTTTCGACAGGAGCACAGCCGGCAAAGGATTACGATAAGCACGGCAATGCTGTTGAAGAGGCGGAACCGGATATGGATGATCAAGAGTTGGTATTGAAGACGCTTGTGGTGAGCGTGGACGGCAAGGAATCCGTCGAGTACGAAACAGCTCAGAAAGTACGTTCAGCAGAGGAGGCGGAAGCCATGGGACGAGAAGTGGCCAAGATTTTGATCGAGAAGGGTGCAGATAAGATTTTGGAGAAGATTAGTGCTGAAAAACAGTGGGCTGCGAAAAAACAGCTGGAGGAGACTAAGACAACTTCCTGAGAAAGAGCTTAAGAGGTATACTTGTATGGAGAGGATTAGAACTGAGTGGAAGTAGATCCAACGCAAGCCGTATACCGCCTCCCCTGCAATCGCATATTCGCTACAAGTTGTCTCTGATGTTCCAACTCCTTACCACATACAGACTGTTTCGTCACGATGTTCGACTCTAGGGAGTTATGAGTGCTCGTTCATCAAACGTCACACCAGTCCATGGCACATTATCAGATAGCGAGTAACAAGAGCATGGATGATAAACAACAGTCATGATATCTTATTTACTTCATTTCATCGTCAAATGCTCGACAGCCCCCAGCAACCGTTCACTTTACATCCCTACTTCGCAGCCAAAAACGAAAGTTCCTCACTATCCTCTCAAGATCAACCCCTACCACCCGGCACACTTGACGAAGTTGTTTCCGCTCGCTCCAGTGTGGGTGATCTCTCCAGCACGCGCTCCGCTTCCGTTGAAGACAACACGGTCCGCTCCGGGAGATCCTAAATTCAGTTAGCACCAATGTCTTCTGCTCTCGCACACCATCTCCACTGCTCGAAACTTACCTCCAGTGTAGACACCGCCGGTCTTTAGGGGGAACTCGTAGTAGGTGCCGCCGGCGAGGAAGCTGAAGCCCTCGTAGTTGTTGTACTTGTGGGGGTAGGTGGAGCTGCCGGCAACAGTGCCGGCCTTCTGGTGGTTGTACCCAGCGGTGCGTGCGGCAGAGACTTGGGCAGAGGTGTAGCAGGTGGAGCCGCAGGTTACGTAGCAGGCACGGGCGTCAAGGGCGGCGTCGACGGCGACATCCTTAATGGCAGCATCTGAGACGGGCAGAGCGAGGGTGAGGGGCGCCAGGAAAAGCAGGAGAGATGAGATGAACTGCATGATGGCGATGGAGGTGCGGGGAGTAAAGCTGCAAGTGAACGGTGCGGGTGAACGATTGTTGAGTGGGCTGAGAAACCTGAAGCTTAAGATGGGTGTCCCAGTATATGATACTTATACACATTACTTTCCCTACTGAACAACACCAGCGGACCTCTCCGGTTCACGTCCTCTCTACCCTAGACGATCAGATACCGAGTTCATTAATTCAGATACGTGTGCCAGTATCCCTTGCCTAAAGTAACTCCACCTCCGCGAGACCTACCGTGCCCTATCCAGCGCCTCCATCGGAGCAACCGCCATCCCAGCAGCCTACCAGCACCTCGCATCCAAAGCCCCATGGCCCAGCGCCTGCACCCCATTCGCCAACACACCGTACCACACGCCCTGTCAGCGCACTCACGAGATCCGCCCGTAACGGTGGATCTGCATGCCGTACATGTGTACCTCGCGCCGATCGGGAAGGTGTAAGATACCATTCGCGGAGTTGCAGATTGACCTGGTTTCAAGGCTGCTTATCATTGCCGGGCGGAGCGGGGATTCGGGGATTGAGCACATGTGTGCGTTTGATAGGGTGTGTGTGGTTGGAGATCAACGTCTCAGGGCGGGAGGTAGCTGGATGGGGAAGGTGGGCTAGCGTTGGTCGGGAGATATAGTGGGGTAAAGGGTAGTGGGACTAAAATAGTAAAGCTGGGCCTTGGAGGAATACGGTGAATGGCGTTGGTCACGGGTGTGATTCATCTGTAGGTGATTGGTGGGTCGGAAGTACGGTTCCTAAATATCAGCAACTTGTAGTGTTTTGCGGCGATTTTTGGTCGGAGGAATGTACAGAATTGTAAGAGTTGTGTTATCTGTGTTATCTTTTGTTAAGTTCTTGTTATAGTGTAGCGTATTGTGCTAGTAAATAGATAAACGCTTGAGTATTCTATAGCTAATTGTACCACCGGGTCGCGCGACGATTTTCCCAATCGCGTGCAGATACTTAATGCTTAGAACACCAGAACTCCGAAATAGGTAGACAACACAGTGAAAAGTTTATGTATAGCGATCAATTTAGTGTACAGCTTCTGCCTACTGTCACGTTATATCTTTAACACAAAAAATCAACGTTTACAGTGTGGTGGAGCGATGCCCGGCATGGTGTTGAGCCCAATGGGTCGTTGGAGGCACGTGAGGGGCAGCATTAGGTAATTAGGCTTAGCAGAGGATGGCACGTGACAGGGGACTCCAATACGTCGTTAAGGCTGGGATAGACTAGAGACTAGACACCCACGCAGCTAGGCAATATCATCCCATCTCAGCAGGAACGTGAGCAAACGGCTACAACAACAGCAAAATTGGGGACGAGGTTGCACGTGATTGGGAAAATCGTCGCGCGACCCGGTCGTACATACTACTATACTATTAAGTTCTAGGGCTTAAGAATTAGTAATACTAATAATACGTTTTAATATTTGGACTTGAAACTACTTTGGATGTCTCAGTTATCTGTACTACACAGTTGCGCGGCTAAAGTCTTACTTCCGCGCTGTAAGATTAGGCTGCGTAACCTGCAAATATCGGACTTCCGCAGCCTACAGGAACGCGAACAGCATGTACTCGAGTGCCAGCGGTCCTGATTCAATGCCGCGCGCCTGGAGATTTCGATGCTCTGGCCACGTTAACTGCAATTCATCCTCGAGTTGCGTTCGAATTGTCTCTGAAAATGGTCTCGCCACAGGACGATCAACATCTGGTGTGCAACAAGCGAGAAGAAGCGAGGCGTATCACGGCGGTTCATCGCCTGGACCAATATCGCCAACGCCTGGACGGTGCCAGCGACCGTCATCAACGCGACACGATCCACCGAGCGATCGCGGACGAGCTTGCAGCGGATCATACAAATCTAGCAGGGTGTGCAGCGGCTCTTTTGAGCACACGTCTGCGTCCTCCAGAGCAATCGCCTGCCTACACGGCGCTCGCAGCCTTGCGTGATAGCGATCCCGCTAGTAAAAGCGGTACCGAGTCCGCTGCATGTCTTCGACTCATCGCCCAGGTCGGAGCTCACTGGGGTGCAGGAGTCTTGGAGCGATACGCCTGGACGTCCCGGGCACGCAGCTTTCTCGAACGACTTTGGGCCGTCGCCGAGTTGTATGCAGACTGGGCAACGGCTGTTAAATATCTCAACGTGGTCCTTGTGCTTCGGCATGAGCTAGTCCTCTCAGGGAGGCTTTCAGCGAGTACGCGCACCTGGCAAACTATTGGAAATGAAGTGGACCAAGGATTGCCAGGGCTATGTTACTCCCCGATCACAGCTGCGGATCTGAAGAATGTCATAGATTGGGCGGAAAAGGGCGTCCTGGAGCATGGTGGTATCACTCTACAGAGCTTGGAGGAGGCCGAAGAGTCCGTCACGCTTTGGACCACGGCAACGGGAGAGACGATCCAATTTCGAGACGGGTCGAATCTCTCGGCGCGGCCACAGAGTCTTTGGAGCAAATGCATGATCGCCTGCGACACGGCTGGTCTCATCGTGCGTGAAGATACATTGCGTCGACCGCCGCAAAGATATCCCTCGGGTCACCGCAAATCCACCAAACGACCAAGATCACATGACGCTAGAATCCCAACGTCCGAGACTGATCAGTGGTCTGGACAGAGCGACATACAAATGGGCGGTGCCGGCGATGTTGCGGGGACATCTAACGGTTCTACCACAGGATCGTGCGAGAATGACCTGTTGAACGACGCCAATAAACGTCCCAAAATGATGGCGCATATGGTCTCACCGGGATTCGGTATCACTTCAGAGACTGAGGCGAATGACCTTGAAGGCCCCGATGATTCAACCAGCGAAGATTCTGACTCAACGAGTGATAGCGGATCTAGTGGATTGCCTGACACCGATGCATCTGATCAGGAAGAAGTCGACAAACAGGCTGCGGCAATTTCACAGCCGTCCCTGGAGAACAGCGCATTGAGTGATGCTGACACGGAAGATGCTGGCATGCACAGTGAGAGCGGGCTGAGTGCGGCGCCGCAGGGTGCGGGAACAGAGCAGACCGACATGTCCCCACCGCCTGACACTCAGTCAGATGACGAAAGCGACGCCTTAGAGGGACAAGTCGAAACGCCGGTCGTACATGATGATGATGATGACAGGATGGACATGTCCGACAGTAATGGCGAGCTGCACTCGTCAGACTGCCCACTCTGTGAAGGCCAGTGCAAAGCAGGCTATGTGCCGCAGTCCGTCTGGACAATTGGAGAACATCAAGCTTTGGCACAACAGCAGCGTATGAAGGGATTCAAGCAAATACACGAAATCTCTGATCTTGTTGCTCAACGCCGCAAGATCGAAGCCAAGTGGAACACATTGAGAGCTTGGGCTACACCAACCCGCCTGGCCTCGATGTTCTTTGATCCAGATGATAGCTCACTCTCAACTGCCTCCAAAGAGGACGCAGACGTGTGGTGCTTGACAACGGACACCTTTCACAGCTATACGGATGCTGGGGTCGTCTTCGACAGACCCATCTTGATGAAGAACGCTGTACGAGACGCTAATTGGATGACGTGGGAGCACTGCAAGGCGACCCTCGCCCGCAAGCTCGTGGGCCATATTCTACAGGTCAGGAATCCATACACACACTTGCTCGAAGACATCGACGGCGAGGATTTTGTAGAGACATTGGCCTCGCCCGATGCTGCTTTGAATGCTCTGGATCTTCCTGGAATAGTTCGAGGTGATAAGCCTTTCTTTACTCTTCTCCCACGCTACCGCCTGCTGGAAGACCTGGTGCATAGCGAAGCTTGGGATGACGCAAGAAAGCAGGTCACCACCAAAGAGCTGGATATATTTTGGTGCATCTGCTTCAACATACTCGGTCTCCGTGGGGCTTTCTCTGGCGCACGACTGGACGCTTTGAACGGCACGTGGGTCAGGAGCTTCTGCGGCCGTAAGGCGTGGATGTTCGTCCCACCACAGCATCTCAGCGAAGACGATCTGAGAAGGTTGGCTCGACACGGCGATAACTATAACCCTCGAGGGAAGGCCAGAACCCTGATGATCGAACCAGATGAAACATTGCTCATGCCTGCTGGGTCGATGATCATTCATGCCGTCCTAACGCTCGAGACCAGTTTGATGGAGGGCGGCATGTTGTGGGATGAGCTGAGTGTCAACAAGATTCTCGAGAACATGCTTTGGATGGCTAAGAACCAGCAGTCTACGAATAAGCCCTGGCCGAATCATATTCAGGCACTGGTCAAACAGCTTGATCGAGCAGTGGTGTCAAATACTTCGCGCTTCACTCGTGGGCCTCAGTTTGAACGGGAGTTTCTGTCGGAATATGAGAAGCGGAGTTGTGAGATACAAGCTCTACCTTGCAAATGCATCTCGCGATGCGGGAAACTGTGTCAGTGTAGAGCCGATGGCCGGCGTTGCACGCCTGAGTGTAAAGCTCATGCTGCAAGAGAGTTGAGGTGCCTCCAGGAGACGTAGGGCTGGGCTTAGTCGACTTTGCAGGTGTTCAGACGTCACAGCGAACGTCCGGGGTATACAAATCGAGTGACCTTGTCTGTTGCACGACTATGTGCTCAGCTACAGTTTGTCTGTTTGGCTGTCACTACTGCTTGCTCGTCCACACACAATATCTCAGGCTCGCACAGCGCACGGACCAGGACAATGCGAGATCCTGGTCCGTGCAGGTTGTTATGTTGTGTCACTAAGCTGAACTATATCATTCACAAACGGTTCATCGCGTGTGCATTCTATCTCGACTGCTGCTCTCGATATCTGTCTATAGCTGATTGATAAGGCGAGCCTTCCGGACAGAACTGCCACTCTGCCCACGGGTCTTTCTCCTTCTCGCTCGACCCGCTCGACCCTGCGAGCTTTCTATAACAAGCCGTGTTGTCCTTCCGGAGTTGCTCGAGCTCCTTCCAATCTCGACAGAAGCGTGTTTGATTGAATTTGTCCACGAGGACCCGATCGGTCACGATCCCTGAGATCGTCATCGGGTCTGCACGTGCTGCGCAGAGAGTGTCTTGCCACAGTACGTGCAGCGAGTGTAGGACGTGCGCAGTCAGTGGTTTGTTGCCACTCAGCTTGCGAAGCTCGCTCCACAGTACTTTCTAAGCATTCCATAGGCATTAGCGTCACTTCATGACAAGGAGTGTTGACAATACACACCACACTATGCAGGCTGTGGTAGCCAGAGAGAACGAAGACCTCCTTTGTCTTATCCCATGGAAATTCCTTGGAAGGCAGGACGTGTGGCGCCCCTTTAGGTAACGCTACCACGCCCTTGTCGGGGTCGAATGACCTAAACATCTCATCGGCGACTTGCGAGCCCAGATTTGTATAAACGTATTGCTCCTTTGGATAGAGTGGCCGGTAGACAATGTCAAAAGACTCGCCCCAGACGGATGAAGCAGATTGCCCAGCCGAAGGATGTGAAGCCACTGTTCGATGTTATTCCGATGCTCCAAGAAATGCAGCCTATCCCAAATGCCTTACGCGAGTGACGAATAGCATCACCAGCAAGCCACCATGTCTGTGAAAAATTCACGGCCAGAGACGAGAGGAGAATCGTCCACAATACAAATGCATTGCGCTGGCGAGAAGCAGGAGGCGTCTTTTGGCCTTCATCCCAACCTTCGTCTTCCTTGCTGGCCATAAGCAGGCCTTCGTCGTCACGATATTCACCATCGCTCAACTCCAGCGATGGCTTGGTATTGTGGTTGTTCATCTCGTTAGAAGTGTATCCGATATCGACAAAACGCAATGAGAGGAGTACAGAGAGTAAGACACTCCATGTTGTCTCTCTTATCAATGCTATAGGTTAAGAGCGATCCCGGCCATCCCATGGCCGTTACAACCAGCCGCTACAGCGCTCGTGTACGAGACTTTTCGTTGATCAGGCGGCCGCTGTGTAGTACTGCCGAGCGCTGGTCTTGCTCGCACGAAACTCGCAAGCCACCTCTGTGCTCATGCAAAGCTAATCGTTCTAAAGCCGAGGTACAGCAGATGCACGCACGTGCGGGACGCCGAGTGCCATGTGGTAGCGCCTCGGGCTGTACAGAGTCAGAGAAAGCGACACTTTTGTGGAAATACTTCGAGCGCTACCTTCGGGCCAGTTCGCTGAGTCTGGATCCCGCAGACCCGCCTCTTGCAACCGCAGTACATGTCTTTCCCATTGTCAGTTATGTAAACGAACGTCCCCCTTTAGTTCACTTTCACGAAGAGAAGGCTCTCTCTCAGCACTTCAAGAGAGCAAAGACATGTTGTTCCAACGCAGTCGAGGCCATAGCCGCAACGACGAAAAACCTCGTCATCCTCGGCTCCGAAAGCTGTGCCAGTCCAACGTGCTCATCTACCTTGTTCTTTCTTCGAGCGTGGTGAATGTTCTACAAGCGCTTTTGATCGGTCTGAGCAGTCCTTGGGTCAAGCAACATCTAGGTTAGTGGGCCTGTCAGATCAAGTTTCGAAGTACCCCAAGCTGATAATCGAAGCTTCTGCATACAACAGTCACGACGGTTCTGTTTATCGCGAGTCAATCAACACTATTGAGAAACCACTGTATCCCCCGACGCTCTACGACGACGTTCTTGTTCTTCAGACTGTGGAGAATGTGATAGATGCGTACGACCCGGGCAACTCGATTGCAGCACTCCCGCGCGAAGGACTACTCCCTTCGCAACCATTTCCGTGGGACACGTCAAAGGACGTATACGCTTACCACGGGTATCATAGCTTGCATAGTGTAGTATGCGCTTGAGCAGCTCTAGATATAAAACCGTGAAAGCACTTACTAACGTTGTCTAGCAAGTTATTTACCGAATGCTACGCGAGCTTGCTGGCGATGAGGCCATCAATGGGCACGCTCTCCATTCACTTGTCGTGCTCTGGGAAGACGCGCTTTGTACAGTTGATACAACGCCTCGATCTGTCAACAGTGCAATGCTACTAAACGACACTGCCGTGGCGGAAGCCGGACAGGTGCGGGTACGCAGCTCTCTCTAGTCCTTGTCACACTGTAAAGATTTGTACTAACGTAGCAACAGTATGTTTGCGAGGATCCTGTCCTCGAATCCTTCATCGCATGTATACCAAAGGGTACTGACTTTGCATATTAGGGTGTGCCGCGACTGGTCTCGAGTTGAAAGAATAGCTAGGGAGAACAGTGCATGCTTCAAGGACCTAGGAGCTGCCAAAGCCCGTCAAAGCAACATCGAAGAGTGGCTGCACTGTCCGATAGACTCACCTTACCAGGATAAGGTTAATAAGTACCTCGCAGATAGGAGAGGTGCTGTATAAAGTGGGAAACTTAACGGATGGATAAACAAACATGTTTAATTAACATTCTTTGTTCTCTTTTAATTTGACTAAGCCCTATTACTTTCTTACTTTCTTCAGCCTGTTATCGCTATGCGCCGTAGCTCTTTGCACTCTAATACAATCTAACGTTAGATTGTATAATGTTTTGTAAAGGTGTTCTAAAGTCGCTTTGTAGGCTCTTCATGTTACAAAGGAAAGTTGTGTCGCTTACAGTGCTGTCTCGTTGAAATTATTGTGCTTTGCAAAGAACCTACAACATCTTGTAACCTAAATTAATGCAAAAATGCCCCTAGAGGACTAAAAACTTAGGTTTATTACTAGTATACTAAGATATTGTAAGAATTTCTTAGAACTTGAGATGTATCTAAAAGAGACTTAGGGTTTATAAAACACCTAAACACTACTTACTAAACAAAGTCTTGTATAGTTTACTATACATGAAATATTACGCAATTTTCTTATCATGAATTTAGGGTCGTTTAGGGTCCCTTTTGTATTAATCTAGGTTATGGGGTGTTGTATAATTCTCGCACAAAACTGATATAAAGTAAGGAGATCGTTTCTAACATTCTATAACTCTACTCTCCTTTGCTAACTGTCTTTACATCCAGCATCACATCCAAGGTCGAAATCTAGGACTGTTTCCTATTGTGAACCACGGCTCCTCCTCCTCAGCCCCAAACTACATGTTTTCATATGATTACCACATGTCAACACCTCAAAGCTCCTGACTTCTCTGAGCCACTGCCCGTCTCAAATGATACCATTACCCCTTGGGGTATCGTAGTCGACCACGAAGTATTTGTCAACTTCCTTCCGATATGGGCTTCCCTCAGGGCACCATACGAACCTCTGGATCTCCGGATAGGCGTTACCTTCGGCCTCGTGGTCGTAGCGGAAGCAGGCCGTGTGTTGCTTGGCCCAGTTATCCAGCTTGTCAAAGTTGCGACATTTGCGGTATTGCCCATAGCCAGTCTCTCCCTCGTGATGAATATCGCCGCTCGTCCTTCTCGGAGTATCGTCTGCATAACAAAGTGTGTCGGAACGTAGTGTATCGAGACAATGAATGATATGCGAATGTCTTCGGCTCTGTCGAAGTCCTTTACGATATTCCATGAGAGAAATGTAGATGGAGCGCTGTTACTATTGTCAGCGAGCGATGCGATGGCTGAAGGTTGCAGCACTGACCGCGCAGTGTAGACTGTGGTGAGCTTGTAAGAGGTAGATGCTCTTGGAGTCGTCCCAGGGGAACCTTTGCCCCTCTGGCAAGCCCCAGCGTGCCGTATCAGCATCATCCAGGGCTACCATCCCGGCGTCTAAATCCATATCGAGCCACATCTGGTCACGCAAAGTATCATTGTGATCGGTGTATGGAGTGTGGGATTCTAAGAGAGCCGTGGTGTCGTCGACGAGACCAGCTAGAACGGAATTTAGCATGATTTGACCACCGGTGATGAGTACAAGCATACCATATGTCGAACGCGAAGTAGGCAGTCCCAAGCCATCTTCGACATGAACCATCTCCCCAGCATCAGTGGCTCTCTGGACATCATTGGATCTCCATAACTTCGCAGTGCAGAACCAAGTAAGGGCATTGGAAGTCACGAGAGAACAGATGAGTACAAAAACGAGGGTGTATGTGCATGCTGGACGTTTGCCCGGAGCGCGAAGGAAACGAGGCGTCGGCTCATCAGAGTCGTCGGAAAGGTCATTTGGGACTCGTCCGTACTTGATTTTTGGGTACATCTCGCCGTGTAGATATCCAGATGCCAGTATAGGTATCGATGATTGACGACGGGTCTTCGTGCTTGTGGGTTGCGAGAGAAAGAAGCGAATGCTACTAGTAAGAAGAGGTTTTGATGTGGGATCACGGGAAAGAGGAGGATGCCGTAGCCACCGGGGACGGAGACCACACCATAGCGCGCCTAAGGTGGATGGCGTCTCGAGGAGCGACTGACTTTGCATAGCGCCGATCTAGAGTATCCCCTGTGGTCGCTCATTCTCTCTGCGGACCAGCATCTAGCTGCCAGATCATTCCTACCGCGTGACAGGCTATGCGATGGTGCGATGGCGATCGTGGTCGATGGAATGACGCCGATCCACTCGAAGGCGGCAAGGGAAGACAATCAACAAGCTTCTGAAGTTGCTCCCATCGTTGACGAGCAAGGTTGTGAGCAAAAGAGCATTGCAGCGATATATAAGTTGAGTCCACGGCCAGAGCTACCTCGCAGTTCACCACTCCTCGTAGCACATTCTTGAATACAACAGATCAATCAATACGAACCCTCGAGAAACGACATGATTCCTCAATCTAAGATCGTGGCTCTCTTTGCTGCGTTGGTTGCAGTCGCATCGGCTGCTCCCATCACTGCCGTTGAGAACGCTCAGCCACCAACCCTGCTCTACAACCACGAGGGTGGCCTTCTTGGTCGTGAGTCTCTTCGAATGGTCGTCAAGGCAGTAGCTGACACTCATAGGCGATGTAAAAGCCGTCGATGAAGCGTAAGGAAAAGCGCCAGTCCTTGCGACAAGATACTAAGAAATGACAGCAAACCACCAACTCTGCTTTACAATCACGAGGGAGGTCTTTTAGGTCGTAAGTCTAGTAGTACAGTCCATCATTTGAGGCAATAGCTAACTTCGACAGGTGATGTAAAAACCGTCGATGAAGCGTAAGGACTCAGTTCAGTTCTCGAGGCGACTACATGCTAAAAAGGAGTAGCAAGCCGCCAACTCTCCTTTACAACCACGAGGGCGGTCTTTTGGGTCGTAACGTGGACGCTGTGGATGGAGCGTAAGAATGAAGTTCTGTTCTCGCATCGTCTCTGTGCTGAAACACACTAGAAAGCCCCCAACTTTGCTCTATAACCACGAGGGTGGGCTCCTGGGTTAGAGATCGTAAATATCCCACAGCCATAGACGTGACTGCGTGCAATAGCTAACAGCGAGCAATTAGTCGAGCAGTCATCACCGTGAACTGAGTGCTAATTGAGCACTGGTGATGGAATTATTCTGTACAGCCTCGGAGATTGCGGATCATACGAGATGGCTTTTGATGGGTACAAACGACAGGGAGGAAGCGATCCGGCAATATTGGGATAAGCAGCTTGTACGGCCTCTTCTCGACCGCAAGACTTTTCACTCTTTTAGGACACACTCTTTTAGGATACAAGCAATGCTAGCTGCAATTCGAAGGTCTATTTCTGTTCCGCGCTTTCTCTAACCTGCTTCTTTGCAGTCTTGCTTTACTACACATAGCCTTACACAAGTTCAGGCAGCTTAGATCTCCTGTAATCACCAGTAATATTCTCAAGGCCGAAATCTTTTGTATACAAAAAGCCTAGAACATGGCTAATAGCTTTACTTTATCTAGCAACCCTTAGAGCACTCTTGACTCGTGTCGGAAATAGCAAATGTAGCAGTTATACAGCAGATCTTGAAGTATAGACGAAGCCAAGTTGGCTCCAGCTAGAAAGGATTTAACTGTAATATAATTAGTCTACAGTAAATTTCTCTACCTACTATTAACATTTAATGCTCTGCATTACTATATAAGATACTATAACTATAGTTCTAAAAAAGCTATTAGTATGACTTTGTAGAAAGTAGCAATACTCTATAATCTAATATACTAAAAAAAGAACTCTAAGTAAAATGTAGCAAAATAAATTATTATTAAATAACTTATCTCAAAGGCAAGTAACCTATATATGCATCTTACTTACTTTTACTTAGACTATACTAAAACCTACTCTATTTTAGCGTAAAACAAGCTACTTTAGTACTATATTATTTATCCTATTTAACACATATAAGTTTAGTGTCTTTTCTACGTTTATTAGGTTACAGGGTAGCGTTACTTTTTACGAAAAAACCGAGAACGTTGATCTCGGCGAGGGCTTAGGTCTCCGATCTGGATCCGAGGCTGCGGACTCCTACGTCCAGTGTACATGGGGCACTTTGATGCAGAACGAGCGGTACTGGACGAAATGATTCGTTCCATCTTGGATGGCACCGTCTACCATGTGCACTTCGCCCAAGCAGACGCTATCGAGCTGGCTGTTTATAGCATGGTGCGATTCGATGAGTCTGTACGCACTACCTATGTGACTGTCTCACAATGTCTTGCGAATTCGCGCAGATCATAGTTGGAGGAGAGAGTGCACGATACTTTCGCGGGTGTCCATTTTCGTTCTCGAGACGAGCGGTCGGTCAAGCCATAAGGACTTGTTCATTCGCAACGATTTGCAAGAATTCGAAGTGGGAAAATTTCTGGATTGTATAGCCTTCCAAGGCCCAGACCGAGCGCAGCTGGTCGACCATGCCGTCTATATGCAGCAGTGAAAAGGTTGCCTACTGCGCTTAGCTATGCCTTCTCATTAACATTGCCTGAGCTTGCCCCGATGTCGTGATTGTGCTCGCAATACTACGAATTGAGTCTGATAGTCCAGTCCAGAAGCTTCGCAGGTGGCTCTAAAACATAGTCGTCCGTGCCAGGTCCCTGTTCGCCTATCTCCCACCACTTCTCCCTCTCGATCTTGTTTCTCGCCTGCCATTCCAAAATCTGGCTATGCTTGATACACTTCCTGTTGACGGCGAAGTCTGGAGGGGGATATAGCTGAGTCCGCATCCACTATACCAACAATTAGCACGGTACGTCAAATCGGTGTGAGACATGTATAAGCTTTTACATTGTGAGTGATGATATCGAGGCTAGGGTTGCATGTAAGCGCCTGCCGGAGCATTGACAGGCAGTGTGATAGATGAGCCTGATCGAGCTCTGTCAGAGGACTGGTGCCGTTTCCTGTATCTATCGCTTCTGGGAAGTAGTATTCTCGATACGCATACTTGCGGACCCTGCTCCACAGAATCAGCAGACGCATCTTGAGGGACTGCCGCATCTTACGTGTCCAAACAATGCAGATTATGTTGCGCATCAAGCTGCACAGCATGTGTTCTGTTACCAAAGCCTGTGGATTGGGTACTTCTCAGCTATTGCCTTCCCAAGAAATCGCAGATCAGACGAACCGTAGCTTGGTGGTATCTTCACAACTGTATCCGGGTCTTTCCCCAGTCTGCGAACCTCCTCCGCTGTCATGGGAATCCTCTCAATCACGGACAAGGCCGCCCACGCCGCATCGCTAGCGTCGTTCGAGTGAGACCTCAATAGGAGCTCGTCTTTCGATAGGGTCTCCTCGTCGAACAGCGTTCCTTCGACCTTTCTGTTCTCGAATTGAAACTCAATCTTGTCAAGCAGTGGAGCTGGGGAAGTTCTCGTTAGCAATTGCGTTCTTATCACCGCTGTAAGGTCACGACACGAACAGTAATAGAGAACCTTCTGTAAAGCCTGACTGTTGGTCGGAAGACGGTCGGTGAGGGCGATACCCCAGACTGTTGCCGATATGGTAAACAGGACGACGTTGAGCAACGTCAATAGTATGCCCCATTTTCCAGAACGAGGGTTGCCGACGAATGGCCTATGGCCCTCATTTTCTTCAAATTTATCACTGTTATCGTGTAAATCCGAGTCGTTCTCCGCGACCCTCTCATAGTTTATGTTCATCGTTCGATACTGTACAAACCCAAATGGTTGGCGGAAGGCTATGATCAGAAGGACTCTAATAAAAAATGCGCAGGGGAAGATCTTTCGAGATTCGCTTGCAGCGCCCAACGTTTTGAGCTCTTCAAAACGCACCCGGGCTTCGGGAGACGCTAAGACAGTTCTGTTTACTACGCTTAAGGGAGACTAGAGAGTAATCAAGCTGCAAATGTTGAGCTACGCATTCAAAATACTCCAGCGCCGCGGCTATTCCAATCGTCATAGGCTTCATTCCGACATCAACAGTTCTTTATTAACCAGCATAATCGTTGCTCGCGCATTCAAATGCTCGTCGCCAGAGCGGGCAGCTATATCGGTTTTGTGTGAAAAAACCTACGACACTTCGTGATTGAGTAAATAAGAAAGAAACGATAGTTCGAGCCCAACTACTATTATCGTGATTTCCAGAAAATCAACAACATCCTATGACCTGAATTAATATAAAAGGGACCCTAATTTCACGATAAAGCAAGTACGGCATAGATTGCTATTCAATTGAGCATGGCATGAGCATTCGATACAGGCCGCGGACGTTGAATACGGTCATCTCACTAGAATTGCGAACGTCGTTAAGGTATCCACGATGACTTCGCACAGAAACACCGAGCCGAGTCTCTGATCGAGCGCTGAGTCTTTCATTACGCTACAGCTGCAACCCCCTACACAGTATATGTTACAACCTTCCTCGTAACAAGCGTCTAGCATTCGCTGTCTACAAGATGATGTCGCCCGGTAACACTACAGCATCCTCGGGAACTTGCAGCTCGCTCCATTTGCTCTGCCAACCAGGCACGCTTCGGTCAATAGTCCATTCGAGCAACGCATCGAAATTGCGGCATTGCTTGACCAGATTGTAGTCCGGGACAGGTATTGTTCTTGACTCTGGATATCTGTCGTCATGCATCCAGTTGTATTGTACGATGCCTACGTCAGCTGTGCACAGGAGATTCTGCAGGATTGCGTGCAGGCAATGTGCCTTGAGCTCGCGACGGATGGCATCCGATGGATCGTCATAGTAATACTCGGACCACATCTCTTTCCTGATTCCATCTAGACAATGCAAGATGTGGAAGATGTCGATCTGAGCGAAATATGCATCTGGTCCTTGATCCCAGGAAGGCGGCGCTTTGACGCTGAGAGCCGGATCTTTGCCAGAGAGCTCGATATCGGCTGCTGACACAGTGATAATTTCGAGGCCTCCCCTTGTCAAGCTGTCCCACGCTGCATCGACCTCGCGTGATGGTGGCATTCGCCAGATGGAAGTGTTGTCGTGCATTGCGCCGTTGACAGTCGTGAGACCCACTTGCATGTCGACCTTATCAAAAATCGGAGCTGGAACTGTTTAGCTGATGGAAGGCAAGTCGGCAGATTACGGATTTATCCTACAGTACGCCGATGCTGCTTTGAAATTTGCATTCATCGAGACATTGCGGTAACCACCTGTATACACGTTGCATGTATCCGTCCAAAGCCAGGCAAACCCAAGCAGAAGAACATTCAGTAAGATCGATAAGCTGGTGAGTGTCGACCAAAGTAGGAAGCGAATCCGCCAAGCCCTGTCGGTACTGTTTGTAGTTCTTGGTGGTGTATCATCGAGTATCGTCTCGCTCTGCTCAAGTTTGTCGTAATATGCCGGAGTGATGAACCAGCGCATGATTCAGAAAGACAACTGGAACCAATTTCCGATGCTGTCGGCGCAGGATTCATTCAGTGCGTACTTTTGATATATCGAACAAATCGGGTACGGAACAAGGCTTGGTTACCGCAGCGCGAGGATTGTGATCGGCTCAACGCCCTTGGCTACGACTCAGAGAGGTCACGACCACGCTATCTTTTGCAACGCACGGCTGCTGCATTGCCGAGCAGAGGTTCAGCAGTACCTGACCGGGTACCCGCTCGGCGTGTTTCACTCGGAGCATGCGTGCAGCGAAAGAATGGAGTCTCGTATTACCTACACATATAGGTCTTTGTCGGGATCTACAAGGTACAGTATTGATGTATCTCCCCTTCTTCATCTCCTCCAGCAATCAGTTATCCACTCTGTCACCGTGGTCTCGTCGTCACAAGACGGAAACCACCCATCATCATCCGACCAGATCACGATGCCCGGACTACCACCTGGGACGGTGAAACATTGGATACTGCTCACGTATCAGCCCGTGATCGTTACAATATTTCTCGTTGTTGCGGTGGCAAAGTGGTATAGCAGACGAGGGAGATCGAGACGCAAGGCAAGGGCGATAGTAGGCGAGAAGAGAGAAGACGCGGAAGCCATAAGCAGATGTGAGAAGTATCACATCGTTCTTGAGGATGAAAGAAGTTCAAGGTCAATTCAGTGCAACGGTGCGCGGATAGATGCAATAGCGGAAGAGTCTGACGAGGGGACTAGACTTCAGGACGAGGAGCACGCTACAGACCGCACATCAAAGAAGACCTCATGCATGAGTATGCTTTCGAATTGGACGAGATACATCCTCACCTACCAACCTGCTCCTTTGCCCATCGTCCACAGGGCCCTCTCCGAAAATTCCACAACCCTCTGCGTCCTCGCTCTCTTCATGTTACAAGGCTTTTACCTCCTCTTCAAGGTCGGCTTGCCACCTTCGAGCGGGGACCTCATCGGCGACCGCGCAGGCCTCCTTTTCATCAATAACCTACCCTGGCTATACCTCTTCGCAGCCAAAAACCAACCCCTCAAGCTCCTTTTCGGATTCTCCCACGAGAACATGAACCTCCTTCACCGGCGGCTGGGAGAATGGATGTGCTTTCTCGCAATAGTCCACATCGGAGCTATGCTCATGGGCTGGTATGAGTTCCATCGTCCTAGAGGACTAGGGCTCATCAGATACTTGCTAATTCCATACATCCTTTGGGGTGTTGGCACTTGGCTTGCATACCAGACGTTGTACTTGACAGCTCTTCGAAGTTTTAGGGTATGGTGGTATGAGGCTTTTCTGGGGCTCCATGTGCTGTTGCAGGCCGGGGCCTTGATTATGCTTTGGCTGCACAATCCCCCCTCACGACAATTCATCCTTGCTGCTCTCGCAATCTTTGTACTGGATAGATCTGTCTGGAGATTGTGCATTAAGCGCCATGTGACCCAGGCGCGATTGCAAGTCTCGGATGACGGACAGACGGTATTGGTTTCTGCAGACTGGCCTATGAAATCCAGAGACGCATCTTTCTGGCGTAAGATCTTTGGCCGGAATACGGAGTACGGCTGGAAACCATCTCAACATGTTTTCATCAGTATTCCTGGAATGGGCAGGAAATATCGCTTCCAATATCATCCTTTTACAATCGCTTCTGCCGCGCCAGCTCCAGGACAGACATGCGGCTGGTTCAATCTTATCATTCGTGCTAAGGGAGGCTTCTCAAGAGATCTTCTCCACTACGCAGAGAAAACGCAGTCGACGAGGATCTGTGTCGATGGACCCTATGGCTCTCTACGCACACTGGAGATGGCCCGTGACAACGACGTGTGCATCATCGTAGCCGGTGGCGCGGGGATCGCAGTTGCGTATCCTTTGCTGTGGTCCTTGCTGCATCACAATGCCACGCCTGATCAGAATGCAATCCCGCATCCACGAGAGCAACAGATCTGCCTGATCTGGATTGTCCAAGACACCTCGCACATTTCTTGGCTTGGACAAGAAAAGCTTGATGAGCTGAGAGAGCTTGGCCTGCATCTCGTCGTACCGCCACCAACTCGTCGGCATGGACGACCGGACATACGGGCGATTCTGAGGGAGCAGGCTGAAGATTTGAAGGAGCAGAATGATATTGTTAGTGTTGTCGTAAGTGGACCGGATGGTTTGAATAGGACAGTGAGGAACGAGTGCGCCAGGATGATCAGAACGGGCATAAAAGTAGAGGTTGCGGTGGAGAAATTTGGATGGTGACATGGGCTCCTAGAAGACGCATGTGAGTGGAGTCTACAGGATCAAACTTAGGCTATGGAAATACTTCCTGATGGCGCAATTCGACGTTGGAATATATATGGTATCATCTCACGTTTATGGCATTCTTCCATGGTGTGAGATCACGAAGCAGGGTGATCGCAAAGCGGTGAAAAGTCTGTGTAATCACTGTCGAGCTCTCTACTGAGCTGTGTGGCCTGTATTGAACAGAGCACAAGAAGAGCGATAGTTTGATGTTTGAGATGGTTTATTGAACAAGTAATCGAGGCATAAGGCCGAACTATATGCCCAGGCAATTGGGGTGGCTGGTGCATTACATAATGTTCAACAGCCTATACGCTAAGTACTAGGCAAACGCGTAAGCACATGCACCGAAGGTCCAAGCCCCTGCCGTCACACATGGTTTGAGTTTCGTAGCTTCTCCAAGGCTTCAATCACTTCCGATGACGACGCTATGCCACCAAAATTTCGCAGGGCGTGCAGAGCGGCTAGATGGTCCGACTCATTGCATGTCCCGGTAGCATCACTTATGGTAGTGACGGCGAAATTCAATTGATAGGCATCTCTTGCCGTCGTCTCTACACATACATCGGTTCCCACCCCAGTCAAAATCAAATGGTCGACTCCTCGCTCTCTCAGTGTATTCTCCAGCGACGTGCGAAAGAAGCAAGAATTTCTTGTCTTATTGATGACATTGTCGTCGGGCTCAGGCGTGAGTTCGTCTAGAATATCGGCATCCCAAGACCCCTGTAAAAGACCTTGGAATTGTTCGAGTCGATCATGTCTATCGCGACCGCGTCTATCCGAGTAGTCGGCCTTGTATCCTGTCTTCAGGAAGTAGATAGGGAGTCCAGTAGCGCGAAATTTGGAGAGTAGCTCATTGATACGAGGAGCAACCGTTGTTGGGTCAGTCCATATTCCTAGTCTTGCGAAGCTGCCATCCTTGTGGCAGAAGCCGTTCTGCATGTCGACCACTATGAGCGCTGGAGTGGAGTCGAATTGGAACATTGTAGACAACGACGGCTCTTTGTTGACTATAACTAGAAGTGTAGTAGGGCGTTATGCAAGCAAGACGGGACTCGTGGCAACTATTTTATTTCTTTTGAACTAGAAGGTCTTTTTGGAGGAATTCGGTCTTCAGGTCTTGCTTATTGCACCAGGTGGGGTACTTCGGGTGAATCTAGACCGCGCGGCTGAGTCAAGATGTGCTACGGCCTCCCTGCCCTTCGATTACGCACATAGCCTCGGGCCTGCGCACGAATCAACCTTTGATGGTTTTGCAGATGGCCAGTGCCGATTGCGACACTCATAGTGGCCGATGGCATAGGGACACGGGCTGTGTTTTCAAGTATACTGTATTGAACATGCAAAATAACTCATCGACTCGTCTAGATCTGCACTGTGTAAGAGTACGCTAGCACGCTATATAATTACTACTTTAACCTAACTATAACTTTAAGCTTAGACTACTCTAACCTAACCTTAACTTAGGGTCTGTGCAACTCTAACCTATCCCTAACCTGTCGTTAGGTACCCTGAACTCATTTACCGGCGTACTCGTTAGCGACGCGTTGGGGGACCTGTACACCTCAGTGCGCGCGCGACAACGTGTTGCAATTAACACAATGATTTTCTGCAATTTTTGTATAGACAAGTTTATCGCCTGGCTTTAATCTGCGAATTTCCTCAAGCACATCTTGAATTTCTGGCTTGGTTGTTGTGGTATCACGCGTAGAAATCTACTGCAAATGTTGTGCCCTGATCGTTAGTTGATGCCGATCGTTGGGTGCACAGACACGGTAACAACGCAACCGCAAACCCGTCAACGGGGCTTGACATGCCCAGCGTATCCTGACACGACGAGGTTTCAGATGACTGCTATCGGGAATCTTGTAATATCAAGAGTCTCCTATGCACGTCTCAATGTCGTCGTCAAAGGAGCTCGCATCCATCCCGTATGCGACCTCATAAAGTCCATTTTCTACCTACCGCACTGATTATGTGACATACCCTGTCTCAGTCTAGAACACCGACATTCTAACAAACTCGCTACGTTCAAACTAGACCTCGCACTATACTTCTTGATAATTGCCCTGAGGTTTGTCCTGTTACAGCCCAGCAGCTTAGTTGTCCTTGTAGTTGTACTCGTCTTAGAGGTTATGCTCGGCAAGCGTGTAATCGTCCGTAGCGAGTTGTTCGACTTCGCTCGCCTTAGGTGCTGATTTTGCTACGATTCGTCTACGCCATTGTACCAGGAAAGAGCCAGTGATGAGTGCTGAGATTTCCGTTGCCGACAACAAACCGACAAAAACGAATGGGCCCGACGCAAGCGATGCCAGACGAAAGCCGCTCAGGATCACGAGCCAGCCCAGCACTAGAGTCGAGAATCCGAGGATGGAGTGAGTGAATGAGACGCTTGCCCTGTAGCCGCGGGTGTTGTCCAACGCATCGACGAATCCAAGTGGCATCTGAATTAGCACCATGCCGAACACGACCAGTCCTAGCGACTGATGCTTGTGGTGCAACCGACTGCTATTGAGCAGACCCACGCCTGTGGTGAGTGCCAGAAGCATCGTACCACATGCTTGTATCTTCCAGTGTAGAATCGACCAGCGACTTTTCTTGAACCATAGCGATACAATTCCCAAAGGGAAAACGAGTAGTAGTGCTGCGCAGCCCAGCAATCCATGAGCCAGCCAAATGTTCATGTTCTTAGCACACCGAGGAATGGTCGACGAGCAAAAGAATGGACCATATGATCGTGGACTATATAAACTCTGCGCTCGATGGTCAATAGATGAGTCTCTGGAGTACCGCGCGGTGCCTTGATCCAAGACAGCTTCAGGCACAACAGGAACTGCGGGTAGCCCACGAACCCTGCAATCTCTGCGGTAACCTCTGATTCTATTATCCTGAGGGATGAATCCGCAAGACCCTCGAGGGGACGGGAACGCGCGGAGCTGTGGTAGTATATATTGGCATTCTTGTCTTGGCATCTCATCTTACTCATCCATCACTGATTACTATTGCCTCCTGAGTAGACTACGCGTCTCTCAATACTTTATATAAACATCAATATATTGGCATTCGCGATAATCATATCTTGCCTTGATCTCTCGAGAGTAAGATCGAAGTCCACTTGATGTTCTAGGGAGATGCCCTTTACTTTGTTCGCCGCAGCTGCGGCTCTTGCCTCCTTGCCCGTTGCTGTCACTAGACACGTTCTTCATCAGCAACGTACAGAATCGGAGCACTGGTTCAAGCGCGATGTTCTCCACCCTCATGTCCGGTTGCCAATGAGGATTGGCCTTTTCGGCGACAACATGGACATGGGTCACGATCTATTGATGGATATCTCGGATCCTGATTCCAAGAATTACGGAAAATACTACTCTGCTGAAGATGTCTACGACCTGTTCGCACCTCCAAAACATTCTGTTGATGCTATTCGGGGTTGGCTTGAGAAGTCTGGTATAGAAGCTGGGCGTGTCTCCCAATCTACGAACAAGCAATGGTAAACCTACGATGTCAGACATTAATCGGAGATGTGCGTGGCTAACTTTTCTTACAGGATCCAACTCGATTTGACCACGTCGGAGGCAGAAAGGTTACTACAGACCGAGTACTACTACTTCGACCATGCACCCACAGGTAAGATGGCGGTTGGTTGCGATGGGTAAGTCTCATTCGCATGATTTGATAGACTCGCAACAGGACTAATCCATGCCCTAGATACCACGTTGACGAGGACGTTGCCGAGCACATCGACTACATCACCCCGGGCATCAAGCTCCTCACTACACACATTCCAAAGAGATCTGAAGCCAAACGTTCCTTGAAAGGCAGAGCCGAAAACGAACCTCCGCTCGGGTTACAAGATTGGCCTAAATTCAACTATAGTATCACTGACGCAATGCCTCTTGCTCATTGCGACGTTGCTATCACGCCAGCATGCATCAGGGCAATGTACAACTTCACTCAAGGTACGAGTGCAGTACCTCACAATGAACTGGGCATCTTTGAAGACATCGGCGATATTTACTCTCAAGAAGACTTGGACGAGTTCTTTCGGACTCTGCAGCCGCGTATCCCTCAGGGCACTCATCCGATTCTCAACAGTGTCGATGGTGGTACTGCACCAACTACTGTAGCTGACGCCGGCCCGGAGAGTAACTTGGACTTCCAAATTAGCTATCCCATCATCTGGCCACAAAATAGCGTTCTGTTTCAGACCGATGATCCCGTTTATGAGGCCAATTATACCTTTCTGGGGTTCTTCAACAACCTTCTGGATGCCATCGACGGTTCTTACTGCAGCTATACATCAGATGGTATTACTGGAAATTCTCCGGGTCTTGACCCTCAGTACCCCAACCCAGCGCCCGGTGGTTACAAAGGTCAGCTTCAGTGCGGTGTCTACAAGCCTACGAATGTCATTTCCCTCTCATACGGGTTTCAGGAAGCGAATTTGCCTCCGAACTATCTGAAGCGCCAGTGCAATGAGTACATGAAGCTTGGTGAGATCAGTCCTGCTAGCTCTCGTCGGGCCCTTATGCTGACGTCCACACAGGATTGCAAGGCATTTCCATTGTCGTGGCCTCTGGAGACAGTGGCGTCGCAGGTAATCCAGGTGACGGTTACGCAAACGGCTGCCTCAAGAATGGCACAGTGTTTAGCCCTGAATTTCCGTCCGCATGTCCATATGTAACTTCAGTCGGGGCTACTTTGTTAACTGGCAATGCAAAGGCGGACGAAGAGACCGCCGTCACCCGATTTGCATCTGGAGGAGGTTTTTCGAATGTCTTCTATCCACCGCCGGCCTACCAAACCTCTGCCGTCAGCACTTATCTACAGAGTGCAGGAACTCCGTATTCATATTACATAGACGGGGACTACAAAAGCAGCACCTCCGGTCTATACAACCGGAACGGACGAGGATATCCCGATGTTTCTGCCGTCGGTGATAACATCCTGTTCTTCAGTAAAGGCATACCAAAACGCCAAGGCGGCTCATCTGCGTCCGCTCCTGTCTTTGCAAGTATCCTTACCAGGATCAATAACGAGCGACTAAAGGCTGGCAAGTCTACCGTTGGCTTCGTAAACCCTATCCTCTACAAACATCCATATGTTCTGCACGACATTACCGTCGGAAGCAATCCAGGCTGTGACACAGACGGATTCACAGTCAGCAAGGGTTGGGATCCTGTCACCGGGCTGGGTACTCCCAATTACCCGGCGATGTTGGAACTCTTCATGTCACTGTGATTGATGACGGCTTAGATATGGGATGGAATGTGAACAGGTCAAGATCGAAGTCAGCGTAGATGAGAGGACTCAGGCTTGCGATAGAAGTTAATGGCAACGAACCCTTCCATTATCACGTGTCTCACAAGTAGCTAAAATTGTGCCAGCTAATCTTTTGATTCGATTCAATTTGATTTGGTGTGCTTTTTTTTAATTTTTATCAATCAGTATTTAGCGGCCGCGAACGTTGTAGGAATTGAGGCAAATCAACTGAATCGTCCTTTCCCTTTTGAAGTCACCCATATATAGTCTGCCCACTGTAGCACTTATAAGAAATGGCGATTGTATCTGAACTAGTCACATGATGCTCTGGCTAAAGTTGCAAAATGTGATCCCAGGCAAAAGTTGCTTCGATGGAGCAATACGCCATAGCTTCCGGGAGAAAGACAAAGTCGCTATGACGCTGAACGAAGTGATGATCAAAGAATTGGATGACTCAGTCATATCAGATCTACAGCAAGTCTGGACGCATAGACAGCAGCGCAGCCTCCGAATGCAAGCACCCACGCAGTCGGCACCCGACTCCCAGCCGCATCGGCGGCCGCATACACAATCGTGGCCATCAACCCTGCAAGAATCTGAGGCGCCGAGATTGCCACATTGTGTATGCCGAGTACTGTGCCTGCGTGCATTTCCTCGTGACGTGCGTCGGCCACCTCGCACCCAATGATGGCCAGGGGGACCCACTGAGTGACTGCCCACGGAACGCCCAGCAAGGAGATCAGCAAAACACCTTGGGGTGGGGAGGCGACTACAACCGAGGCGAGCATCAAAATGCCACACAAGGCTTGTGATCCCATCCACAGCCTCGCCAAGATGGCGTGATTGGAGGTTTGCTTTTCCATCCCCTCCCCCGTCCGGCCTAAATGAGTCTTTTCTACCCATGCCAAGATCATAGGGATCACAATTGCGGCCGATAAAGCCACGAGAGCGAAGCAAAGACTCGCAAAGACGCCGGTTCGTAGGGCTCTACCATCCGTGGCTTTGGATTGCACAGCATGGGTACCACCATTGCTGGCCACGACCGCGGCTGCGGGAGACAAGGTCAGCTTCAGGCGTCTCAAGTTTGTCGCTTGGTCGTCTTACCCAGCTCGGCAATGAATGTGGTGGTGTAATACAGAAGCGAATACCAGGCTGACCACGCAAAGAACTGAACCATGCACACCTTTCGAATGACGTCGGGGAGACCATGGGTGCTGCGCCATATGTTGACCAGTGGTCTCGGACCCCTGCCATCACGAAAGCACGACTGACTTGACTCCTTGAAGACGAAGCATGTGGCCCCAACGGAAGACGTGATCACAACCGCATTCAAGACGGCTAGGCCCTGAAGTTGGGTGATCTGATAGGAATTGTTGAAGACTGAAGGTATGTCAATCGTCCCGGCAAGGAACCCGGCGACACCTCCGATGCAGATTATGCGACTCGAAGACACGTTTGCCTCGTTCTGCTGCCCTGCTGGAAGATTATCAATGATAATACTTCGTGCACCACTTTGGAAAGGTTGGACAGCGATGCTGAGACCAACCACAAGAGTGACGGCAACGCCCTGGACGAAATGCTGGACACTTTGCTCGTACTCGCCACATTGATTCAGTTGGCAAGTTAGCAGATGGACCCACTCATCAACCCAAGCGAGGAGTATGAGTAGAGCCGTGGCAGAGACTGCGCCGAGGACCATGACAGGACGTCTTCGTCCCCACTTGGTCTGCAGCCCGTCGCTGAATGCACCCACCCACGGTCCGACGAGTGTGCCCGAAAGCGGCTGAGATATCATAGACGCGGCAACGACAGGTTTGGAAAGCCCGAGACTTCGAAGGAAGGGCTGAGAAGGGTCAGTCTCACTCGTTAAGACGCGGTTGCGTGTGATCTGTACGGACTACCAAATTGGCCATGATTGTGGACCAGAAAAATTGCAGCCCACCGAGTGCGAGACTGAGCATAATGACTCTCGAGGTCGGCAACCGAGTCTTGGTCGTAGTAGGTAGGGACGCAGCAGACCGGTTGTACTCGGCGTGCTCATCGTCGTCGAGGTCAGACGTTGCCAGCTCGAAATGATAGTAAGACTCTCCGGCACTTTTGTTGCCTGTCCAAGAGTTGATTAGTCGAGAAAAAAGATTCATGGCCGTCACTTCTTGGACAAGGGCTGCAGCTGGGACTTTGCAACTGGCGACTGTTGGAATTTTACATGCGTCCAAGTCAAGATCGAGTCCAAGATGATCGCGCGGCACAAAGAGCAGAGCCACGCTATGGTTGCGAGCTGCCATTTGGCAGTCAGGATTCTAAGTAGACGACGCCAACGGCAACGAATGGGAAATGGCAATCGTCCATCCCATCACCATGCAGTGCCGCGCGAGAAGTCTGGAACGATGTTGGTAAGTCCAAGGAAAAATCAGAGCCGTCACGAGTAAGTATGTAAAAGAGTAGAATTCTTCAGACGGAGGCTTTGAGCCTCGTGATATCAGTACATTCCATCGAATAGCTATTTACATGCCCGTTCGATTGCCTGATTTACGTTCGAAATGCTCGACAAGATTGCCCTGGCAGCGGTTCTCGTTGGCCATGTCTTCTGGTGGGCTGGCACGCGCTGGCAACAAAAGAGCCGACTCACAAACACCAGTTTAACTAGCAAAACAGGCAAGAACGTGAAGATAAATAACTTGACCTCTCTATTTATGCAACCACTAAACAAAGTGCTGTAGTAAAAATATAATATGTTTCTCTTAACAGGCCTATGTCAAATTCTGTAGATTATTTGTATTTAATATTTATATATATTCCTTCTAGTTTCACTGTTGTGACCTGTCTACGAGGGTGAGTTTGTGAGTCGGCTCTTTTGTTGCCGGCGCGTGGCTGGGTTGCATTTTCGGCTACAGTGCTGTAAGATAACTTGAACAGTTGAGTAGTGAATAATTTGTATAGGTTGAGTAGTACTAAACGTTCCAATTGAAACTGTTGTTGATGGAAAAAAACGGCTAATCTACATATAGTATTCCATCTGATCTCTAACCGTACTTTTCAATCGTACTGTCCAGAGACTATCCGGTGCTGTAAGCACGCACTGACCAACATTTCCGGCTAAGCTGGTCCGAGCGTCCGCCCGCGTCTCTTCTCGAAACAGCCCAGGCGAGTGTCACAGCTCGCCGTTGTTCAATGCTTGAGGGCTCTGCGAGAAGGCAGAGACTGCCAGTCCCGCGGGAACCGCCTGTAAGTTCTCGTCCTTTCCAATCCTACTTCTACTCCAGGCTTTGCGATGCCATCATGCTTGACAACCATTACAATCAAGAGGGTTACATCGCCATTGATGTGTAGAGCTTTGATGTTGGCAACAATATTCTCTCTAATGTTTGCGTGGTCACGTCTTATTGGTACAACTTTTGCGGAATTACCTGCCTGGCCATACTTCTGGGACAGGCAGCCATCAGCGCCATTAGGACAGTCATGGGATCTTGGACGATTCACCACATTAGTGGCCTTCGGAGATAGCTATACTGATGACAATCGCTTCAATTACTTTGATGCTCACAATTACACTCCTCCGCCGATAGGATGGGCTGGATCAGCAGTGAGTCGGCCTCTCCACAAATAACTGCTCCCTCTGACTCTAACGTCCACGAGCAGGACTACGACACGTCAAATGGTCGTCGTCTGTGGGCGGCGTATGTCAAGCAATACACTGGAGCGAACTTGTACAACTATGCCGTGAATGGAGCAGAATGCAGCGACGAGATCACGCCACGTACCGCTGCGCCTCGGTTCAATTTCCCGACGGTCAAAGAATACGAAATTCCGGCTTACATTGCGGACTCCGAGTACACTGAGCCCAACGGAAAGCCGTTCTTGGATGCACCCCAAGACGAGACCGTCTACGCCATGTGGATCGGCACAAACGACCTCGGCGACGAAGCTCTGTTGACCGACTCGCAAGTCCCAGGAACGAGTATTGTTAGCTACACGGACTGTGTTTTCAACCAGCTGCAAAGACTGTACGATAGGGGAGCGAGATACTTTGTTGTTTTCAATGCTGCGCCGTTGAATCTCGCGCCGCTGTACGGACTTCTTGGAAAGAAGGGCAAAGTTGTGTCCCCATACTGGCCAGATAAACCGAGCAATACTACGGAGATTAGTTACCGTATGATGGAACAAGTTGTTACTGTCAATGCCATCTACCAGTATCGGACTCCATTCGTGGCTGAGGTCGGGAAGACTTTCAACGGAGCGAAGTTTGCGGTCTTTGATGTGCATAGCCTGGTAAGTCGATTTTATCGAACACTACTATCTGGAATTCGATTTGAGGTGCTTGTGAGAGCGAAGTAGCAGGACTGACATATGTCTGGTACAGATGACGAATATCTACAATAATCCTTCTGCTTTCCTGAATGGTACAGCGCCGTTGAACGTTGCAGTACCCGTACGCGACTGCACTCCCGAAGTTTGCATTACGCACGAAAGTCCTGACAGTCACATGTGGTGGGACGATCTGCATCCGAGTGAGCAGACGCAGAGAGTCATTGCACGGGAGTTTGTGAGCGTGATTGAGGGTAAGAGCCAATATGCTTCATATTGGGGTTGAGTCCGTCAAGCGATGTTACAAGAAGCGTCGAACATCGATACTTTCCAATTCGATAAAATCCTATACAATGCTAATTTCAGGACTATTCCGATCCGTATCTCAACACCCGTGGTCGTACTACCTCTGAGTCGTGGTAATAAACGCAAACTCCCCTCCTGCTTTGCCCGGTCCTCCTTTCCGTAGTCTACGTAACTCATTTACCATACGCAATATACTCATTCACTCTGCCTTGGTAAGGTGAACCCTGTGGACAATACAACCAGTCGTCTTTGTCAGACCATTCATCGATATGGCCTTGGTAGGCAGTAGATCCTCTGAAACATGCGTTGTTCTCTGTGGCAAACCTCTCAACTCGAGTCCAGTCTCGGCATACACTAGCGTACAAACCATCAATACAGCGAGCGGCCCAGAAAGAGAGACCGCAAACTTACTGTCGTCGGATTAGCAAGCTGCTCTTTGATACGAACGTTAATTTGCTACTTACCCGCATCTGCCCAGCTGCTTTAATCGCAGTCTCGTTCGATACGACGTCTCCGGCGAAAGATAGAGGTGTCAAATCAACGTTGCAGAGAGTATCCTCCCAGAGAACGATCAGGGAGTGTAGCGAAGCGTCACTGATGGTTCTGTTGTCGCTGGCATATAGAAGCATTGCATGATAAAGAAGTTGCTAGAGAATGTTAGTTACGGGTTATCTCGAGCAAAAGCTTTCAGAAGTGCCTACGATACTATGCAAGCTATGATACCCGGCTAAGGCGAACGCATCCATGGTCGAATCCCAGGGAAATGGTATCGATCGTAATAGCTTCTCACCGTGTGGCAGCGCTATGATCTTTTGGTCTGTCGCGTATCTGTCCACTATCTCGTCCACAGCTCGAGCAGTGAGAGAGGCATCGTAAAGTCGCTCGGGGTATAGGGGTCTTCGAACAGTGTTGATCGATTCACGATATACTGGTTCTAAAACACTGCTGTCTGCTATTGTCAGCTCGATCAACACCTTAGACTTTTGAGTTTGCGAACCTATTGCTTGCTTTGACCAGCCACTGCCGAGCCAGATCAGGAGTGCTTCAACGACGTTCACAACGCCGAAGAAAAGGATGAGATATACAAGCAGGTTGGATTGCTGCCATGACTTTCGTGGCAACGGACGTCGAGAGGCTTCGAGAAGACCATAGCGCTGACTGCGTTGCAAGAACATGTTTTTGCGCATCAGCTCGGTGCTCTTCTGGATTTCTTAGACAAGGGATCGGTTTGAGAAAATCGATCATGGGCGGAGATTAGCGATGGAGTAGTTTACATATGGTCAGAATGGGAAGTCGTCACATGAAGCGGACTACGGACGAAGCTTAGCTACCTACTTTGTATATTCCTTAGCCGCTGCGCTGTACCGCTAGATGGATCCGGGAGTACATAGCTCCCGACCGTCTCGGCGCTAGGATAAGCAATGAGAGCCGAGACATGCATGCAAGATTGCGCTTCAACTTGTGCCAGCGCAGAAGCAAGAGCATGCAACGGAAGATCAATATCTCATAGTTTGGTACCAACAACTTGCAGATGCCGAGGGCATAGAGTACCGCAGTGTCTGTCCACGACTACGTAGCGATTGCCGTAACAGACAGACACCCATTCCGTTTCCAAAGACTACGACTCTGAAGTTTCTGAGTTGAGCACGCAAGTTCGTTTGCTCGCGTGCGCGATGCTGGCCTACAGAAGCGTCCACCATTTTAGCACTGCCTATGCTGTTACGACTCGAACTTTACACCCTGGAGCGTGGCATCATTGTGCCAGTCAGTCGCGGAGAACATCTATTGCTGCCAGTGATTCCGAGAGCTATATAAGGGTGTAATACAGGCATAGGGAGGCGCAATGATCGATGTACAACAGCAACCTCTTTAATGTCTCAGTACAATCCAGATCGACCATTGAGGACGTGGTATCAAAGCAGAAGAATTTTATATCACGCCTTTCGCCAGTGTGCTCCATTATGACCGCTAGCTGGCAGCAACATGTCGATCTACGGCTGCCTGCCAGGGCGAGCCCTCTGGGCAGAACAGCCACTCTGCAAATTCATCATCGTCCGCGCTTCTGTAACCAAGTCTTTTGTAGCAAGCCGAACTTTTGAGCGAAAATTGTTCGAGATCATTCCAGTCGCGACACTGTCGTGTCTGATTGACCCGATGTACGACATCCCGGTCCACCTCCGTGATAGCTATCGGTTCTGTACGAGCCGCGCAGATGATGTCCTCCCATATCACATTTACGGAATGTAGGACATGAGGATCGTGCGGCCGATCACCGCGGAGCTCGTTGAGCTCATTCCAAAGCACTTTCTACCCTACAAATCAGCGAGAGTCGATGATATTCGATATGGAAGACATATACCAAGCTGTGCAGACTATAGTAACTTGATAGAATGAAAACCTCCCTTGTGGTGTCCCAGGGGAACTCCTTCGAAGGCAGTATGTTCGGGTCTTTCGGGAGTGCAACTAGTCCCCTATTGGGATCAAAGGAGTTGAACATATGTTCGGTCACCTCGGCGCCCGCTCCCGTAAATGCGTACTGCTCCTTGGGATACACTGATCGATTGAGCACATGGAAAGACTCGTGCCAAGTAGAGGTTTGAGGAGCTTTTGTTCGATATTAGACAAGTTCGATAAGTTACTATTCAGTGCCTCACATGTGTTCGAATATATGGCATCACTCGCCAGCCACCATGCTTGTGAAATGCTCATGACCAGAACCGAGAAGAGAATCGCCCATAGCATAAGTATGTCGCGCGCTCGAGAAAGACGAAGTGAAGCTATCTCGTCGCCTCCATACCACGCCTCTCCTTTCTCGCCTTCATTAATGAGGCCGTCGTCATCGTGGTTGTCGCCTTCGCTTCCTTCCGAGGAGAGCTTCCTGCTGCCAACGGTCTCCATTTCGTTAGTAGTGAAGCGGTTGTTGATGGCAAGGTATTAGGAAGACAACAAGCTCGACACCGAGTAAGTCCTCGGCAGCCTCAGCCGCGCGGCATTCCTCAAAGCCTGTGACAACCATAAGCTGTTCACTACCAAAGGAAGTTTAGTCATATTTGCTGATGCGCTCGTGGCTCTTACATACGACCCCGCTGTTATAGGGTATAGCCAGTGGCAGGACTTTAGCTAAGGGGCAAGTGTATTAGGGAAGGAAGATTATATAGTAAATGCACTAAATGTAATTTATTATGCATAAAAACATTATAATAGACATAAGACTTAGCACAGGGCTACTATTTATAATAGTAAACTAACTATCCAGCAGGCTAAGAAGACCTGTAGAGTTATGCAACCTGCTCCATAAATACAGAGCAGTAAAGTAACAGAGCAAGAGAGTAACAAAGCACTCTGTAGGTCACTTGACCTGGCTCTGTAGATCTTGGCTAGGGTGTCAGAGAGCACTCCGCAGCCTTGACGTAGGACATCCTATCCTGCCTGAGGCCATCATTACATCCGCCACCTAACTTCTGACTACTCTAGTATTCTGCGGGGAATCGCGTCGCGTTTCCAGAATTCCGCCTCCAGGCGAGAAGTTGGCCCGCGTAAACGCGTCGCGATTCAAATTCGGAGCCATCTGCATGACTGATATCTAACTTACAGGGACGCCCCGGAGGTCAAAGCAAGTACCACTCCTGACCGAGACTTCTCGTAGCATCGAACCAATCGTAGACACGGCGGTCTTGAGCGCTTATGCCCAGTGTGTTCGTCTTCCGAAGCCGTTGGCATTCTTTCGCGATAGCCAGAGCACGATTAAGCTTGAAGCTGTAGTCGCCATCGCCTCTAGCTCCCTCTTCAATTGAAGAGAAGAACAAGTCGTGCTCTGGACCTGCCATGGAGGCGGCAACACAGATTGGCCAGGACATGCTCTTCAGTAAGTGCGGATGGCCTAGGCGTTGTATGACGGATACCGTCTTCGAAACAGCGTCACGAATGCTAGACACATCAGGGTATGCGCCCGAGGTTGTGGTGTGAAGAAAAATCTCAGCAGCATGAGCATATACTTCGGTTATCTGCTGGGTGTCCTGGCTGAAATCTGTCGGCCACTGTTTGTACGATCCCTCTTCTAGGTTGCCGACCCTGCTACTGGTTGTAATACTGGTGCTTTGGTCGGTTGGGGTTTGATGGGGGTGTTCCCGGCCCGTCTCGAGGTCAACCCTATAATGTTCAATGTCGAGTTGTATCTTTGAGGCTTTATTTGCTAGTTCCACTACGTTCAGGGCTCCGCGCTTCGTTACATTGAGCTTCCAGGCCCGAAGGTTGATGATATCAAGGATTCTTTGAAACACCCACGGTTGGCAGCCTGTCATGTGTACGAGGTAGGCATTTGCGAGGGCGACACTATGGGGCAATGGCCAAGTGTTGAGCGGCTTGTTGAAGGTCGCAGTGCTGATGAGGTCCAGTGCGGCTAATAATCCATAAGACAATGACAGCAGGATGCTCTCTGGGTCGAACAGGACGCGGGTTTTGACAGCAAATTTCGCAATACCACCCAGTACATCACTGCCTTTTTGAGAGTCATCGATCTTGGTATTCCATGTCAGATTGGCATGCGCGTACATGGAGATCTCTTACCTGCAACAACGTCTGTTGTATCAGCGGCACTATGGCTTCCTCCAAACACTGCGTTTGAACTACACTGTCGCTGCTTTGCAGATCAGAGGCAAAGATGTTGTCGATCATCGTCAGGCTCGCAACAGGCGACAACACACGATGCTTTGACGATGTTTTCAAGCCGTATCTCTCCAAGGCATGAGCTTGTACGGAATAAACAGTCGTTTCAACAATTGAGTGTATCAATCGTCTGACCAGTTCTTGGGGACTAAGAATGGCGTCTCGCAAGCGTGACCGGACTGTGCCTTCAGCGTACGGGAATTGGTTCGGAAGTATGGTTTGCACGAAGAAATTGACAGCCGAAGTTGTTTGGATGGCTGCCTGAGCTATTTCTGCACAGCTTTGTGAACCATCGTCTTGGCAGTGCTTGTCCAAAGTAATGGGATTCAAATCAACAGTCGATCCGTTGTACTCTAAAGTAGTGTCGAGAATGGTCTCCACGTGCTCCCACGGCAACGGCGAAAAATTGAATGCCTCGAAAATATCGTTCTCACCGTGGTCAGTGCCAGTCTTCTTGAACTGCTCCAGATCACTCTCAAAGACTCCGTCAGACCGGCCAGAGGTACCCTGAACATCCGTGAGCACAGCATTGCTTGAGTAGTCCTGGTGACTCTGTACTTCTGCCAGACCCTTGCCTAGTCTGTCGGTCGGTGACAGACTATCTCCTATATCGGCCCATACAAGTTTTTGAGAGGCATGACCCAGATCTCGGGCCACAGGACTGAGAGTACCTGGCCACTGAAGCTCAAATATATTGTCTGCCGGCGCAGGGTAGGCATTTCCCGCCCCTGTGTGGACTCTAGGCTGTTGAACAAAACCCACCATGGCCTTGAAAGAATCGTCCAGGGAGACCTCATCCGCATTGTGGCTAACTTGATCGAGTCCTCCTCTTGAGTCTGCTGCCCATGGCAGGGTCTCACCAGTGCCTACCAATTGAGATGATGTGTGCCCTGTATTGGTAGACAGCTTCCCGCTCAACGCTCGCTGTGAAATGCCATTATCGCGTCGTGGCTCCATGTGATGGCGCTGCGTCTGGCGCCGTGATTCAGAGAGTCGCGTTGACACGATCTGACCTCGTTTTCGATGGCGTCTGATTCTTCGTTTCAGCTCTTCTGCCTTCTGCTTTTCCCGGATACCCCCGTCCATCCACACGGGTTTTGGCCCATAGCCATCGCATTTTAGTCGAAGGGAGGTGCAGACCGAGCAGTTTCCAGCTATCTCGTCGCATTTTTTGCGGCGGATGCGACAAGTCCAACAACCCGTTGAGCTTCGACCTTTGGATTGGTCAAGGTTAAGAGTATCGTGCTCCATGTTGTTTGCCATCTTTGCCAGGTCAGAATGTAGACGTCACAAAGGTGCCGTTCATGACTTCCTACCTCCGCTCTGCGATATCAGTTGAACAGTTAAGACCTGTAGCCCAACACCGCCGCCTCCTTAGACGCACTTCAAAGGCGTTAAGAAAGCTCCTACAAGCAGGTACGTGGTGTGCCGTTTTGTGTGAGAGCGCTAACGCCTCTCAAAGGTATAGCATGACTTACTGGATGATTTGACGCAGTGTTGGGCTCTACCTCAATAAGGAAGGTGTATGGCAAACAAGATATAAGCGCAAGTACTTCCAGTATCACCCCACCGTAAGCTTACTGATCCTAATTAGGTATAAAGTAGGCCCAAATATGTATCATACGGGATCCCACGACTGTAGGAGTACTGGCTGGTGGCGACGAGACATCGTACGAGTGGTATGAATTCCAAAAGTAGATAGGATTGTGGTGTGGATCGCATACTGCAGAAATTTATAATCAGAAGGCAATATATTTGCGCGGTGGCGAGGCAGCGATCTATGGTTAAGAATCGAATTTCCATGGATTGTGAAACTGGTGCCCCAGCAATTCTCTCAAGTATTAAGTACGTAAATAAGGTTAACAAGACAAGTAAGACATAGGCATGATCTATTAACTCTCATCTGCCTTGATAAACCTCATCGCTTCTTATCGAGAGCCAGCTCAGCGAGACGGTGTAATCAGTTAGACACTTGAGAGTTAACTGCAGGTAACTCGCCGCTGCACTATGCACGTCTGTTATATCTGCGCACCCGTCCCGCATAAGCGCTTACTAGATGGTTATACTTGGTTGAGTAGGTAAGTTTTATTGCCTAGAGGGTCTCTTGCTACAGCTTAACTAAATTTTAAGAAGTAATCTAGACTAGTAAAGAGACAAAACAGACACTTTAGCTTATTTAAGATATTATAGAGATAATAGTACTATACGATCTCTAATAATAAAAAATATTTTAATAATAACTATTAATAGTGTTTTTCTAGTTAATAAGTAAAACTATATTATTATTAATACTTTAGGTTTATAGCTTATATATACTTATAGTATAGGTAGATAGATATAATATAGTAAGAATCTAATATAGTAACTTTATATAAAAGCTAATACCTAGCTCCTTTCTATATAGTAAATATTAGTAGAAGTATATAGTAAAGGTAATAAAGAGCTAATTAGCTATCTTTTAATAACTAATTACTTAATATACTAATATAGATATATATTTAAAAGCTTAAGTAGCTATTAGTTAAAGTTTAGTTTAGTTATAAACCTAAGTTTATATTATAAACTATAGCTAAGTTATATACACTTTTTAATTAACTAGTAATTCTAAATATATAATAAGTAGCTTTAAAAGAGGTCTAAGTAATAATAGTTTATATAGAAAAGCTAGAGTATAAAGATTCTTTATACTTTAAAGCCTTTTAACTTATCTTTAATTTTATTCTTAGTCTTATTTTACTATAACTAAAATTATATATTTATAATATAATACTATTACTAAAGCCTAGATATTTAAGCGCTATATTCTATAGTATTTTAGTAAAGTACAAATTACTATATATAATCTCTAATACTATTATAGTATTTTAAATATTTATAGTAAAATTTCTAAAAACTTAACTAGATAGTAAAAAGAAATAAAGAGTATTACTTAATATAATAGTAATATATTTTATATAAAAAATCTAGATAGTTAGTAGTACCTTAAGGTTAATAAAAGGCTTAAAGTAAAGCTTTATAAAGTTAGAATTTAGCTTCTTCTTATATAAGTTTATAAAGCTAATAAGGCTTTTTTTAATACTTAGCTTTTTTAACTTAACTAGCTTATTACTAAGTAGTATAATAATACTATTCTAACCTTAAATAAAAGCTACTTTAAGTTAGCTTTTAAAAATTCTAAGTATTATAATTAAAAAATAAGATTAGTAGTAGTAATTAGGAAGAAATAGAACCTATATATACTATTAGTAGTATAAGAACTAGTAACTATTAGAGTAATAGTAATAGTAATAGTAATAATAGTAATAGAAATAGTAATAGTAATAGTAATAGAAAGTAAAGAGTAATAACTAGGTTAAAAATAAGAACTAATAAGTAATTAAAACACGTACGTAACTGAAATATAATAGTAATATAATATATTAATCTCTGTCCTTTTGAAATTATTATAAGTTAAAATAGATTAGAGAAATATATATCCTATATTAGATTTCTATTAGAGTAATTATAACCTAAATTTAAATTTTAAAAAAGATTATAGGTCTTAATTAGTAATTAAGAATTAAGTATTCTATAAGAATTATTATATACTATTACTTATTATCTAAGTAGATAGATATATTATAGTATACCTATATATAATAACTAAATATAGAAGCTAATACCTAGCCTTTTTATAAATAGTAGGTATTAGTAAAGTTATAGAGTAATAGTAATAAAGAGGTTAATATATTATAGGTATTTCTATCTAAGCTTCTATTAGCCTACTTTTAGTAAACCTCTAGGCTAAGGGTATAAGGCCCTTAGAGCTCTAGTTTATTGTACTTATAAACCTCTAAAGCTTATACCTAAAAGATTTATTTAATTTTTTTAATAAATACCTATTTATCTTATATCTTAAATGCCTATTTATAGTACTTTTATAATTTAAATTCTTTATACTTTTTCTTTAAAAAAGTAGTTAATTTAAAATTAAAAAAAACTATTTTCTTTAATAGAAAAATAATACCTTTTTAAAGAAAATAAAATATTATACCTAAAAAAAGCTTAATAGTATTCTTATTTAGAACTAAAAGGAACTTAGCTCTAAAGTAAGGCCTAGCTATATATATAAAATATATAAAAAGCCTAAATAAAAAAAAAGAAACTTTTAAGTAAAAAGTAATTTACTTTCTAATAAAGAACTAGTTACTTAGAAAAAAAAATATAAAAGCCTTTTAAAATAATTTTTAATTAAGAAAATAAGCTATATAGTTCTTTTTAAAATATAGCTAGAAAGTAGTATTAATAAAGTTTTAAAGGTAATTTACTAATTTAGTATTTTATAACTTTTTTAGAAATTACTTTTAAAAGTTTATATATAAGTAACTTTACTAAGTAGTAAGTAGTATAATTAGTTAATTTTAAATAAGCTTTTAAAATAATAATATTAAAGTACTAGCCTAGAATATATTATAATTTTAAAAAAACACCTTTAGGTTACTTTATAGTACTTAGGCCTAGAATACTTTACTACTTTAGTAAAGCTTTTCTAGTTAGTATCTAATATAGTAAGAAAGCTAATTAGAATACTTAATATAGTTAACTTTAAGCCTAAATTAGATATAAAATTCTATATTTCTACTTTTTAATAAGTAGATTAGTAAGTTAAAGATATAAATATTAATTAAAGTATACCTAGGTACTAGAGAACTTTATAACTAGAACTTACTAAGTAATAAGTACTATTTAATATAAAGTATACTAAGAACTAATCTAATTAAAGTTTAATAAGAAAGTAATTTATACTTAGGCTAATATTAACGTAGAAAAGTAAAAGTAAGTATAAAACCTAGTTTTTATATAGTATAAAAACTACTTAAAGTTTTAAAACTCTAAGTTATATACTAATAACCTAGTTAATATATTTTCTATTTTACCTAAATTATAAAGAATCTTTACTTTATTAAGGCTTCTTTAAGCTTATAAATAGTAGTATAAATAATAAGTTAAAAATCTTCTTAGTATAAGTAAAGGCCTCTAAAGCTTACTAATAAAAGATTTAATATAATAGAGTATTAAAGACTATTACTAAATAGTTATTATTTAAGTAAACTTTTTATAATATAAAAACTACTATAGGTATAAAGATAAAGTTAAAACTATTAAGTTTTATAAAGCTTAAATAAATAGCTACTTCTTTAACTTAAAGTAGTTATAAGAAAAGATATAACTTTAAACTTTTAAAATAGTACTAGAACTAATCTACTAGTACTTTACTTTAGGCCTAGAACTAAAGTAGTAAGTAAGTAGTAAATACTAGTAATAATTAAAATAATAAAAAAAAGAGTTAGTAAAAACTAAATTAAAAAACTAATATTAACTAACTTTAAGACTTAAAGAGCTAAAGCCTAAAAAAAGATAAGCTTTAATTATAAATCTTTTTTAATTATACCTAAGACTAAATTTAAAAGAAAAATAAACTTATATTAAAGTTTCTATAATTTTATAAAAGTTTAATAGGTTTATAATACTTTTCTATATACTATCTAACTTAAGTATAGAAATTAAGATTATTAATTAATATATAGTTAAGAAAAAAAATCTTCTTTATAGTCTATTTTATTAGAAGCTAGTAGTAAGCTTTATTAATAGTAACTATTTAAATATATTTAAACTATATAAACTTAGACTATTATATAGTAATATAAAGAAAACTACTAAAAGAGTAAGCTTTTAAATATTCTAAGTAGTAAACTTTATAAGTTATAACTTTATACTAAAGTACTTTTAGCTATAAAAGGTAGATCTAAAAATCTATTTTTTAATAAGTAAGTTTAAATAGTAGGTAGATAATACTAATAAAATTTAGTTACTCTTTATAAAATAACTACTTAATAATATAAGCTTAAGAGAAAAAGTATATATTCTCTACTTTAGTAATTTAGTATATAAGCTTTTACTTAGTAGCTAGAAAGCTCTATAAAAGAAACTCTTATAAAGAAACTCTAAAACGCCTATACTTATAAATAAAGTATAACTAGAAAGAGATATAGTTTAAGATATAAAGTACTATTACTAAAAGAAGATTCTTTAATTAAAGAATAAGTTTTTAAAAACTATTAATTATTTTTACTACTATATATAAAACTATCTAAACTTAGCCTAGTTAGTAGAAATAGTAGCTTATTAAATAGTTACTAGTTTATATAATAAAAACTCTAATTAAGCTAAACTACCTTTAGGTATAGCCTATATCCTTACTAATAATATTAAAATAAATACTTTATATCTAATAGTTAAAGATAATATATCTAATTTAAATAAATTAAAATTTATATTAAAAAAGCTATACTATAAATAGTTTATATTTAGTAAGTATTAAGTAGATATACTTTAGCTTAAGAAAGAATATAATTACTTTATTAACTTAAAGCTAGAAACTAAGGTTTTAGATCTTTTTATTTATAACTTTTTTAGTAATAAGCTAGAAATTCTATAGAACTACTTTAATATAGCCTAAAAAAAGAAATAGATTAATTTTAATAAATTACTTATAAGTACTTTAATCTTCTTTATACTAAAAGCTAATAAAATAATATAACTTTATATAATCTATTATAAACTAAATAAAGTTATAATTAAGAATTTATACTTTATTCTACGTATAAGTAAGATTTTAAATT